TCTCAAACAAAAATTTTCCACATTACAAAAAGTAGAAAATGTCCAATAATGCTTGAAAGTCTTGAAAATTTTCCACTCGATTGTTCGCTGCAAACGAACAGTTCTAAGGCTATACATATACACTGACAAATGGGTGATGAATATGCATTGTATGTGTATAATTTCTCCAGAAATAAATCATTATTAAGCAGTAAGCTTGACACATTACATTAGAAGTATATTGCATCAGAGACGCGCTGAAAAGCCAAGATAGCGCATGCGGGCAAGTGTCCATTAATGTGAAAAAACCAGTTCAAGTTCAGATTTTAAAAAACCGCAATGGGTGTGTTTTCGTAGAAATCTCCGGTTGGATTTCGCACCTTCAACACTATTTCAATCTTCAGCTATCTCTTCCGATATTCCAAGTCTGTCAAGGTGTGTGGGTGTTAAGCAGTAAACCGAAACTAAATGGCTAACAATATCTTAACGTGTTCGGCATCAGGTCGCACCTAATCTTTTGTCAATGGCAATTGAGGCGAAGAATACCTAACACATAAAACGGGACGATTCATTGGAAATTGTTGTACGTGCTGGCCTTCTTAAGCGCTTGACCACCGGTAGAGACACTCTCACACACACACTCGAACACAAGAGTGCATGTGTGTGGGCATGCGAGCTATGAAATCCAGTAGTGAGTCATAAAAAGAAATAGAAATATTGCTAGATACTATGTACATATGTATGTATGCATGTACAATGTATCTAACAAACGGATACGAATACGCTCGCATACAAATATTTGGAGCAGTGAAAATTACTCGATTTTTTGTGGAGTATATTGTAATTGTATAATAAGGGAATCGCAGTGATAGCGTTTTTTATATTGTAACACAATCTTTGGATGATATTTTCACTTGCAATATGACTATATATGTACTTAATAGTTCCGGACCTAATGCATGTAGTTTTAATTGTGGGATGGCACAGTTTCCACACTGATTTAATATCACAAATATATCACAGTGGAAAAAAAGTCCTTACAATATGACGAAGTAAGGAGATTTTAGACAAGAGAATAGTATACTTTTTTGGTCCGAACTTGATGCTTGTCTTCAAATTAGTTATTTATATATGTAGTATATGTATTTAATGGATTGTTTATTTTTTGTGCGGAATTACAGACAGTCTTGAAAGGTAATATAATTAGGTTAATAATAAAGTACAGACTATAAACTTCCAATTAGCAGACACATAGATATGTATCCTACTGAAGAGCATTCTAGAATGCCTTCTGATCCAGTTCCATTTGCCCGATGATGCTTTATACATTTTAAAACAATTGTAGGGATTCGATTCAACTAGTTTTTTTTTTTTTTAATAAATGTTATTAGAACATGTTCTTTGAGTACTTAAAGTATAGATTTATTTATTTGTGCGCCGTTATTGCTGGCATGTAGTTATCAATATACTCTGCATCCAACACTCATCGGCATCGGTTATGTCCCATCAGCGTAGACTGAAACACATTCATAATGACAACCAATCAAATGTCGACATCACCGCGTTTGCGTTTGTGTTACGCGCCACATGGCTTCAGATTCAGGGGCGGCAGCAGGTTCAGTTTGCTGTTGTCGGTGCCGAGGCCGCAGTGAAGTGGCTTTCGGATTTTTTGACCTGTTGCCAAGCGCTCGAAAGCAGCGAAAAGCGGCTGGAAACCGATACTCTATCAATGACAGCAGCAGGCAGCAAAAATACAAAAACGGCACAGAATTTGTGGCATGAACATGAATTTTCTCACGTCGCCACCGTTGAGCGTTGATCGGTTTGGTCGAATGTTCCGACACGCACACACACATATACCTGCATATACAACACACACCATACACCACACACACATACACACAGGTATAAATCCATCCAAAATGCAATTCCACACCATGGCATGTAATACCACTTGACTGTAGGTGTGCGTGTGTGTGTGTGTGAATGTGTCTTCGACTAGTCTTGCCGGTGAATATCTATCTCTTCCCCGAACTGCTAGTCGTCGCTGCTGGCTTCGAATGCACCACCGTGCCGTTGGGCCTTTGCCTCTGGTGGTGGTTCCGGTGCATGGAACTAGGAGGCGGTTTCGTTGTCGTTTTCGCTGTTGTCACTTGTGCCACAGTCGCTGTCGTTAATTAGCAAAAAAAAAAAAAATGCAAACGATGTAAATCTTTACCAGAAAGTAGATTAATTTATTTGCTCACTAATTACTGAAAACTCTGTTCGGCAAGGGAAGGGATAATATAAAGGCTAAGGCTAAGTTGGAAAACTCTTTCGAACATCTTTAGACATTGCTAGAACACTACAGAAAATGTTTTAAAATAAAAGGTAAATTTCAGGATTTGGTATCCCAAGCTATGCAAAAATTCAATATTATATTTTATTCAGTCATCACCTTCTGTTGCTTCATTTTGAAAAGATGCCAAACCACAAATACAGTGAAAACTCCCTTAATGGACACCTCTTTTATCCGATCGGTGTATAATGTATTTAAGTATCCCCTTCAGCGGACACTCCCCTTGGCCGACCGTGAGTGTCCGGCCAAGAGAGTCTTCACTGTATATAGGTACGGACAACAAACATTTTCTGGGAAACGAATCGTTGCTCATTATAAATCAAGGTTTGGAATAAAAGGGGCAACGCCAACCTAATTGAAAAACGAATTGAAAACTTCTACCATTGCCAAGGGGCTCGTACGTCGCGACGCACATACGAGCATGGGTGACTGCATTGAGAGACAAATGTACAGTCAGTGTAAGTTCAAAGATTGCATCCATGTTTCCACTGCCTTTCCTGGAAGCATCGTCGTTCAATGAAACAAAATGAATCTCACTCAATCTTATCTGCGGTAATTGTTTCTAATTGCTGTGATTACGCAGATGCCCCGGCAACGGTTCAGCGTCAGCATTGACATAGGAAATGCTTTCGTTGATACTCTAGGCCGGCCAGACGCCAACTTTCGAGCTGCTTCGATCCCTTGGGATAAGAAAGATCGAGTTGCATTTGAGCTGCTTAAACTTAAATTCAATGGCTGCACAGCAGCTGCGGGAATTACGTGAAAACTAGCTAATAGAAAGTGCTCCTCCAATAATGGGCGACCAAAAGGCCATTTCAATTCAGTGCCCCTTACGTCAGCGTTACGTTATCGTCTCGGTGCATACAAGTACAAGCATGCATACGTGCAATACATACATACGAGTATGTATGTATGTATGTATATATGTACATGCATATATATGTATGTGAAGTGCATATACATATGTATGCTGTCAGGCACGAGACACAATCTCGAGCACCTGCAAGATGATTTGTTTCTCAATTCAATTTAGCTTTGTGTGCGCGATGCCGCCACGCCAACTGTCAACTGGCCCGAGGAGGAGGGAGCAATGGGGTGGAGGGGTGGAGGGGCAGACCTGCGGTCGGACGATTTGTGTAACGTGCAATAAATAAATTAGAATTAAATCTCGTTGCGGCAGCAATGTCGGAGCAGCCCGCTAACGATGCTGGCGATGCCTGCGATGCTGACGATTTCGTCGATAAAAAACTAGTCGCAGCTAGCGACAAATGTACAACTGTGCCATGACGCTTGCACGAGAACCAGCCACAGACCGCGACCCGCCGACTGCCGACCGCAGACCGCGTACCGCTACCCTCCCAACCAACATACGGTTCCATCATTCCGGCTCAATGCGCTGTCTACCGCACAGCAACAAGCGGAGGCAGAGAAAAGCGAAACAAACACGCGATGTATTAAATTGGCCGCGACTACGAGACTGCTGCCAGTCTGTCTGCCATTGCTGCACCCGTCCGGCCCGACACCGACCCGCTGATCCAACGGCCGGTGCTAACCTGGCACCTCCGTTGCGCTGTTGATTTGTTGTTCCATCACCAACAAGTTTCTGCAGTCCGCCTATGCCGTTCCCCGCTATCAATGATACGAGCATGACTATAACGTATCATTGTGTGGTTTCTGCCCTCAGCCGACCGATCGTACCAGACAAACTGGCACTTACTTGAAAGAGTCTTGGATCTCGGCAAATAAAACCTTGCACTACACCGACAGTAACAGTTGACTTATTGCCACTTAGTCCCGCACCCCGTTTCCGCTTTGACACATGAAAACCTGTGTGACTCTGAACGTACTCGTATACTTGTAAAATGCACGCTAAGTATGTGAATATATACGAGTAAGTATGCAGAAGTTGTCCACTTTTTATCAGACATTTCAATTCTGTATTGTGTGAACTGGTTTGTGGCCAAGTTGTTTCATTAAGGCGGGATATCTCTTTGGCAAAAACGTCCAATTTGAGTACCCAAAACACATAAGCGAACATCAGCGTTTTGAAGTTAAATAAGTGGAGATGCGATATCCACACAACACACAACAAAAGATATGCAAGTACTTCGCCTTAATGGGCTAGGATAAGAAATCCTGTTCCAGTAGAACCATTACGAAAAAATGGATTACCTCAATTAAAGATTTACATACTTAGTATATAACTACAAGGCCCGTTCCGAGCATGCCAGTCCGATCTGTTCCGTTCCGGTCGGAACAGAGGCATTCATGCTAACCGACACCGTCGACACCGCCGACATTGTCAACGATTGTGCGGGGATTATCATTAACATGTCGAAAGATTTGACAATGGAGTGAGCTAAAGGCTGCCTTTTTCTGCGGGCACGACTGCTGTAAAGAGTCAAGAAGAGTGAAAACGGCCATACCTCTCAGACTACCGCTCGTATGCCAGCGACCGCCACAGACGCAAAGTGTTGAACTTCAAGTGGCAAGCCCGAATACGAGTATGTATGAGTATGAGTTGAATGAGAACGAGTGAGTGTAACCGACGACGCTATGAGTACATAAGTGAGTAAAGTTGCGGTGGTATGAGTGAGTGGTTCGGTCTGAGCGGACTTCGCTGCTGGCCAGCGAGCATATAAATTGAAGACAGAGGCCCATCGAAACAGTTCTGTTACAGTTTTCAGCTGTTCAACACAACTTTGCTCGTCGAGCTCTGCCACCTCAGCCAGATCGTTTTTCCAAATCATTTGTCGAGTAACTGTTTCACTTCGAGTGCCGTGCTGTGTAATCCGATAAACGCGAAAACCAATTGACACACCTTGACTTGTAATGTCGATGCAGGTACACCGTTCGTATACAAACGAGTGTCGCCCCAATCTATCCAAACCACCAAAATCGCAGGAGTCGCATAAGTTCCTGTACGATTGCTAAAGCAAGACCAAGATCGCGACAAGGCCGATAACTACATATTCGCCAAGCCGAACTCTATTAAAGATAGCCATTGAGCTTTCCATCTGTATTGCGTTTATAACCACGCTTCAACACGCCCCAAAGTAGGCCAGCGACTTCACGCATTTGCGTTCTAAAAAAGCACTCAAGATTCCGCCGACACTGAGCTGTACGATCACCAAAACGGCATCCCTTGCTGGACCTATGTCAGTGCTAAGCCATTTGCTGCTGAATTTCAATCAGAAAACTCAAACTAGAAGTCATCATAATTTAGAGCTGATAAACTCCTTCATAACATAACAACGAGCTGTTGCGCCTCAGCTCACGAACGACAGGACCAAGAGACGCGACCGCCTAATTTATAATCAACGTTAAGGAGAAATTCGCAAACATTTTTTACCGGAAGAGAAAAAAGAAATTAAATCAAAAGGTGAGTGACTAATACATCCAGCAATAGTCAGTGGTTGTTGGCCGACAGCTTATCTGCTTATGAACCAACAACAAAAGCTATAAAAAATTCCGAATGCCCAACATACCTTCATGGGCCATACGTTTACGGGTATGTGTGTAGTGTGTTTTGGGTTTTTTTTTTCTTTTTTTTCACTTTTGTCACATTTAAGACAATCAGCAAAATTCGCGTGAATAAACGATGAAAACCCAGCGTTGAAGGGCAAATCGAAATCTAAATCTGATGCAACATTTGCTAACGAATCGCCATACAAGCGATTGGTATTATACATAATACCCTATAAGCCGTTGCGACGTCAAGACTATTGAATAATTAATCGGTCACTCGTTGTCATTCGCCATTGCTGTGGTCTAGACAGTCCCCATGTACATACGACTATACTCGTATACTCGAACTATATGTAAATGCGATCGACTGGACAGCCCTCAACCAAATAGTGGCGATTCCGGTGCGTGGGTGTAGGTGTTATCAAGAACTGACGTCATGGAAGATGAAATGCTAAGAACGCAGAATATAAATTATACCCATTTATTAAATTTGTGGACTACTTGTACCTTTGGGATTTGTATTTCGACAGCAAGAGCGATACAGAATCGCAAAGTCCATCATTCAATGTTCTATTTCTGTTGCAGAAACCGAGCAGCGATGGCTTCTTGCTGCTGTTGTGAAATCGAAAATTCGATGACCAAATATCTGCGATATGAATTACTTTGTTATTTAATTTCGCTGCTATATTTGCAAATTAATTAAGTAATGTACCTCTAGGCTTTCATGGCCGGGACTCTTATCGAATACAGACCCCACAGAGCCCCCCACAGATTTGAATGCTGATTTATAGCTCGAAAGTGTCGAGTGATAAGTGTATTTTATTTGAATAGGCCCCACAATATTTTAGCTGAACTTAATTAGCTTACGTATACACTCTATATACTCGTATGTACATACACATTCATACATACATACATACGTAGCCATAGTGAAAATGTCAAGTCATACAGAGTTTATTAACCCAGATTATAGTTGAATATTTTCGACCTTTGCCCAATGGCGCCATATTTGGCGTTCAATGCCAACGAGACGATGCAGTAGAAAAAACAAAAAAAAAAAAAATGCTAAACGAAATGATTTGTTTGATCTTTGCAGAAAATGAACTTAAATCTGTGCACTATAGTGCTGCTGCTCTTCGGCAGTCTCTCGTGCGCCCACAGCCGAGCGATTGACGTCGTTGACGAAAGCAACGATGTGGACAACTCTATCGAAGCGGAGGAAAAGCCGCGTTCGCGACCCTTCGAGTCTGACTGGCTCAAATTTACCAAGACGCCACCCGTCAAAGTTTTACAGACCCCGGGCGCCACCATCGAAATAGCTTGTGAAATGATGGGCTCCCCACTGCCCACTGTTCAGTGGGTTGTCGGCCACATGCCGTTATCTGAGGTGAGTACAAACCTCCGTCTGCTGAGCCGACCCATTCCATAATGGTGCCTATGTCTCTTTTATTGTACAGATTGAGAGCATGGAGTCCAATGTATTGTCCGAGAATGCGCCAAGTACCATTGTGCGCGTACGTTCCGTGCACGTTATCGATCATATGTTGAGCGAGCCAAGAACTTACACCTGCGTTGGCCGCACTGGATCGAAAACTGTCTATGCCAGCACTGTTGTCTACCCCTCGCAGTCCGACATTGGCGACTTGGGTCTGGTGCGCGAGAAGCCCTATCCAGGTCCCCAGAAGCCGCGCATTGTCTATACCGAGAAAACACATCTGGATCTGATCGGCTCGAACGTGTTATTGCCATGCAAAGTACATGCCCGTCCCCGTGCCGAGATCACCTGGCTAAACAACGATGGCAAGGTTATTGACCAAAGCCAACGCTTCAAAGTGCTTCCTACGGGAGATTTGTTCATCTCCGAGCTAAAATGGAACGACATGGGCAACTACAAGTGCACGGCACGCAGCTCAGCTGGCCGAGACTCTGCCGAGACCTTCGTTTATCCCGTACTTGTAAGTATCTATCTCTAAAGAAAAGAAGTATGAATAACCTTTGAAACTAATTCCCCATTTCCCATATTTTCTCCTCTTATTTTGCAGAAGGAAGAGGACTAAAGATTTTACAAAAGCTATTGAATTCAAAGAGAACGCTAAGTAGCTAGTTAGATAGATCAAATGCCTTCGAAGATGCGTGAACACAAAAAAAGTATACTAAGAAAAAACTACAAAAAGCACAAAAAAAAAAACAACATTAATGTACAATAAGGCCAAACGCAAAATTTGGCTATCAAGAAAATTAGTTTGTAAGTAAAGTACATAGTCCCTGAGAATCTAATGCCGGCTTAGACATGAAAGCTTAACTACATATACATATATACATAAAATAATTATAATTATACTTGGATAAATTTCTCGAATAATTGCGCTTCATTTTGAATTAACTACTTAATGGAAATTACGGTTTGCGTTTGTAGATTTATAGTTTTAGCTGACATCTAGTGAAGTTTGATTTCTCAGTAGCAATGATTGTTCCTAACGATTCAGGCGACTCTAGTTAACGTAATTGGCCGTTACTTAACGCCCTGGCCTCGATGAGAAGCAGGGCTTTATTTTTGTACCGACACCCTACACCTAAGTGGCAGGTCATCGTCATGAACTCTATATTTACACACATTTCTTCAACTCCACAATTCATTTCTTCAATTTATTTATTTATCTATCGCCTAAACAGTATCCATCTAGCATTATCCATAATCACATACAAATAGTATTCGCTGATTGAACAGTTTTTCATCAAACACCGTATTTTTTACGTAATCTATCCGCTTCTATCTTTAAGCTAATTTAATTTAAATTTATTTTTGAGCTATCAAACAAGTGTGTATTTTTTTAAATAAATACATACAACAAAATCGAACTGAAAGCGAGTTTTCATTTACAATCTTAATGGGAGTTTGTGGGATCATGATGGTCCATTGGTGCCGTTCCAAGTGCAAAAAATTTCAATTTTCTGCAACAAATTTATTATAAATAAATGTACAAGTATAATAATATTTATATATATGTTTTTTTGGTTCTAAATCTTTATTGACTGATGCATTGGTAAAATGTCGTATAAATCTATAAATATATACATACATTAATCTAATTAAATACGTTTACGTACACATTTATTAATCTTCAATATTTCACGTTCAATTAGTAACACATAAAGAACTTGAACAAATTACTACGTATATAGATAGATAGAACTACTATAACAATACAGTAGGGCACATTTAATTTAATAGATTTGGTATTGATATTTAGTTCCTTAGATAAGTGCCGTAGGTTAATTAATTGCAAAATAATATTAAATTTATTTGTTTATCGTTTCCTCTGTGGCTTTTTTGAGGAAACTAATCGAATAAAACTAAAACAAGATGATGTGTACCGATGATACGGAAATCGTGTTATGTGATTGTGCATATAATTGAATGATTGGTAGGCCTAAACCTTGCAACCGATTCCGCAATATGGTACACAAATCGAAGTATGGCGTATCCCAAAGACTATAAATGTGCAATACAAAATTGTGTGTTAGGGGAAGCGCGATTATCTCATCAAAAACATCAAGGTTGCCTCTTTTAGAGTAGAAACAATCACTTCTATTTGATGTTGTTCCGTTCAATGAAATATAGAAATATATAGAGGTTACATTATTCATCTAATTTTTTGGATTGCACACAAACATATGTATGTATGTGTATCGCTCACATTTTGCTCAAATAAATGTGACAGGCTGCACAGAATCCCTAATCTTGTACCAACAACTGGAAGGTAAAATTACGTACTTTCTCCTCGTCTCGTCTCCTTGGAATCAATTGTGGTACACTCTATTGTCACGAGTCACAAAAGCATATCTAAAAATCTTAAATACTGTAAGTATGTACTTAAACATATACTATATGTATCTGGTAATACGAATTTTCCTATGTATGCTGCAGCAGGGACTGAGACGAAACTGAACAAATTTCACAATACTTGTATATTGAAATTGGCAACTAAACGACCGAATGTAAGTTTTATTATATGTATTATATGATGTACGAACTAAAAGTATAATGGTCAACTTTTCAAATGTGTCGTATTGTTTAGGGGACGGACTCTAGACATTCTAATGATGTTCACATTTCATGTTCACGTTACAACTATTTTAATACTTATCAAATGGAATCTATAGTATTGGACGATAGTTTATCGGAAATAAGGAGGTCGATGATGTACTCGTACATTGGAAAACGTATTACGTTGATGCACTTTATTTTTGGCTATGCTTTCAACGATTGTGTTGCCATAGAAGCTGAAAGTGTCAACGAAAGTGTTTAAATCGCGACGCCCAACCGCTTGCTTGAAGCGCTTGGGCAGCTGGATGCTGCCGACGCGTCAGTTCGGATCTGGCTATAGTGGCATTCCCCTTGACTTACTGTTGCCGGGCAGAATGTGTGCGCCAATTTGAAAGTTGCGCGTGAGTCAATCGCTCGAGTAGACGAGCATGAGGGTCGAGCAACAGACAACAACCAGTTTTTTCTGTCTTCAGTCTTCAGTCTTCGTCTGCCTGCCGGTCGGTCTTTCTTTCTTTTTCCTATACTCGGGCCGAACGCAAAGAGCTAAGAGTCGATACACGTCAGCAAAATGATTAATAATCAAATGATTTATATGATTTTGTCAAATCATTGGGCGTGCGTGGGCCAACGTATTAGATTCTAATCGCTGAAGGGGCGGGAGTGGGAGCACGTTGGTCGCAGGTGCCATTGAGAACGACAAATCGAAGAGAAATGAATCGGAAATTCGTCTTTTAGTAAAGCCTTTTGAGTTGGCCCACAGCCATTTGTGTGTGTCATCGAAGTTCTGGCGAATGCTCGTACATAGATAACATCTTATTTCTGCTTAATTTACGAATACACTGATGGAACAGATTCAGTCACTTGCCGATTTTTAGGGAAAGCCATTAAATGAAGAGGAAATTTGATAAAGAAATAGTTTTCGGCTAACTTTATGGTGTTTTTTCTTTGTTTTTGGCACGTAATAAAAAACAAATGGACAAATGCTAAGCAAATGAATAACAATAAAATAGTCCGACGCTGGGCTCACCCATTTTTCTAGGAACATCGCATTTCTATGGGCTTAGTCGGGGACATAAAAAAGCGATAAACAACTCACAAAAATAGATGACAAACAAAAGGAAATAAATAAACAAAGATTTGCCTGTTCAATGCTGAAGGACAATGAAGCCTGCCGCCGCTTTGGCTCATTTAGTGGGGCTTCTATTGGTCCAAAATGTTTCCTGTTTTCTTAAACATTTAGCACGGAATGCTTTTTGTTGCTCGCAGATGGCAACTGTACGGCGACCACCGCCAGTCGCCCGTCCCGCAGTGGTGCCAGGATGTGTGTGTTGCCCGGGGTCACCACAACAGTTTGTATGGGAACATGCAGTGGAATGTCGAAGACGGGTTTTAGACTGAAAATTGTTGTGCATAATGAGTTTCCTTTGCATAGCATAAAAATTAGATTGCCTCCTACTTACCCATGTATGCGACTCATAGTTATATCGCCGGCATCATCGGCGACCACCAAATAATCCGAAGCTGTGGCCAGGCCCGTCACCCGACCAGATACATATTTAGAGCCGAGGCTAACTCCATTGATGCTGTACACGTGCACTGAATGCGAGGTGTCGTCCAATGCACTGAAGGCAATATGACCTGCAGATGGAATATGCACGATTTGTTAGTTACGTTGGGAGACCAAACAACAAGACTGAATTATATTGGCCAGGGAATTCGGGCTATCTACTATATTACTCTGACAACTTTAAATTAATTGTATTACTCATTAAAGACTTCTTATATCAATCAGCAGAGAATGTGGTCTTACAAACTAAGCAAAAGAGGAAAACACTACCTTATGTATAGTTTTCGTTGCTGGAATCAGTTGCCACATAATATGGAGGATGTTACAAACGTTAGGATTAACCAAAACAGTCGGAATGTATAAAATGTAAGATTTTAGCCAGCAAAGATGGGTAGCGAAAGCAGGAGTTTTTTCCAATGTAGTTCAATCTTTTGCCCTATCGTTCTTATAGTAGAAATACGTATCTATGTATATGTATTGCAATAATTATGTATTATGTTATCACAGTCCATACGTGGTTATGCATGTACATATTGCATATGTGTATTCTCCATATCCAAATTGAAAACATGGCAATTTTTTAAAGTGTATGAACAAATGCGCATTCAAAATTATGTTTGTTAGTTAGTCGGGGTCTAATTTCTATTCAATGTTACGTATACGTCATGTAATTCCCAGTAGCAGAAATGATGGAATTTTCCCAAATATTACTGCAAACATACATATATAGTACATTTATGAATAAGTGGCGTTTTAAGATGTATATTGATTATCAGTCCCGTTAACTAATTGCGCTTACGACTGCATTATGTATTATTGTACTTTTTCCCACTACAGCGTTTTGACTAAAGTAAATGCTGCTGCAACAATTATTACAATGGCAGCTTTGTGTATGATCTGATTTAAAAAACAAAGATTTATTTATTTTTAAGCTATTAGGTTTGTGCAAATTTTGTATTTCAAAATTTTGATCCTTTTCTCTCACTCCACTGCGATTACAGGTACAGGGTATTTCACCCGGTTGGTACTAATCTTGCTGTCTACAGCGATCGATACCGTGGCAGCAATATAATAAAGTGCACTGATTTTGATGCAACTTCGGAATATAATAGATACACTTACGACTGTTTTGTGAACACAAAATTAGTCCATTTTAGAATCGTTCTTCGACCAGTTGCTCCTGAAGCAGCTTTATCAAAAATTTGGACGTTGGGAACACCCCAGTCTACATACCAGCATACATTCATACTTTTTAGCACACCCTTGACCCCTTGGGTAAAGGGAGGGAATTTCTGAAATACACATTTTCTGCATATTCATACAAGTAGAAGCCATCTCGGACTAAAAATTTAGTGTCGCTAGTTCGTATAGTCTCCGAGATACAGGGGATTATACAAGCGGCTTTTCCAAAAATCCTCCATAGGGAGAAGTGGGGGGAAAATAAAAAACATAAAACAAACTCGTAAAGCGTACACACCTAAGGCATCTTTGTGCAAAATTTGTTGTCTCTATCTCTCTTTGAGATCTATGTGATCATACGGACAGACAGTCAGGGCTAGATCGACTCGTCTCGTCGTGCTGATGAAGAACAAATATACCCGCAAACCTAATATACTCTTTTACATTTCATGTACTATATACAAGGTATAAAAACGTCGAGTTTATATAGAAAGAAAAACCCGGCTGCTCAATAGATTTCTGCTATCTTAGCCATAAATTAAATATGTTGGGCTCTGGCGCTAAATGACTTGCACCATTGAAGGCTCTGCTACGATGTTATCTTTATTACTTTATTGGGGGTATTATAAAACTTAAAGGAAATGGAAATCCAAAACATCGCACAACAGTTTGTTCAGAAGTTGAAAAATAAACGCGAAGACGTGATTTATTTGATTCATTCTTTGTTGAAATAGTCTATTTATTTGTGGCAATCGAAAATGAGGCCAAATGATAATTTAAGGAGAATCCGAGATTTTGCTTGATGGGTCCTTATAACAACTGATCAGTGATCAATAATTATCTATTGGGATTCTGAATTTGTCAAAGGAGTATATAATCTGGCAATACTTGTACATATTGGAAGATATGTTCGTTGTACGGCTCGACGGTTGGTCGCATTGCAACACTTGTGGTTCGCGAACGCCGATCGCAGCTTATCACCAAAGCAGTTCTCAGCTGCACAAGGCATATGACAGCATTTCTGATTAGAGAACTGTGACGAACATCGAGCTGCAGAAGCGTCCGCTGAGGTCGCATCGATGCAACACCAATCAATTTTGCAATGAACCCACCGCAATCGGTCAAACGCCTCGCTCATCAGCTTGGGGAGATGATAACGAGGGCCCGAAATCAAAGAGAACCGATGCACAAAGACATCAAAAGTGGTGTGTGTCTCTTGTGGTTGGTCTTATCGGTGCAAAACTGTTCTGCGTTTCCATCTGCGACGTAATTGCGGAACGTTGTTTTACGCAGTTAAAATTCCAATAGGCTGTATAACTCGTATTCGAATGTCTTTGCGCAGGCTCGGCCGGCCCACTTGTCTAGATAACCTGCGTATACCATAAATTATATGATTATGACATTGCCCACCCGACTTGGCGACACACTGCTCTACTACGAGCACTCGAACAAGTCATAAAGAAATTAAATGAATCGGTCCGACACAGCCTAGCCCGGTCCGGTCCGGCCCGGCCCACGAGTACACATTAGTGTCGTGCTCTATGAATTTGTCTTATGAATGAACTTTCTAATTATTGTGTACATTACATTGTGTACACAATTGCCGTGCCTATTGGCCCCCATGGAGTCTTTGTCAATTGGCCAGAGACAGTGCTCTCTTTGGCGGTACCCCACGTGATCGCGTTTAAACTAGAAATAACCATACCGAGGCAGTTCCGAGAATTGATGCGCAACACCCATAAGTAAGACATTCAAATTTGAATTTCTCTTTATAGTGCGATACAATTATGATGATCACCCCCACTAAGATTTACTGCAAGCAAGTATTTTTCAGATTTCCAGAAGAAGTGTCATGAATGAATCGAGTTAGCGTCGGCACCGAAGCCGACGGCAACGCTAATGGGCCGCCACATTTTGCTTACGCACGAAGCAGATCGTTCATCGGGTCGCGTGACGCGTTTCATTTTTTAATAGCTCGTAACGATGAATAAATTTATACGAGATTGCGTCGTAGTAGAAATATGCATGTAGTACTTATTTCATGGATTCCCTAATTATTAATTACGCTGGGAAAATACCTAACGAGTTTTTAGGGGATAAATTCGCACAAATTTTGAGCCACGGAGAGATTATTTTTAAACAAATTGAACAAATTAATTCGCGGCCGGATGTTTCGCATTTCTAAGCAACTATTAATCAAAAACCGCGATAAGACCTGACATATTTAAATAATTACCGAGTAAGTACCGTAAGTAAACACAACATATCATGCTTAAAGAATTTTTTGTTTTCCTAAATTGTGACATTAACATTATCTACTATCTATCTATTTTTTTTGTGAACGAATGTGGACGCTTCGCTCACGATTGTGGACATTAGCGGGAAATTAATAATATGCATTTCTTATCATGTCTTGCAATTCAAATTCAATATGGCTTCCATCTCATAACATTGCAGCAGTTTTGCTCGCAAGCCTTGGTCCATATTCAAAAATAGCATCGCAGCAACCTGTGCTGGTTTCATTGCTGGTTTTTTGGCCTAGCCGCTTCAAATTAAAACTGTGTTGACATCAAACTAGCTCAGAACATTAGGTCGGAAAATCCTACAATTATTTAATTAATTATTTGGATATGAATATTCTGAAAATCAGATTAAAGTGGTTGTTAATGGCCCTTTTTTAGTTTGTTCTTTAAAGAATACTTAAAATATGTATTTAAATTAAATTTATTTAGTTTAAGCTTATTCCGAGAAAGTGATCATAGAGAAAGGCTAAAACTCAAATATTTCTAATTATTCTGACTTACCACAAAAGTATACAATGATAATTTAATTAACAATGAATAAGCTATGGCGAAAGAAAACGTGGAGGGGTTTAGAAACACCTGATAATTCAAAATGATTGGTACGAGCAATTATAACTAGTAAGTCATCGGACATTTAAGTCTTAGCTGGGGTCAGGTTCGTAATTCTTCCAGTAAGTCAGAGCAAATGTTTGTTAACATAAACGAGGATTTTTGTTTCTATGTACATTCTCGTATGTAGTATGTGTGTGCGAGGGCAGATAAGATACGGCAGCTGTCGGGAATCATCTAATAAATGAATCCAAGACAAATATATAATGCATGGGCAAGTTTCGAGCCATTCCGAACCAAGACACACAACCACAAAATGACACAAAGCCAACGAAATTCACACACACACACATCCATATATACTACGATTGGCTTGGATCGTATATAAGGAATCACGTGATCCGACACTTGAGGCGTCATTCAGTGTGGCAATCTATATACATATAGGCCGTTGATAGGGGCGCTATGCTGATTAAATTGTTTGCTCTGCAAACATTTATTAATGTGAACATAAGTGGATGTCGTGCCGGCCTTTGAATATGGCTGCACGTGAGTCCACACACCCACAATCTGTAAGATTTACTATTTACTACATACACATGTACATAAATATATGCATATGTGTGTACAATGAGTCAAAATTTCACACTCTGTTCCGTTTTTCCGGCATTAAGGCAATTAAAGCATACCTATTAAAAGTGGGAATTTTTTGTTTCACCTATTTAATCCTTTGTTTTTAATATTCAATAGTTTATATTGTTTATAGTTTTATTTTTAAATTGGGTTAAGAAACAAACAGAGGAATAGATCGGTTTGTCCCGTTATGATGATGAAGAATATATTTACTTTATGAGTTGGAAGAGCCTTCCTGATAGATACTTTTAGTCTACGGGTATCGTAGGTATAAAAATGGTTTCTATGAACGCAAAAAACCTTTAAAGATATTAATTTTCAATTACAGCCCACAAGGCTTAAACAAGAAACGATACCTAGTGTGGAGTGGGCTTAACTCAAACACAAAAATTAGTTTAAACAAGAGAAAACCTTACAGTCGAGCAAGCCCGACAGTGAAATACCCTGTACCCAGACAAACTTCTGGCACTGAGTTAAATGCACTCCTAGCAGAAGCAAAAAGAAGAAGAGCAAATTTGATGCTTCAGTTTGTGGGCGTAGTAATGGAGTGACAGTATTGACGAAAATAAAAAAAGTATATACTCAAAAAAGTAAATGCTCAGCCATTTCCGAAATCCAGGCGTTCATCCAGACAGACGGCCATATCTGGATTGATTTCTCTTATGCTCTTATGCTGACCAAGAATATACATACATATATGGGGTCGGAGATGCTTCCTTCTGCCTCTTACATATTTTGCACAAATAATTTCTATATACAAGGTGCAATTCAAAAGTTCCAGGACTTTTATTAAAAAACGAAAACTATTTTTGTATTTTGAAAAATTTATTGGTCGCCTTCAAAATAGTCTCCTTCCGCCTGAATACAACGTTTTGCACGTTCAAGAAGGTGATCGAACGACTTTTTTAGGTCATTTGTCGGTATAGCGTTGAGGATGGCGGTCGCCGCCTGTTGGATGGCATCAACGTCAGCATAGCGGTTTCCTTTCATGGCCAAATGTAGTTTTCCGAAAAGGTAGAAGTCGCACGGTGCCATATCAGGTGAATACGGCGAGTGGTTAATGGTTAAAATGTGATTTTTGGTCAAATAATCGGTCACAATCGGTTGATTTTTGAGCAATTTGTGGTCGTCAGTCAATTTGTGCGGAACAAACCGTGCACACAACTTTCGTAAGCCCAAATGTTCGGTCAAAATGCGATAAATCGATGTTTTGGAGATGTTCAATTCCATTTCCATCAATTTCAATGATGATATCGGCTGATTTTTGATGAATTCACGCACTGTTTTGATGGCATTTTTGGTGATCACGAATTTTGATTGGCCCACATGTTGTTCGTCATTTATGTCCTCACGACCACTTTGAAAACGTTGAAACCACTCGTGCACTCTGCTACGGGATAGGCAATCATCGCCATAAACTTGTTTCATCAATTTCGGTAAAAGTTTTACCAATTTTAAAACAAAATTTAATGTTGGTTCTTTTTTTCGAAGCTCATTTTCCGACCGATAACACAAACATACTGACACTTAAAACGCAATAACTTCACTTCCAATCGATGAAATGTCATGAATTTCACTGGACAATCGATAAAGATAGCAGATTCTAACGCACCAGTCGACATATAGATAGCGCCACCAGGGGGCGCTAGCTTCAAAAAGTCCTGTTTACTTTGAATTGCACCTTGTAATTATCTACTTTTGTTTCAAATTTCATCTAAATCGGTTAATTCTAAGAAAAGTAGTTATTAGCGAAACAATTTCACTCCGGTACTACACCCACAAGCGCAGCATCACGTTCGCTCTTCTTCTTCCTTTTGCTTCTGCTAGAGGCGCATATACCTGAGTGTCGGAAGTTTACCTGGGTTCAAGGTATTTCACTGTCGGGCTTGCTCGACTGTAGCGTTCTCTCTTGTTTTAATTGGCTATATCGACTTGTCAATAATATACATACATTGTGGTGTCTATCACACATTTACCCTTTGGGTACAGAGTGTAAAGAATTTACTGTAAAAATATAAAATATGTTTTTTTAGGAGTGTATATTTAAGAGTTAGGCCCGCTTGACTCCAGCATTCCATATTTGTTTATTTTAATATTGTGGGTAACATTCTAATAACATTGTTTAATTATATACATACATACATATGTATAAGTAAGCAATGTAAGCAATGGCCACCTAGCGCTGGAAAATATAAAAATGATATACGAAATACTATTGCATACTTTTTCCTAACAATGATATCGAATTTGATACTGACATAGCAAAGACAACAACCTCCGTTATGGGGATCAAGTCTTTCAAAACTAGTTTCCGTGAAGTTTAATTTCAAAAGGGGAGACCAACTGGAAATTGACGGGGAAGATTTTACTCACCGTGATATGAAACTGTAAGGAAGGAGATTTGCACACAGGACTCGGTGCAGCCAATGGGTTTTAAGGTCCGCACGAACTGACCTTCTTGTAAGGTGTACACATTGACTGTTCCATCCTATTTGCGTGGGAAGTTTGATAGTAGTTATAGTTATAGGAATTTGCCATAAGTGTAACTTACCAAAGAGCCTGATACGACCAGGTCCAGTTCTGTGTAGATGGCAACACTGGAAATAGTGTCGTCGTGTCCATAGAGTACCGTCAGAGGCTTGGGAGAAAAGCTATTTTGTGTGTTTAGCTGGGTAATGGCCTGTAAGTGTGATTGACCTGTGAGAGCGTGGACTGGAATGCTATTAGGTTGACTGCCACTTTGTTGGTTAGATTGCAGACTCCAGATAATGCAAGTGCAGTCCCGTGATCCAGTCACTAAGTAGGAGCCACAGTTGTCCAACGCCAGGCAGGTTATTATATCAAGATGTCGCGTGACAGAGGCAATAGCTTTCCCTTTGTTCAAGTTATAAACTCGTAAGGCGTTGTCCCAAATGCCTCCCGCATACAACAGTTTTCCATCTGTACTAACCGCAAACATTTGCGAGTGTGGCGATTGCGAGGGATGGAAAGGACCAAATACCCGCTTGCGATTTCTGCACCAAGGAGACAGATGTGGTGAGTCACGATATAGGGCGGGGTTGTCTGTACTTACTTAATATTTGTCGTTGTAGCGTCGATTTCCAATAAGAAGCCTTGGTCCTTGTCAAAAGACATCCAAGAATTACAGCCCAGGATTGATGATTTCGATACGCTAACTAATACGTCGGGACTAAGCTGTAGGAATGACCGTGGTGGGCTACGGGGTGGACTTAGATAGACGATCGGATCTTTTGGAGTAGAGAGTTCGCAGTAGTACTGTACTACTTTGTCGAGAAACTGTGTCAGATCGGGTCGCCTGAGCTCCGCGCGAATCAGTTTCATTATTGTTTCCTCTTGAGTTAAGCGGCGCGGATGCGGTTCTCGTAGCAATTGAGATGGTACTTGGCCAAAGTTGTTAATCATTCCTAGAAAAACGTAAATGATTTAAAGTAATGGATTCGGGCTTTAAATAAATGTATCACACCTTCGACAGCTTCCCTCTCGACTGGATTCGTTATTTTGTCTAAATCCACAGCTCCTTCGTACGAACAATAGTAAAACACATTCAGCGCTTCTACAGCTTTGGGACCTCTCTGTTTATAGCTGCAAAATATTATATTTATACCAGGTAATGTTTTAAAGAGTTAAATTTTCAGTTGTACCCAAAAATTAAATCAATCCAATGGTGGAGATGCTGACTAACATATTCTGATTCTAGCGCACGCCGATGAATGGCTATGAACTCCTCTGGCGTTGTCGCCCATGCCGGTAATATAACATCATCTACCTTTTCTTTGGTGATTTGTAAGTGTCCTAAATCAAAACTACAATTTAAAACCAATTAGTACATAGATTGTTTGTCGAAAAATAATATAAAATAACTTACTTATTCATATTCTTAAGGAACTCAGGAAAGTAGAAGAATTCTGGTATGAGTTCTTTAACATCGTTTGGATTGTCCATTAATAGCTTCCACGTCTGGGGAATTGAATGGAATTGTCGGTCGGCTACGTCAAACCGGCCGCTCTGTAGATCTATGTGAAGTGAAGTAAATGGTTCGACACGTAAAAGATAATGCAGTACACCTGCAGAATTCGAATAGTGTGTGCCATAATGAAATTTAGGAATGGCACCAGATGGGTCCTCAAAAGATTCATATTTGGAACGCACTTCGGCTTCGTTTTTAGGATTGATCTGTTAGCAGAACAAATATAAATAAAATCGTTCTCAAATAACGTTTATATAATTAATACTTACGCAACCAACTGGTTTAGATAAGTCACGAAATGATTTCGGATCTGTCAAGTCCAACACGTCACTCGTGTAATCGGCAAGTATCCACGGAAAGACGGGATACTGGCTGAGGTCGTTGTAAGATCTACCTGATATTTGCATAGCAGATAGATTTTTGCATAATTAATATTAATAATATTTTGAGATGCTATTAGTGTTACCTGCAATCGTGTTTAGGTACATCAAGTATTCAAAGTTGGAAATCTCACGAATAGCCCATCGTTGTGTTAAGCCCGAAGCTCGCAATATCTCAGATGGTGAACGTCCCGAGCCATATAATATGTTTGGTAGCGGAAGACCAACTATTTTTGTGAATACTTTGTTACGAGTCTGAAACAAAAAGATTAAGTCCGTTGTTGTCATGTCCAACATTTATAATATCACTTATGGAACACACCTTCTGTGTTGAGAAATCAAGGAAAAAACTGGTTTGATCGATCAAAAAAATTTCCAGGGCGCAACGTCTTAAGTTATATTTTCGTAAATGAACTTCACGTATTTTTGTAATTGAAAACCTAAGTTTTGAAAAAGAATTTCATACAATTCAAATATATATACAAGTATTATAGGAAAGAGTGTACCTGATATCATATTTTGAGCCGTCCTCCGTTGGTGCACTCAAATCGACAAAAGTGAATACGCTTTGGTTAACCTCAATGCGTCCCTTTACTTTCGTCATAAGAGTAATGAGTTCGCAATCTTGGGATATGACCGAGTTCTCAAGGGCTACATCCTGCTGTGACTGCGTATCAATTTGTTGTCGTAGTTCTTCTTCTAGTTGTGCGCTCTCATCGTCCGCAAGAAAATCCCGTACCACAGCATTCTTAATGGTTGAGTCGAATTCGGATATTTCCCTGTGCAAAATATTAGGTAAGACTTAGCACTGGCTAAAGGGAGTTATTTTAGCATACTTTGTGTCATAGGGATTTGTAGCATTGTCACGCAGATTCGCAGCACTCTCATGCTTATTTGGATATAGTTGAGGCTCTAGCTTAAGACGCATACGAGCTACGTTCTCGTGAGGTGATAATGTCCAGGATTCCTCAGGAATCTCTCTGTAAAAAAGGAAACTTAGCAATTAAGAAATAATCTAAATTGGATAACTTCATCGTTATAAACTGGTTTCGAGAATAAAAGTCAATCTATATAATTGGAAGACGTTGCGTTTATTTATTTTGGTGTTGATGACAGTTACTTTCACACCAGAATGATTAATCGTATATGTACAAATGAAGATCCTTTATCGAGTTGTATGCGTATCACTCTACAAAGGTGGCAAAATATTGCGAAGCTCTTGTGTCAGTGCGCATCCTTAGACGACAATGGGAGCGGCCAGGGTTTTGGCAAGTACTGGAGAGGGGGCAGCAACCACGGGAGCTACTGGAGCGGCAACAGCCTTAGCCACAACTGGAGCTACTGGAGCAACAGCCGCAACTGGCACATCCTTCTGCACAACTGCGTTGAAGCCGTTGATAGAGTCGGCATAGTAGCTTACAATGCGACGCGAGCCATCGGGTTCAATCAGGGAATATGAGCCGCGCACGATATCACCGTCACGGGTCTCTTCCTGAGTCTTGGAGTCACCGGTCAGCGAGTCCTGGACATCGTAGGCAAATTGGTATTGTGGGTGGGCATCGACAATCTCGGTGGCAATGGGCGCAGCGACTGGAGCAATCGGAGCGACAGGAGCGGCCAAAGGTGCGGCTACGGTTTTAGCCAAGACTGGAGCGGGGGCGGGCACAACCGGTGCTGGGGCAGCAACAAGCGGGGCGGCAGCATAGCTCTTTGCAACAAGTGGCGCTGGTCCGGCAACGAATGGGGCAGAGTAGGCGGCAGCAAGCGGTGCAGAGTAGGCTGCTGGTGCGAAATAAGGCGACGCAGCTGCGAAGGGAGATGTGTACGCCAATGGGGCAGGAGCCGCCGCCAGTGGAGCAGCAAACGGTGCCAGACCGGCGTGCGCAGAAAGCGCCATAGTAGCAAGGACAGCAACAATCTAAAAAGATGTCATATCTCCGTATAAGTCCATTTAAAGGTTGCATCTCAGGTACCCCAACTTACCGACAGAGGATTCATTGTGCGACCAAGTATTTCGATTTTCACAGTCGGTTGATCAAAAATAAACTGACATGCCATTACCAAAAAAACACAGTCTTTTATACCGACGCAGATGTATTTGCAAAATTTGCATTCGGTAATTCAAATATACGCTCAGTTAATGGAATAGCTTACCAATTGCGTATGGGAGCCTACTCCGAGTCTGATTGTTGTTGCTTTTAGTATGTATGGTAATGTCTCTGTCCGACGGATCCATTGATCCATATTCGTAGCACGTACACTAGTTTCAGATTTTTTTCACAAGTTTTCATTTTTAACCCGCTTGCAGTTTCGATTTATGTTGCGGCACTACACGGCCAAAGCCTGAGGCATACCTATGGCTACCGTAAGGTTTGAAAGTGAATGTGTTTTTTTGGTAATTGTTATGCAGGGTCGATCATGGCCGCTTTTTAATTTTCATTTACACCAAAACCGAAAACTCACCGACAAAATTCGTAAATTTAGCGCATTTGTTGGGTGCAATTAAAACGATCATAAGGCTAAGCAATTGGGCCAATTACCTTGCTTTGCAAGTCCTTTCGACTGTGTTCTTATCCTAGCGAAGTTAATTAACTGAAGTGATTTATAGTGAAGGGATGCTATCTAATAGGCTGAAAATAACAATAAATGTTAAGTGCGCTAAATCCAGTGTTCCTGCGCTAGTTCTACTGGGCAGCAGGAAATCTGATCTAGCTTGATCTTGCCCCATCTTGGCCCATTTCGAACCAATATACCATTTTCTAAGTATAAAGTGCATGGCATGCTAGGCTAGCGAATATTTAAGCCCCTAGAGCTGCTGCAGATGGGGGGACGCTTAAAATATTTGTACTTGCACTGCGTTGTAATGTTTCCAAGAGTGTGCGTGACTCTTTTGCCAATTAAATCCAGCGACCTTGTGTCGCATTGGCCAGAGCCAGCCCGAGAGAGACTTGGCACAAAACTACAATTCTCACACTGGATGCGAATCAGTAGAGGACGCGTGCCTTTGTGCGACAAAAACTTTTTTTTTATAAGATACGAGTATATATTTGTAAATGTTATACTGGCTCTGACTACTAATTATACAGATTCAAATATTTAAATTTCTCCGACTCACATTAACTAAAGAGGCTTGAAATACAAGTATAGTAGAACTGTTCAGTTGTTAGTTGGTTGTTGCCATATGCTGAATATGAATTGTTAATACTTCTTCTTTTATTACTAAGTTGTATGTTGAATGTCTTATTTGGAAAAAAATGAAGAAATGCATTCATGAATACGGAAAAAAGACCAGTATTTGTTGTATTCGAATTCTGACCAGTCTTGCTCAATCGAACTCAGCAAACTAATTTGCAACGTGCGTTCCATTCACTTTTATCCGCCCAACAAACATTTCCCAACATGAGCGACTGTTCTGTGACTCTTTTGGGATATACGCGCATGTACTATAAGTGTATTAGTACATCCGACAGTAACGGCTTTTCTATATAGGGTTGTCAATGGCACCTAAGATCAAATGCCCAGAGACACTGTTTTGCAAATATGTGACAAGGTTAGGAGACTTTAAGTAGCGACTGCAATCGTGAAGGCAATTAGTGAAGTGTGGTGAATACTTTAGGAACCCGGTTTTGGCATGTGGGCGCTATCATCTGAATGCGTATGCGTGCGTATCTGCGTAATTGCTCTGTCAGTGTGCACAGTAACTTCAGTGGCTTGAACATTTGGCCCCTTCGATCAATTGCTACCATTTCAGACTTTTAATTAAACGAATCGAAACAAAACGAATAGTGCTGCAGTAAACAGTGGAACCCGCGCGTACGGCGCTGAATGGTCGATTGGTCAAATGGTCTCAATTTCGATTTGACCAAGCCAACAAACAAACTTTGTCTGCCCACTAACTGCAAACTGTCTCAACAGTGAGCTGCTATTACATCAGACAAAGTGGTGCAGTGCACTGAGTGGTCGTCCACAGTCTCCAAAAGAGCTAGAGAACATGAGAATTTAGCGATCTGGTTTGAATGCATTACGACCACCGCGGAAAACAAGTCTTAGCTAACGGCGCTCTTGAGCACACACGCACACACATTTGAATTTTTGGCGGCAAGTGGTGGGGGCCGCCATTGCGTACTCGTATAGTTCGCTTGCAGCCTAACTATTCCATTGAGAAAATTTTAGGAATGATGAAATTTGCACCAGAAACATGAAATCGCAGTCTACTTGTAGATGAAGTCGCGGACTAGGCCGTGGTGCGAGCCGCTGCCACAAACCAATCACTGTAAGTGTCACTTGCCATTAAGGAGCTTGTACATGCTGAGCGGTGGCAAGGGGGAAGTTTCGACGGTTGCCACAAATGGAATCGCAGTCGTGGCTCGAATATAAAACTGAAGACCTCGCGGAAAATGCATCTCAAAGTCGACTTGGGTTCTTGCCAGTGCAGACACACGCACAGTCCAGCACCTCAACTCTACCACCGCCACCATCAGAAGACCATCAGTTATAATGATTGCACAGGTGAGGAGCAAGCTTTTCTCGCCTACTGCACTGGGCTTCTTACATCCCTGGCCGTTTTCAGGTGTTGTTCGTACTTGGTTTGACGATTTTCGGTGGATACGCCATCCCCATCGATCCGTACGGATCCTCATTGCTGTCGTCACCGGGCATTTCTTATGCGGCACCGAATTTATTGACATCTTCAATTTCGCTGGCTCCCAAGGTCCTGGCCGCACCCGCAATCTCTACAGCCGTAATCCAGCACGCAGCGCCTACTCTGTTGGCGTCACCAGGCTTAGCCGTCGCCAAGGTAGCGGTGCCGGAGCCATACGATCCTAATCCTCAGTACAGCTTCTCCTACGGCGTCACCGACCAGAAAACTGGCGACTCGAAACAGCAGTCCGAGACGCTGGTCAACGGCGTAGTCCAGGGCAGTTATTCATTGGCGGAACCCGACGGCACCATTCGCAAGGTAACATACACGGCGGACAAAGTTAACGGATTTAATGCCATCGTCGAAAAGAAAGGCGTGGCTGTGGTCGCCAAACCCGCTCTTGCTGTTCAAGCGATACCTGCCATTACCAAGGTTGCGTATGCTGCGCCCGCCATTACTAAGATTGGATTAGGCTTAGCACCGGCCCTTTCACCCGGTCTAAGCCTGGGACACTATTAAGATTCATGAAACCACTGCTGCTGCTGCTGACTGCCTGGATATCCAGGACCGTGACCGTTGTTAAATAGTTCTAGTATTGTAGTAACCCTCCACCCACAGTCCATTTAACCTTCAGTTTTTTAGCTCTCTTACATTTCAGCCAATTGCGTGCGTGCTGTCTTCTTATCCATAGATACGGATCTATGTAGTCATTACTACATATTTAAATTTATAGATACCGTTTCTGGGGAACGGATATGTCAAAATCTAGTTCATTAGTTTGTGCATTTACTGAATAAAGACATCAGTACAAAATCGAACTGCGTATTATAGAGTAGAGCTGTGTCTGGTTTGGCACGAAAAACAGGTTTTCTTTTGGCATGGGAACTAGGCCACAATTACTAGATCATATGGCAATAACAAAGCCCATTAACAAAACTCTTAATTTTTCTTTTAGAATAATTGACATCACCTTGTGATGCCTGTTATAACAAAAGTTTCCTACATCTTCTATTTTGCAAAAATATTGTTTTGCATTTAATACGGTTGTCTATGATCCAAAGGGACAAAAGGTTTTGTTATAGTCATTGCATCGGTACGCAGTATGTTAAAAAAAAACAACAGCTTTTTACGACTTACTATTAATATTTATATTGGAAAATGAAAAAGAAACACATTGATACTCGCCACTGAAATTTGCGAGTTAACGGTGAAGTGAATATAAAACAAGAAAGGAATGCTAAAGTCGAGTAGGCTCAACTCTTAAATACCCTGTACCATTTTAATTAATTAATTAAATTTAAAATATTCCATACATATGTACATCGTGTCTATGCGTGTTTGTGTACTTCTACATATGTATGTATGTGTGCATTAAAATGTCAAAGCAGCAACAAATACAGCTGCGGACAGAGCTTGGGCCTGGTTATGTGGCTATAACTTTCTTTCTAATCAACCTATCATAATAATATATATATATTTAATTCACTTTAATTCTGTCTTTCTAATCAACCTATCATAATAAAACTTGGTATACGGATATATATATTTAATTCACTTACTGGATGTGACTACCAAATTTTAGTTAAAAATTTCAAGAATTACGGGAGTTATAGAAAATCGCGAATAGGGGGGAGTGGGAGGGGGGGTGGATCAGAAAAAATGAACAAACTCGTCTTTTCTCGGGCTCAGGAGAATCTGGATACCAAGTTTGATTATTCTAGCTCTTATACTTTCTGAGATTCTTGCGTTCATACAGACAGAGTCGGCTTGTTATCCTGATCAAGAATATATATACTTCGTGGGGTCTGCCACGCCTCCTTTTGTGTGTTCCATGTACACTCGCACTAATATACCCTTTTACCCTTTGGGTACAGGGTATAAATATGTACGAGGCCAGTCTAACGTGTTTCTAGTTTGGCAGTTAAAAAAAATTGTTATCGGAAGTACCCGAAGGCTAAAAAGGTTACATTACGAACAGGAGGAAGCAGCATCTCTGACCCCATGAAGTATACATATTCTCTTAACCAGCATGAGAAATCGATAGAGCCAAGACAGTTCGCCTGCATGAAACGGTAACTACTGCTCTACAATTGGTATGCAGACTCTCTTTATTCCCAAACAAAACACAAGTTTATATTGTTCTTTTTTTAAATGATAGGAAAGCAGTGATATCGGCATAATTAATCGTTTCTTGGACCAATAACTATGTATAATATCGATATGGCTAAAATTCATGGTTTGGCTAGAAGCATTTCGGATTGCTGTAGTAGTATTTAGCAACACGTTCCTACAAGTTCAACGGGAAACGGTATTTTAAAGTGAGCAGACAGTTTTATTTTGTTAGCTATGTACTGTGTTGCACAAATAGTATTTGTTATTGTAGAAGAAGGCATCGCCGACCCCATAAAGTATTAACTTGTACATCCTTAATCCACATGACGAGATAAATCGACCTAGACTCTCCTAATTCCCTTTTTGTGGTAAAACGTGGCCGCCCACAAAATCGCATGGATCGGTAAGCTTTTCGGTAAACAAATAGCAACTGTAATTAGGATCCTAACGGGGCATTCGGAAATGTAAACTAACTTATATTTATTTTTCGATTTTGAAGCTCTGTTCCAGCAATAACAATTTACTATCCATTCTTTTCAAGCCATATTTACGTTAGCCAACAATCATGAATAATTATGATGAATAATTATAAAGCCTCCCCTCACCATAAAAAAAAATTAACTCAAATGAAATCATTCCAATACAACCATTCAGTTTCACTTCATCAATATTGTCCACAATTTTCATATGCTATTAGTTAGCTCTGTTTTTATACCCTGTACCCGTAGGGTAAAATGGGTATATTAGATTTGTGCACAGTATGTAACAGGCAGAACAGAGCATCTCTGACGCCATAAAGTATACACATAAATTCTGAATCAACAAGACGAGAGAAATCGATCTCGTCATGTCCGTCCGCATGTCCGTCCATCTGTCCGTCTGAATGATCGCCTCGACTTCGAAAACGGGTGAGCGCACAATAACCAAAGTTGGTATATAGACACTCCTAGTCTATATGAATTTATTTTAATCTTTGGATTTTCCTGCTCTCTCCAGGCTACAATACTTTCCACATTTCAAAAGCTAGACAACTAAATTTTCCACAGGCAATTTATTTATAATTTTATACTTTTGTTTTAAATTTGAAATCGGTTAATTCTAAGAAAAGTTATTAGCGAAACAACTTCACCCCAGTACTACGCCCTTCGCTCTTCTGCTTCTTTTTGCATCTGGTAGAGGCGCATACAGGGTTAGCCATCTTTTATGTCGGTATGTGAACATTGAATATCTTTGAAAATAAACAACCGATTTTCAAGTACTTGTATGAGTTATTTTTATTTAATTTGGTTCTGTACAATTTCTCGAACTGAGGTTTTCAACACTGGTCTACTCAAGTCAATCGGTTCACTAATGACAAAGTTATTCAATATTTACATACCGACATAAAAGATGGCGCACCCTGTATAACTCAGTGTCGGGAGTTTTCCTGGGTACAGGGTATTTCACTGTCGAGCTTCTCTCTTGATTTATTCTTCGTTTTGCCTCCTCTATGAGCGCTGATAACGCAGCGACTGCTTGAGAAGCGTTCTCGGAATATGCAGTGTAGTCACACGTACATCTGAATAACTTCATCGGTATTGAGGTAGTCCCAGTCATTACCTCAATACGCACCATAGAAGCAGACATTTATTTAATCTGATCACGTTTTCCATACACTAATGTCCACCCATAAGTCATATTTGTCACCGCCAATGTGGGCGGAAGGGAGTGATGGGATTGAGTAATCGGTTGGATAGTGGGCCACACTTAAAATAGGGGGACTGTTGGCACGTTTATTGGGAAATTTCGATGAATGCAATTAAACCAGGTTCCAAACAGTTCGGCAGTAGCCTTACATCACCGAGGCGAGGTTGGCTCATTTTTGGCAACTGTTGCCTCAGCTTACATGACACTGGCGATGGTATCCAAAACGTTTATAACGGTGAACGCGGGGCCTTTATAGACAGTTAAACGTAACTTGCTGGAGCAGTAGCACCCACTTAGCTTCTTCCGAATTGAATATCAGCCCGATCGCAGCAATGGCCCTGTTTAAGGTAAGATCCTGCACTTGAAAAGGCACGACAAGGACTAAGCGGCGTCTCTTATCCACATCTAAACAGATATTAGTTGTCAGTTGCGCACTGTTTGCCATAATCGAGTGCGCTGTGTTGGCACCCGCTCCGCTGGCGGCAGTTCCAGTGCCCGTGAACACGGAGATTGATCCGCATCCACAGTACGCCTTCGCGTATAATGTTCAGGATGCGCTCACCGGCGACAGCAAAAGCCAACAGGAAGTACGAGATGGCGATATAGTCAAGGGTTCCTATTCTGTTGTAGATGCCGATGGCTCATTGCGTACTGTCTTCTACACCGCCGATCCGATTAACGGCTTCAATGCGGTTGTGCAGCGCGGACCAGTGCCTGTGGTTGCACCACGGCCGGCTGTGGCCGCTGTGCCCGCACCGCCGCTAATTGGCCGTGTTTTCTAGTCAGTTGGTGCAGCTGTTGAAACGCTGATCTTAGCTTGTAGATAAGTTATTGTCTGTTGTATAGATCAATACGAGGTCGTAAATCGGAATACATGCATATATTCAATTCGCCAAAGATACCTAATTGAGTTTGAAATTTGTTAACGATTCTGGAATCGAACGGTAAGGAATTTAAGGCTCTTTAGGACTGACTTTAGTTTCAGCCATTAGTTATAATATGTTATAATGGCTTGAAATTTATACAATTTTAACCAAATTGTACTCTCTTGTCTCAGAACCAAATGGAAAATGTTCAATAGCTTAATTGAAAGTAAAAGTCGGCACGAGATACAATTTTGGATTACGCAAAAGCTCACATGTCTTCGTCTCCGTCTGCGTCTGCGTCGATGTAGGCAGTAACGACGCCAACTCCAACGGCAACAGCGACGTTAGCGTCGACTTCAACTGCATCAACGATTGGTTAGGTTAACAAGCGTTGGAGCGCATTGAAAATTAGTGATAATGGGCAAAATTGTTCCAATGGCAAAAAATATTGGTGCAGCGGCAATTGCCAGGTTGTTGGTCGGTGGGTCGGGGGATTGACACCGTGCGTTGGGAGCGGCACAGTTTTGTGCCAGTTATGGTGACGGCCTGAAGGCTGCTGGCTGCTGCCTGCCTAGACGCATACGCCAGTTTTGCTGCACACACCTTTCAACAATCAGCGACGCTGGCAACTGGGTGCGTGCGCCTGCGCCAAAACATACACAAACACACACACAAGCGCAAACACACACACACACACAAGCACACACACCTGACATCGCCTGGCCCAAAGCGCTTTCGAATTGAACTTTTTTGTCACAACGAATCCGCTTGCCGCAGAGCCTAAAAGTCGCAGCCGGCGTGGGGACCAGTTTTGGTTTGTCCACTATACGTTTGTCTAGGAGCCGCCAGCCAGCAGCCACCAGCCGCCCTGATCTGTGTCCAAACAGGCACAACACAAGCCATGGGTAGGCCACACATGCGTGGCATGCACTTTCGGTCGGTCACTGCTCGCCTCCTAAGCTGCCGCTGCCGCTGCTGCTGCTGCTGTGCGCATGCGTGGCATGACTCGCTGCTCTGCGGCCTAGCTCGATTGCCTTGCGTCTACGTCTGCATCTGCCATGGGCGACGCGACGCGACGCAACGGCGAAAAATGAATTATTTTCGATATTCTTGATGTTGTTGTTATTGTTGAGGTAAGTATAAACATATACACTTACATACATGCATACGTATGTATATAAATTAGAGACACGCATGCGCACTTTTTAGTTTTTCGTTTTTCGTTTTTGTTTTTGCATAAATAGTTTTAGGTGGCTGCGCGTGTAAGGCGAGCGGGCGGCCTGCAGATTTAGTGCGTCGCTGGTGCGGCTGCTGGGGCGCGGCTATAAAAAGCAATTGTCGGCCTGGCACAGAACCACAGAGTGAATTCATTTGTCAAACCAAGCAGCCAGCCAGCCAGCAGCAACAAACGCAACCAACCGCTAACCAAAAACAATGGCACAAAAGGTGATTCTGGTCTTTAGCGCCCTGGTGGCGATGGCCGTGGGTGTCGTGGTCCCCGGACCTGGACTCGCATATCCCGGACACGGACTTGCACTGCCCGGATTGCCGGGATTACCAGCTTATCCTGCGCTGCCAGCATTGGGAGCGCCATTGGCTAAAATTGCGGCGCCAGTTTATCCTGCGCTGACCAAAATTGCTGCCCCACTAGCTGTTGCCAAGGTAGCTGCTCCCGAGCCATACGATCCGAATCCACAATATAGTTTCAGCTACGATGTGCATGTGAGTATTACAAATTCAAATCAATTCAACGACCAGCTCATTAATCTGATTGACTTTGCAGGATGGTTCAACGGGCGATGTGAAGAGTCAGCAGGAGACACGCAGTGGAGACGTGGTCCAGGGTGCCTATTCTTTGATCGAAGCCGATGGCACCCGCCGCATTGTGGAGTACACGGCTGATCCGGTGCATGGTTTCAACGCTGTTGTGCATCGCGAGGGCGCAGTCGTTAAGGCTGTTGCGCCTGTGGCTAAGGTTCTGGCTCCTGCTCCACTGCTGCACGGTCCTGTGGTTGCCAAGCTTCCCGCCCTGGGACCAGTTTTGCCACATGGCTTGGGACCGGCACTGGCGCCTGCTTACCCCGGGCTTGCAAGGCTTCCCGCTCTCTCGCCTCTGGCGTATCACTAAGTCAATCCTTTAGCCACGATGCAGACCAACCGCTTTTGACGAATATTTGCCGCCAACCGACATTGCCGAACCGAACCCATGACGCTGCCATCAAAGGACACATCGCGAACTTATCCTCCACATGCCGTAGCGGTGCTGGTCGCTCCTGGTGTTGACCGCTACGCATGGGTCGATCGTAGATGATAGTTGTATTAGTATTAGTTCAAATGAAAGCGAAATCTACATATGAATTCATTCACCTTCCCCCTGGTCTCCAGCCGATGTTTCGGGTGATGGAACTAAACCAATGTGGGCCCAATGCTGGTCTTGACCTGGGTTTCACGTCCTCTCATCTAAAACCATTTCCACGCCTTTCATTTTTGTTTCTTGTCTTATTATTTGTAAGGCTGTTTGACCGCGATAAATACTTTTACCTAATTACACTTACAATTTTTATTATTTAATTGCGATTGTATGTACATAAATAATTGTTGCAATAAATGAAAAGAGGATTTGCACAAATTCACATGAATATTTTTTAAAATTCCTTTTGCCGACAATAGTGCACAACAACAATTTTCATTGGTCGATCTATGCAGACGTTGATGTAAGTATATTTCATTTATATACCCTCGTTACAATTTCGTCAAATCTCTTATACAAGTTCCTTCCAGAACATATTTAATAACATTTTTTAATCAGGCATGCAGAAGAAATTATTTCCTCACTTTCTTTAAATCTCTTACATCTGTTCATTCCAGAACAGATTTTATTAATATTTTAATCAAGCTGTGCAGAAGTAATTTCTTCTTGTTTTCCATTTATTATAAATCAACAATAACCGAAATAACCCACATTTAAAAAGCAAAATACCGTAACTACAAAATGGTAACACTATTAGTGTTTTTTTTTTTTTCATTTCCCGTCGAGCTATGTATTACTTATAAGTGGGGAGCAAAATGAAAATCGGTCGATCTATTTAATAATATTCTTTGGCGTGATGATGAAGCCCTTTCTTCTGCAATTAGGTGTTTAAGCTTAAACTGAAGCGGATAAGATAATTAAAAATAATTTATGCACATGCCACAAACTTGAACGACTTCTTGGCATTCGAATTAAATGTTTATTTGCGTACACAAATTCATTCTAAGTAATTAAACCTATCCAACATGCACTTTAATTCGACGATAGTGACGGCATCTGGTCTTGCCGTGAGCCAGATGACCTTAGACGTTAGCAAAAACGCGTTGGATAGTTGGCGAACAGCTTTAGAACTTTGGCTGTCAATGCAGTTCAACTTAATCGTTCAAGGCCCAGAGCGAGGCACGCACCCAGCCCAACTGCGTAATTCTAGGCGCGTATAGATATTGCAGAAATCGCCACAACTATTGTCTACGTTGGTTGCAGCAAAAATGAACCAAATTGTCAGTCGTTAAAGCAAGCGGAGCAATAAATCTGATTTTTTGCCCAACTAATTTAGTTCATCTACATCAGTTTCTAAAAAATCCCTAAACATGCAAGAACATGTCATGAAATTTAACTATTTACTGTTAAGAATATTTTTTAAACGTTCATTATGTGTTCATTTTGGGACTCAACGGAAATAAAAGAAGATTCTAAAAATATTCAGTTCGCTCGTAGAGACCCATGAGGCGATTCCTAATGTAGACTATATATTTATGCCCAAAGGGGGGTAAAAAGGAATACTAGCTTATGCTGAATGTTACATACAGATGGTGGCGTGGCAGACCTCACACACTATGTATTTAGTATAAAAATGTCATCAGAATAACAGCTTGAATAACTAACTTTATATTAATATTTCCCTAAGCCATAAACAGGTTTAATTTAACAGAAGTAGTTACAAATACATTTACGAGTATGTATATTTACTTGGCGACCCTGGGAGCAAGGAGTAGAAGTCAAGGACTGTAATCGTTATAAGTGTTATTATAAAAACAAGAAAGGAATGCTAAAGTCGAGCAGGCTCAACTCTTAAATACCCTGTACCACCGCACAAAAAAGTAATTAAATTAATTAATTAATTTAATTTAATTAATTAACTAAATTAATTTAATTAATTAACTAAATATTAACTAATTAAATGTAAAATATTCCATGCATGCATACATACATTTACATTTCCATCAGAATCGTGCCTTATGCGTGTTTGTGTACTTGCACATATGTATGTATGTGTGCATTGGGCCTGGTTATATGGCTATAACTTTCTTTCCGATCATTCTATCATAATGAAACTTGGTATACGGATATATAATTACTAACTGGATGTGTCTACCAAATTAGTTCAAAATTCCAAGAATTACGGGAGTTATAGAAAATCGTTAATAGGGGGGAGTGGGGGGGTGGATCAGAAAAAATGAACAAACTCGTCCTTTCTCGGTCTCAGGAGAATCTGTATACCAAGTTTGGTTGTTCTAGCTCTTATACTTTCGGAGATCCTTGCGTTCATACAGACAGACAGACGGACAGACAGACGGACATGGCTATATCGACTCGGCTTGTCATGCTGATCAAGAATATATATACTTTGTGGGGTCTACCAAGCCTCCTTCTGTGTGTTCCATGTGCACTCGCACAAAACTAATATACCCTTGTACCCTTTGGGTACAGGGTATAATTACAAAGCATGATTAGTTTTAATCTTATTCATTCGCTCCCCCTATAATGATTAATGTAGAGTTTTACTTTTCAACTTAATTAATAATCATTATTTTTTGAGCAAACAAATAATGATTATTCTTTTAAATTAATTTGATTGTCTAAAATAAACCTCAAGTTGTTGCAATAGAAAAATGATATTGGTAAATTCTTCGCTATGTTACTATAAGTGAATGATTATTTCGTTAAAAAAAAAAAACAAAATAATCATGCGGTCCCTGGTTTAAATCCATAGGCTCGCTCGTACTTCTAAATGAATTTTCGTTCGACATATTGAACATTTATTGAAAATAATTGAAAAAACATTCAAAACTGCAATTCAACAAATTCTTAGAACGCCATCTAACTTGTGGACTTATGATCAGGGATTTCACGAATAAATTTGTGTATTTTACAATATATTGTCAAAAATTGCAAGCACAAAAATTTGTTCATAATAAATTTGTTTGTTTTTTAGGCCAATTCATATGCAATCTGAATAGCTCATCAATTTTGTTGGTGAACATATAAATTAAACAGCATTTCTCTGCCGTTTTGTGGGTATTCGTGGAAGACCGCTTTTACGGAACCACTCGAACACACTCGTACTGTATAGACAAATCCAATTATGTGCATAATAAACATAGAAACGCACACACAACTTAAAACAAAAAATTATAAATTTGTTACATTTTCAATTGCATAACTGCCTTTTGTTGCATTCGACATTAGGCGTTTTGATGATTCAATAAAATTAAATTGTTATGTTAATCACACTGGGCATGAGTGGCGCTTTGTCGGTGGGTCGAAGATAATGGCGAAAGCGGTAGACACTACGGGTAGCTGGCGGGGCGTCGCATTAAAGAGCCCACGGCAACAAACGACTAAACAACAGCTCCCATTGCTGTTGTTGTTGCTGACGTTGACGATGATGCCTCTGCCACACTAATGAATAATATATACTTATTTGCTTGCATTTCAAAGCGAAATTAACGCTAGAGCGAGGCAGAAATACACTTTGCGCATGCCTGGTAATGTTTAAGTGTCCGGCACCACGCACATGTAAGTGAACGTTACGTTTGCAATTGTCTCAGGTAATTAAAATGCAGCATTTTAAACAATTGTGCAACGCGTCACAGCAAATAAAAAGTTTTGCTTAGTGATAGACTTACCCCATAAACCAGGGACCGCGCGGTCCATACAGATATCGTTTGGCGATTTTCCATTTCATCCGTATATGACTGTCCAACGTTTTCTGGTGCAGTGCTTCTGAATTAAGACGAGTCATCTCCTCGACCTGCCGTCGTTTCCAGTGCCTGTAGATTTTTTCCTAAAAAGTATTTTTTATTTATACTTTTGCCAGTTTCTTGTTGTTTTCTTGTTTTTGACCGACTTACTTGGAAGACGCGTCGATTGGCCGCCTGGTAATTAGCGCGCTGCATTGAGGCTGCTTTGCATGCTTCATAGCATTCGGCCCAGAAACGATTGATGGGCTCCCACAAGTTCAGCTCGATTTCACGTTGATAACGATCATAGAGTGGCTTAACCTACAAGAAAAACAAGAACATTGCATGAAAAACACGACATATAGTATAGCTCGCGAACAATTATTGGGTTTATAGTTTTCTTGGCGGCCCTATCTGTAAATAACTAGCTTCTCTCCTTTCATATGTTGGTCCAATAGTGGGATAAGTTCTATGTAGAAAAAACTAGTACAGAAAAATAAGTCTCATAACTTAACTTAACTTGGCGGCCCTATCTGTAAATAACTAGCTTCTCTCCTTTCATATGTTGGTCCTATAGTGGGATAAGTTGTATGTAGAAAAAACTAGTACACAAAAACAAGTCTCATAACTTAACTAAACTAAAGAACAATATTTTTCATAAAAACTAAACTTCTGCGTACTGTTTATTGGCGCTTACAGGACGTGTGATGAAATTGTTCTATATTGTCATTACGTTTTTGAATCATTCGACCTACATACGTATAGCTTAAATAGCTTTGAACAAAACTTCCTTGAATTACCAAAGCTATGTAAAAAAAAAGAAAGAAAAATACGTGCACTTTGTCAGGCTCTAAAGAAGTCTGTAGCTGTAACAGTTTTCGAGCAGATGGCATTTATCTAGACATAAAGATGGTTATACATGGTTAAATCGGCTTCTCATAAATACAGTCATGCATAAGAACTCCTAAACAATTTCTCAATTTTGGGTAGAGGTTATGCAGCCACAAGATGGTAGAGTGTGTAATATTCGGCTCATTTACATAACGTTTTCACTTTCATTATCTGAACAGAAACAGAGAGAGGTGCAAAGAGTAAACACTTGAACTAGTGCCAGATGCATCAGCCAGACACTGCGTCTTTGTGTTTCGCTCGAACGCTCTTCGTGCGACTCGCAGAAGCGCGCAGTCACGTCTCCAAGTTCAAGTTCAATGTGCATTATGCATGAATCGAAGCTACAGGAAGCCGTTGTTTTCCTTTTCTTTAAACTGCAAAATGCGTGGTGTACTGGGAGCCTGGTAAGTGTAAATTGGTTGGCAAACGCAAAGAGCTCATCTGAAAACTAGTTTTTCCTGAATACGGGCTTAATCTAATAATACAGCGCTGTATCTTTTCTCGAGTCAACTCATTGCGCATCTCATGCCTAATATGCAATTTAACGAAGCATCCGTGTTGTGGGTTCTTTGTTTGCTATTGCTATTGAGCTTTAGTTTCGAGCCGGTTACATAAGTTACAGCTGATTAATGAGGTTGGCGTGCCATCGTCTTGGGCCGAAAGCACCACCCGTTGATATCTACGCTTCGCAAGTTGCAAACGCGTACAAAGAAACGATAGTTCCAAGGCACTGGGCACATATAACCAGATTTCTAGTAAACATCTTTGGGCCACCCTTAGTGGGGGCCGTGTCTCAGATTGCGGCGTCAACGCGGCGCGTTTTGTCTTTCGACTGGTTCCAGCCACAATCATTGGCTGTGGCTGTGACTTCGCAATCAAACAACAAAACAAGACGACTTTCTTGGAGCACGCTCAGTCGCCGAAAGAAAGTCCAACAAGTCGTGAACGAGTGCGCGCATGCCTTCAACTAATATATCGACTAAGAGCTTGGAAAACGCCAAACGTTTCAATGAAAGTTTTCCATATTGCTGCTGTTGATATCGGTATTCGTTTTTATTATTTCACATAAATTATGTGCAATTTCTTTTGCTGGTGTGCTTTATTTGTAAGTTATTAAATAATAAACTACGCACATATGTATATATTTCCTTTGGAAAATCAATCAATGGTGCAACAGAAACTTCTCGAAATTCGATTAATATAGAACGGGCCAGTTACAATACAACGAATTACCAATACTTATAAGTACTATATATACGTACATATGTATGTACTACTATATACTTGTACATAAAAAAAATTCTCAACGTAGTACGCTCAATAAACAAATTCTCAATGCGATGCAAAATAAAAAGAATACTTTCTTTTCAAGCACTATAATAAAATACAATTCGCAAAATTGTAGAGGAGTCATTATTCACTTCAAGACTTATAATGCTTGACCATATCGAGATGAGATTAAGTGTTTACGCAAAAAGTGATAATTTCAATTGAGTTAAAGCAGCTTTGAAATGGTTATGAATGTAAATTAAAGATGACAAGGCTGACTAAAATGTGCAATGCGATTTCTTAACGTCTACCTTGTGAAAATATCCTTATAATTACAAATAATACCCAGCCGGAAAAAAAGACAAGTGAAAAGATGAAATAAAATATACATACTTAAGAATATGTGAATATCAAAGCATCAATCATTGTGGCGGTATAGTACATAGTCAGATCTGACGACAACTTTATTTTCGTTATGGGATCTAGTGTTTAATTGTAAGCGGATGAAAGCATAAAGGAACCCTAAACATAAATTTGAACAAGAAATTTGTTTGGAAATAGCCCGATCTAGCGCTTAGTGTCGTAGTCATTATAAAATGTGTCAGCGCAATGCATTAGGCTCGAAAAAAAATAGGGGGTATTATTTGTACTGAACTGAGTTCTTACAAATTTGTTGCTTTCGTGTAGACACCCATTTGTAAAGTTTTCCTTTTATATACATACTCGTACACACGTGAAACTAACAGACGGGCCTGGTAAATTTAACTTAATTTCTGGATAATTCCACACAACCTTGTTAATAAGAACAAGGATTTAGAGCAATTTTCCGATAGTTGTCGCGACTACCATCAGAGCCAGAAAAAGCCGCAACAGCAAATACAAATCACATTGCAATAGATTCCCACTGAACCTGCCTTGGTGGCTCTCGTTCAGGTTCAATGCTTTCCGCTTTAAGTTTAAGCCGTTTACCCAAAGCCATGTAGTAGCTGCCAAACAACCACACACACATTCAAGCCGTCCCATCTGCTGTATCTGCCTGTTTGTGACTGTTGTCTCCCAAGTCGACGCGGTTGCGTGCAGCCGTGGCGTACTCATTGTTGCATGCCACACTGCCAGGCGACGTCACAGTTGCAATCGCACTTGAAGTCGCAATGGTGGGTTGTTTGAGCTTGCCAATTACGGGAGCCTATTAAGGCTCGTGCATTACATATTTAGACGGAAGCACATGCGAATGTGCAATAGGTTGTACAATATCAATAATTGTATATGTACGACCAGGTATCGTATGTGCATGTATGCATGTATGTATGTGCGTGTCTTACCGCTGGCTCCCCAAGCGAACTGCCGACGCCAAGCAATGTTTTCGTGGCGCTGCTAAAAGTCAAAGGTCCATAACCCTCAAAAGAGTTGCAAAATTCAAGTTTCTTGTTATTGTTTTACTGTTGGAGAAAGCTGACGCTGTTATTTAATGCGCCAGTAGTAGTTCGTGACATAAATTGCTTAATTAAATGCCACAATGTCAGATCATTTGGTTACATATTGACGTGATGCCTCTCTCCATTGCAGCTTGCACTCCTGCTATCGGCGCAAGGCTCCAATGTAACGGAATCTGATACTGCACCACACGAGGCCAGCCATTTGAAGGGGGCTGGGGATCTGCAAGCTTCAGAAGAGCTACCCACAGCTTCAAAGCTGGTAAGAAGCAGGTATCGACGACAGCCCCCATATGCACTGCTCAAACACTCGACGCGGACTACAAAACGCTCCAAGTTGCGGCGCCGTATCAAGGCGCCCAAAATCAAGTATGGACCACCGAACTTTAAACACGGCGAGCCCATATCCTATTATAAGCCCAGCTTACCAACACATAGTGCAGGGCCTAGTTTCTCCATTGACGATTTTCAACACATAAAGTTCGATGGAAGTGACTTTAGAATAGATCCATCCAGTTATGAGGGTCAATCGATGGACTTGGATTTTTATAATCATGAAGATCTGTATGGTGCGCATAAGTTTCCCAGTCTAGAGTATAGTTTTGAAACAGGTCACGAGTCCCCGCCGAAGAGTTCCTATGATCACACTCCTCATCAAAAGTACGGCATTCCACCAGTGCAGCACAGTCCGAGTTTCGGTAGCTATGAAAAACCGGAGTCATTCGTAACACAACATTATCAGGCACCACCATATCTGCCACCACCAGCCTCGCAGAACATTCCATCTACTCGGTATGGAGTTCCAACGGGTCCAGTAGGATCTGTGCATGCGCCAGCGTTCACCCATGCGGACGCACCTCTCGATGACTATGCGATGATCTATGAACCCAAAATACCAAATACAGGTTACCATCACTTTGCTGAACCACCTGCCCCCGAGCCGACTCAAAACACAAATTACGAGATTTCGCATTCTCCACCAGCTTATGAAATTAACACATCCTTCCAAGCTAATAGTCCACAGTATGGACAAAATTTCCAGCCACCACATGCACATGGCGATTCGTATGTAGAGCTGCCCAAACATCCTTCCACATATGCCCAACCACAGCCACCTGTTCAGAGCTACCCAGAACCGCAACCGTCCGCTCCGAACTATCCCCACGAAGACTACGCGCCACCCTCACAGGAACTACCGTTGAATCCAAACCACAAATTTCCGAGTTTCGATTTCCCCAAATCCAGCTATGAAGTGCCTATTTATGACCCAATACCTTTTGAGGCGTCCAACAAGGATGAACAGGAGTCGTATCCACCAATACTAGAGCAAGGTCAAAACTCCAACGAAGGCCTTACTCCAGAACACAGCCTAAATGAAGTTCAAGTTAGCACCCCAGATGCACATCCTGCAGGCAGTTCTAAGCAAAGCACAAAAGGAGTAGCGCCCCATCAGCGGCACAAGCGTAAGAGGGTGCGCGGCCCTCCTTCTTCTGCTGTAGTGCCCACAAAACACACACTAGATGTTCCGGAGCTACAAGAAGCCTTCGAGACAGAGCACAGCTATGGGAAGGATGCCGACACGAACGAATCTCATTACGTTGAGCATAAACGAAAGTTGGTCAATTACGTGACTACAACATCTACTACACCAGCTCCATTAGCAGGCATTCGAGGGGGGCCATGGAATCCAATGCGCGTGCGGACTACGGCAAGTACGGCTTTTGTTCCGACGATTATAACTAGTACGCCGGCACCTTCAACCCGTACAGCTAGTCGTGGCCGACAACGAGCCTCCTCTCGGTATCGCACAACTCAGACAAATCGGGATGTTGCTAACACTCCACAAACCGATCATACCGCCTCATCCATTGTGTCTATTCAAAAGTCACACTCAAAGAGCTATTACGATGGTACGATTGCGCCCCCCACCTACCAGCAGCAACTAAATACGCACGGGGCACATGGACCACGGCCAAATCATGGACGTGGATCCGTTGCTTATCGTTCCACCGGGGCGGTGACTGAGTTCCCTAGGCAAACCACGAAAAGCGTGTTTGATACGACTTACTTTAAGAGCCCGCACAACGACAAGAAAATTGAGCGGAAGCTCAATGTACTCCATCAATTCTTGCCAAAAAATCATAAACTGTATTAGAACCTTATGAGACTTTTATAATCGTATGCGTTAAGTAAAGAGTATTTTTAAATAAAAAATTCAAATTCCCAATCGATTGTGTTTTGAAAATAAAAAACATTTTATAAATCCCCAGATAAACAAAACTATGTAATACTTACCACTCTTTCGATAAATACTCTCCACTTTTTACTGGTACTATACATTTGAAAGTCATTGAAGAAAACTGGCCCAGACGATGTTGATGGTAAGTCTGGCAGATTCACATCTAGACTGAAAGGGGAGCGACATTTTTCTAATAACGCCTTCATCACTGGCATGAGGAATGAATACTCCTCAGGATTACCGACTGAAAGTAGAATTTGTTATTGGCTGATAACGAAATTTTTAATTAACGATCAAACTTACCTTCGATAGCATTGTCAAGCGCTTTGTTAATGCTGTATAAGAGGTAGGATAGCTCATTTGGATCATCTGTTGATCGACTTTGCAGTATCGCATGAAGTTTGGCAGTAGCCATAGCAACAATGCCGGGATTAGGGTGGAGTGAGCACTTCAGTAATAGGCCAAGGCAAAGGCGAATCATATCCGACCAATCATCTGATGAGCCCTGTTGGAATATCATCAAAGCATCCAGTAAAGCTAACACACCATCCAGCAATTTGGTCGAACATTTCTTCGACTCGTCTTCATTAGATCCCAGAACAACGAGCTCGTATACCATCCGTAAAATATGCGATGCATTCTTAGCAACAAAATTGAATAATGAAACCAATGATTACATAAAATTATTGCCAAACGTACTTCCTGATTAATCAAAGTTTGGCTTCCATGCTCGGAGAGATCGAAGAGCGACGCCTGCACGGCCATCTCCAATATGCGCAGACGTAGCGATAAATGTGAGGTGATCAGTTCATTATTTAAAGCCAGCAAATTTATGCAGCCCAGAACTTGACCACGTTCTTTCCAGCACTGCGGATGATCGTTACCAATACCACGCCAAAATATATTGAATAGCGTGTTGGATACAAGATAAACTAACTGTTCTTCGGTATCAACATCACCATCGGCCACAAAATCAAAGGCTGAGGTGCTCTGCGAAAAAAAAAACGGTAATTATTTCTGAGGCTTAGATAATACAAGTTTTTGCAATTTAACCTCCATCGAATCGTTTATTTTTGCCAGTGCCGGTGATTGTGTGGAGCTTTCGGAGCTGACTGATTCCGTACGCTGCAGAGATACATTCTAAAAAACAGAAGAGGTTTGAGGGAGGATATACAATAATTCTTCATTCAATTTCAAGACGGTTCAGAATACAACATGCCCCAAGGCGCCATGACTCATAATTGTCAAATTTGGACTTCGGACAGGTTCCTCTCTTTAGATGGTATCTGAGCTTGAAATTTCCTTTGGAGTTTTATTTGTCTTACCGAGACATCAGTTTCTGTGGAAGTTCCCAAGGTCAGCGACTCGAAGGTGTCCTGTATGTCGTGTGTGGTTTGTCGTATAACCGAAAATACACTATTCACGTTCTCCACCACAGCGCCTGAAACAGATTCGGCCAGTTCTGAAAGCAGTATAACAATGGGCATTACAGTCGTTAAAGTGGAACCGGGATAACTTACCCTTAATTTCGCTTTCAATTACCGTGGCAGCCTCGGAAACGCTAGCCTGAATTTCATTTAGCATAAGGCCACTCTCATTTTGATCGTCCTGCTGCTGCTGTTGCAGCTGAGCTAGGCTTATTTCTTGATCAGAAAATGTTATTAGATCAGCTTGTGCCAAGAAACTCGAATTGTCCTCCAAAAGTACGTCCATGTTTATTCCAAAGCTTCGACGTTTCTCTTCGTCAGGTTGTGTGCTAGTAATGGGTTTACGAATCAGCAACCGCGCTATGGATTCCTGCCATCCTGTTTGTTTAGCTATTGCGACCGTGGCATGCTGTTTGACAAAAGTCGTTTGTAACAGCCGCTTTGCGATCTCCAGCTTTACTTGCAGGTCACAGCTGCTGACATGGTAGACCAAAAACATGAGGCCGGCATAGTCCGGCTGCGCGCCAAGCATCTCGTCTGCCATGTGAAATAATATGGTAGAGCTTAGGGACATGGGCGTAATAAATGAGAAGAAGCCCGGAAACATGCTCTGATCACTGCTCTGATCATATAGGCGCAATACCTGTTTGTACTTCTGTTGAACACGCGACGTTGATAACAGACTGCTGATAAACTAAAATAAAGCGTATTTGAGTACAAGTTAAAGCTATGTTGGTAGTTAAACAACTTACCCGGACGACGGCTTCTTGAATCTCAGCTGTGTAGCATTTGTCCACAAACATATTGTACAAAAGGTTCGCGGTCTGCGGCTCGTGCAGCAATAGTATCATTTGATCCTTGCAATTTTTAATTCGCACAAAGAACGTCATCATTTCCAAAAACTCGACGAGTACTGGCTCTGCACGCACTGATGCTAGGAAGGCAATCATTGCATTCACCTCCTTGATATTGACATCCTTTTGTAAATAGAACCGGACAATGCTAAATAAGGTAGCGCGTATGGTCTTGGCATCGTCGCTCGTTACATTGTCGGGGGTACTGTAGTATTGACGCACAACATCTAGCACATATTGGACTCCGTAGCGCTTGCGAAAGAATTTCCGATCGTTCTTGATCATGGCGCTGAGATACTGCGCATGGGCAAGAGTTATGTTAAAATGCAGGCGGGACCAGATGGCGAAATTAAAGACAATGTGCGCATAAAGCGCATCCAACAATAAGCCATTGTGAGTGCCGATGGATTTGTGTGCCTGCAGGGATTCCATTAGCAGATGCGTTGCCATCAAGGAGTTTACATCGAAAAGCGTTGGTGGACATTTTTGCAACATGGTGCCGATAATGCCAAGGCATTCGCTGTTCAGCAAATGTTCCTGATTGTTGTCGTGCTCGTGAACCAAATAGCGCAGAAAGCACAGGAAACTGGCCAAGGGGCTCTGTATCATCTTCCATTCGGTGTACGAATTGGAAGAGAGCATTTCCCAGTCGGTGAACTCTTCTGCCGAGGGCGTCTTTAGCGCCTCTGTCGAACTGGGCGATGCTTGTCGTTCCGACTCATCGAATGATATGGTAATGTCGGGTTGTTCCTTTACCAACCTATGGAGTATGGGTAGGATTGCATTGATGCCACCGATGCTGTTAATAGTGTCCTGTATTTTGACGACCTTACAGGACTGGGCGTGAACACGACCAGGAAACCTTCCACCTGGTATCAGATCCTGACAATAACCGTTCCAATAGGCACCAGGCGCATAGCAAAACACAAAACGCGAGGTAAGCTCAAGCAGATCATTGTCTTGTGAGAAGATTGAGCTGAAATTCATTCCGGCATCAAATATGGTTTTCAAATTGGTAGTCGGGTCGGCCAACAGCACACCACCGATATGTCCCTGCAAGCAAGACCGCTCGCCGAAGACAGTGTCCTGCATGCCAATCGGAAAGTTCTTAACATTTGGATCAAATGTCGTCTGTGTACGCATAGGCAACGTGAAGTAGTTGGAAACCTAAAAGCAACAGACATTGATTAACCCAGAAATTAATCTTTATTTTCTTTATGCCACTCACATTCGTGGACAGTGTTCTCTCCAGCAGACTGGGTAGCATGCCCTTGTAACTGTGTCCAGTTTCCTGTGAAGAGGAACGCGGCATGGTACCTGCTGCATGCGTTCCTTCACTTTGTCTGGTTGGTGCGGCCATTGAACCAATTGAGCAAAAGGTAAATGGCTGTAATACATTGTTTTATTAGTAATTTCTAGAACTAACTAATAAATATTGTTTTTTAATCACTTACTTCATTTACAGCCTGCACTTTCAGTGTGGCGCTTAGCTTTTGCACAAAGTCAACGTAGATGTTTATCTGGCTATACGAGAATGGTCTTTTTGGTGGCGTTATGGCAACTGTTAGATAATGCCACTGTCCATCTAGCAATGTCTTTGTAGTTATGGCCGATGTGAGATACTCGCGTTTGGTGAGTGCAGCAACAACAACATTTCCATTGGGCTGCACAAAAACCTCAAACCCACAACCTCCACCGGTCTGCAGGCTGAAGCACACCCACGTGAAAACGAATATAAGAAAGGGGAAGTCTTAACTTACTTGAGTAACATGCGTCGGTAGTTGTGCTGCTCTCTAGTCGCTAATTTGTCAGAGCTTTGTTCGTTGAACCTCACAAGTATGTGAAATATGAAGCCATAGGAGCCAGAAATTGTCCAGTTTCTTATATCAGGCACTACGATGCCATCGTGTGGTCGTTCAATGGTGAAATATTGCGAGCATGAGTTGGCGTTCCGCAAGCTTTGCAGCGATATCACGACTAGGGTCTGTCAGGATTATATTGTCTTCATAATCACAGCATATATGTATTTTTTATAAGTTATAATCTAACCTGTTGTAACTGTTTGCTTTGTGCAAATTTCGAGCCTTGACGCAGTAGTGCAAATATGCACTTCAGCTCAACGGGCACAATGCTAACCTTACTCAATTCTTCAATAAGCCTGATTATATTCTGTATGGCCGCTTCGCTAAGTACGTCGTATCGCAAGAGGCAAGTACAGGCCGCTTTGATAACGCGGCTGCCACAAGCAATGTTTTTGCTGCAACATGAAATAAGAAATTAAGTTTTACATGTACATGCATACATATTTTGGCATGGAGTTCAAATACTTACGTTCCGTAATTGTCTGTGCATGCTTTAAGAACAAGTGCACTGACATGCGTCTGTTCAGGCTCATGTAGCTCAGGCAGCCAATCCAGCATCTGCAATATAACTTCGGGCAGCACCAAAATATGGTTCTTTGCGCTGTAACCCAGTCCAATGCACGAGTCCAACAGACTCTCAGGTGGCGGACCCAGGTCACGTATGCTGCGAAACACCTTGTCAATTCTACTGCCTGTCTGCATTTGATCAGCTGTGCGTGGCGAGCACGTTGATATGGCAGCCAGTGCGTTCACTGTGCTACACAATACAGTGGTGTGTGAGATGTGCCACTGCTTGATGAGCTTGGGTATGCTGACCAGTAAATCCAATAGGCTAGTTTCATTGATTGCGTCGCACACAATGGCCTCATTGGACGCATCTCCCAGGAATATATGCATTGTTCCCACTGTTGCTGATAGCGCATTCATATCAATGGTCACATCGCTAGTTTCGCTGTCGCTGGCAATTTCAAAGTTTGCCACTCCGCTGTCAAAGTTTGTCGTCGCCAGCAACTTCCGCAGCACATCACAATAATGTTGGATTAAGGTAACTAGATCTATTTGGCGCTGTAAAAGAAATCCAATAAAAATGTAAGTGTTGTTATTAACTTATGGACTAATTGACATACTTCTTCAGGACTAGATTTCTGCAATACGATAACCATCAGTGCGTAACAGTGCAGGGCCACTGACCGTAAGCTGCCCGCACACTCCCACTGTTCCAATATTCGCATGATGATCGACACCGTCGCTGGGCAAATGGCACGCATGCCATTGCGCTATATGAGGGGAAATGCAATATTAGTTAGCTATTAGGACAGATAACATGACATTAACAGGACATCAACAAAGAAATATGATCTTGGCATTGCGACAGACGACTAAATACATACAAAGCATTTACCACTCACCAAGTTATCACAGCTTAAAAGTAGCCCATCACCAACAGAAAGGGCATTTGAAGAAGTTATAACGTTAGTAGTATTTGTCGAAGTCGAATTTATAGTTTTCTGTAATTTGGTTTATACATATTCAATAGAAGGCACTTTAGTGATTACAAGTTTACAAAATGGGAACGAAAGCGCGTCACATTAAACAATGAGATGAAGTAGATTGATATTACATGTTTGATGCTTGCATGATATACAAACTTAGGTATTCGATGCATAAGGTACATACATACAGAAAGAAAAATTAAATGATTAATAACAAAACTATACTATTGTTACAGCTGTAGCCAACACATTACAGCATGATAATACCTGCGATCCACAAATAACTGCGCCAAGCACATGCAGCAGACTTTCACCGATATCGGCAAATTTGAGCAACGCTTCGTTCTGAAAACAGTCTACAAACGGAGAAGAACAACTTAATAGCAATTGAAGTACATAATTAAAACATTCTTACCATATATAAATGGCACGATCTCGACGTGCACCGCATGTGGCTTATACGATAAGCGACTGTAGTCTGCGATTATGCCACGCAAGAAACTACGCCACGTTAGGTAGGGATCGTACATTACCTCGAGAAACATTGAAAAACTGCCAAACAAATGAGTCATAGCAGCAGAAGCTTTTTGTTGTTCCATTTGCTGTAATCGCAAACAATAGATAAAGAGTGGCATCCAGATGAAAATAGCTTACTTACTGCCTTGAAAACCCCACTGAGTATAGCGATTAGATTCGGTTTATACTCATATGTAATAATGGACAAAATGTTGTCAAAGTGTCGGCACACAATAACTAGGCAGTCAATTAGAATTGCGACCTCTTCAATGGCCTCTTCCTTCAGCGTATCCTACGGCAAAGGAAACCTCATGAGCAACACTTCTTAACCATACTATGTATCTTACCCTTTCACAGCCGTCTCGTGCCACTATAATAAACTTTCCAATGGCCGGCAGTAGCTCATCGGGCAGCCTTCCCAGATGTGGGCCACTATCCGTTTGCACTTCATTCCATAATGGACAATCTGTGGCCTGGAAGTCCAGTTGCAACTGACTGCGCCAAATGGCGACAAAACGCGCTACGAATTCCCGAAAGTACGTCTCGTCATTCTGTACGCAGAAAATATTAAAAAGGGAGAACCACAAATGAGAAAAGCGGAGGCTTATAAGCAAGCAAGCGTTACTTTGATTATATAATAGGCAGGATATATTACATACGTTACAAATCTTCAACGCATACATTAAACTGCATTAGATGCATATCGTACACAAAAATAATTTTAAATATGTGTGTATTTGCGATTAATAACAGAAACACGCCCTCAACACCCGCATCAGCAGGTCGATGGAAGCACGTAGGAGCTATATTTCCGTAGCTAAAGCTTACCTTGGTTGTGTACTGCACCCACAAGTTGTAAATGTCCTTCTTATTGTCCATTTTATACGCCTCAGCTCTGCGCTATCATTTGGTTAACTTCCGGCCTCAGGTTGCACACTTTTTACATTCAGATTTTGCAATATTTTTGTTTACAAGCAGCAGCAGCAGTTCTTAAACAACAAGAGTGGGAGCGAGGGTGAGGGAAGCAGAAAGGGTTGTCAGCGTAGCGGAAGCGGCGGCAGCGTTCACTTTTGCTGACCGGTAAAAGCAAGTAACCAATTGTCTCTACCGCAGTATTTTAAGAAAGAGGCCCTCAAATGTTGTCGGGCGTCGCTCGTACTTAAAGTATGAATAACTATTTTTGTTGTACTGGAGCGAATGGTTCATTGATTCACTGGTTCGTTCTTGCCTCAGCTGGCCACGAACTCTCTGGATATCGGTAACACTGGCATTAAACAGCTGTTGAGAGACTCTATTCATGTTTTTAGCGAGGGTAGATTTGTAAGAATATCACTATTAACTGAACATAGCTTACTTTGCATTAAACATACATATTTATATTTCTGGTGCGATTGAACTACAAAAACACTTAATTTGCAAAATGTAAACAAAAATAACAATCTGGCCAATCAATATCAATAAATTATAAAATATACTTTTTAGGTAACGGATTTAAGATATAGCTCTTATCATATTTATATACATATATTGTCTATATTTATTTCAAGTATATTTTAGGTAGGGAATTATAAAGCGAATTGATCGATTTTCAACAGAAGAGTGAGTATATATAATATAAAATGATGTTATTAATTTCTAAAAGAATGAAAAACGTGCTAAATATGACGGTATTTTGCATATTTATTAGGGATACAATATTTTGTAAATTTACATGTTATAAATTGGATATACATATATAAATGATAAATATAAAGGAATTAATTATTCATTGAGTTGTAATAAGCAGTTGATAGTAGTTGCTTTGTTTCCATTGTTCGCCTCGAATATGGTTCGCACCACTTGTTCATCCATATTGGGAAACATCTCTCGCACCTGAAGAAAATCTTCGTTCGAGAGAGCAATCGGTTGAGGAGGAGGAGCCTGTTGATACATATTTGCTTGATGAACCGGTGTTAATACTATCGGACGTGCGTTAGACCCAACAAGAAATGATGTTCCGGCAATAGGATACGTGAATGGCTGCAGAGAATAGCTTAGAACAATGTCAATTGATCCCTCTTGCCCTTCGCCTTGTTTGCCAGACAGGGCATACGTCCCTTCATGAGTCTTGCCTTGGAATAGAGTTTCTGGTATAGGTACGTCAGCCCAGGCGATCAGCTCGTCCATTTTAAAACTGCATTCATCGTATATTTCGATGTGAATTATTTCAATTCCTGCCGTAAGTTGACATTGAATAGCGCGATTCCAGTAGGGATTCTTTCCACCATTCTGAGATGTTTGTGTTTCGTACACAAAATTGCCAACACGTATACGGACGTAAGGATCCATTCTGGTTATGCCGTAGTTCCGAGAAAGTTTTGCTTGGACACAAGTAATGAGCAGTCTACCATAATGACTAGGTACCAAACACTGAGCTGGATAAGGATTCCAATTAGCATTTGCTGCTGCTGGTGTTGGTTGTACAGAAGCTGCATTTTGTGAAGGATCGGCTGATCCAATTCGCAGAAAATCTTGTGAAAGCTCTCCAACACGAGCCTGTTTCCACCGGTCTGAAACTGATTCAATGCTTGTAATTGCAGCCATATTAGGCACTGAATTCGTATTAGCTTAAGGAATTTTAAAAAATACAACACTTATTAGATGTGGAAGTTCGATGAGTGAGCAATAAGCCAAAGGAGTGTTGGTGTGGGAGGGGAAGCACAAAGGGTTGTCAGTGGGACGCTGACGGCGACTCCGACGGCGAGTTCGTTGCTAATGCTGCTGGTTAGCAGCCGTTTATATAAATATTTGCGTAATATTTGCGCAGTAAACTATTAACAAGCTACGGCGCCGCAAACGTTGTTTGTTGATTAAATTAGTGTATGAATAATTATTCTGATGAGGTCGGAGCAAATGTAGTTCACCCGTTCGCGTTTGTAGCTATCTCATCAGACGGTGACTAGGGCAACAAATAGCGGCAACACTGGCGCTGAACAGCTGTTAAGACTTACCCGGCTATGAATAGGTAACGGCGCAAAATTGTAGTCGAAGGTTGCCAGACCATTGCGCAATAAAAATAATTTTGAAAATGTTGGCGCCCTTTTAAACCGATCAAGACAATAAAGACGATATACAATTTGTAGGCTGCTAAATGCGTATTTATTACGAGATTCTTTTGTATTTCGTTTTTGCTTATCGCTTCTGTTTCAATTCTAGTAGCATTTGTTTGTTGTTATTACATGATTTTAGCTAGTAATTAGTTGCGATTGTTGTTTCTTTTTTCTGTGATTTTATGCAAATATCCCTCATTAAAACAAAACTTAGTGTAAGCTATTCATGGTTAAACGCTAGTATCCTTAGTTGTTCACCATAGATTAATAATACGTAAGTGTGCAAATGCTTCAACGAATTTTAGAATTTTCTTATCGATTTGAAGAGTTTTTCTGTAATTTGCTTTGTTTTTAGTTTTATATAAAAAGGAAAGTTTATTGTATTAAATTTAATTCTAAATAAATATGATTTTAATGTAAATGTATTTACTTTATTTTCTGAATAGCTTGAACCATTATTAATCAAGACCTATAAATATTTATTTTTTAAATAATTATTTCCTTTATTTTTTAATATAAATCTTAATAAAAATTATTATGTAGAAGAAAAATCTTTTGCCTCTGTTTCTGTTAGTTAAAGCTGTGAGTTTTTATCCGCATTAATTAGAAGGATAACAATTTATTTATAATATAGCTTTTAGTTTATTATTACTATTAGTTTATAAATTAATTACATATGCTTTTGTTTTGTTTATGTTTCATTTGGAGTAAGAGGCAAATGAAGCACTTGTTTTATGCATTACGTTAAAATCTTCAGCGCCCCGATCTTTTGATCTTTCGTGTAAATTATTTGCAATTTTCATATTCGTGACACGACGACTGTTGCGAATAGAAAAATAATTTAAGTAAATATTTGTAAATATGTATGTGTGTATATTATTTGCATTTCCCTTTAAAATACGTAGGTATGTATGTATATACTTTTGTTGCTGTTATTGTATTTGTACCAATCAAAGTAACACTTCAATGCCAGTGTCTTTGTGTGAAGCAGCTCCTCAGTTTTCCTAAATATTGCAATGTATTGTATTCATGCATGTATGTATCATTCGAGTAGTTAAATCCATATCGTGGTTTTGGTATATTAATACATAATTGTAGTTAGCTTTGAATTGGATGTGTCAATCGTACTCCTATGAGGGCGTGTATTTGAATGCGTATGTGTTTATTCTGTTCGTGTGTGATTAGCTGTTTTAAGTTGTTTATAAATATTTGTGGTAAATATAATCTATCATAGTTTTGTCTCTGAAGGTATTCAGGTTCGGTCGCATTTACATGCATTGTTGTCGATTGTTTATCTTAAAAATAATTTTTACTAGTGTTCTTGTTTTGCTTGCTCCACACATATTTGTAAATCTAACTTCTTGGATGCCCTAGGACTCCAGTAGAGGCTCATTTTCCGAATCGGAATCTAACATTTTCCAGACCATGCGCCTGACGTTTCAGACTGCCGCTGTCGGCCCAGGAGGAGTTGAGATACTCGTCGTCATCGTCTTGCTCAAGTTTCTGAAAGTAATCAAAAAAAAGTGTTTAGTTTTTGTTTTGTTTTAAAAATAAATTCTCAAGATATATTATTTTACTCTCAAGCAAATGGTTCTAACGTGTTGTAAAACTAAGAATATTGTACCCTTCAGAATAGAATAATTTTAAGCATTGAGCTAGTCTCGTATACTATTCTACAAAATCTGAATTCGATAAAATGTTTGTTGGTCCCTCTATGAAAGACTCATAAAGACTCCAAGATAATTGCTTCATAAATATTAAGATGTAAGATCACATATTGGGAAAAGGCTTTTGTTGAAACGCAGAGCTTACCCTTGAACAGAATTTGATGTGGATAGGACACCATTCTCCAGGGAATCTCTGGATAATTCGTCTGCCATTTGAACTTTTAGTTGGTGTCCAAATGAGTTTATCTCTGAGTTGGGCGTTAATTGTGATCCCACCGGCGATTGTGTCATATATGGCCCGGGCGTGGCAACTGAGCCGCCCTGGGATATTGAAGTTGTCATGCCGGCACCACCGTTTGGCAGCACACCCTCCAGACAGCTGTCGTTGGTCGTGGAGTCCATATTAATAATTTGACTGCCGGCAACATTATCCGCCAAGACAGCTCCATCGCTATCGTCTACAGCATCGATATCATCGATATCCATATCTTCGGCATTCTTGTCGAGGGGTGCTGTCTCCTCGTCTTCGTTGTAAATTTTGAAATAGGCGTATGTTAGGTAGATGACCGATATAATGAACGAGGGTATCGGAATAGCCATCGAGTAGACGAGATTCAGTGTGTTCTGCCAGTAGTCTAAGTCACTGATGACTAGACTGGGATCCACCTTCGAATAGTAGCAGGGAAACTTTATCCCGATCTTAGTGTAGCGCTTCAGCCAAATGGTGCAGTTGAGCATGGGCGGATAGCCACAACCCTTGACGTTTGGAAATAGGCGTGCTCCTATGTAAAAGTACATAGAGTTATTGCCCATCAGGCCCTCGTTGAGCTCCGATATCTCATCGAACGGGCGCCGTTCCCCATTGATAAGGGTGCCCGTCGCGCTAAGACTGTGCGCATCGTCTGAGTCCTCGATCAGAAAGCCATTGGAACCGTCGGCGTCACCAAAGTTCAGCTGCTCCAGCCGACCGCCAGCCATGCCGACGTCCAGATCACTACCATCTCCACCCAGATTATCGTATTCGTAGTCCCGAAGCGCTCGCTCATAGCGATCTGTGCGTTTCACCGGCGGTATTACGCGTTCCGCCTCCTTAAGATTAATGTGATACTCCGTGAAGTTAAACTCATCGGTGTAGTTGTAGAGATTTAAACGATAGTTCACCCGTATTTGGGTGCACGTGTAGATGTCCTTGGTGCAGCCTTCGCGACATGAAGACCAAGAGCAATTCTTGGCGCCGTAGAATATCTCAGTGTCGTAGGTTTCACAGAGCGCCGGCACTTCCTCGAACTGCATAAATATGGTCGTGAAGGCGGGTTCAATCACAAACGGCACCAAGAAGAGAAAGGCGAACATGCTGAATGTGCCCAGCAGTATGAAAAAGGCTGTGGTATAGAAAAGCAGTTTCTCCTTGGTGCTGCGTATCTCACGTTCATCACCCATCGTGTGATTGGACCGCTTCGCGTTGGACTTAAACGAAGGTCCTCACTATGCGTGTCTATAATTGGCTGACCCTCTCTATAAAGGGCGGGCAGGCGGCGCTGGTCTGGTACCAAAATATTCCAAAAAGTATGAGCGAGCAGCGTGTGTTATCCTTAGTAAGTTAAGTGTACGTTTGTGTCCTAGGCGATTCACAAGTGGCGTGCAGTGGAACAGGAGGAGGTATTTACATACGTGTATCAGTATGCTATATATGTGTAGATTAGATTATGCCGTGCCAAGAACTTTAGAAATTTATTTTTTATATATATATATATATATATATATATATATATATATATATATATATATATATATATATATATTTTTTGTATTTATAATTAGGCGACGCGTTATTGATAGGCTATTATTAATTTGTAATGCTAGGTTCGATTCTGGTTTTAATGCTTGTATTACGATATTTTTACGAACTACGTGTAAGTTGAGACTTACGATTACGGTTACAATTACGATTACGGTGCAGTTATATCACAGGGAAAGTTCGATTTCGCGTTTTGGATTCTCTTTGTTAGGGTTTGCTGTTTTTTTTTGGTATTGCTTGATCTCTGTCTCTCTCTTTGCCTGCATTTCCGGCTGCTCGCTCTTGTCGCTGTCGTTGTCGTTGTCGTTAGCTCTGGCGGCAATCGCAGCAGGGCAATGGATCCATGCCTGGCTAATGGCTTGACGCAACGCTGCAGCTGTGCGTCAGTCGATTAGACTAAATGTCCCTCGCAGCGCCGACAACGATGAGTAGGACGACGAAATGGGTTTTTGTGCTTCAAACTCAGACAGTTTAGTGGGCGGCAGCGGCAATGGCTTCGGCAACACGCATAGTGGGCTCACAAATCCTGTTGTTTAAGGCGCGTATAACAGGCTTTAGCAGTACTTGGGTTATTGGCAGTGGGCCCGTCCTCAATCCGCACACATGTGGGCGTCTGTGTGTATGTATATATGTGTGTGTGTGAGTGAACCTTTTCTAATTGCTTGATGCGTCCCAGTGGAGTTCTTTCGTCAGCATTTGCCGTTTTGTGACCCCTCCTAGCTATCCTGCTGCTGCTGCTGCTTTGGCTTCTTGATTATTTTATGACTGCGGCAAAGGCTGCAACACACACAAATATGTGTGCGTGTGTGTATGTGCGTGTGTTGCTTGTCTGTGCGTGTGACTAAATTTGAATGAATACGTTGCAAATGCTGCTGTTTTCCTTCCTTGGGCTCTCCTATCTGGTAGAGTTAAAAATATGATGGACGGACGATTTTGCGTTTGCTTTTGGTTTTAGATTTCACTTTGCGCTCAATCTTCTGCTTAGCCACGTGCGCGACGACGAACATTGCGAGACTAATAAATACAGTTAGTTGCTGGTGCAGCTTCGCGTAGGCAGGGGACAGTTGTGCTGAGCCCCGCTATGGGCAGATTGTAAAGCTCGCCGCCTATGTTGCACATGCCTGTGGCTTATTTTTAAAAATCAACAGCAACTGACCCGTAATGTTGGTGTCGTTGGCAACGGGCCCACAGTGTAGCTGCTGCTGGCGGCAATGTCAATTGGTGTTATTTTTATGTAACCTCAGAAACGCTAAATACTAGCGCAGTTGTTTATTTTGTTCAGATCCGACACCGACACCGACACCGACACCTCGGGGTGATGAGTGGTTTAATGTTTTCTTGTTTTATTTTTGTTCTTCATCGGCAATGACCATTGTTGTTTGTCGTCTAATTTGCTGCTCTCAATGGACAAAAACATGAAGGGAATGCGAGCGATGCGACAACACTTCACAAAACTAAAACGCACGAGCGACTTTCTTCGTTGTCCTCGTGGCTCTGTCCTAGGGCTCTCGTGCAAAGTATTACGAAACGGAAACAACGTCAACACCGCACTCACACTGCCAGGCACAACACTTCTAGCTGGTAACTGGCAACTGCCAACTGCCAACTGGCAATTGCTAGCTCCAATTTGCTGTTACTGTTGCCGCTTTACACGCACGCACACAAAGCTGCACAGGCACAATAGCGAAGGGAAAATGGCAGCGGCTTGTCTAAATAATATACTTCTTTAGCATGGACACAAAAAAATACAAATAAAAATAAAAATGCAGCAGTGCTGCTTGTGGGGCAGAGCGGCAACGAAAAGAGAGAGAGCAGCATGTAATTTTCAATTCATTTGGCACAGCCACATTTTCAACACACTCACAAGCGTGTAGGGGGTTTGTGTATGTGAAGAGTGGGGCCAAATCGACATTATGCGGCAACTGCTGCTCCTTCTGCTCCACAAAGTTTGCGGATAGAGAGTGAGTGTGAGCGCGCCTTGAGGACTCCCCGTGCTTTGCACGAAACGATTTTTCATTTGTTTTCTGATTCAATAACTGGCTGGGAAGCCTGTCGTGAGAAATCACACAAACACCCAGCAGTCCGGAATTTTGGCATAGGCCCTTTTTTGAAATCTTTTGTTTTTGCTACCATCGATGTTGTGCTTGCTGCTTACATTAAAATAATTATTAAGCCAGCCGCTGCTAGCCGCTAGCCTGTGTATGTTTTAGCGTTGCTTTGCTTGTGTGTAGAAGTATGTTGGCCGTGTGCGTACGTGTTTACTCAAGGTTCAGGTTACGCGGCTAACGATTACGCATTTTCAATCGCAAGCCTTTCCCTTCTTCTTTTCATAATATTTGCAATGCAAACAATTGTTCACAGCGTTTGCGATTTTGCAGTCATAATTAATTTTTATGACCTGGTTGCGCGCACAGGTCAAAAGTTCAAAACAAAAAAAAATTGAAAGAAATCACACACACATTTTGAAGAGTCTCAACGACCACGACGAAAGAGATGACGGCAGAACTCTTCACCGAAAGGACTGGCGGCCACTGACGACGACGCGGCAGCTGAACGACTCCAACGTGCACCACGCAAAAGCTTTTGCACTGTTACGCTATAGCAGCGGTCATATCCGATTGAATAACAGGCTTCTCTTTGTTGGCGTAACTGTTTAGGGTACCATTAGGTCGACACGAATGCATTAGTTGGGCCCAAACGTTGTTGGTGACTGCGAAAGCTCGTCAATTGGCGGCTCCAATGTCCAATGTGGATGACGTAAAGCCTGACAACGCATGCGCTCTGTGACGCAGTGACGACCCGTGAGTGGAGCAAAAAGCTAAAAGTGTGCCAAGAGGCAGACTACGACAAATGTCAGAATTGGCGTAAACAGCAGACTAACGTGAGCCGTCGACGTCACATCTCCGCTGTTTCGAATATTCTCGGCTCGTTTGTGAACGCGTGAACGCGATGACAAAACAAGAATAAAAAAGGCGAATTAAAACGAATCATCATTCACAATTTTCGTGATTCAGATAAAAAAACATAAATCTTGAAATTCGAAGTGAAATTCTATTAAATATGTACTGCTAATGCTGACCAAGCATCTAATGTGGAGTGCATTGTGAGCGAGCAGGGGATATTTTGTTGTTATATTATTATGAAACGAGCTGTCACATATACACGCACACATACAGACAGGCATATATTTGTTTAACACGCGCGTTAAAGGTTCGCAAGCAACAAACATTTTGAATGTAAGTAAATAGTATTGGTATTTTGAATTTGTTAAGGCTATAAAAAATCATAGCATATTTATAAGCGCATGGAACGCCTCAGCCCGCTACACCCTCAGAAATCAACAAAAGTTCTCGTGTGCATCGAGCAGTTGCCATTGATTATTCCAATTCATCGCATGTGCTTACCAAATGTACATAACAATTTGTTATTCAAAAAAGAATCAAATACATAGATAGTTTAAAATTAATTCTTCTCATTAATACAATAGTATGTTAGTGTGCTTGAATTAAAACGAAGTGATAAGTCTTAGCTTCCAAATTCTGGTGTCCAATTCGATCTCCACGTCCAGTCCAAGAATATGTGTAATTAAACTACTAATAATTACTACTAACTAATTATTTTTATTAAAAGCAAAAAAAAGGAATGAAATAAAAGGTCGCAATTTCGGACCAAATGATCATTGTAAAAAATGCTTTGTGGCGGTTCTACTATTTCTTTGACAGATATTAATTAGTTTTTATAATTAGAATCTAAAAGGTTCAAAAGAATGTAACAGTCCTCCTTCGCCCCTCCACCGCTATGAGTGATTTTCCATAACTCTATGAATTTTTAGCTTAAATGTCACAAATATCTCCAATTAGTAATTATATGTCCGTATATTGAGTTTCATCATGATAGGGCAAAATGTTATAGCCATAAATTTAATCTCTGGAGAAGCTCTGCCCGCAGCTGTGTGGTTGTGACCGATTTGGCTTAACTCCATACACACAGCCACGCACAAACTTACATACAGAGGTAAAGAGTATTTTGAAGCCGGGGCACCCGACTTTAGCTTTACCACTTATTTTAATATTTATTAGTACGAGGAAGGAAAATAATCATTGTGTTTGATTTGGCGCCGTTTGAATGTCCTACCAGCCGTCGACGAAAAATGCAGCAGTGTTGACAAGGCAGCGAAGAAAAGGATTGCAATCGATTGCACAGTGCAAGCTATCGAAGGATATCATTGATTTATCGTACAGTTTGTTCGTATCATAACGTTTTGCAAAAGTTTATCAAAAAGGGAACTCCAAAATTAATCCAGCAATTAAAAATGCTTGCTGCATTTTTCATGCTTTTGTATTATACGATCATTTGGGCCAAACTGAGTGCAAACATGTCCAAAAGGGGGCGGTGTGTACTCGTACTGGCTGGGACATCATGCTGGATATTCTGGCAGTGCTGCTGTCTGACACAAAATGCGCTTGTTGCACCAAAGATAAGGATAAAGGACTTTACATAATTGAACAATGATTAAAACGTCAATCTGTTTGTTCCCACGGGCACTCGGAAATGAATCTATGTGCTGTTAACTTTAAATTAGGTCAGTTACCTGACATATACATGCGTATATCTGTATGTACATCCATTGAAAATATATGTATGTTCATATATTTGAGTAATTAGGCGAGGTCATTAACGAGGAGCAATAAAGACTTTGCTACTTATTATTACTATGTATTGCTCCTAACTAATTTACTTCTCTTTTTAAGTGTTTAACAAAATTATTATACTTTTTTTATCAGCAATATATGTAGGTCAATATAAACTTTATAATAAAGCCTTATAAGTTAAGTTTCAAAAAACTCTAAAGAGAACAAATATATTCAGATATATTAACATATTTTTAACTCATCTGAATCGTGGGGGGAATTTTATTTGCAATCGGGCCAGCTATGCCCCGATCCACAGCCAACCGTAGTCAGAAGAGTTAGTACAACTTCAAACCAATATTTAAAAAATATAATTTTCTTACACAAAAGCTTTTAGAGAAAAAAGTGATCTACCAAAGATAGCTAAAAGCAGAGGCGGTTAATGAAGAAAGAGACAAAAAGATCAGAGAAGGATTGTGAATGAATTTAGTTCGGGGAAGGCGTTGATCTGCAAGGGACTGAAAAATAAGGATGATCTGAAAGGGCAGAGAAACCTACAGCCTCGACAATCAATTTGTGGAGAAACCCAATACCAAGCCACGAAGAGCAAAAAGATGGAATATATTCTTTGAGGTAGAGGGGGATCATTGAATTCTTAGTACCAACGCCTAATAAATTCATAGAGAGATATGTCCAATTTGGAATTGAAACGATACAACATCTTCGACATTACTTGTAATTTTTGGATTATTCAATAAGTAATATACATGAATTTTGTTAAATGTATCGGGTATGCTGTATGTTCAATTAATTGTTACTAAATCAACAAATGATAACGTCATTATTCATTATACAATTGCAATTTGTGTTGATTATATTTTAAAAGAACTATATATGGGAGTAGAAAAACGTATAATATATTATAGAAATTATAGCGATAAAATTCGATTTCTAGAAAAAATGTCAAATTTAGTTTCGATGTGCAAAGTACAGTACAAAGGCCCAGATTATGCCTGTTCTGTGATTCTAACTTACAATATTAAACTTATCACATACTTCTTTGTATATTTTTACTACTTGAAATTAAGAACTAGCATGTTTGGGATTAAATATATAATCTGGATTCTATTGTTATTTAAAAACAATAAGTCGACAATATATTCGCTATTCATTATTGTTTTTAAGCAAGCTTAAGCGCATGTATTGCGCTCTCTTGAACTTAATCAATGAATCCCATGACAAGGTTTGTTTATTTTTTACTCAAACATCTCCCCGTTGGTCTGTAAAAGGGAAACTCTGCTTTTACGAAAACGTGAATGCGGAACTATTGATTTTGCAATAAAATGCGCGCGCAGGTTCGTGATTTGTGCGAAACCCGAGAGTAAAAGGAGATACAGCGACAAATATTAAGGATTTGGTGCCGAGGAGCGACGAAATGTTGTCGGCGGTCAGGAAGGAGCCAGAGGCCGACGAGGCCGAACGCTCGAATGCATTTCACTCGCATTGCGAAAACTGTACGGCGCTAACTAAGAGACTAGGTTACCCAAATATAATTCAAGATCTCTGAAAAACAGAGCTAAACAAAATAATAAAAAAATAAAAATCAAAAAAGTGTGCAGTGCGGAAAAATGCTGCGGAATGTGCTGTGATTTTGGTGTAGAATTGCGGGAAATCTTGAGTGCCTGAGGGGTGCTGTAAGTGAAAGAAAACTCGAGGACGAGCGCGTATGTGAAACAGCTTCTAATTAAATCTAACTTCAACACATGAAACCAACTTGAAAATCGATACATAACAACAAAATTGGAAAATTGGACAGAGCACGAGCGCGCTGAGATTTTGATATTCGAGACCAGGCCGTAAAAGTCAATTTTAAATCTCGCGACACGCACGGCTCGTTATATAACTTGTCAGGCGACATCACGTCGCCGCGGGGTCGTGTGTATGTGTGTGGGGCAGGGCGCACTAAATCGATATGTGTGGATAGAATGGCAATGGCGAAAAGTGTAATGTGTTGCTCCTAATTGGATTTATCTCGTGGATTAAGGAAGGCTAGCAGACTAGAAAGCGATTGGCCGCCGCCGCTAGAAGTAAGACCAAGCCAACCAGTACAGCACCACCATGGGAAAGAAGAGGGTGCCAAGTGAGGACTTGGTTGTGCCGCCGCAGGACACGAAAATTTGTGGCACCATATGCATCTGCCAGATGACGCTGGTGCTCAGCTCGGTAGCCCTGGTTTATCTCACAGTAGCCATCTATATGCCGTCCACGCGTGCTTTTAAGAGCGGTATCGATCCGACGCCTGTAATGTGCACGACAACGCGTGCCGTCAACAAGGACAATTGCGAGTGGGGCTCCTGTGGAGAGTGGTGCCTGAGTAAGACCTCTGGCGCCTGCATTCAAATCTACGTCAACTTGCGCAGCAACGGAACCAACCTCACCTTCCAGAACTGTACGAACTCGGCGAACAAGACGTGCTACGGCATCGATCAGGATCGGGCGGACAAAGCACGCTGCATTAACGATGAGTGCAAAAACCTGACAGGCACATTCAACTGCACGGCCGGCCAGTGCCTAAATATTACAGACGCCTTCGAGTGCGTCTTCCACAACAGCGATGCGCCGGTGAAGTGCTCCGGACGACGTGGAAAAATTAATTGCATGGACATCAGTGGCCTCTTCTCCTGCAGTCGGGGCACGTGCCGAAAGATCCGCACACCCTATAACTGTGACCGTCGCTGTGTGGACATACCGACCCGGAACAAGAACGTGGTTGTTCTAAGCGGGGACAGAGTGTTCCTTTCGCAATGCCAGAACGCCATCAATGCTGAGACGATGGAAGAGGTGTGGAACGAATCTAACGACAATGTAGCCGTGACCTCGTGCTACTTCATCAAGAATACCTCTGATCGTGTGGATGCCGTGGACTGCATCAACGGCTCCACACTCGATCACAATGTGCTGAGTGATCTGACCAATTTCACATATCTCAGCCATTTGCATGTGGCCGTGGCCACGCCTGTGCCGGAGATCGCACCACCCGACTACGACCTAACCATCTCGAATGAGTCGAAGCTGATGATCAATCTTGAAGGCTGCGTCAATACGCTGGCCAACGAGTGCAAGGAGTTCTTGCAGGTTTTTGGCCGGGATGGCAGCGATCACAATGCCCGTGCCCGTTTCCCGTGCTTCTATTCGCCCACTAAGAAGGAAATCGTGGTGGCTCGCTTTGATCTTGAGGTCACCTATCGCCAGTTCGTGTTCGCTTCCGTTGTGCCCTCGGTGCTCTTCGTGGTGTCCTGCATGATACTGTTGCTTTGCCAGAAAACTGTCTACGTGGGTGACGACGCCAAAATGCGTTTCAAGGGCTGCGTAGATACAGAGACAATTTTATCCAGGAATAATGCCGGTGTGCCCACCACTGGCGACACTGGTGGCGGCGGTGGCGACGAAGTAATGGCACTATGAGATCCGTCACGTAAGCATGAGCAAATGGCTTAACAAGATGTTGTTTTCGTGGAGACCTTGTTTATATACTCTCTCTAATACCTTTTCAGAGTTTTCTAAAAATGTGGGCTCAAATATATTTCAAAACTTACAGAATTTTATCGTAAATAATCTTCCAATTTTTTATAATAGGTAATATTTGGCCCTTAAATAAATCATTTAGATTTAGACGGACTCAAGTGTAACATTTCTTCTAAGGCTCCCCTATAAAAGACCTTCTAGAGATAGTATCTGAGATACTAGTAGACGTTTTCGAAATTCAAAATTTTAGCTTGTCCGTTATCCTATTCGAAATCTTGACAAATTAACTTAGTAACATTTTAATCTGAAGTTGTTTGTAGAATCCACTTTCTTATTTTACACATTAGATACTTATTAATAAAAATTAGTCTATCATAATAGAAAAGTGTTCTTTCAAAGGGACTACAAATACACGTATGTTGTTCTTTTTTATTCAAATTAATTTCATTTATCTTTTACAGGCATTCCTCTGCTCCAGGAAGACAGTCCAATACATCAGACTGGAGTGTTCGCCTTGCAATAATGGATTTGGGCATAACATGGAGCTCTTTGTAATCCTTCCATCGAACTATTAATCACAAGAAACACACAGACAACACCTGAAAAGCTTACAAGGACACTTCTGAGCTAACAACAGCACCTATACGAACAAACCAAAACAAGGAAAACGAAACTTCAGGACGTACATTACATACAAATGAACAACTAAGTGAAATTTTTCAGATACGAACAGACCAGACAATATTAGCGTATGAATTATTTTTAAATTGCAACAGATACATTTTGTATATTTTTTGAGAGGCGTGGTAGGCCACTTACTGAGTATTTAGCGTAGTGGGTATGGATAGAAAGGGGGGCGCGGATAAGCAACAGTTGGTTAATTGTTAAATTAAGTTTCTTTATATATAAACGCACAGATGCACACACCCATACACCCACACACACACACACACACACGTATGTACACACACGGAGACACACACACATAGACTACACAACCCACACCAAATCTAATACAGCAGTCATTTTTAGCAAGGGTCAAAAGGCTTGGAGGGATGCGTGATCAAATAAAAAATGTTAAACTTATAGCGACGACAACAACAGCAAAAAGAAGAGATTCTAGGTAAAAATAACCTTATACATAATACCCCTTTATGAAATAACATATGTAAATTATTATAGCATAAATAAGAGAGAAGAGTTAATCAAAAATCCCAGAGAAATTAATAAAGACGTGCAACTCAAAACCAAATACGAGACTAAGCTTTACGAAAAAGGCGCAATGAGAATTTTGCATTCTAAATTACCATCCACAAATTAGGAATTTCTCAATCTTCGTTAATCAGCATCTGAGGTCAGAACTTAGGCAAGAGTTGACTACGAAATTTGCAGAAAAGCTGTTAATTGTTGTAGTCGTAGAACTTCAAAATAGTGGCATACACGTACATTTGTAAGACTCTTAGTGCAAAAACACAAACAGTTACCGTCTAAGGAAATACTTATTAGATACATCCAAACTCACCAACACACGCAGAGAACAACACCACAGGAGCTATGAAGAAGAGCTCAACACTCACAACGACTACGTCGATGCCAACAAGCCCCACCTTGTCGGCTCAGACGTTGTCGGCCAGCCGCATAAGTCTCAGCAGCAGCAAGTCGGGAAAGTCCTTTCAGTCGCAGAACGGGCCCGTGAGGCCCGGCAGTGGCTGTGTGAGCGCCATTAATGCCAAACGCGAGGAAATTGAAATCGATACCATTCTCGAGAAGGCAAAATTCTACACCTCCGTGTGCCTTGGTAAGCCCTCATTCTCAGATCTCTAATGTCCCCACATCATCTAAAGTTTATATTCTTGCAGGTTCAACTGCCATACTGTCGGTGTTAACATTCCTTTTCCTGATACCATTTGTCGTGGATCCCGCCATCTCGACAATTATCGCTGACTACGATCCTGTGCCAGTCACCTGCATCGTTATAGATCACATCTATGCGGAGGGCATTAAGAACTGCAGTTGGAGCTCCTGTCGCGAGGGCTGCACCTCATCACTCACAAAGTAAGAATTGTTGTTTAACCAAAATCGCCAGGAATTCATGAGAATCGATAAAAAAAAAGGTATCTGTGTTAGAACTAAAGATGTAGGTATTTTATCTTTTTTGATCCCGTTTAGACTGCTTCTGGCGTTTTTGCCATATATTAAGCAGTTTACATATTATTGTTTCATGTTATTGAATATTTCTTCTGTAACGATGTCTTCCGTGTGGTCTCAGAAGACTTAAGATCATAATGAAGGTTAAAGAATTGAAGAATTGAAGAATTTATTGCAAATTTAGCCATTAACAAAATGTAATGGTATTGGGCCTAGAGGGACCACAATGCGTCGTATACAGTTTGCCTAAGAATCTTGGGGTTATATAGAAAAACAGATAGGCGTGCAAATATGTTTAGATCGGTTTGTTTCGGCAAGCTTTTAAAGGATACAACAAATCTAAGATTGTGAGTGTTTGGTTGAAAAAAAAAACAAAAGTATAAACTTAAATATATAGTATATTTGGGTGCTCTAAAAATTCTCTTAAAATATTGTTCAAGGTGCCATCAGTTGTTTGTCAACTATACGCGAATTCCCTACAGTGAATGGGAACGAAGTCCTCGAGACTTGGACACAGTAAATTGGGATGTTAGTTATACGAAATTCCTAATTAACTCAGAGGGTTGTGGCTATCCGCCGACAACCAATTGCAGTGTCTTCGCCAGACAATATGGGTAAGCCAATCTGAAAAGTAATACAAGTACTCGGCTGAAATATGCTTCCATTAAAATTGTGCATTTTTTTCTCAGTTTCACGCACGTTGGGGAACCATTTCCCTGTTACTACAGCCGAGCATATCCGGAAGTAGTCATCGGTCGTTATTCGTGGGAAAACAATCTGTACCATCTGGTATTATCGCTGATCATTCCGAATGTGCTCTTTGCCATCTCAATCGGCGTCCTGAGTTACTGGTACTGTCCATGTTGCGAAAAATGGAACAAGTCCTCTCGAGTGTACGCCGAAAAGTTCCCGACCAAGGAAGAGTGAGTGTTATTTTCATCAAGCGCAACGTACATCTGGTTTTTCATGTTAATGATTTTTACTTTAACATAATTTATAACTAATTGTGTAGTAAACCAACCACACACACACACACACACTTTCACACACATTACCCACAAAACCACATCCACATATCAACAAAGATTGTGCGCAAAAACACATTTACCCAAAACTACATAATACTCATTGTGCCTTGTATCGAGAATGACTCTCTATAATTATATATATTCGTTTAAATTTGTATGTATAATATCGTGAATACTCGTACCTACTTATTTTACTAAGTATTTATGATCTTTGTCGAATGTATTCGTTTGTGTTATAGTACTTATAGGTAAAATATTGGCCTGAAACTGCTCTTAAGTTTGAAAAAATTGAAGAATGCACATTAATTTCATTTCTCTGTTTCCTTATATTATCAGAAACTTTTCATGCGCTTCTTTTTCTCTTGTAAAAATACTTTCAGGATCGTTAACTGCATGAAATGTAATACGGAAAAGTCGCTGTCTTTGAATATGTTTTAAATATGACAAGCGACAGTGCCTGAATTTCCCCCTATTGTGATAGGTTAATGCGTGTGCGTGCCCTACCCCCAATGGAATATAAAAATAATGTTTCAAAATGAATTATTTTGTCCTAAAGACAGCCAACTAAAAAGCACTACTAATAAGGCACTAATAGTATAGTGGCTTCTAATAACCTGCATTACGTTACTCTGAAGTGTCCTTACCGATTTCAAACACATTAGCAACTATTTGGGACGGATGCCTTGGTATCTTGGTATACCAGTAGCTTTTTATATTCGTTCAATCCAAGTTGCATCAAAATTTCACGTATAATAGGTAAAAAGACTTACTTCAATCATATCTCACACAAGCAACCCCCAATTACTGTTGTACTTTGCAACTATTATTAGAACTCCACTTTCCACGTTTCTTACATAAAATACTCGAGCACTACCCCCAAAAACATATATGCTGCTCATATACTTATTATATCGAATTTATTAGTAATGGTTTCTTTGACTATCTTGCAGTCCCCGACAATTCACACTCGGCAAAGACATCTCTTGTCTTATAAAACATTTAGAGAGCAAATTCCAAGTGTTTCTTGTCCAAAAAAAAAAAAAAAAAAACGAAACGAAGCGAAAGCCATCTTAAATAATTATTTAGTGATAAATTATTTTGAGGAACTCCCGAAACCACTGCTTTTGCCGGGTGGAATGAGGAAATTTGGCTGCATTATGCACTGTTGATCGCAAATTAAAGTCCCTATTATTGACACACAATATATAACTTTATAACTAAACAATTTCTACGAGTATTTTACTTAAAGAGATGCAATAAATATACATAATATTTAAAATATCTATTCATATTGCATGTCCCGAATGGTTTTCAATGGTTTTAGTTTGCATGATTTTGTTTTATTAGTACTTGTTTAAATTTTATATATATATTCTGCATTGTTAGTCTAGTCCTTAGTACATTCATATATATGTACGCTAATTTAAAATAAAAACCGATTAAGAACTTTGTTCAATCAACTTTTTTAGCAAACTTCTATGTCACAGTGATGAAGATGATGAGATGGAATACTAGCGAATAAATTATTTTAAAATAGAAAAATGGCATTGTAGAACATTACTATACATAGCTAATACAAACATCAAATAAAAACCATCAATCATTAATACAATACCAATTAAAGCGGAGCATCGAGCACAAGTAGAACCCTTTGGGAAATTCGATAATAATAAATAGTTTATTTGGTTTTTAAATACATAAATTAAATTTACTCTTTCTATAATTCAATTACTAAAAAAATGTTCTGCAAAGCATTGTTTATTATTATTTTGCTTTAAGAATCATCGGTGCTCCATCAAAATCTTCAAAGGTCAACCTCAAGAGAACTCAACCACAAATTTCAAAATGATTGTTTTCAAAAAAGAAATTGTGATAGTAGTCATAATGTATTAAGTAAATTTGTGAAAAATAAAAAAAATCAATGCATTATATATAGTATGTAACCCTAACATGGTTATGTGAGTTACTCAGCTCCGGGACAAAGTTAATAATGCAATCAGACCGAGAAACATTTTATGTTAACTAGAAAAATTATATACGAGTATAAGTTAAACACATTTATCTTTTTTGATTTCCCATTTTTATTTCATTTTTGTTAATTAGTCAACATTGAAAGCATCTTAAGCTGATTTAAGCCCATAGATAAAAGCTCACTTAACATTTTTGAAATAGCTTTAAATTTTATGTAAAACTGACATTTAAATTTAATATATAACAATGCGAGTATATAGCTTAATAGCAAACGAAAATATGTAACGCACGTTGCTTATGAGAACTTTTCCAATCATACAAATTTGAATGCAAAATGTTGAAAATTTTTTACTTAATGTGTCTTTATTAATGAGCAAAATAATAAGCTAACGGCCTAAATAATAATAAAAAGAACTACAAGTACACCAATACCAAACCACAAAAACTACCCTACTCTTTCATTTCGCATCTAATATTATCAAAACGAACCAGTTCCATCGCAAGGAATCTAGATTCTTGGAGCCAACCACCCCATGCGCCACCGCGCAAGCGTCGTTAAAGGGGAACCATTTGTTGAGCTCACGCTCATGACTGTGAAATGAGTCAGAAGACTTGGGGCTGTCATGGTGAAGGGTTTGTTTTTGTTTTTGGCTTTCGATTTCGTTTGTGGCACAGCAACAACAAGCCAGAAGCCACAAAGAAGACCCAAAAAACAGCAAAGTGGGACGATTGTGAAGAGAATAAATATTTTAAAACTTTAAGGTCGAAAAGAACGCAAACTAAGCCAGATGTAAAGAGACAGAAAAGAATGCCCAACTATTCTATAGATAGCTTTATTATTATTAATGTTTATTATTTATTGTATTTTTATAAAATTACGTGAATATGTTGAGAATTCTAAAGTTGCAAAAAACACATAAACCTGTGTTTGTACAACATTCAGATATTTCATTATAAACATCTAAAATACATACGTATGTACCCGTAAACTATTATTTATAATATTTTATGGTGAAATATACATATGTAGATTTGTTGAAGAATTATTACTTTGAATTCTTAACGGTTCAAACTTTGATAATGTCAGCTGCTTTGATAGTTTTATGCCCAAGCTTATTCCGAAGCACAATTATGATATGAATCATAAATATGTAGGTAAGCCCTAATAGTTTTAGAGATTCGATTATTGTGGATTATCAACAAAACAAGTATCCCACAAATATTAACCATTTGTGAGCTAAGATTGAATATGGAAAATGGAAAATTCGCATTGGGCACCATTATTGGGTAACGGGTATATCAAATGGATAAATAGAAAACAAAAAGCTTCGAAGCCGAACTTTGTCAAATTAATTTCATGTTTTAACTCTGAATGTGAGTGACAACCCTGCTACAGCGCACGGCTCTCGCCTAAGTGCAGCCTGCAGGAGTCAGAGTTTTAGTTCCGAACGAGCAGGCACAGGACGAGGACGTGGACGCGCACGTTTTGTTGGGACTCGGCTCGTTAGTGCTTTCATATAAATACATACATATGTACATACAAATAAATTTACTAAAGGAGCATCAGCTTTAAATACGCATCCGAGCAAGTCCACCAAGTTGGATAAAATCAAAAATAAACGAACATTTTAACGGGACCCACCGATATACCCATAAATAAATAACACCCCGACCAACGATTGAAAAAAAAAACAAACAAACAAACACAAGGCGTCCAAATCACCTTGAAACAGCGTGGGGTAAAACCCCTACAACGGTAAGGGGTAGACCACAAAATCGCTCCCACTTGACTCTCCATACATACATACATACATATGTATGTACGAATATATGTACGTGTATGTATGTTTGTATGAATATTGTCATTGTGTTTTTTGGAGGTCTGGAAATCAACAAGTCGTAAATAAGGCGTAACTGGCAAATTGTCAAACTGTCAGCGGTATCTTCTAACTGGATAGTGTCAGTAAGACTGTGTGATTTGGATTCGAAAACATGGCGCGCCGCAGGGACAAGCCCCGACTCATACCCGAGCAGGACAAGCGCATCTGCCGGGCCATCTGCCTGTGCCAACTCACCATGGTACTGTCGTGCGTCTCGATTGTGTACCTGAGCGTGGCTATTTACTCGCCCTCCCTCAAGTGAGTTTAGTTGTGGGATATTATTGGAACAGCCCTCCATTTCACATCCCCAATTGCATGTTGCAGGGCCTTTAAGTCTGGTTTCGAGCTGAATCCGGTTATGTGCCAAACTGTGGATCGCCAAATGCCAAACAATTGCCCTTGGGCCTCTTGTGGCGAGTGGTGTCTAACTCGCACGAGCGGCTTCTGTCCCCAGATCCACTCAGTGGTTCGCCGCAATGGTACCGACATCCAACTCAATAATTGCACCCGCGTCACCAACACTTCGTGCGCCATGGTAAGTTCCCGATGGCATTGAACCGAGGGGGTTGGGACCAGCAGACGTGTCATCGTTTTTGGTATGCTATCCTATATCGCACTCTTCTTACTGGATGTGACTCACAATGAAAATAACTGTTTTCATCTATGTATGTGTGCGGTCGTTAACAAGAATTCAACTCTCCAACTACATCTACAAATTAAATGAGGGACATTTTTTTTGTGGAGCTAATGAAAAATTCTATTTGAAAACATAGCATATATCTAAGCTTTGTATTCCTTTCTTTTATACCAAAAGATGCGTAGAGCACAGTCACATTTTCTTTAAATTTATTTTGAATCATTTTCGATCTTGTGCGTCCAACAGACCGTTCCCAATTCAGCCAAGTCCAAAAATAACTGAAGAAATGTGGCCGGACATGGTTTGTTGATTCTTCTTCTTAAAGAGCCAGTCAATCAATATTTAATTTTAAAATTCAATAAAGAAACAATTTTAACAAGAGAGAACGCTATAGTCAGGGAAGTCCGGCAGTGAAAAACCCTGCACCCAAGAAAACTTCTAAGTTATATGCGCCCATAGAATTAGAAAAAGAAGAAGATGGGCATAGTACTGGAGTAAAATTGTTTCGCTAATAACTTTTTTGATTGACCGATAGATCAAATTTAAAACAAAAGTAGATACTTGTAGTTTAGATTAGATGAAGGTTTAATTAAAAGCAATATTATTTTATTTTCGGATTCAGTGCACTATGATGTTAAGGGAAATTATTTATGTGACTGAATTGGACTCAGATATAACTATATTTTAGCTACTTTTAGCGACTTTTAGCCAGAAATTTTGGACTGAAATACATATCTGCAATTTTTAGATCGACCTGAATCGCTTGAACAAATTCAACTGCAACAATGGAACAATCTGTAACAATATTCGTGGAGTCTTCAATTGTTCGAACGGTATGCATTACAATTCAAAGAAGCAATAAAGAAACAATGTAACAATTATGGATTCCTTGATTTCAGGCCATTGCAAAAATATGTCTGAGTTCTTTCTATGCCACCACAAGGCGGACGGGCCCACAATAAACTCTGCTAAGGACAATACCAAATTGAACGGCTTCTTCGAGTGCCATGGAGTGCACTGCACGAAGATCAAGAAACCGTTCTCCTGCGACCGATATTGCTCGAAAATAACCACCGCTAATGTAAATGTGTTGATCATGCATGTAAGTCCCCTACTTGTACATGCTTGGGAAAGAATCTACTTATACGAACATTTTCAGGAAGATAATGTAATTGCCGCAGACTGCGAGAATGCAGTTGCCTTCAACGAGGCACGCGGCAAGGAGCACGGCGTCAGAATTGAACCGACCGAATTCTGGAAGGAAGACGATGGAAACCTATTGACTAACTGCGCGACAGTCACTCGTGAATCTGACAATCGCATACTGTATGTAAATTTTCATTTTCATATAAAAATACCCGTCTGTATGTCCGAATGAAAGTAGCCTTAAGTCAGGGCCATAACAGTTAGGGTCACCCAACTCGATTCAACTCTATACAGCCTTGTCTTATCAGCAAGAAGACCAAGCTTAATAGTTTTCATAGAAACGATCCGGAATAAAAACGCATCGTCAGACCGCCTTTAGCAGTCCCAAATAGTCCGATTTGGTCTTTAATATCGTTGGAAATGAATTATTATTAATTAAAATCGTAATTAATTTTCTGCTTCTGTCTACTATTGTAATGAAGAGCTTATGTCCTCTTATCCTCTTATTCAATTAAATCCATGCACTACATCATATACTTAGCTGCCAAAGAAACTATTACAGCAAATTGCTTACTTTAGTTATAGGACTGGGCGAGTACACTGCCTATAGTACAAGAACTCGCGGAACGTTAACATTCTCCTCATTTTTTCACAGCGCTACGGACTGTTTGAACGGCACTCTGTTGGACCACGACACACTTCCTGCGCCATTTATGAACTTTACTCAGTTTTGGGCCATCTACGATAACAGTACGCGAGCTGTGGATCCTGAGCAAAAGTTTCTGCCCAATCAGGCCAACCTCACCATTTACAGCTGGAAGAAATTGTTCATCAACCTGGAGGGTTGTGTCAACACATTACGGGGCGAGTGCAAGGACTTTGTTAACCGCTATGGCAGCGATGGGGACAATAACACGGCACAGTCACGCTACCAGTGTTACTACAATAAGGTGGGTTGTTGTTAGGCTCTTAAGTGTTTGGTTGTTAGGGCTAACACCCGACTTACTTTCAAATATGTTGGCTCATATTTCATATTTCAGGATGCAAATGTGGAGTTTGTGGTGGCGCGGTACGATTTGGACAAGGTCTATAGAGAGCTAGTCGTCTCTCTAATTGTGCCCATCGTGCTGTTTGTTATTTCGTCCATATCACTGTGCATTATAACCAAATCGGTTAAGGTAAGAAAAAAGTGGTGTTCAATCAAGTTTACACGATAATATTTGGAACTAATGCTCGAAAGGTTGGAGACGATGCAAAAATGCGCTGCGTCTGCGCTGGAGATGACTCGGATGATGATGTGCTTAGGAACGGAAACCCAAAACAGCCTGAACAACTGTACGACACAGATGACGACGTGGTTGATTTGGAGCACCAAGCAGTTGGGGGCGTAAGTGTTTTCAACGCAGTCTACGCATAGCTTTCTAAGTTAGACTAATCACCTTTCATATTTTAGGATGTGGAGGTGCACGAACAAGCCTTCGATGCACATGAAATGATCGGCAGTACAAAGTCCCTAATACCACTCAGTCCGGCTGGAGATTCTGGCACGAGCGAGCAAAACTTTGACCAGGATGAGAAGGCGGCGAGTTGTGACCTGCCAGAGAAACCCTTAGTTATTTTTTAAAGGTGGACACGTCAAAGGATTGGACGGAAATCGATGCTCTAATGTACTATGTAGTTGGCACAAACTGTTCGCTTGTTAGCAAATCAAAAGGCGCGGCTAAGGAGTATCCGTATACAATGAACTTTGGTACAATCAGCTTAGGTTTTACATACATATTATTGTTAAGGGGTACATTTAGTTACTCTCCGCAAACACCAGCAAAACTTATGGACCTCGGAGTATACAATGAGCATTTTTACTAAGATCTATTTAGCCTGACATTTTTACAAAGCTTAATATTACGGTAGATAAACTTTATATAGACATTTATGTAAATATTGAGAAACAGCGAACATCTTAACAATCCAATTCACTATAGGACCAATTACATAAACCAGTACAGGTACTTTTAAAACCACTGATCCCAGGTAACAATTTTATCATAACTCCTACAAAAAAGTCGAGCTAAGTGCCGAATTGGAAGAGCTACAAAAAATTAGATTTGATATGCGAACATTTCTTATAGCAACTTATTCCTTATTTATTTGGTTCCATTTCGATGCTTTATTAGATTATAAAAAAACCTATCGATCCTGAAAAATACACCGATTTCCACGGGCCTTTTCAGCTTTAAATATCGGTTATAAAGATTCGAAGAGAAATACTTCAGATTTATTATGTATATCTACACAAATGGCGGGAATCATCGTTTACATTTGTTTACGCTCTTTAATTTATATATATAGTATATATATGTGCCTTCAAACTCACAATCTGCCTGAACAGATTCTGCATTTAAAAAATATAACTTGGTTCTCTTGTACATGAAAGAATACAACAGAGAAGGTACAGGAATTTACGAGTGAGAACTTAACTCCTACGAATAGAATCAGAATCATCTATTACTCAGGAATGCTAATACTCTCTACGCAAAAGCGAGTCCGGAAGCCATGATGTATTATAAGTATTATAAGTTCTCAATTTATCTCTTAATTTTCGTAGACAAATCAAGAACTGCAAAACTACGGTCAAATACCGAGCTTATGAAATATAAAACGAAATGTTTTTAGATACAAATGTGTGCCTCTGTTGGATAGCTCGGTACGGAGTCTTATAAAAAATATTGAAGTCTTTGGTTGATATTGTATTGTATGTCTTATTTTAATGCTGCATTTACTTAGAATATTAACTAACGTATTAATAACTACAGTCTGAGCACCGGAACCTGTTCTCGTACTACATAGCGCATCGTAGTCACTTTATCGATTTTGTATTTATTTAATACTTATTAGCTATGAGGTATTTTAACAAATAGTGAACTTTTCTTGTACCTTACCTATTACTATAATTTAGCTTATCTATACAAATACAAATACATATACGAATACCAAGGCAACGAAGTGGTTTTATAATTCTTTATGGCACTCACCTTTAGCTCCTCCTGGCGACGATAAGCCTCGGCCATCATTTGGCGGCGCACTTGCTCCGAAATTACTGGTTCACGTCCCGGGGTACCTTCGCTTAATTGGTTTAACTTAACGACGACCTAAGCGCAGTGTATTGCAATTATAATAGATACTGGTTTTAATTTCAGAAGTACCAATTTTTTTTGATGGATTTTAACTAACTTTAACTTTAACTAACTAATTTTAACTTTAATAATAAACCTTCTTACAATAACTTATTATGTGCATTGAATAAATTATATGCAAAAATATATAGGTATTCCAGAGCCTGAGTCATAGTTACAAAAACAAACAGAATGACGACGTGCTTTTTTTTTCAGCAAGACCTGTACGGAACCGGCGGAGTCGGAACTATGGCGGAGTTGGAATAATTTATTTATTTTTAAAACTATATCTTCCAGATTTAATGTAGTATTATATAATATTAAAGCATATTGTATACTGGAATTAAAGCAAAATCGGAATACTATATCCATATTTAAAATAGTCTATGTATGGAGAATTTGGAACTTGTTTCAAATTTCCAAAAAAAAAAAAAAAAAAAAAACAGTTGAAGCATGTCATGAAGACCACAAGCCATATTTACATAATTTCAGAGCTTGCGCTTATAGACTATGTATCACTAAATAAGTAGGTAACAAATGGTAATGACCAGACCGTGTAGACAAGTTATGTAAGTAAAGTTTGCATTGTAAGACAGTGAAGTCGAAGATAACTTTAAAGATAATATTAGTTCTACTTTTGTGGTGCTTCTAAGAGAAATTGGATAGCTTTTTGTGATAATGCTCACCTTGGTTTTGTTATTGTTGCCCAGAAACTCGCTTAAGCGCTTGCCATTCAATATCTGTCGACCGGCAAACCACAACTGTGCCTTTGAGGGTTCAATTACGTCTTTGGACGCTTGTGTGCCGCTCAAATCCTCCATGTTGGTGAACTCCATGCGTATGGTGTCATGAGGTGGCAGTTGCATGGGATAGACAATGGTAACGGCCCCACGTAAAATATTTAAAGCCTCCTCCACGGACTTTAGGGTGAGTGGTTTCCCAGCCTTAACTAGTTTCTGTGAAACATCAGTAGTTTAGAGATCAGCATAAACACACAAAAATCTGGTGATACATTCACAAATTTTATTGTTCATACAAAATAATCATTTGTAAAATATGCATATGTGTATATATTTTGGTTATATTTTCAATTGTAATCTCATTCATTTGTTTCTTCATATATAATTGAACTTAGAAAATTATTTTCGTTTTCTAGCGACAGATAAGCGTTAAAAGATAAGATTAAGTCGAAACTAAGTACGCTATATAGGACATAATAATAAATATTGTAAATTCGTCGAGTAACTCCTAATGTCAGCTGCATGAAGTACATACCTTATCGACTAGCCCCTTGGCATCGTCCATAGCTTTTTTTAATACATTTTGCATGGCCTCATTTGGCTGCTGACCATTGCGGCGTCCAAGCGGATCTTTATTGAAATTAAAACCACCCGAAGGTATGCACTTATCTGCCCAGATATCCTTCAACTTTAGCTCCTCGATTTGCTCGTCAGTTAATCCGATCATTTCACTGGGCAGCATCGTACCATGCTCGGCCAGTTCCTCGATTTCATAACATATGCGCTGGATCTTAAGGCGGCCATTGAAGATGGCGATGAGGTCGCGTATGACGGTATTAGTTTCCTCATTCACATTAGTGTCATACAAAAATTCACTCTCACTGCCTCGCTTCAATTGCAGGATAACCATTGCGCCGGGTTTAAGATATAAATGTAGATACAATAAATATGAAGATGTATTCTTCAACTGATTCCTTTTTTCAACTGTCTTTTGTTTTTCGAAATAAAAATCGGTTGCTATGTATAATGCTGAATTGCCGGTGTTGTTAATAATTCGAAACTACTAGATCTCTTGTCATGGCAACAGCCTTTCAAATTATTTCGCTGGGGTGGGATAGGATAGGTGGTGTGCTTGAGGAAAACGTGATTGTTAATTTAAAATCACCTACATATACGTACAAATGCACATATATTTGCATGTTGCTCTATTCGCGTCATGTTAAGATATTGCACAAAGATTTCATTAAGGTTTGCTTACAAAAGGTTACAATAAATAATACACTAACTTACAATAAAATACACCTGTGAACTAAAGTACAAATAACCTACGATTTATGATGTAACACGTTCTTCATATGTACAGATTAAGCAACATTCACTAGCATAAGAGGCTTTCGGAGAAAATAGCCAATTGGTTAGTAGCTTTAAGAGGGGCACTACGGTCCTCCCTACACACTATATACGTAAATAGTATATACGCTGAGCGTTTATCCATAGCTCTTTCAATCCAGTGAAATGGAATTGTGCCTACTCCCTTCCTCAGATGCTAACCATTATCTGAGGACGCGCCGAAAGTTTTCCATTTCATATATACTGTTTGACAGCCGACCAAAAGCGTTGAATAATGCAACGATTTCGGTGCGCGAAAGCCTGAATATGGGATCTGCTTCGATGTGCGGTTTGTCCCAGATCCCACTCTCGGTGGCTAGATTTAGTTTTTGAGAGTAGAGTATCTTCAATGCGGTGCCCAGACCCTGTGTCTGCAACTTGCCCCACAGCTTACACTTGTCGCAGCCCACACAGTCCATTATTCTAGAAATGTTGCGGAACTTTTCTTTGTAGTCACTTTTGAACTTAATTGATGCAATGCCGCTGCTAAAAAGCGCATTTTCATCGAAGTGGGACTGGAAAGATCTACAAAACAAGTTCGTTAATAGTAATTTTTGGGTCTTACTGAGCACAACTCACTCAATAATGGCAAGCAAATCGTTGATGGCCAGCTTTACTTCATCATCTTCCTCGGCAATTCCTGTATAATAATTTTCGCGACGTAGATAAGGCGCTGCCTTAGCCAAAGCTCGCAGTTCTATGAGGTAGATGAAGTACAGATTTCGCAGCCAGTGTGGGCCCTCGCCTCCTGTTGTCTCCGGGCTAAAGCGGCGTTTGAACTCCTTTACATTGGGTCCCCAGATGCCTTGCGGGTCGAGAAAGTCTTTCGATTCGGAGAGCAGGTATTTTGAGCACAGATGTATATTAATGCTGGAGTGCAGACCGGAGATGATGCGATAGAAGGCTCGTTGCTCCAAGCATACATTACGCAAGTCCAGGTGCGGCACATAGTTTGAGAACTTGTTGGTCGTCTCGTTAGTGCCCCCGAAGCAGTTCTCCAAGTATATGCTCTTCCAAATGCGATGCGCCGAGTCACCTCTGTAGCCAGTGTATCGTTCCGGATTGAGTAGCAGATCGACGTACTGCGCGCCATCCTCCCGATCATCTACAATGCAAAAGTCCTCCTCGGCTTCGTCGTGCTTAGCCCACAACTCAAATTCTTTGTGAGCCTGATCGCTAATGCTTGTGTCCAAGAAGCCCAGAGCACTATTAAAATCTTCGGCATCTGAACACCCCTCCGATTGTGCCTCCCGAGTGTACTGTAATAAAGAAGCAGGCGGAAGCATTAAGAATTATGCCAATCAAAAGCAGATATGTATATACATTAAACAGAATTCGCACTTGTGTCAATAATAAACAGTAAGCCAGTCGTTTTTTAAGTCAAACAAGGCGGATCAATCAATTAATGCAGTTGTGATGTAAGACAGACAAGTCCAGGTGTAACGGATTGTCTAAAAACAGGTCGCATGTGTTGACTAAATATGATGCGCATGGATGGTTTGGTAAAGCTTTAAAATGTGGGACACGTCATCAAAAAAATCTACAGATTGCTTTATAGCCACTTGTACACTATTTGGTTAAATTATTTATATATTTAAATCTCGCACTGATTGTCGCTTTGATACGCCCCTCAATTCTTGACGTTCGCATTCAAAGCCAAATACTTAAAACAAATTTATGGCTTCGATAGATAAACTGCACGGTAAACCAACCCATTGAGTAGCAAAGATAATAAAAAAAATATGTATGTATGTAAGTTTTAGTTGAACTAAAATGCCCAACACAAGGCAAAAAGTAATTACCGCTTCGCGCTCGCTCCGATAACAGAGTTAAAGAGTTGATAGCATACTATTTCGAGTACGAGAGGTACGTGCTTCGGGAGCTACACGATAAACCCAGAATGCCCCTACACCATAATAATCTCACCTTGAAGGCAGCCGATTTGGAGTGCTCGACTGTATCTTTGATGCCCTGCGGAATGGCTTGCTCTTCACAGTTTTCCACTTGACAGAAGCGAATGGCGCAACGACTATCGTCCGGCCAAAAGGGACATTCCTGCTTTAGATTCACTTTGTAAAACCTGAAGAAATTCTTAACTAGTAAACTTTGCAGGCGTGGGTAGATCTTAACATTGTTGAAGTGGTCCACAGTGTCAATGTCGCAGCTGCAGTCGTTTATAGAGCCCTCCAGCTGTGAAAGTTTAACAAATATGTATGTATGTTTAACGGGATTTCAGTTTCAAATGAATGGCTCCACTTACCTCACAAAAACAGTTTTTTTTTGTCTCCGCTTCATCTAGGGCGGCAAAGTAACCGTCTGCCTGATGCGTCCAGTACATGAATAAGAGCAGTGGCAGGCTCAGAGCCAGCATATTTCGCCGTATCCTGTTCGATACGGTTCTTTGTCGACTACCCATTTTTGCGGGTTTTAAAGAATTCAAAATCAATCACTTTTTTGACCGCGTCGGTTGTTGGGAAAATGTCGTGTGGATGTTGCCGTTCGAGCCTATTGAATTGCTCGTCAACAGAGCTGAATTGTATCTGCTGCAGTTTTATTTTCGCCTAGGTGTTAAAGGTGCGAATTTCATGAGCGCACAGACTTTTACATTGTTTGTTTCAGGTTGTCGCAGCTGATTTTGGACACGTACTTTTACGGTAGCGATGGAAGGTGGCCGAAATATAACTATCGATAAATCCTAAGAGTTTTTATTTTTTAACCCGTATGGCAGCTCTTTAGTGTTAGAAAGCGCATATTTGTGTGGCGGACTTTAAGTTTTTTTGTTTAAATTTAAATATAGTGCTAAACGAATTTACATATGAAGATATGATTCTTCTTAGCCAATAATAATATAAATTTTTAGCGGCATATACCTTTTTAATAAGAAAATGCATATAAAGCAAGAATAATAGTATGTCAACCAATACTTACTGGCACACCCATAAAAATCTGCTGTAGTATATCTGTTATGAGCTGGTGGCATAGTCGGTCCATAACCCTGTTAAAAATTTAGTTGTTTTAAAAAAGTACTTTAATTACAATTAATATAATAATAATTATGGTGTGAAAGAATATATAATCATGATCATTATATTAGTGTTGTCTGAAATAAGTAAATTCTATTTAATTTAAATGAAAACAAACAGCCATCAAAAATGATTAATAATTAGATCAAACATTTTAAATAATTATGAAATTGAATTATCAATCAATTGATTGTTAAAACGCTTGTATTGTTTCTTGATGCCGTTTACTAATTAACTCAAATATTGATTGCAATCCATTCTTTGCGTAGCGCTCGACGAAAGTGAACCCTTGAGCCCCTCAGTATGGAAATTGATCGCTCTCGGGCACAGATTAGACTACGGGGTGAAATGTTTTACAGTAGAATAGGACGGGTTCAGCGGCCGTATGTGTGACTTAATAATAAATTGTCGTAAGCAATACACATATTTCAAAATTACATAACCGCAATAAAGTCTTGCCTTTCGAAAACATCTAGTGGCTAGATACATTATAAAAATGAACATTTATACTCACAAATGTATGTTCATATATATAGATTAGGTCATGCAGTACATATACTATACAATTACTTAAAATAATAATTTTCTAAACTTCTTCCTTATTTATTCTCCTGCTTCTATGAAAAATTAAATTCACACGGAAAAGTGAAATCACAAGAACGGGACGCATCAAAAAAAAAAAAAAAGAAAGGCAAACCTAAAAACGAGGAAAAATCTACTAAAAAAAGTGTACATAACGAAAGGGTTTAATCATTTTTTCTAAATAGACAACCTTGTGTAGAAAAAACGCAGACATAAACATGTGTGGCCAAGGGACAAGGCGATCCCGCCGCTTTGTTTGAATTGAAAAGGAATCATCACAAATACTCAGCTCAGCTCAGCTCGCATAGGCCTGGCATAGGTAATTTGCATACGCAGCCCGCTTCGCTCAGTTGATCGGCGGCACAGCGAGCGAACCACCACCACCACCACACACCACAGAGGCGACTCTATCTGGCGGCTCGCAGCCTTATCTATTTGCTCAGGTAAAAAGACTCACACGCATAAACCGAGGCACGTTCGGAATGATAAATAATTTTTTTAACCAATTTTTTATGAATTTTTTATGAATTTTTTTCACTTTTTTTTGCCACTTTCAATTTTTTGTGCCGCCCGTTATTCAAATTTCGTTCTGAGCCTGTCGTGTGAAGTTGTCTTGTGAAGATTTTGCCTTGAGCACAGACGGCAAGGATGCGACGAAGCCTGGGAACTTCCGTGTAGCAGCAGCATCATCGTTAGATGTCCTTTTGTATATCTACCCATTTATTTGAGTATACACGTACATGTTTGCTAGTTGGCATGCCACAGTTAATTAACGTTTCTCATGGCAAATAGAACTGACTTTTGTTAAAGTGAAAGATCATTTCTACAATACAAGTAGAGCGGTGAAATATTTATTGCAAATATTACACAATACTCTGTAGTCTAGTAACAACATTTACATACTTGTATTTTAATGAAGAAAACTAAATGGCAAATACTTAAACAAGAGTTTGATTTTATATCTGCTATGAAACTATGTTTTCCTTAGAATAGAGAATAGATAAATTTCTTGATTATAAGAAACTCTGTACATCTGAATCTATATTCTTACATACTCAATTCCACTACAGATCAGAAAATAATACAGCTCTTTTTGCTGAAACTTGGACGGACTTTCTGAAATTATTTCTAAATTTATTTAAATGCCTGGGAATATCTCCGGTCAATTTTACATTCAAGAAGTAAAATAACTCCCCAAGCAAAGAATAGGCTTCAATTCTTTATAAAAAAGATAAATCAGTGGTAGTGACATATTCGAAATAAAGTCCCGAATGTTTTGCTGGTCTACCCGTAATACATCACGAACTCCTATTCATTTGCCCTGACTTATTTCCCAAGATCGTTTCAAAATAAATGTACATATATTTAAATTTTTTGCTTCTAATATACGTGTAACTATTATATTTATATATTTCGTTTATATGACTCGTTTTAGGCTCAAGCTGTCGTTTCGAGATTATTATTCCACTTGAGTCTGTTGGCAGCTGCTATTCTAATGATCTATTGACTCTAAGCCGCAGCGATTATGTTGCTGCATTTCCTATTTAGAAGGCTTACATGTAATTTTGGTTTGCGTTTCGCATCAGCTTAATATGCAAATTGCGTGCATTGCTAAAAGAAAATGTAACCCTAATCGTATTTAGTTGCTCATTAGATTTGCGTGCTCATAATTGCATTTTACAATGTTTGACAACATAGCAACGTCAACAGCTTTCGAAGCGGATTTGCCTTCAGTCCTGCAAGGCGGTGGCCTACAAATTAGCATATGCGAAATGCTGTTGCAGAAATGTGCAGCAACCCGTCCGAAATTTGCATAACTAAGCCATGGGAACAATGCAAATGCGCAAACAAGGGAACATCTTGTAAATATTGCAGGCAGGACGCAAAATATAATCCGCTAAGTGGGCACACTCCGGGGGTAATTTTTCGATTTTGCGAAACTCTCACACTCGCACATACTATTCCCGTTAATTTGCCAAAAGGTATTTTAAGAGGGACACACAATGTTAAGTGGCAATTCAATGATTTGATCTCGCGGCCACATTGTGGCTCTTGCCTGTAATATTCGAAACTGCCAGACATGGCACCGACAGGTAACAGCACTTCGCACTCACACACAGACAGACAATCTTGCACAGAACAGGTGGCAAGAGAGCTCTCCCACCTGCATGCTCTCTCTCCCGCTCTTGCTGCACAGCAGCGCTCTCTTTTCGAACCATTTTCTGTTGCTCACTTTCTCCGTTTGTCTGCCTGGCCTTGTCCGTGGCTGCGGCTGCGGCTGTGGCTGCCTCAGTGGTTCCGTATCGGCCACTTTGCCAAGCGGCGAGAACCTTTCGTGCTGGTCAGTTCGTTTTTGGCCTTCGCAAGGTGCGCATTGCAGTTGCTCGGTTGTGAAGACTTATTTCAAGGCGCAGTCGCAACAGTTTGTTTGTTTATTCCATTAACCTGTTGCGCCCACAGCAGCGGTGTGTTTGTGTATGTGATTTGTCTGTGTGTTGTGACAGACAGACTTTGCATACGCACCAGTTGGCAAGGTGGGTGTGTGTGTGTGTGTGTACTTTTTTCTGGTGCATTCCCATAGATTGCAAGCAATTCCTCGCACGCATCTATGGCATTGGCGCTTCTGCTACAGGCACAGTTATGCGTTACCGTTAAGATACTCGTAATTTAAGAAAAAGTCGCATAACTTGTTGTTCTATATATGTACATACATACATAGTATGTATAAATTCATGTATGTGTGTGTGTGTGTAAGCTGTTAACTGTTTGCGTTTGTGCCAACACTCAAGTCTGTGGTATGCCCGGGACTTTTATTGAAGTGCTAAAAACGAAAGAAGTTTAAAAACAAACGGACTATTTGCAAATTTGAATGAATCTCAATAGTTTAAACGGCACAGAAGTGTGCTTCTGAGTATGTGCGTGTGTGCTTGTGCTTTGAAGTGTGTGTGCCGATGGCATTCGTCGCCTTCTTAAGCTTCTGACCGCGTACGTTACGCCCGGCCAATACCGTTAGCCGTTGAACGTTTTGTGTTTGTTGTGATGTTGTTGTATATTGACACAGTCACAATGAAAGAAATTCTTTTATTCTTTATTATTTCACCGTGAAATTCAAATAAGCAAATAGAACTTGGCAGTGCCTCTGGCAGTATTGGGAACGTTGGGAGTGTTTGTAACGTATATATTTACATACATATGTATGTGCATACATATACTCGTATAGGTACGTATGTATGTTTCTACATACATACATACATACATACATATGTACATGTATGTAGTCGTGCACACTTCGCATGCCAAACTCACAGAGCGACGCACCTTATGCATTTGACCCACTTTTTGGTAAAACGAAGGCGGCAGCTACTTCAGTGCCGGATTTTGTATGCATGGCGTAGGCGGGGAAAGGAGAGAGCTTTTGAGTAAAGCAACCATTTGTGAATCGAACAAATATGGCAGGGATTTATTAGAAATACAGAAAAAACATTATTTTGAGTTCTTCGTTTATCGTTTTCGTTTAAAAGTATGCCTTAAATGATATACTAGTAAATAAATATATATTTAAAAAAGTGCAGTAGACTTTATCTGGTGCAAGCTCCAAAAACGGTTAATTACTGGAACGTTCGGAAAAGTTTTAAATTAATTTAATTTAGAAAAAGCGTGAATATATAAAAGATTATATATTTTTCGTATGACGATAACAATTTTTGCTATATGTGATAATAATAATTAAAATAGACATACACGATCTTTCTTATTCAAATGTTAATTTACCAGATTTGCATTTTTAAAAATGCAAAAAACGACACCACGCAATTGGAAAAATTAAAAAAATTGAAGGTAGGAAAATAATAGACTGTAGGTATTAAAATAATAATTTATTTTAATTGAAAGACTTACTGAGAATATCTTAGACAACGAAACCAGTTAGATTTGCTTGACGCCGCTTTCTAAAAACCTGACTTATAGAATGAGAAGTGCTAAGCACATGCAGCGACGCACTAAATTTCGGTTTTAATTGGTCGGCCCTTCAAGAAATTTCCGGTCTGTGTGACTCGTAGAAAGCGCCGCAATGTAATGTATGGCAATGGCACGTGACCCACGCGGATTGTTGTCCATTGACGTTGGTTGTAAGCCGTCAAATTTGCTACCTAGTTGACCACTACAGATGTTGTCAATTCTTTGTCGTATTTGTCAAATGCAAAACGTAATTCCTCCTTTCATCTCTGCTCGTACTTTCGCCAGAGATATGATTTTAAGATACGTCGCAGCAATGTTTTGAGCAGATGTACGGGGCCGTGTGATTTCTGTTGTATTTACTTACTTTCTATTTCATTCAGGAATGTTTTTAATTATTGTGCATAAACGGTTAATTGTTCGACGACGGCACCATCGATCTCATGTCCCGTTTCAAGAATACCGTTGCGCTTATTACTAACTTTGTCGCGAGCCAGTGACCATCAAGCGTAAGCCTGTTTTGGTTTGGCTTTTTCTATTTTTATATACATACATACATACATATGTACATATGTATTTATTTATGTATTTCTACGGCCCACAAATATTTGCATTGCGTTGAGGCAGAATGGAATGGTGCGTGATGCACCAAATGGAACCAGTTTGGAACGTTGCCCAACATACCTTCAATTTCAGCACACATTTTTGTTTCCATTCTTGTTCTGACTCCGCAACCTAAATACATTTATTAAACCATAATCCACAGCCAGTCCAAATGAAGAACGAATGGTTTGGGCTTGAGTGGTTTCTGTTGTTGTTGTGGCTACTGAGGTGGTGCTGGTGGCTCGTGTGCCCATTACACGCTTACGCTTTTAGCATGCATGACGACGGCAACGTCTCAATACGTATACGTAATATTCAAATGGGAATTGGGAAAGACGGAAAGTCGGAACGACTGTGCCACAAACGGCCATACCACTAACCATAGCACGCAGATTTGTCTGTCAGAAACAGAAGGTTCGTCTTCTTATGCGCTTTCCACGAAGCGTCAAACTGGTTTACGGATCGGGTTCTTATCAGCTTCGGATTGTGGCCAACTCTTGCAGCACTCTTTCTAACTTGCGTCACCTATCGGACGCACTGCTCTCTTTCAGAAGTACTCGTTGGCAGGTCACTGGTCATATAGTGCTGATCTCGAGGTATTGGCAATTTCATTTTTATCTGCAACAGCAACATTATGTCAGAAGTGGCTGCCGAGGCTGTGTCATCAGCCACAGGTAGCAAGCTGACACATGGAACGACTTTCACTTTGACTGCTTGGACCGGCGCTAATTATCGCACTTTTTCTCTCTACCTTCACTCAGATTCTTGCAGCGAAATGAGCACGTGTTGACACCGATACGAAGTTGAGCAATGACACATCTTTTACTCCCCACAAAAACAAAAAGATACGTAAACATGCAGGGCACGAGATGTACTCTTGTTTTGCTCTTAGCTCTACTAGTTAGCGCACAAGATCGAGTAGCTCAGGCCCAAGAGGATTCTCTGGCAGGCAGCTTTTTGTCAGGTCTGCTAGATACGATCACAAACCGGGTGGATGCCAAAGACTGTCCGGGAACATGCGTTCATACCCTCGCCACTCTCATCTGCTACGAAGTACTAGATGATGTGCCCTGTCCCTCGCCCAGCATGAAGTGCTGCATCGAGAATGAATCAGGTGAAATAAATTCAATAAAACAGTATTTTTATTTTACTAACTACGTTTTTGCAGGCAAAAATGTAACTACAGTGCGGTCCACAACACCAAAAACCCCAGCTACAACAAGCCCAACAACACTTCGCACATCAACGACCAAGGCGACTACGCCTAGCACAACAACCACCACAACCACTTCGACCACACCCAAGCCCAAGCCCTTGCCGAAGCGTCCAGTGTCTACAACAGCTGCCGCAGCAACATCCAAAAAGCCCGTGGCCACCAAGAAACCCTCGACTGTGAAGCCGAAGGAGAAGGAAGAGTCCCCAAAAGTCGATGACGAAAATAGTAAGTTGTAAGCCAAAGCCTGCCGAATCGTACTAAGCCGTGATTCACAGAGAATTGCACCGGCGTCTGCGTAGCCGATCGCATTGCCGAGTACTGCGAAGCTTATCTGACCAGCAATGGCCTGTGCAAGGAGGGCACCAAGTGCTGTGTATCGCTCGATGAATATGCGAATGGCAAACTGCCGAAGGATATCTACATACCAGCTAGTAAGTCATCAACAATCTCGGGGTCCCGAACTTTTTTTCACCCTCCAATTCATTGCAGAGCACATGGGCAACCTTAAAACCAATCAGACAGTTGGAAAGACACCCATGGCAAGCAAGCCTGCCGCCTCAAAGGCTACAACTTCCACCAGTACGACGACGTCTACAACTAGAACAACAACAACTACGACAAGTACCACACCCGAACCAGCCCGGACCAAGAATAATGGGGGCCATGGCAAGCCAAACAAACACAAGAAGCCAACAACTACAACAACCACTGAGTCTGATGCAGCAGCGGCCGATGATGACGACGAGGAGGAAGACGAAGCAGAGGAAGCGGCGGAGTCTAGCAACAACAAGCTCAAGTCTGGCACCTCAAATGGTCAGGTGCTCAAAGAATGCGAGGGCGAATGCATGAATGGAATATTTGCAATATTTTGCGACGACATTGACTCAGATGCCTTCTGCCCAGGCGAAGGCAGTTGCTGCGTCACGGGCACAGCATCAGAGGCGGTCCCAACAAAGGCTACACCCACAAAACCAGCGGTTAAGATTGCCTCAAAGCCGGCTGCAAAGCCAAATAGACCCGTTCCTCCATCTCCTCCGCCTCCTCCATCAAGCAGCCAAGGCGGTGGGGATCTACTCTCTCAGATCATATCATTTGCGGAGAGTACATTGAATTCTCCTGCACCGCCGGCGCCACCACCACAACCACAGGCGCCACAGCAAGTTCCTCGCTGTCCCGGTTTCTGTCTGCTAAATATAATGGCAGCCTTCTGTGAACGGCCCTCCATTCTGGTCTCTACACCCACAACATGCGCCAAAGGCTCCGTTTGCTGTGACAACTCAAGGTAAGTTGCTCTCTTTCGCTTAAACACTCATCAGTCTATGTATTTTGTGTCCCACAGAGCCGGTGCTCCGAGGCCCAAGCTTCCGCCACCAACACCTTCTCCGACAGTTGCTCCAACAGCACCGCCCTATGTGCTTCCAAATACTCCCAGTCCTGATCCTCGGGAGGAATGCCCCGGTTCCTGCATTGTCAGTCTGCTGAGCTTCACTTGCTTCAGTAAGTACCAACACAAGTTTCTCCCACAGGCTTTTAATGACCAATTTGCTTTTAGAAAATGCCGAGATGACCGATCTCTTCAGATGCAAGCGTTCAGGACAAATATGCTGTGCACCCAAGAGTAAAATACTTGAGAAACAACAGTTTCAGACCCGGAACGACACGGCCTATTTCAATTACCCGCCACCACCTCCCATGGGGCCACCACAGCCCTATCCTCAGCCGCCCCAACAGCAACCACCTCCGCCACCGTACTCGCCCTCCGCGTACATGCCTAGCCAGCCACAGGCAGTCCCACCCCCACCACATATATACCAGCAGGGACTGCCAGCTCCTCAGCCACCAGTGGTGCAACAGCATCCCAGCTACGCTGACTACTACGGCCCTCAGCAGTCGGGATTGCCCCCGCAACCACCTACAACTACACCAACCACGACAACAACGACAACCTTGCGTCCACGGCCTCACGTCTACTCTAAATACGTATGCGGAGTAAAGGGCACACTACGCACCGGCCGCTCTACCAACACTTCTCCGTCGCTCTCGCTAATCTCATATGCACGCGCCAAGTATGGACTGGAACGTTCGGCTCGCCAGTTGACCACGCCCTACTCCAGCAGCCTGAACAAGTCAACGGAACGTTTGGTCCTCGGCTCCGCTATTGTTCCCATACAGATCCATAACGACAAGCTTGGCGACCTGGTGGACACAGGCAGCGTGGAGAGCAATCAATTGCGTGCATATCACGAGCAGCCGCAGGCCCAAGCTGTTGTCTATCCCGACACAGAAATGCGCCAATACTATCAACGTTCGACGAATTACACCTCCCGTAGAAGAGCACGAGTAGTTGGCGGTGAGGACGGAGAAAACGGCGAATGGTGCTGGCAAGTAGCGCTAATCAATTCGCTGAATCAATACTTGTGTGGCGCAGCGCTTATCGGCACCCAATGGGTGCTCACTGCAGCACACTGTGTGACCAAGTAAGTAAGCCATCGATAGCCGTTTCCCATTTTCGCTGGTCACTTTCTCATTTTCCAGCATTGTGCGCTCCGGTGATGCAATCTATGTGCGGGTGGGCGACTACGATCTGACACGGAAGTACGGAAGCCCGGGTGCACAGACACTGCGAGTGGCCACCACCTATATACACCACAACCACAATAGTCAGACGCTGGACAATGACATTGCATTGCTGAAGCTACATGGCCAGGCGGAGCTACGGGACGGGGTTTGTCTCGTTTGCTTACCGGCACGTGGAGTTAATCATGCCGCAGGCAAGCGTTGCACAGTCACCGGCTATGGCTATATGGGTGAAGGTAAGTTGGGAAAATAGCGTAACATGATAATAACTGACAAAAATAAACCTGCTTGCTTGACAGCCGGACCCATTCCTCTGCGAGTACGTGAGGCCGAAATTCCCATTGTCAGCGATACCGAGTGCATTCGCAAGGTGAACGCGGTCACCGAAAAGATCTTTATTCTACCCGCTTCCAGCTTCTGTGCCGGCGGCGAAGAGGGTCACGACGCTTGTCAGGGTGATGGCGGCGGTCCGCTTGTCTGCCAGGATGATGGCTTCTTTGAGCTGGCTGGCCTTGTCTCGTGGGGCTTTGGCTGCGGACGAGTTGATGTGCCCGGCGTCTATGTAAAGGTCTCCTCTTTTATTGGGTGGATCAATCAAATCATCAGCGTAAATAATTTATAGTGGCCAAGCCCCCTTTAGCTCCAAGTCGTTGGGAACCCCGCACTTGTAGCTAATTCTATTCAGAAGTTCTCCACTTGTAGAATTGTCTACGATTGCAAGGGGTTTTGTGAGCTCCTTCTGACTGTTAACGTAAACCCATCCTAGTGTAATATTATCTTACTTATTTATATTTTAAAATACATAAGTACATGTTTTCATACAAACAATTAGAAAAAATGCCGTTTCTTTGACGCAATCACAAGTTCTTAGGTTTAAGAGCGAATAATTCGTTAAAATACATGCACAGATTTTACAACTAATAATAAAACCTTTTGTAAAATGTATTTGTATATAAAATTACAAAAATAAAAATCAAACAATACATTTATTTAAAATACAAACCGATGAGAGAATGAAGCCCCCTGGGAGTAAAGTGTATTTTCAATAAAAAAAAAAAATTATTTTATTACTCGATGAAATGATCTAACCACATAACATCTTTAATAACTACTCGATCAAATGATCTAACCACATAACATCTTTAATAACTATATACTTTCTCTATAGGTGTAAAATAAAAACGTTGGCCTCTCTGAGTGGTACAGACTTACACAACAAAATCCATAAACGATAATAAATTCTTTCTACACAAAATTTAATGAGTTGGAAACTAACTACACTTCTACATTTATCTCGTCAATTGGTTTTTGTCTAGATATATAAAAAAATTAAAAAGCAAAAAGCAATTACGAAATTTCAACTCTAAAGCTGAAATTATATCGGCCCTCGAAATGATCAGTTGAATCAGGCTCACGACTCGGTGCAAATCATTTTGTACTTATATGGCAGAGCTCCACAGCCAATTGGGTTCCAGAATTATGCTTCTTTCTTTCTTCTAAGCATTTGAAAAGAAAAACCAATAGCCAACATTTTTCATATTTATTGTGATAAGCTGTAATTTAAATTTATTACGTTTGAATTTAATATTTATCTTTAAACCAGACTGAAATTTGTTCTGACAAAATTTAAATTTTTGATAATTAAATGAATTGAAAATGTTATAAGTATTTTGCTATTGGTTAAAAATATCTTCAGCGTACACAGGGTTCAACGGCCTTCTGATTGCTTCCTACTTGATGATAGTTTAAAGGAAACCTTAGTGACTAAATAATAATACAAAAGCAGAGAATTAACGACCCTTAACAACCCTCAGAAATAAGTGCAATATAAACTTAAAAATATGTATAAAGCGTAAGAAGTAGAACAACAGTTCGTATTTCGTTTTTTTAAATGCAGAAAAGCCATCTTTGAATTCATATTTCAAACTAATTTTCGTAATATATTCTAGAATCTCTAACGGAAAATGACAGAAAAAAATCGGGTCACAATGAGTGAAATGAGTCAAGGTGAAAAAGGATTCTTGGAAAAGGCTATGCTGTCTCTAACTTTTTTCTGTTGAAAAGAAAACATTCGGAGACATAAACTCAGCCTTGGAAGACTTTTGAGATATTTGTGAGAGGCGGATCGGCTTCGATCTGCGCTCAAAAAACCCTCTCAGAGTACGACACTCCGATGATGACTCGTGTCTAATAAGAATCTTTCAGACCGGTCGCTCAAATGCTATACAGTTGAAAACCCTCGGTCATTATAATTGTGTGTATGTGCGTGTATTTGTGCGCATGCGTGCGAGCGTAGTTCGTAAAAAACATACCCTGGTCCATGAGTGAAACATGGAAGCGCCAATATCTGCGCTCTGCATTCTTTTCCCTTGTGTGTATGCCTGTGTGTGTGCGTCTGTGTGTGTGTGTCTCTGTTTTTTCATATCCCTTTTAACCCTTCCGATCGCACCGTCTGCGGCGTGATTGTATGTACGTGTTTTTCTTCTCTTCGAAAGTATCTCAAAGATGTTTCCCTTGAAGAAAACGAAAGCGGTCGCCTGTCCATCGCAAAACCAAAAGGGTACCAAAGCTGTCCACGCCGAGACGCGACAACAGAAGTTCGTCTGGCCTCGAGCTGAGCAGATGGCAAAGATCTTGCGCGCATTCGTGTGTTTCTCAAGATTCTCTATAGAACAATTTTATATAATTTTCAAGCGCAACGTATTTTATAAATACAAATTATTCTAAGCAATATTAATCAACGCGAACAACGGCATTTCAATATATTTAGTGTAGTTAATGTGCATCGTGTAGTGTAATCAGTGACTTGTTTGTTTATTTGTTTGTTTGTTTGTTTGTTTGTTTGCTCATCCCTTGAATTAATTTAGCTTCGATTTTTTGATTTGCATGCTTTTGGTTTTGTTTTCGTTGAGTTGAGTTCAGTTTATTGGGTTTGTTATTATCTGGTTCTTGCCATTGTCATCGGCATCGGCATCGACATCGCCATAGTCGTGGACAATTATGGAGACGAATTCTCCGACATCAGCGACAGCAACAACAACTGCGCCGACAACGGCATCTACAGCGACAACGCCTGCTGCCATAGTCGCCTCTCCAACTGCCCCGTCTCCAGCAGCTAGCAGTAAGAGCCATCACAGCCTGGGCGCCGTGAGCAGCGGCAGTACCGGAACCGGAAGCCTTTCTGCAACAGCAGCCGCCTGCTCCCTACCTGCCACGCCTACCGCCCTCGCACAGTCACAAGCGCCGCCATCGGTCCCCGCCCTGCCCCAGCTCCTGACAACAGCCATCGATGTGGCCAAGCAAGACGACATCCACAATCTATCGCTCGCCAGCGGCTTGTCTGAAGGACAAAGATCACTCTCTGGCGCACCGTCGGCATCGTCAAGTCCCATTCTAAGCCCACAAGGAAAAATCTTTGGGCGAAACGCAAATGGTACAAGTAAGTGGAACATTTTTCATTCAAACTATCCATCATACTTGGTACAAAAAATATTCCGCGGGAACAAATTTTGGGAATTGATGTAAATAGGGAAAAGTATTTAGGTATTTTTAAATAATTAGCATTTGTATATTTTGGCAGTATTGGAATTTCTTATGAAGGGAAATGAAACCAATTTTGCTTACAGAATATTATTATGAATATTAAATTAAAGTTGTTTGTTTAGGGAAAACTGATTAAACAAATAAACCTGAAATTAATAGGTGAATTGTTTGTGGTTAATGTTTAAATGTTTGATTAGCAAGAGCTATACAAAATACAAGTACTTGAACTCTTCCTATATTAGAGTACTATTTTCCTAATTCATATAATATTAATAATATACATTTTTTACAAGTACTTCTGATTAGACAGGCGAGAAGAAGATTATTGTCGTTTCAGTCAATTATATGTTTTATAGAATTACTAGAGATGCTAGGTTATTTAAAAGAAACAACATTTAAATGTTTTTCTAGTAGCCTCTGGTAAGTTAGTTTCTCAATCATAAATTTAATTCCAATTTAATTGTATTTAGTTTTTAATTGTTTATGTATTTTTCCTAATTTGATTCGAAAATAATATATGACAATTGCAAAGACAATTGAGGATTTGTTGCTGTCAGTTATTCCGAATTTTGGTACATTTATTGGGAATAGTGTACAGTAATATGAGCAGTTGGCTGGCAAATTTAAGTCATTTACCCAAGTAACTAATGTGTTATAAAGCGACTGAAGTGCTCTACATAACGAGGAAATCCTTTTTGTTGTCTTAATTTTACGAGTTAATTACGAAAATAACTTTATAATGTTTTTAAGGTATAATAAGAACCAGCTATGTACATATGGTACATAAATAATGATTCAAATGAGGAGTTAATGTGTCAGCTTGCTGAAGGACGCTTTAAATTATAGCTTTTACATTTCTTAAGAAGTTTTCTTACGAATATGCTGTTTTTGACAGTGCAGGCTCCTCCCTTTGCTTGTTATGAAAATTCATAGTTTTCATTTTGGTAGGCAGGACCTATAATCTATAACTATTATTTATGTTATTGGTAGTGCAATACTTGATCAAAAAAAAAAAAAAAAAAATATTTACAAAATATTGCCAAACATCAAACGGATATTTGAAAATTTTCATGAAAAAGATACATAAATTAGTTTAAGTTTGTTTCAACTGTCCCGCAGATTAGGCTTAGAACATTCATGAATATTTTCAATATCGTTGAGCTCTACAAGTTCCCGCAAAAACGAATATATTTCGAAACATGGTTCTTACTATTAAATTCAACAAAAAGGACCTTTGCATTTTCAAAAAAGTTATGCTTGTCATGGATCTTTCAAAAGCTTGACAAGGCACTCCCATACTTAGTGTTGTTTGTTGCTTCTCGTAACGGAAAGTTCTCTCACAAACAATAGAAAAGTTGCCGTTTCCATTGTCTGTGTAGAATTGAAGGAACAATTCCGGTTTCCATTTCCTTGGTGCAGCTTTGCAGAACAGCCCAGAAAAAAAAATCACTCAAGACTGGGCGTCATTTATTTCTATTTATACACTCAGTAGCTCTCCTAGACTAGGTAGCAATGGCAGATGCCTGAGGAGCGCGCCAATGAGATGAGCCCGTTCCACAGGTATAACGGTTGTTGTTGCCTGCCGTTAGGTTTCAGGGGCTATAGAAAAAAATGGGACTGACATTGATAGGCTCAGGCCGGCGGTGGCACGGTGAGAAACTCACCCCCAAAGCAAGTCAGGGTGGAAAACACACACACACACATACCAATATACATACATAATTCGGTGGATAGATGTTGTGCTATGTGCGTGTGTTTCGAAATGTCGTTGCGCATGCGCTGCAGCTTTATGGTTATGGTCGCGTTGTGGTGCTTGGTATTGTGAGGCTGGTGCTTCGTTTTTGTGATGTGCGTTTGAATTCCTTGGCTGTCCTGGAGCTGCCGCCACACGGTCGCTTCGGCTATTAGCACGTACGCACCGTTCAGTGGCATTGCCGTCAAGTTATTGCCACCAATGGAATTTTGATCGACAAGAATTTGGTCGTTTAAAAACTCGGTTTTAATTTATCGTTGTATATGAGAAATAGTTTCGGTTACTTGCCATTGGCAGCTCTCCACCATGGCCTGGCCAGTGTGCGCGTCCTCATTGACTTCTGTTTCTGTCGCAATCGAAGCAATCGCACGATTGACTGACTGGTCCATGTCCATGTCCATGTCCACGCAAACTCCCCACACACACACACACACACACACACACACACAAACACACTCGCTTACACACAGACTCACACTCACAAGCCACACGATGGCGCATCGTAAGCATCTCTGGCCCGTCTGTCTGTCTGTCTTTCTGTCTGCCCGTCCCTGCCTGCCTGCCTGCCTGCCTTCGGGCATTGGGGGACATTGGGGGACAGTGTCTGCGTCTGCCGCTGTTGCTTGGTATGTGGCGTCGAATGTCATTATTGCTTTCAAGTGCCAACTAAAAAGCTCCTGCAGTTAATTTTTTGTCCATTTTTGCCATTTGCAGCATAAAAACAACATATTTAGCAAATGACAATAACAACAACAATAACAACAACAACAACAACAACGGCAATAAGAACAGCAACAGTGGCCAGCAGAGGCGGCCTGCAACACAACAACAAACATAGCCAGGCAACATTAACAGTAGCAGTTGCAGACTGGTCAGCAGCAGTAGAAGCAACAACAAAAAATCCTGAAAATTAAATAAATAAAAAAATTCAACAAGAACTAAAACAACACCAACAACAACAACAACACCAGCGAGTATAAGAAACGGCCATAGGCTGTGGTGATGATGGCCTCGCCAAGAAGCCGCAGCCAGAAAATGTGGCGGGGCACATTATTTGTGTATTGAAATCACGTCTCATTTATTTATTTCTGCAAACGCAACCACCCCGCCACTGCCCCCTTGGTCGCAACAAGCGCCAACTTACGTAAAGATTGTGCCCGCGTTAAATAGAGGCAGCAAATAGAAAAGAAGAGTGGCTTTCGTAGGACTTAACCCGTAGAACGCAACAGCATATTAATCACAAGCCAATCAATCAGATTTTAACTAACAGCCTCATTGAGTTTGAATTGGTTGAGTTATAGATCCAGTCTTTCATAATACAAATTCAAATAAGTGGGAAAATTTAGAGCTAACATTACATATAACATAACATAACGTATAGACTATATGTCTTCTTATGTCCGTCTTTGTAGAATTTTATAGAAGTTCTTAAAAACAAGACTCAAATTACTTAAAGGTGTGTTGGTATTAATTTCTCATAATTAATTTCGTGGCAAACTTAAAATTGGTGTAGAAATTGTTTGCCGATGTATCCTCTGTGCTTTCTGGGGTTAATGATTGGCACCACGTATTGGTAGTAACAACTACAGCTACCTAGTTGCTGGTGGATGCGCTTGTTGCTGTTGTTGTTGTTGTTGTTGATTCTGTCGTTGCCATTGGCGCAACGACCAGCGACGACGCAGATCTGGCAAACCAAGGAATATAGAATTGAAAAGAAAGAAGAGTGGAGAGCAGTGGAGTGGAGTGTTGAAAAAAAGCAATGTTTTAATGTACGTGGCTTTTTATTTTGCCCTGTTTTGTTATAATTTAGTTGGCCAAGCAGCTCGTTTTTCTATTAATTAAAGTTGGTAGCGCACACCGAGAAGCGCCGCATCTACGACGACTCCAACAATGTGGATGGGGACGATCGTGCGGCAAGGAGCGAGAGAGAAGGGGGTTCCAGGCATGCCTGGCGTCGTATGCGTAGCGCGGCCGTTTCTTTTTAGCGCGATGTCTTCGCTCAACTCGGCTAAAATATTCTCACATAATTATTTACGATTTGACATAATCATCAATGTCGATGCCACGACATCGCCGCGTCCATGGCCGTGGTTAGGTCCTCAGAAGCTATTACGGCTTTAAATTGTGGTGCCATAACAGTAGCTGCTGACCTGGTCGGGCTCCTTAATGAGGCCCAATAAATTGCATAATATTTCAGTTGAAAATAGTTAAGCTCACAGGCAGATGCACAAATTTCAATTTCAGAAATTCACACGAAAACATTTGGGATTTTTCATAAAAAAAATGTTGAAAGTGATAAAAATTTAGAATTAAAAAAAAAAGATTAAAATGATGCTGCGCATGCGTGACGCATTTCTAACGAGTTCTTCCTTCATCTCTGTCAGTCTGTACGCAAGTCCTTGCCGCAGCCGTCGCAACTCGAGGACGAAAGGGTTGCGCCACATACACACGAGCCTACACACACACACACACACATATAAAATTTGCTTATGCAGATGAGGGCAACTCTTTCTTGTCCTTCTGTGTGCTTTTTCGTGTTTTTTTTTTTTTGCCCGTTGTTTGTGTGCATTGCTAAGCAGCTACAGGGGTTAGGGTCCAAACGTCCGTCGACCATTTTTTTCGTAGGTTTTTTATATAAAAGACGAATTTAATTAAAGTTTTTTTCTTATGGCTTGGCAACGTTATGAGAACGGGCAGCGGAGCCAGCAAGAATTTGAGGTAGAAGCAGTTTTTCAAGCTCTGTTCTTTTTATTCTTCTTCTGCAGTGATCACAACCTCTAGACCGGGCAATGAGGCTGAAATGCAGCTGTACCGAGTCCTACAGCGAGCCAGCCTCTTGGCCTACTACGATACGCTGGTCGAGATGGGCGGCGACGATGTGCAGCAACTGTACGATGCCGGCGAGGAGGAGTTCCTGGAGATTATGGCGCTGGTAGGCATGGCCTCCAAGCCATTGCACGTGCGCCGACTGCAGAAGGCGCTGCATGAGTGGGCGAACAATCCGGCGCTTTTCCAGGGTCCCATGCTGCCGCATATTAGCGGTAAGTTCTTATAGCCCTTGGTTGTTATTTCTACTAAGCTAGCATGACATGTTTTCAGGACTCTGTGAAACTCCGCCAAAGCCCTCCATCATCTTCAATCCCGATACGACGCCAGCCCTACCTCGCAGTAAATTTCCCTCTTTTAACCCCGTCAGCACCTTTCAGTCCAGCTCTCTATTAAATCCCGCCCAGCCAAGTGCCGCCGTGGCCACAGCAGCGGCATCGGCACACCTACTAACACAGATCAGTGCACCGGTCATGTCCGTGCCCGTCATCCAGACCCACTCTTCGCTCGTTCTGCCCACAACCTTGTCCTGCAATCCTAGTCCCTTGCAGCTTAGCACGCCGCAGCAAACGAGCAGCACTGTAACGGGCCCCGCTTCCGTTGCTAGCACCGCCCACCAAGTCTCCTCCAGCTCCCCACAACTGACCCCGGTGCTCACCGAGCTGCAAGTGCAGCGCATCACCCTCGGGGCCGAGAAGATAGCCCGGCAGCTGCCGCAGCGAGAGCCTCGTGCCCAGACATCCAAAAAGCGAACCACACGTGAGCTGGAACAGGTGGTGGCTATGAGTGAACATGACCCGCGCCGCATGGACGAGATCCGTAAGTACTCGGCCATCTACGGCCGTTTCGATTGCAAACGGCGACCAGAGAAGCCTCTAACGCTTCACGAGGTGTGTGTCAATGAAGCTGCGGCGCAGCTCTGCCGTTTGGTGCCGGCGCTTCTCACGCGTCGAGATGAACTCTTCCCGCTGGCCCGTCAGATTGTCAAGGACGCTGGGTTTGGGCATTCCGCAAGCATTGCCCGCTACGGCGGCCTGCTGTCACAAATACACGCCCAGGGCACACAACGCTCCACATGCATGGCCGTGGATTGCGAGTCGAGTGACGCTGCCTTGCCTCCAAAGCGCCAGCGACTCTCCTCCACCGAGGCAGCACAGTTGCCCATGGACGTAAGCCGGGTAAGAAAGAATGATTCTGTAGAGCCGTAACTGACGCAACTGACGCGGCTGATAAAGTGCTTCTTTGCTTTTGCTTCAAGGCTTTCAAGCTTGAGAAAGCATACTTTCTCCCTAACAAATATTTGCTTTGCAGCTTATTCATCCACGGTTTACTAACATTTGCAGCGACCTGGTTAGGTGTAATGGCATAGGGCGCTCATTGTGGTTGCACCATCTAGGAGGTGTCGGCATTATTGTAAATTAGTCATCATGCAATGTATTGTATTGTGGTGGTATTAAGTTTCATAATCCCTATAACCATACATCATCTTTTAACAAATGAATAACAGTGCATAAAAGTTTTATTGTAACTAGATTTTTTATTTGTTTTTAATTTAGTTACAACTAACCTTTCCCAGCTACTTAGAATAACCCACTGGTTGAGTATATAGCGGAAAATTGTGATCGACGACCACTTCATGGTACAGTTTCTGTTCGTTATGAATTATGATCTCTATTAAGCTCTCAATAACGATCTTCAATTTAAACAAACTTCGACTTCAGATCCACATCATTTCAATCTCTGGCTGTGGTATTTAGATTTCTTTACTTTGCATTTTAATCAAACCATTTCGTAATGAAACAAGTCTAGGTCGATTTATTGTTGGTATGATATATACTTTAACGGTTCAAACATATAACTAACATATGAAAATGATCTTCTGAATGATTAATATCTCAGGAGGTACTCGTGTATTTACGGTCCGTGTGATCTATTGTATACATAGTTCTTCTTTCTTAACTTCGATCTATTGTTGAATCGTTTTTAGATATTTGTCTGACATATAAAACAATGTAGTTCCTGGTATTTCTAGAAAACTTTAATTTAGATATTTTACCTAATTCTTTGTCTTATAATTTTCGATGTCGATTTATTTTTATTTAATATCTCAGAAGGTACTCGTGTATTTGTATGCTTCCATTTTATACTTAGTTCTTCTTTCTTAACATCGATCTATTGTTGAATCGTTTTTAGATATTTGTCTGACAATGTAGTTGCTGGTATTCCAAGAAAATTTTAACCTAGATATTTTCCTCAATTCTTTGTCTTACAAGTATAATACTTCCCTTTCATTAGAGTATCTAAACAATTACATTTTTATTGTACCTATATCTATTAGAGTAGCAAAAGATAGATCTGATGCTTGAAATCCTAAACAAATTATTGCTGAATTATTGTAATTGAAGTTATTTAGTTAGTAGGTTATTTCTGCAATATGGCGTATATCTCCAAATAAATCCGTAAATAAATAAATATCCGCTTTTCAATAAAAACAACAAATGCTTTTCGTGTATTCTTACTGGCGAATCGTTAACCTTTCTGCCTCCTGCCGAGATAAGCTCCTGCTTTTAATAACGTTACCAGATATTTTATCAAATAATCTCATTGCAAATCATCTGAAGGAGCCGGTGGAAGACTCGCGTTACAATCTCTTCGCCATGTACCAAAAGTTTGCAAAGCCGCCGTTTGACTTGACGGAAATAGCAAAGTTTTCGTAAGTATGTGAATTACCCAATAGAAGAATATATGTACTTAATTATGTATTCCTCTTCTTTAGTTTGGGCAAGGCCGACTTCGAGGACAATGACAATGATTCGCGCTTCTCCTTTAGCAACTCGAGTTCGCCGCCAATGCCAGTGAGTATGTGTTGGAGAATCTCTGGGAAACTTCTGCCAAAAGTATCCTAAGTAAAGTGAGTTTTTACCTTCCCGCAGGCCAATGGTGCGGAAAATGACAGATGCACTGCTTTAGCTCATTCCATGAGGTCTCCCATACCTCAGTCCAACTTTCCAAAACAGAACGATGCTACCGAATCAGTTGAGTCCGTGGATCTAAGCACATCCACCACACTCGCCGGTGTCCAGGTCATATCGGCTGCGGGAAGCAACATCATCGCCGTCGCGAACCCCGCCTTAGCCTTAAGCCCCACTTTGACAGAGGTCTTGACCCTAAAACGAAATGCCGCATCGCCTGAAGTGTAGACCGAAGACAACAAATAGATAGATTTTCTATATTAATAATTTCAGTGCAATTTTATTCAATTATGTTATCTGTATTGTAAAGCAACTCGATTAGATATAGTAGCCTGGCAGCTCATAACTGTATATTAAGTTATCACTGTGATCTGTATAGTAAATAAGGCAACTAAAATAAACTAATAAAATTAACATTTATTCTAACCACTTTTATTGATTGCTTCAAATTATGAATTAGTTAATGTATATACATACATATATCCATATTCATGTAACTAACGAATATTATACACCTAGTGCTCGCTTAAGAGGGGGGTTGCGTTCCTAGATTCAAATCCTTGAGACAAATTCACAAAAAAAAAGCAGTTGTTAGAGTTACTACAAGTGTTGAATATTTATAATTAACAGATTAATCTTATTAAAAAGGAACATATATCAAAGCGTAAAATACATATGTTAAATCAGTTTGATATAAAATTTAAGAACCATTTTGTGGAATTGGCACATAATCTAATTATATGTAAGCCGTGCTCGTGCTAAATATTTTTGGCTTATGGTGGTCCTTTTGCTTGCAATAGAAAGGTATTGCAACCGCTGGCTTTATTTCTTCCAATATCCATCCAACGTTGCCTCCTTAAGGTCTGTTAGAGGTAAAATAAATAATTCAAGGCAATAGGAAATTTCTTCCCAGTACTGATTTAATTAAAGGAGTCAGTATCAGTAGTATTCGAAATCCTGAGTATAGAGCGTCCGATATACTTTAATAAGTATGTTTTGAAAGTGCGAAATTTTATTTCAACATTCAGGTAATTCATTCAGATAATATTATTTTCATGACCTAGGGCATATTCCAACAACTAAAGTGTGTTAAATATTAAATATTTTTAACTTCTATCGTGTAAGAATGAGGGTTTCGGCGTGTTAAAAGCAAAGAGGTAAAATATTTTTAATCATGTTAGACCGTATTAAAAGAGGTCGTGTTAGGCGAGGGCTTGGTGTATTTGTAACTTTCATTTTTCATATAAAAAAGGTTTTTACTAAAACTAGCTATTACACAACCCAATCAATTGACAACCATTTTGAAATGGCACCATGGTTCAATTATATTTAAAGAATTGAATTACCAATTCCAATGCTTTTGAATTCACAATCCCGATCTCCCAAAACAAGACCGATCACTAAAGTAAGACACTCATGTGAGAAGGTGATTTCATTCTTATCCATACTTTCAGTATGAAGAAATCACGACTATAAACCGCAGTAGATAGAGAAAATGCATGTATCTACTTATAGTATCAGATTTTGCTTTGCTTAATAGCTTTCGCTTCATTTGCTTATTCTACTCATTTAGTCACTCATTTATTAATTTATTTATAGACGAATTCAATCATGCACAGCTCTACTATCCAACATTGTTTTACTTATACGCAGTCATCCCTTTTTTTGTTTTACTTTCAACGTTAGCATTTAAAATTGATAATATGTATATCAAATCGTTAGTGATACTGCTTTCTAGAGATGGTTCAACAATATTCTTTCTGTATGGAGGAAGGTGATTTTAAAGCCAAATCAGCAGTGACATAAAACGGATTTATCCCAGCCACTTTCTGATGAGATCACACACATAAAATACACTTTCTTAATGATTTTTGGTTCGAGCAAATTACATATTTATAAATACATACGTGCTCGTACATATAGTGAATAATTTAAGAGATAGTTCTGAATACTTTATTAAAATACATTTTATTGAGACAATGCATTGGTTATATGGTAGCAGTAAGGAGCGTATTTCAGATGAATTTGAGGTTTTACGCTCATGGCTTTGCAATCTTTTTGAATTCACTTATGTCTTTTAAATGGAACGATAAAACCTCCTCTACTTAGTAAGAAATTAAATAATTTCAGTCATTCATTATTAAATATGCTACGCTAGATATACCAAATATTTAGAGCCTTACAGATACCACCAACTGTTACATTAAAATTATATTACACAATGCTCGAGCAACAGTATTGAAAAAGTTGTTGTTTTAATTTATAATTATGCCAAAATTTATTTTGTATAATTACCAGTAGACCCTTCTCCGAACTACTAAAACCTTGTACCTGCCCCAAAATACGAAAACTAAAATATTTCCTACGTTTCTTTTTTTCTGCTTTTAAAGTCTATATAGCTTTATTATAACATTTGTAAATTTTTAAGAAGTATACCCACACCCCTTGTTTGTCGACTGAATAATAAATAAAAAATATGAAACTGTTGACTTAAGAATGATCTGATCTAAAATACGAAGAGTTACACCACAAGTTTGTTTACCTTTATAATAGAAAAGAGACAGAAAGTGATTCCAATTGACCTTAAATGTGCGATCATCTGCCCATTCAAAAAATGCAAAGATATCAAAAGACAATGGTTTAACAATTGAATTTATCCTTTCGTGGTACAATTGGCAATGTGTGTGAGCTGCGAGTTATTAGTTTCTACACCTCTTGACTGTTGATTGCCACAAATTTTGCAAGGAGCGCACCCTTTCCTCTTTGGGCAACTCACCCCAATCATCTTAGCAATTTACACACCATCATCGCTTGTGGCACGAAGGGGCGCAACGCATGCGAAATTCTGTGTATTTCGCAAATACGATATTGATATAGACATCCCGGTTGCACATGAGCTAATGACGACATTAACACCCTTGTGTGTGCAACTAAGAAATCGGCTTAGACATGCAAATTGCAAATCGAAATTGCTGCCTCGTACTCGTATGCAAATTTGTGCATATTGATAAATGATCAGTCCGGACAATGATCCAACAATGGAAGAGAGCGCGTGTGTTTTGATTTCGTCATAATGGAAACGTGCTCGAGTTGTGCAAACAAGCTGTAGTCGCGTAGTAAAATCAAAAGTACGAATATACCCTTAGACTGCAGTTTAATGAACTCTCGAGAAGGCGGACACATCTGCCAGATGTCGATCTCCGTCTGTGTCTGTGTCTGTGTCTGCGCCTCTGCCTGCGCATGCGCAGCTTGGCATGCGATTTAAATCACAAAGAAGACTAAGTCTTCTTAGCGGCATGCCATGTGGCCACAAATGCGCGGGTGAACCTGAGCAGGAGGCGTTTCGACTTGAAAGAATTCGTCTTACATTGTGCACGGTATTTGATCAGATTATGAGTGAATAGCTTCCCCTTTCAAAGGGCTCCCCCATTCGAACAGAGAGAGTTGGGAGTTACCTTTTGATACCCATGCATGTTGACTTAGGCTCGCAATGCCCCTCAGCAGTTATGGAGATTGCGCCAAATGATTTGATAACAGCATAAATGATCACAGGATATCATTGTTGCTGTATCAAGATGAATCACATAAATCTAAATAAATAAAATGGCATTAAGTCGAGCTATTACAGCTCATAAGTTTCGAAATTTGATTATGAACGAATTTTGAATGAGATGGGCGTTTTTCCAGGAACCTATGATAAAATTAAGTATTTTTGTACTAAGGAATCTAAGCAATTAGGAAACTTTATCTTGATATAGCAATGTTACAGCTTTATTCCGAATGAGTTTGCGTGCAAATTGTTTGCCTGCCTGATTGTAGCTGAGCTGAACAAAATCTGCTGTCCTACAATGAAATAAAGATGGGACCTGAGAGACGTATTTAAATACTAGTCGCTATTTTAAAAGAAAGCCCGAGGTGTTCATATTATAAAGCTGATATATTCAAACAATTTTCCTATGGTGCTTGTCATTTCCTTTTTAAAAAGGCGACCCATTTATACCTTATATACACCTAATTCTGTTTTTACACGGTAGATTGGTTCCACAAACAATCGTGAAAAAAGACATTGATCATATGCAGAAATAGGTGATTGATTCCTTATCTCTAAAGAAATATATATGCAATATTTAATAACCATGTTTTACAAACCGTCTTATATCAAAGCCGTTTAAAAAAAAAGACCGTTTAAAAAGAGAATTAGGCATATACTTATTCGTTATTGTGTCAACATCGTTCGATTTCAAACCTAAATGCATGACACACAACCAGAGCTTGCTGATAAATATTCTACATTCACTTTTTGAATGAATTATTCTAAGTATGTTCGAGTATTTCCTTTACGGTTTATATAATTTCTTTACATTTCACATATTTTGTATTTTATATTCTACACTGCAGCAATTTCAAAATAATTTTTTTTAAGATAATACACATCATTGTATATAAAAAGTAGTAAAATTCTTCTTATAAGCACATTTTCCATTGTTTCTGTTGCACACTCTTTCGATCCTAATCTGCTAAAGGTAAAATTTATGCAAATCATAGAAGTGAACGGCTCAGCTCCTGTGGCTTCTGAGGCGAACGAAAGCAATTTAAATGCAGGCCAACACCCAGAAGACGTGCTCGAGCTGTCTGATAGCTCAAGGTGATGTTCCGAGAATGATTTACATAGATATTTTTTGTAGTCCAGAGCGCATACACCTTGGGGTGCTGTGCTCAGGCCCAAGACAATCATTAGGAACATGATTGATGAAGCGTCCTGCGATAGAACGTAATTTGCATAAGGACCTTGGTGCTGCAGCCGCATGCCTGGCCAGTTACCCCTTAGATAGATGTCAGCTGGTGTCATGAGAACAAAAACCACAATCCATTTGAGGAACAATATTTGCAAAGGAAAACGTCTTGAGAAGTGCTTAGAGCAATTGAGTGAATTTTAGTTTTTTTTTACAAGTTTATAGCTTACAACTTAAAAAGAGAGAGTGAGGGCATTAAAGGACTAGATAAATGCTCATTGCGTGTTTTGCACCTTCTCTGTAATCCAGTCGATGAAGTACTGTGTGCTGGTGTATACGCCAGGAACATCGGGACGGGCACAGCCAATGCCATAGGAAACCACACCTATCAGATAGAACCGCACTCCATTTTGGAATTCCTGAAGTGTGAAATAGTTCTGATTAGGCACCTCATACTATGTTTTGTTCATTGCTATTTATATACCTCAGGAATCATTAAGGGGCCACCGGAGTCACCTTGGCACGTATCCTTGCCACCCGTCAGAACTCCAGCGCAGACAATCGCGGCATCAAATTGATCGGCGGTGAAGAGGCGCTGAGCCTTCTCGTAGCTACTGCGGCACACTTCATTGGGATAGATTGGGATCTGCAGCTCCTGCAACACCTGTGCCGATTCACCACCCTCCATAGTCTTTCCCCAGCCTACGACAAAGGGCATATAGTTGACATAGGACTTCTGGCGCAGCTGTGGGGTGTTGGGCATGCAAATGGGCGCAATTGAGTCCGTGAACTCAACATTCCGTTCCAAATACAATAGGGCGATGTCGCTACGCCCATTACGTCTATTGTATTCGGGATGTGACTCATACTATTTGGTGGAAGCCCCATTATATTAATTGATATTAAAGAAGTTGTTAGTGTATCTTACCCTAGCCACATTAATATCAACATGACGTGCTTCCGTGTCTGTTCCTAAATCGTGTTCGCCCAGACGCACAAACGTTCTGTATTGTAAGGGAAGTGAATTTAGAAAATAGGCTTCCATAGGCACAACTGTACTTACAGGTCGGGGCGTATGCAATGAGCCGCTGTGACGATGTGGCGAGCTGTGATCAATGTGCCGCCACACTTAAAGGGCGACCCTGAGCCATCATCGTATCCGAGCAACGCAATCCATGGCCAGGCACCCTTTTTGCTCACCTCCCCGCCCACGATCTTCTTGTAAGAGTTCAGAGTGTATCCACAGCCTTCTTCAACGGTCAACAGTCTGCGCGGAATTTCATTCGTATTTCTTGGTCTCATTCCAGGCGCCGATGTGGGAGCCACTTCACCCGTAGGGCAACATACTGTCGAGCCAGCTCCGCCACAGACCCGATTAGAAGCCTGCAGAAATTTGGCGAAATTTGGATCGGTCTGCTTAAGGCGCAGCTCATCTAGCAGGGTATCACAGCTTCTGATATCTGAAAAATATTTCATTCTGTTAGCTGGACTTACTGCGAAAATGCATTTGACTTACCCACACACTCCCCAGCTCTGGTATCTGGTCCACGGCAGAAAGGACCGCGAGCTTCGACCAACGGTGCTGAAGTTATTGGAGCACGTGTTGTTGTGGTCGTTGTTGTCCTTCTTGTCGTTGTTGTAGTTGTTGAAGGAGGCAGGTCCGGCAAGAATGGATTGCGGTTGGGAGCTGTCGTGGGAATGACTTGGGTGGGGGAGGGTCGGTCCGGCAAGAATGGATTGCGGTTCGGGTTTCTCGTCGGATTAACGAATGGTCGCTCTGTTGGAAAGAAAGGATTCGGTCTCTGTGTAACCGGATTACTCGGTCTAGTACAGCACACCTATGAATGAATGAAACGAATGAAAGCTTAGCATAGTGGAAGGAAGCGACTAGTTGATGCCCTACCAAGGGGTCCCCGTTTACACTGCGAGTGCCACAGTTGCGCTGCAAAGCAAGGACGTAGCGTTCCGCCACCTGCCGATTGGCCACCTCAAATATGTTGGCAACCTGGGGGCAGTAGCTAAGACCCACACAGTTGCCATAATAGTTTTCGGGAGTGACACAGTTTTGACGAACTACAATAAAAAACATCGATTAAGCTGGAGCCTATTCGCAGTAATTTAACGAAGATTAGTAAACCCTTCCATGTATTAGTAGTACTTTTTATTAGTTAATGAACAAATACGGGGAAAGGAATAAAAATGGGGTTTTAACTTGCAAACTTATATTATTTAAGAGCCGTACCAAAACAAAACACATTTACTTTTAAAAAACTCATTCTTTTAAAAAAAAAAGGGCTTAAAAAGATTGTTTTGCAAATATGATTTGTTGTATGATTTGTTTTCAACAATAGGAAACCTCTCGTTATACTCTTTCAAATAAATATACCCTTCATTGAGTAGTGAATAGTCTCAATAGTAATCCCAAGAATAGTACTATTTCGATGATTTGGATGGAAGCCCTACTGATAAACACTATTATCTGTATGTCCATTCATGCAGTAATTCTCTAAGTACACCTATCTTTTGCATTGAATATTGCGCAAAATAATTCCAGAAAACATACCAATTCAGTGGCTATAATTCAAATTCTCTGTAAAATTCGGTGCTTGAGATAGCCGGCCATTATTTTAAACATGCAATATTTTAATATATTAGAATAACCTTAAGTAGACTTGTATTACAAGTATATACAAAAGACTTAAGCTTACGCTTAAGTACTTTCAGTTCATATCATAATACACAAAAACAAAAAACGTTGTGCTGCGAAACATTTGTAATAATTCAGGAATTTTCAACTGCATTAAATCTAATCTAATTTTGATAATAATAAATATTCAGAAACAAGTTTGCAACACCGCTAACTTTTTATTTTTTGTTTGTTTTGTTATTAAATGTTTGAAAATAGAACAATTTATGGGTTAATTAATTAATTAATTAATTTTTATAGGCCATAAGTCGAATTGGAAGCGCACATCAATTTTAAATCTTAGAAATTCCCAGGAAATATTCGTAAACATCTAGTTGCTGTCCAGCTGACCTTGGGTTGCGAACAATGACTGGTTTTTTGAACTTGAATCGAATCGCCAAATTCAAAATACGAGCACATACGAGCACACACATTTTGCCAATTCAGGTCGAGTTTAATATACGAATAGCACATATCAAAAGTAAATTGGTAGTACTCGTGCAGTTCACATTTGTTAATTGGACGCTTATGCCGAAAAATGCGCTCGTCGTAATGTGTGCATTGAATGCAAAACGAAAGACTTAGGCAACGAACTTGCCGTCGTAAAAACAACAATTTTCCATATGAACACATTTAACCATATTTTAGGCCAATTTGTTGCGTTGTTTGAATCTTTTTACAATATAGGTTTTTAATATTTCAATTTGCATGATAGCGCCGCTAATGGAACAGGTTTCCTGTGATTTTTTTATTATTTATTTCGTTTTGCCTACATTAAAATTTAACTTTATTTTAAGGCAGCCGATTGACTAGATACTGTTCGTAGCGTTTTAATACACACACACATTTATATGTATATATAAAGATGTATTAGTTGTTACAACTAAATACCTATAATGATGAGAATCTTAAAAGCAAGCAAGTGAAATGTAAAGCTTATGTTTTGGGGTTCGACCTACCTTGCCTACGATTAGGTTGTTGGGCAAGCGCGGGCGTTGCAATGCATGTTAGAGTAGCTATAAATATAAGTAACTTCATGTTTGATCTATCACAACACTCTAAGAAATCGAGTACGAAATCAGTTGGGACGACAACGACGCGATTCACAATGCGTAACGCGATGCCAACGATGTTGTCGGCTTGACGGACGTTATCAAACTGCTGGACTAGAGCGTGCCCTGTCTGGCCGAAACGTCTTCAGGTTTGGCTCAGCAAACAATTCGGCCGAATTCGTTCTCGAGTGTCAGCGGCGCGGTGCGGCTCTTGCGTGACCAGCAGTGACAGTTCACTCAACGTTCGGCAAACGATTTGCGTTTTATATGCAGGTGACGACGCCCTGACTAAAAAGTCGTTCTCGGTGGAGAGGCTGTATGCTTCGGTCTGTCTTAATGATTTTATCTGTTCTGCTTACACACACACACACAGTACGAATTGATTAATAAATGTATCCACCAAGCACCGCAATGTATTTTCAAACTAAAAGCTTTTAATTCGTAGCCAGAGAACACTCCGCTAATTGTTCGCAAATTATAATAATCGTATTGAAAAAGTACCGAATTCAAATTATAGTCTCCGGAAGAGCAGCGCTTTGCTGAGTGTTTGTATGTGCCACGTGCCACGTACGCTATTAGCAAGTGAACGGACTTAAACTACTCTAAAAACGTACAAATTCGTGATAGCTATCTAGCTTTAGGGCGCCTTCACTCCGACAGAGCTTTTAGACATAAGAGAATGTACGTGTATGTACCCGTACCAGCGAATACGAATTGAAAAGGTAAGACAAACTTCGAGTCATACTGAAATTATAATTAACGGGAGCTGTTATTATTACACACTGAGCCCAAAGATTGACATTGGGACTATATTAGATTTTTACTAATATGCTAAATACAGAGAGAGAGATGCATTCAATCATTATTCTTCGACTGTTTTGGACAAGGTCTTTATATCAGATTTTATAAAATATCTTAACTTTATTAAATTTAATAATTTTTGTGGGAAATTATTATATTCTAAATTTAGGATTAAAGCAAAAATCAGTATTATAAATAAATTCATTGGGACTATATTAGATTTGTACTAATATGCTAATACAGAGAGAGATGCATTCAATCATTACTATTCGACATTTTTGGCAAAGTCTTTATATCAGATTTTATAAAATATCTTGACTTAATTAAATTTAATAATTTTCTGAAAAAAATTATATTCTAAATTTAGGATTAAAGCAAAAATCAGTATTATAAATAAATACAGTGGGACTACTTGTATATTAGATTTTTACTAATATGCTAAATACAGGGAGAGAGATGCATTCAATCATTACTATTCGCCTGTTTTTGACAAGGTCTTGATATCAGATTTTATAGACCATCTTAACTTAATTAAATTTAATTAATTTTCTGAAAATTATTATATTCTAAATTTTGGATTAAAGCAAAAATCAGTATTAAAAATAAATAAGTACTGATAATAATCAAAAATGTATTCTTTGTGAAGGCAAGTCAAAAAACTATATTACTTTGTATTCGCACTAAACTACATAGTATAATCGATACTACTAAGTAGTATAACCTTTTACCAATTGACTACAGAGTATAAACATGCAATAGATATATGTGCTGAGTAATCACATGTTCTTTTCTTCCATTTTTGACAAAGCTACGTAAGTCGTATTGCAATAAATACTGTTATTAGTGTGGAATCCAGCCTAATCGATAAATCTATTGCATTTTTGTACTGCAATAAGAAATCAATTTATTCAGTTGAAATTATATATTTCCACACAGCATATTCCTATTTGGAATTAAAATTACCAATTATTATCTCACTTTAAGCCAAAAAAAGAATTTTACTAAGCCAAAACTTGCTTCAATATTTGAATTTAGATTGTTTAACTGAGTCCGTAAACTACAACTGGCGCTCAATTCAAAATTTGTCATTGATAAGTTTTAAGAATTTAAAATGACTCAAAGGCACCAACAACGAAATGATTGACAAAAAAAAACAACACACAATCACAGTCATTATGTGTTCTCTTGTATTGGACATTCCAAAGCGGATTCGAGTGCAGGTCAGATAAATACATATACTTGTATATTTAACAGACTAAGCCGCAAAACATCTTAATTTGTGGCGGCTATCTGGTGACAGTTTCTCATGGCGATTTCAATTATTCTCGTACACACTTCATAGTAGAATGGATGCCACAAACTTGTTTACATTTTAGCAGTTAGGAACTGGGGGTTGCCTAAGCTTTTCGACATTCACGGTTCGCGAAGCGCAGCTCGATCGCATTCGAGGTGAGATTCATGAGCATTTTGCAATCATTCTGAAAAGCTTTCGTCGATTAAGCTATACTTATACGCCGTGCTTTGATTATGTAATATAATTATTGTTAGTGATTCTAAACAACAAGCTTCGGAATGAAAAGTGGAACGCTTATCGATGACGTTGCGTAGTCTCTGTCGTATTGTAGTAGAGCGGGGAGCGCAGGGAAAACAGCAGCCAAAACAAATTGGCATGCGAACGATGCACCCTGAGACCAGCTATAGAAGACGCTACCATATTATTCTACACGATGACTCAATCGAGTTGCTTGGCAATGCCGCGCACGACGCTTCAGAGTATACTTGTGCTCGTAGTATGAGGATTTCTGAGGAAAACCCCAATGGCAAATGTCATTGATAGCTTAATTAAATGTAGGTGCTTGTTCTAGTTCCGGCTTTAATATGCACGCGGATATAGCAGATCACATACGAAGGAATACAATAAGATGTTGGTATATATGGAGGTATTATGCCTCGGCAACTCGCGCCTCAATCCAATCCATGAAATGCTGCACACTGGTATAGATGCCCGGCACACCAGGCAGGCCACAGCCAATGCCATAAGAAACCACGCCTATCAGATAGTAATGGACTGTATATCCTTTATAGTACTGCAATAAAATCGAACATAAAATAATATGCTTGGAAGAAGCTGTTTGTGCTCTTCAATGCGGAATCAACTCACCTCTGGCATCATCAGTGGTCCACCGCTGTCACCTTGGCACGAGTCCTTACCACCTGCCAAATTACCGGCACATAACACCGTCTCGTCAAACTGTTCGTCCCGGACAAATTTGTTTCGCAATTTGTATGCGTTCTGACATACGGAATTATTGAAAACCACTATTTGAAGCTCTTGAAGAACATTGGAGCCTTTTCCGCCTACTTGTGTTTTCCCCCATCCAACCAGAAATGGAGTGTGATCAATATAGCTCTTGGTGCGCAAGTCTTTCCTTGGCAGACAAATAGGTACAATAAGATCCGTGAACTGTACAGTACGCTCCAAATACACAACCGCCACATCATGTCGTTTATCGCGGAGTCTGCGAAAATCTGGATGGCCCACAACCTGCGCAGGTGTAAAATAATCTCTACGAAACTCTTTTAAAATAAAATGAGGCTGAATTAACCTTTTCAATGGATATATCCACATGGCTTGAATCCGTTTCGGAGGTCAAATCGAACTCCCCCAGGCGCACAAACGATCTGTGTGTGTTAAAGGGTGCCATCAGTCATCTAGAATAATGTATACAGGTTTCATCATACTTACAATGAATCCTCTAAGCAATGGGCAGCCGTTACAACGTGCTTGGCTGTAATGAGAGTGCCGCCACAGCGGAAAGTTTGTGCCTCGCGGATGTTATAGCCAAGTAATACGGCCCAGGGCCAACGACCTGGAGCGCTATCCTCCCCGCCAACGATCTTCTTCAGCGGCTGCTGTGATATTCCACAGCCATCTTCCTCTGTCGGCATAGAAACCATCGCACCGGAACTTTGTCCAGGGCTGGTGCTTCTGGTCGCCGCTGAGCTGGGACAGCAGACATCAGTATCCGCGAAACCGCACTTGTCATGCGAGGCTCGTATGTAGGCCTTCAGCGTTTCGTTTCGGGTATTTTGTTGCAGGGGCTCAAGAAGCTGCGTACAATTCGCCAACGCTGCAATGAGAAGAGTAACTACTAGATACCAAAACGAAGAGGCCAATTGGTATTATCTAACTAACGTCTACAGTAACCGCGCTCTGCATTTGGCCCTACGCATGGCTCGCCAGTGATCTTCAGAACCAAGTCTATCCATTCCGTGGTGGACGCTGGGACTGTTCTTGGGGTTGTCGTCACGACCGGCTGGGTCACAGAAACCGGAACGGAAGATGCTGTTGTCGTTGCTGAAGCATGGGTGCAACAGACCTATAGGAAAAACAAGTAAAAACGCTAAAGTCGGGTGTCCCGACTTTGAAATACTCTGTACATATGTTTAAAATAATTATAGAAATTAAAAAAAGTAAGAGAATTAAAAGAGAAATGTCGATGAATTTTACCTCTTTTGGTATTCGAACTCACGTACAGGGTGTATAATTGCACATATACAAAGCAATTGCGTCTATGTGGGTGTATGTCTGTTTATGCTCGTATATTCGTGTCTGTGTAAGCATGTTTGCAGTCAACCAAAGCACCAGCATCAACAACAGCCGCGGACAGCGCTTGGGCAGCGCTGCAGCAGCAAATATATTTATGACTACAACTTCTTGTTTAATCGTCTATCATGATTAAACTTGGCACACGGACACATAATTACTAACTGGGGGTATTAGCAAAGTTTGAGTTCGAAATTCCAAGAATTACGGGAGTTCAAGAAAATCGCGATTGGCGGGGGAGAGGGGGGAGGGAGGGAAATTCCAAAAAAATTTGGTGTTCCTAGGTCTTATAGTATCCGAGATATAGGCGATTACACGAATGGAATATCGGGAAAACACCCATAGGGGGGAAGTGGTGAAGGGGGGGGGGGGGAATCAAAAAAATTAAACAAACTTGCACAGCATACACACATAACGCATCTTTGTGCAAAGTTTCCTGTCTCTACCTCTTATAGTCTCTGAGATCCAGTTGTTCATACGGACAGACGGACAGACAGACAGACAGGGCTAGATGGACTCGTCTCGTCATGCTGTTCAAGAATATATATGCTTTGTGGGGTCTGCCACGCCTCCTTCTGCCTGTTACATTTTCAGCTCCCGCAAACCCAATATACTCTTGTACATTTTATGTACAGAGTATAAAAATAGTGGGTAAAACCTGGGTTGTATTGCTATCTGCAATCTAAGCTCCTGATAACAGCAGTATGTTTAGTACACACACTTACAATCGGGTAATTGTCTTCGGTGTTTCTGCTAAAACAACGTCTATTCAACTCTCTAGAGTACTCCGTTGCCTGGTTAAACGGCACTCTCTTAAACAATTCCAGTACCTCGGGGCATTTCTTTAGCGACACACATTGTCCCAAATCGTTAAGTGGTGTGCGGCAAGCAACAACTTCTGTGGAAAATATAAACTCTCGAATCAATCTACAGAGACTATGTTTTTACAAATGCATTTTACCCTGACGCGGTGCAGTCCAATCCGGGTGAGTCCACTGTGATTGTGTTAAGGGGACGATATAAAGGCACATTAATCCAATTGCTGTATAGATGGCCTGCATACTTGCTACGAATTAATTTTACTAAATATATAGTAAGTTTCTATTGCGCTTACACGTTGTAATCTATTCAGTTTGAAAACTTTTGCTAAACTGCGCTTTCCTAGTGATTGCGGTGTCAATCAGCTCTGCCATGAGATGAGCACTTATGTAAGTGTATGTATTAATCTCTGCATGTGTGCATATTATGTGCCTGTGTAAATATGAAATGATTGAATCGGTTATTCCGGTTTCACTCGGGGAAGTATTTCGCTGAAACAAAACAATAAAAGCCGTAAATAAATGCCATGAACGGCGTACGAGTATTATTCTTACAAGACTCGCTTATCTTCAAATGCAACTGCAACGCCAATCGTCAGATTTTTTTTCAATATAATTATATTTATAGGTATTTCGCAATAATAACGCTCAAGCACCGAACGTGCAGCGAACATATCTTTGAGTTGATACATCTTTTTTAATGTTGTTTATTTATTCATACGAAATAATTTCCACTTAGTGTACAAGAAGCATGAGAAAACAGAAACAAATTACTTCCGAAATGAAATTTGTGAAGCTCTGATTAAATTTAAAAGGCGTTTACAATGTCTACAGATGTTGTTCAAATTATCCGCAAACTCAACCAAAGACAAACTGCAGGCTCAGACAGTCATTCATTACTTTAAGAGTCGAAAAAAACTGCGTTCCATAAAAACTTGTATTTATATGTAAACTTAATTCATGGCTCAATAAATTTCGTTTCCTTTGTCCTTTTTATAAACCGTTTTGCCTCATTTGAATTAATTGTATAAATTCTAAAGGTTTTGAACAATCATCGTGGAAAAAATATTGGTACTGGCTTTAAAACTAACTAGTGCGAAAAGCGGTAGTCGGGTGTCCCGAATTTGAAATACTCTTTACTATCCTTCTGTATCTAAGCATGTGAGCAGTATGGAGTTAAGCCAATGAAGCAAGAAATTACACATTTGCGGCCAGAGCTTAACCATAATTGGTATTTGCTCTATTTGATCGAAAAATTCTAAGAATTACGGGAGTTATGGAAAATCCAATTGCAGAGGAGTGGAAGGAAATACACATTTTCTGCGCATTTATATAAGGCATCTGGTTCTAAAATTTTGAGTCTCTAGCTCTTATAGTCTCGGAGATCCAGGTGTTCATACGGACAGATGGACAGACAGGGCTAGATCGACTAGGCTTGTCATGCTGATCAAAAATATATACTCGTATGTACTTACTTTGTGGAGACTCCTTCTGCCTGTTACATTTTTCACATCCCGCAATTCTCTTGTACATTCCATGTGCAGAGTACAAACGACACACACATTTACAAGATATTCCAATTTTATAGACGCCGAGAAAAAGCTAAAAGTAATTTAATTTAATTACTTAATGTGTTCGCAGAGCTCATTAGGTTCTATTTAACATATTCCATGTTTAATAAAAAAACGATTTATCATAAAATGGTTCTGATATATGAAGCTATTTCGATTCAATTATATTTTGCATTTAGTTATTAATAGTTGTACATTTAGCAAACTTCCAAGTTCTTTGTTAAAAAACTATCATTTTCTAAGCAATTGTGTGCATAAATTAAAATATGTGTCAAGTGGAATAAATTATAAATAAATATACATATAAACATACCTAAATCTTGAAAACCCACTTCAAATGCTAAAGCATTTAAAAGAATAACTTCACACTTAGAAGTGAAAGGTTAAAAAAAAAACAAACATAATTTATTTGGCATAAGTGTGCAACAATTTATTGGTTTTTTGGGTCGGAAAGATTAAGCAATGTGCCTTCTAATCCATGGAACATAGGAAGCGACTCTCGTGTAAACCCCTGGAAAACCAGTTCGGGCACACTCATATCCAAAAGATACAATGCCCAACAAGTAAAATCGGTAAATGTGGCCATCCAGCTGTGAATAAAAAAGATATTTTACACAGTCATCGAAATGAAGAAAACAAGTCATTGTCATTTAAAAAAGTATGAATAAACAACTATCGAATTATGAAAATGAGAGCCAAAACTGATGCGTAAAATAAGCCGAATCGATGTGACGTCATTAATTAGCGCCACTGACGAAGACTGTTGCCTTGGGGATTCCAACCAACTAACGACCGACAATCGAGAGAACAGTGCAATGAAGTCGATGAATTCTCTCATACCAGTCAGATAACGAAACACAATGCTCGTGAATCATAATGCTCCGTAACTGACCTGCGGCATCATAAGCGGTCCACCGGAATCGCCCTGACAAGCATCGACGATTGAGTTACCGGCACAAATCAACTGCAAGAGGTAGCAAGAATGTTGTGTCTTTCAGTTGGCTACTTGTTCGGAACTCACTTACCTTGTCGCTGAATTCAACGAACCTGAAAACAGACCTGTAGTTCTGCTCGCAAACCTGACGACTCACAATCGGCACCTGGACATCTCGCAAGACATGTGACGTGGGGCCTTGATGCTTCACCGCGCCCCAGCCCGCAACAAAAGGATTCATGCCGACAAAGTCTTGGGTCAGAAAGCTACTGGTCTCTGGCAAACAAATCGGGCCAATGGTTGCTGTAAACAAATTATTACAGATCGCTGTGGTGCAGTGGCTCATCCATTCAACTATACCGGTATTTGGGGCCACTCCATTCAACTCAACGAGGGCTATATCATTGGCAATGGTGGACAGATCAAAGTTCTCATGAACAACAGTGCGGCGTATGCCAAACTCCACGCCATCGTCTGACCTGGCGAGATCATGCGCTCCCAAGCGCACCACTATCAATGAAGGATTGATGCAGTGGGCTGAGGTGGCAACGAACCGATTGCTGATCAAACTTCCAGCACACAGATATTTACGAGCATTGCGATTTAGCTCGTCCAAATATCCCAGGGCTGCGATCCAAGGATAGGCCCCTATGATGAAAGGATAGATTATCACAGGATCACAGTATAAGTTAAGTTACGATAAGATGAGATGCGAACTTATATAAAGAAATCATAATAATTGCTATACCATTTACTCATTTACTAAAAAGCTTACTCCTTTAGTCTCTCTCTCACTCTCTCTCTTCCTTCAATTACAAGTAGTAATATAGCTCTAGTTTTAGAGTTATCCCGGTGGACACAAATAATATAGTATGACAAGACCGACATTGTGAAACCTCTGAGATTTATGGTAAAGAAAGTTATGACAGGAAAATGTTTTGGTTTTTCAAAGATATTGCATATTGGAAATGTTGTTGTTATAACTGATGGCTGGTAATGATTGCATGAATGAATGCAAAATAGGTTAAAAGGATACAAGTGGATATGTAGTTGGGGGCTTTGTTCTAACAGTAGAATCGATTATCCGACTGTGAATTCAAGACCCTAAAGCTTGATATAATTTGTAAAACGAATATCGTCCTTAGGTATATTATGTCTATTCAAATAATTGAAAAAACTGTGTTGAATAAAACATTATTGGCGTTCGCTTACCGCGCCTGGCCTCCATGCCACCTACCACACGGTTTGTGGTGGCTGTGCTGGTTCCACAGCCCGCAGCTTTGACTCCCGGAGTTTGGGAGCTGCTGGGCAATGGAACAGATGGTCGAATAATGGTTCCTGGAGAGGTGGGCGGTGCAGGTTGAAATGTGACGGGGGCAGTTGTGGGTGGTGCTGGCTTAAAAACAACTGGAGCTGTGGTAGGTGGTACGGGCCGATAAACAGGAGGTGTCGGAATTGAAGCAGAAGGCACACTTGAGGCACCAAGAGCGGAGAACAGGAAATTTCCGCCTTGTCCGGCAGGCGTTGTTGGACGTGGGTTGAAGACGATTCCATTTGGTCTCATGTTACCAGCACAGCAAATCTGTAAACTAATTTTAAATACTCTGTCAACCCATTTAGAAATAGAGCGCTCACCCGAAAGCTGGAGCCATCGTACCCGCATATGGAATTTCCTAGAAATGTCTGAAAATCGATAGCAATGGGATTTATGGCAGTATGGCTGTAGTACTCCTCGATCAGATGGGGACAAGAAGCTAGGGATAGGCAGAAGCCGACGCGAGCACGAGAGTCAAAGCACGTCTGAGCTGGAAATATGAGCAGATAGCGAAATCCGTGATGACACAAGATGTGTGTATGTATGTGGATGTGTATGTTTGTGTAGCAACCCTACCCAAAATTTAGTGGTATCCCCACAATTGCCAATGGAATATATGAGTTTGCGAACTTTTATTGCTTTTTAATTATGTATATTTGCCAATTGTGCCCGCGATCTTCAATTCTGTGAATCGATAGAACTCTTTTACAAGGTCCTACTTCGTCGTCGTCGACGACGCCTGGTGGCATTGAGTGGCATGAAAACCATCATGTCCGAGCCCATTTGGACTGGTGCTGCCTCTGCCAGAGCAGTCGGTGGCATTATCGGAACAACTGCTGACATCATCTGGGAGTTTTGCTGCCTCGGATCGATGCAGGGGCAGTTTGGTAGCGGTCGCGCTCCACCGGGCAGGCAAACGAGCGGCTCTGGTGGGCACGGGGCCAGCGTCGGTGGCACTATTGTGGGCGCCGGAAAGGTAGGGACGTATGTTGGTACGGGGGGCGTGGGCGGCGTGGGCGGAGTCTGCGGAAAAGGCGGCGTCGGTTGGAATGTTGGTATCACTGAAGGCGAAGGTGTTAGTACTGTTCCAGGTGGCAACGTAATCACAGGAAAGTAACCTGGCGGGTAGGCTGGACACAGTCCCTTCATGCTTGCGAGATATGATAGAAATGGCCAAAATAATATTTTAAAGCAGAACTCATCCAGCAACATTTTGTAAACGTTGAGACGCAGGAATAAGGATCACCGCCTACAGGCAATCACCGACTTTTTATCCGATAACGATCCGTCCAGCTCGGCCAAATGTTAGCAAATGAGCAACCGGCACCACAAATTGGTTCAGTCCAACTGGGCCGTGGTAATATGTTATAATTTATTTAATTGCATAATTTAAGTGCTTCTGCATTTGTTTATTTTCAGTGAACGCAATTAAATGCGTGCTCATTTATCTCACTCTCAATGTTTGTTCAGGGCCGGTTCAGCCCAAAGCCGTACTAAACAATGTAAACATAAAATAGTGCTCTGCAAATCATAAACATGTTTTTATATGCACATAGGTTGATTGCATTTGTTAATGGCCTAAGGATAAAAAAAGATTGTTTTATAATTTTAAAATACAATGACGACTATTCGTTTGATTTCTGAATTTCTATAATTAATAGAGACGTTTAACTGACTGGAAAAATTACCGTTAAAATTGTCCCCATTGTTTAACAAGTGAGTTATAAGTTAGGTACAATAAAGGTCTTGCATTTACATACATATATATTAAGGTATTCCTGAATATATAATTTAATTTCCTGATAAACATAATTTGTCCAAAATTTAAATGAACGCATTAGCAGTCCGTGATTTAATTATAATATAATTTAATATACTTGTATAGTATATTATATTATTATATTTTATAATATAGTATATTTTAAAAGAAACCTCGAAATCAATTATTAAAATGCTTAATTAGATTGGTTATCTATGGAAATTTCAAAGTTATGCTGATGTGGACTATTCTTCATTTAGAAATAAGACGACATTACTAATTTAAATCCTTTATTTATGTGATTCCTCCGAAACTTTTGCCAATTATATTTGTTGTTCGATTTTATTCTGTTTATATCCTTAATACTGATATTACCAACATATGACCTATTAGCATGCCTTATGTAATTGGGATCTCTTTTTTTGGTTGCTATAGATTATTTTGTTAGTAGTATAAAGCTTTTAAATAAAGAATAAAAACATTCTTTGGAGTATTTTTATAACTAATATGACATAATAAAATGATATACATATTCTATCTCCTATAACAACGAAATCAGCTTGTTATCTCTCAAAGTTACTTTTAGATTTATAAGTTACCAGTCTTCCCTACCATGAAAGACTTTCCCATCATTATTCCACAATAATCATCACGTAGATGTATTTTGCGAGTTCTTTAATATTGCTACTATTCTTATAATTAGCTTTATCCCAGTTGATCAAATATAAATGTTTCTGAAGCCGTCTTCGTTTTTTTTGTCTTTTTTTTAAATAAATATCATAATGGTATACCTCCAAGATCTTGGCTATAACTAGATTATTAATAAAGCTCTACAGTGCCTATAGCATTCCACTTCTGAAGCATTGCGCAGTTGCAATAAAAATAAAAATAACCCTCCAATTTCAATTAGGTTTATTTTGAATAATTGTCAAGGGCCCAAGGCTACATATTGCGGGTGCTTTTAAATATTGCAGCAGGCATCAGATACGGATATGGGTTTACAAACATGCTACTTCACACTACAATTAACAGGCGCCTACAATGCAATAACAGCAACAACGAATTATGCCTAAATGCATTACAAGTATACTCGTATATGCTATATGTACATGGCGTAAAATAATTTCAAACAAATTAAAATAACTGGGCCAGTGACGCTTGTCATCCGATTAAATTGAAACTGTAGAAAAAACATTTGGACTTATGTCCATGATGGGCAATAATCGACTTATGTTGGCAATACAATATTTAAATGAATGACAAGTGCGATTTAATAGAAATAATTTAATAACACCAAATATATGCATACGATTGTGGGAGATAATTAAACTTTCAGGAACGGTACACACAATTCAATTTTAAGCGTAACATATTTTTAAAGCCCGTGATGTACTATTAATTAAAATGTTGAACGTTCATCAAACTCAAGACTTCAACAAGAATGGAATGGCACACTCTTCAAAACTTAACTTTTAAAAACTTATTCCCACTTCAATAATTGTTAAATTTAACTTGGTTATATATAATAATCCCAACATTATACATACATATATTACCTAAGTATATACTTGTATGTATACGAGTATGAGAATCTTTTCATGTCGATCTACCATACAGAGTTGAGCTAGCAGAGCATTAATGGGGATTACCTTTATGACTATAAACAATTTTGGTTTACAATTCCAAGAACTAGCAAAAATCATTGTATACTTAATAAATGATACTAGCTACCCAAATAAATGTGAACGTTTTTGTTAATGAATTTCAAATATAGTATACATATAAACAAATGATTTCCTTATTCTTAAAGTGCACATACACGAATATTGAAAAAAACATTCCTTGATTATTAAGGCTCAACGTTCTAGAACTACAGACTTTATTAATGCAATTTTTATTTTAACAAGAGACAGTATCTAACAGCATAAAACAAATTTATCTTACTGAGACGTAAAGCCTGCTAAATCAACAATAAAAAAAGATAAATATTGAAGTGTAAGTGTGAATTAGCAATCGTGCCTTTGTGTCCCCATGTCAAGTTCCATCCATGATAAGTCAGCTCCATTAAAAATATAGGTTCTAAACTACACTGCACAAATACATGCATACATACATATGTATGTAAGCATAGACACAAACCCGCGACAAAATCGAACAATTGAAAATATTTATATATGTATTAAAACATACTGGTGTCGTATCTCGTCCGATTCTTATGCAGGGTGTACCCGGTAATTAATTGAATCATATATATGGTAAACATAATATATTTTCTCATACCCTTTACCCAAATAGATTAAATAGTAGTCTAGTTTAGCGCAGATGTGTGTAACATATTGAAGAAGGTGTGACAGCCCTCCAAGGACTGCAGCTCTTGATGAATGTACTTATATTCTTGATCAATGTGACAAGACAGGTCAATATACAACCATATCCACCTCACAAAACCTCCACATTTTTTGCTGTTTTTTCCACGCCCAATTTTTTGAACTGTTTATCCAAATTTAACTTGATTTGATTTTAACTGTTGTTGTTGTTACTGCTTTACCACAACTCTGTACTGCACACATACGCACACACATAGACACTCATGTACATAAGTGCGTGCTATGGAAGTTTATAATTTTAAATTTTTCTTTTTTACACGATTTTGATATAACACGGTTTGAAAATTACAAATGGCTTATATGTCATTTCTTTAGAGATAAAGAACCAATCACCTATTTTTGCGGTTGTTTCTGGAACCAATCTACCGTGCAAAAACAGAATAAGGTGTATATATTTATTTATTTTTGAAAGATTTAATTCAAAAATACTGGTATTATTTTTTTGTGGAAGTCGGTACAGGCCTGTGACACTCTAGCATTCCATTCTGCGAACTGTATTCGATTACTTGTATTTTTGTACGAGTATGTATGTATAATATTTATTGAAATACATATGACATCGAAACTATTAATAGACTCCCCAGGGAATTGAAAGCGAACACACTTACAAGTGGAAATTCCGGCAGTACATACAAGTAGAACCAAATATAAAACACTCCGATTACACCATATCATTTTAGCAAGCCCTAATCAAAGCAACAACTGATGGACTGTTGGACTGCTGGAGCACTGATTCGTCTAAACGAATCGTTCAAAACAAACAGTAAAATGTTAACGGCGCAGTGGCAGTGCTCTTGAAAGCCATGAACCGTGTGGGCGATAATGATACGATGTTCATTTAATTTAGTCAATTTTCAAATTAGTTTCAAACACAAAAAAAAAATAATAATGAATGAATAATAATATGAAGATTTAACTGAACTGAACCCGGTCGGGTGATCGCTTGAACTTGAAAAATAGGTAACTAAAATCCCCGAAATGCTAGTTATTTTCAAGGTTACATGTGAGTGTGCGAGAAATCCACATTATGAACCTATATGCTACTGATAAAGAGACAACACCATTTAGGTTTAGTATGCGCTTAATTGATATCCGTTTATTGTCACCGCTTGGTGATCTTAAGCTTTAGCAAGGCTCATGGTTAAGTGTTACACTGAGAAACGAAACATATATAGAAATTCCTCTAAATCTAAATGCCGACTACCTCGATTACGTGTACATAAAATATATACGAAATTCATAATTATTTAAATAAATACGTATGTATATAGATGCGGGTGTGTGTAATATACACAGCCTAGTGTGAATTTGTGTAAGTCAACTCGACCGGAGTCTGTCCAGCTCATTCCCTATGCTTGCAATCCAGAAAAAGCTGTGCCTGCGACTGGAGAGATAGACAAATATTAATATAAATAATATATTATATATACTATGTTGAAGCGAAAACATACCTGTACAAATCTGAAGATTTCCAATAGCATCTCGTTCGAGGTCTTGCAATTGCCTTGCTGTTCAAAGAAGGCGCTTGAGCCTGCTACTCCAGCACTACCACCTCCTCCAACGCCCACTGACCGCTTGCCCCAATCGGGTGAGAATGTCAGCTGCAAGTTCACGTTTTTAATCTTAAAGCTAAGCACTAAGAGTAGATATCTTATGTAACTTACTTGACATTCGACACAAGCGAGCAGGAAAATGAGGACAGCAGCGACCAGTACTTCACTTTTGGGACTCATTCTGTTTCTGTGTGACTTGGACTACCAGGAACGCCTTTTTATACTGAAAGAGCCTGCAATACCCTTCCATCTATGCAGTTCAACTAATTAATTGTGCACTTGTAAGGACTCTCTGCGTCAATCAATTTATACTTACATATATAGTACACATATGAATGTATGTTGAACGCTATATTTACGTCCTTTACTAACGCAATTGAAAATCACTATTCAGTAATTAATTTCCCACGTTCAGGCTTTCAGTTCTAAGACCGTTCTAGACATATCCATCTGTTAGTATGTTTGCATGAACCCAAATATCTCAGAGAGTACGAGAGACAGTTACATACTTGTACAGTCCTCAAACATACAACTCTCGTAACTCTTAGAATTTCCACTTTTGCAACAGGTTTTTGAAATTAGTTACTAAAGAAAGTTACCTCAGCAGTAGTGGTTGCGATTCAAATAAAAACAAGAAAGGAACGCTAAAGTCGAGCGAGCTCACCTCTTAATACCCTGTACTCACTCTCACAAAAAAGGAAAAAATTATTTTAAAAATTAATTTTAAAAAATTAACTTAATTAATTTAATTAAACATATTTAATAAATACATACATAAGTGGAGACATTTGTTTAGGTTCAGTTTTAACAACAGATAATCACTAACGGGATATAATTACCAATTTTGAATTCAAAATTCTAAGATTTACAGGAGTTATGGAAAATCACTAATAGCATGGGAGTGGGGGTGTATCAGAATAAAAAAACAACCTTGACCTGCCTAGGGCTTAGGGGACCCTGGATACCAAGTTTGGTAATTCTAGCTCTTGTACCTTTTGAGATCCTTGCGCTCATACAGACGGACGGCCGGACATGGCTATAGCGACTCGTCTTGTCATACTGATCAATAATATACAAATATACTATTTCTGGGAGTCTGCCACGTCTCATTCTGTGTGTTACATACATTCGCACAAAACTAGTATACCCTTTTACTTTTTGGCTAGAGGGTATAACAAACAGACATACACATATAATATGTACATACATCGATTTATATATAATTGCATTATTATTATTTAAGTTGTAAATTAAACAAATTTAAGGGCTTTTCTGTCTGAGTCGTGCACTCCCCCATTAGATTCCCCTGATATTATTTTTTTCTCAATCGACGCACTATGGGGCCTTAGGCCGAAACAAAAATAATATGAGTAAAGGCAATGAAAAAAGTCAGGAGGTTCCACTGTGCGACGCTGAGCGGACTGAGATTTTCTATTGAGGCTCATGGTGGCATAAAATGAATGCATCAAGCAAATAATTAAAACTCCTGGCAATTGATTAGCCGTATATTAAAGACACAATTTTTTGGATGTATCGTTTTTATAACTGCTACCAACGTGCTTTTAAAATGTCAAAATACCGATATACATATCTGTAAAAAGAAAACGTACTCAAATATACATACCTTCTCTTCTCTTAATACACTTACATGCATACATATACTTGTAGATATATACTGCATGAACCATCTTGTTTCTTATTAAAAATAATTTCTTACTTTTTTTGCATTTGCACAACAAAAATGCTAGTGTCGCGCAAGTCCCCTCTTGGCCAATATAAATATAATTTAGTTAAGTAAATCATTTGCTAGGGGAGTTGCAATTGAAGCGGACAGACAGCTCCCACTTGTATTGAATTCGAAAAGGTTATATTCAAGTATTTTTATTATTGAATTATTAGAATTTCGCATATATTTATATTAAATATAATTAAATAATTTGTTAAACTAAACAGTGTGGAGTTAAACAAGAGTACAATTCAGAACATCATATGTTGATACATAAATGTGTATAAGTAGCTTTGATTTTAAAAACAATATATATTATTTTGCTTGTGTGTATAAATGTATAAAAACGTAGGATTACAAATATTATTGTTTTGTGCGTTTCACTTTCATCGATCGACTCGCTTTAAGGTTGTATATTACAAAAGCTGGCATATTGCAAAGAGGCACTCACTTGTCAAACACATACCATTAACAAAATCAGCTCTGCTAAACATTGATTATACGCAAGCATTAATATGCACGTATGTATTACACGTAGTACATTAGTAGTAAATAACAATACAATTTACAATAACACATTACTTTTGGCTTAATCAAAACAAACGATCGTTCCATCGAGTTCTTGAGTCAATTATTAATTCAATAAATGGATTTCGCAAAAGTCCAATCATAAAAACATTTGCCCTTAATTGGTGTTGTTAATTAACAAATAAAATTACAAAAATATATGTATAAATATGTATGTATATATGTATATACGTGTATGTAAGCATGTATTTATGAGTGTATAGCGAATGTGTATTATGTATGTAAAAAGCAATTGTATATGTATCGGATGCATTACATAAGCACATAAGTGTGTCGGGACACACAAGGACATACATTCCCAATTTATTGACACACTTTCCATTTAGTTATTCGATTCGGCCGGCGATTTATCCACACGCCACTGGGTAAGTAAAAAATGCACTTCGTTTGGGTTGTTTGGTTTCTAGTTTCGGATTAAAAATCTTAGCTCAGTCGACGCGCTGGTAGTTTTGAGTTGGCGTTACATTCATTTCGTTATTGTTGTGGTTATTATTGCATTGCATTATGTTGTGTTGTGTTCTGTGACAGCAGTTGAGTCTTCGTTTTCGTCTCCATCATCACTGGTTCCACATTAAAAAAATATTACTGAGAGACTCACAACTACTTAAGCGAAGTGAACTTGAACTGGCAGGCAGTTTTTGTATTTATAAACAGTAGCTTGCCGCCGCTTACTACATCATGCAGCACTTCTTTTTCCCCTTTTTCTTGTAGCCCTCTTCGATGTAGGGACGTTCGGCAATTTGAAATTTACGCACAATGCGCACCAGTTCATGAAAAGCCTGATCTACATTTACGCGCAACTTGGCACTGCACTCTATGTAGGGTATCATTAGGCTTCTACTCATGTTTTGTGCAGCCTCAAGCGAGACCTGTCGCTGATGCTCCAAATCACACTTGTTTCCCACCATTAGCATAGGGAACTCATCACGATCCTTTACCCGCAGGATCTGACGTTGAAACTTTGGTATCTCATCGAAGCTGGAATGATCGTTGAGTGAGAAGACGAGCAGAAAACCTTCGCCCGAGCGCATGTATTGCTCGCGCATGGCGCTGAACTCTTCCTGGCCGGCAGTATCCAGAACTGCAATTGCAAGTGGTCAGCATTTAAAAAGTTTGAGTACAATTACCACTTACTGTCCAACTTGGCTGGCACATCGTCTATGACACATTGTTTCGTGTATGAGTCCTCAATGGTGGGATCGTAGTCTGTAACAAAGTAGCTCTGAAATATAGATAAAGGAAAACAATTTCTATGTTAATTCAAAATGATAATTTCAGGTCAAAACAAGGCCGCATTTTGCAAAACGCTTACAAACACTCAAGGCTGGCGTGCGATGAAAATAAAATCATATGCAAATAAAAAGGCGTGCCTATCTACACACATACATACATATTATACATCTAGTCGTTCACATAATATAAACAAACGAATGTATTTCATTAAAATTGTTTGTGCACAATGACGCCACTTTTATCTCTTGACGGTACAACTGCACAATTATTATTTTTATCATTTAGATGAGCATCTTAGCACATAAAACAAATCTCTATGTTTGAGTAAATATTTGTACAATTGTATGTATGTATGTATGTATGTATGTGTATATACACACAACTTTTAGAGATGGAGATGACGCAAATAACTATAAATAAATGGCGACAGCTAATGGGCGCACTGGCGGCTAGATAGTCATTGGGACGGACAGTGTTCAGTTTAAGAATGCGGAGGCGTTGATCATGACCATGCCAGAAAGCAGAGCTGACCTTAAACTCTAACTGAGGCACACCCAAAATCTTCTGTTCCCCAGCGACAAAATTCTTTACTAAGGTATTTTTAAGGTGCGTACGCTTGCTTTTTAGGAAGACGCCTATTAGGAGATTTGCGTGGGTGTTCACTTCGCAGATGGTCAACTGACTTTTCTCTGGCAATTACGCGTATGGCGATGATCTCTCTACGAAAAAATGTAGCGCACGCATTTCCAAACTAATCAACTTGCTTTCGCCAAAACACAGTCCAGCCCACTTGTTACGTCGCGCCTCCCCCTTGCACCCATCAACACAACGCTCGACGTCTAGCCATCTTCTAATCCGCGCTCACCTGTATAAATTGTATGGTAATAGCAGACTTTCCAACTCCACCACCACCAACTACGACCAATTTATATGTTTGCATCTGCGGCGGTCGCGACATTTTTATATCCGCTAAATAAACGTAAAAATAATCTACCCGAACAGCTACAACTAGTGGTGGACTCTGGCAAGCGAGTGGCTAAAAATGACCAGAAAATATTCAATACAATCGATGCACAAGTTGCACCCAATTTAATCGATACAAAATGAATCAGTGGCGACATCTATGGTTACGTAGCAACGTCTTTTGCATATTTGAAAACCTTTGGAACTTGTTTTGCTGGTAATGGATGTGAATAAGTTTAATATTAATGCTTGAAAAAACAATTAGTAAATGATTCAGCCTTAAAAAATAATATTAAAATTATAGGTGTGTAATTAATTTCAGTGTTCTTCAGTGGCAGTGCATAGTCGAGCTAATAAACTGGTGAGCTGCAGCAACGAATTAGTACCCTCGACAATTTTCATGTGTGTAATACCAATCTCCTTTATGAAGTTCAACTTCAACTGCTCATCAATGGTTAGGCGCTTGCATACACGGAATATGTTGCCAATAATGTCCTCTGGGGCATAGCCCAAGCGCCAAAGCTTTGCCAAAATTTTGTACGCCTTGTGAATGTCGTTGGCAGCACAATGTTGTAGCATGTCCTGAATAAGCATGGGATGCGGTTCATCGCACACCTTAAATACGTTTTCATTATTTATGCTACCAAAGCCCTGAGCGGTTGCTTGCAGATTGTTGAGTGCCTGACGCATATCGCCCTGGGCTGTAAACACAATCGCCTCAAGCCCTTCCTCATCATAAGTCAGCTTCTCCAGCTGGCACACCTCAATGAGCTTGGCCAGTATCTGAGCATCAGAAAGCTTTGTGAAGCGCAACATTGCACACCGACTCTGAATGGGCTCGATAATCTTCTCGCTTGTATTGCAGGCGAGCGCGAAACGGGTCGTGTTGCTGTAAATTTCCATTGTTCTTCGCAGTGCTTGCTGTGCGCCGTCCGTCATACTATCTGCCTCATCCAAAATTACAATCTTATGTCGACCCTTGGGCAACGTAACTTTCTGTTGGGCAAACATTTTAATTTTATTCCGCACCACGTCAATGCCACGTTCATTTGAAGCATTAAGCTCCAACACTGCTTCCTTGTAGCTATCTCCAAGAAGGATGCGCGCCAGGCATTGAATAGTCGTCGTTTTACCCACACCTGGCGGACCCTGTAAGTGCAGAAGGAATTTGAATGAGTCACAAATCATTGTATATTAAAATATGTATATGTATACCGCAATTATAATATTGGGCGCATTTCCTTGGGTAGCAAAGATAGAGAGACGCGCCACTGTGTCTGCATTGCCAACAATCTCTTCGAACTTGATGGGACGATATTTCTCAATCCTGTTGCGGAAAAATACTATCCTCATTATCTTCAGAAAGAAGCCGTAGAACACACTTACCATGGCAAATTGCTGCGCTTCTTGAGCTCATCGTTTGTAATTTCACATTCCTCCGGCATATTTGTAATATTAAAACAACTAGCGTGCTGAAAGCGCGGGATCAAATGAACAGCTGATGTTAGTCAGTGAATATTGCAGTATTGTTGGTATTTTTTCTATCGTTAAGTATTTTTATGAAATGTAGAAGTGGTCACATCGCCAATTCATCATCGATGTAGAAAAAGTAAAGTGAATATGGCGAGTTTTGGGGGCCAGCAAGAAAATTATTCAAATAATCCAGCAGGTATGCATTTAATATTGGAAACCACTGAACAATTAATAAACAAAGTATGTGCGCGATCAATATAAAATGGGAAACCCTAGGAAATAATATGTTTTAAAAAGCGACAAAATTGCTGGTCGAGTGCGCAGCGAAGACAGCAGTGGAGGCGAAAATCGACAAAAGCACTCACACTCAAAGCGAACGACGTGAAAAGAAGAAGCCCGAAAGTTTGCTTCATATGGGTGAAATTTGCTCCCGTGTGTTCTGTGTGCATGTTTTTGCCGTTCCCCAAAACGACAACAGGAGTTTGGGTTTAAAAATAAGTTTTTCTTCAAAGTTCCAGTGAGGGCAAGCAACGCAGCTGCAAATGCAGCTGCATTTGTTTGTGGCAGCAAGTTGTTTCTGTGTGTGTCTATGTGTTTGTGTGTATGCGTGTTTGTGTCATCCGCCAAACGCAAGGCAATGCCAATTGATTTTCCTTCAACAGCCTAGAGTCGCACAGCCGCTGTACTGTTTTGGTTCTCTCACATTCTTGTTCTTATTTTTTTTATTCTTGGGGAGTGGAGTACGTATCCACTTTAGTGTGCCAACTGCTCGATAAAAATATTGTTGGGATAATCGAATGAACATAAACAAGCCTTTCATCTAGTGAAATAAAAACACAAGCAGCACTCTGTTTACAATGCCCTGCATTTTTATTTACTTTCAGTGGAAAGCACATCTAAGAGAGCCGAAAGTCGAGAGGGAAGCGCCGAGAGAAAAGGTAAAACGTCAATTTAGTTATCACTTGTTACATAAAGTTTGCATAGACAACGGCGACGATTGCACATATCCCCTAATCTCTGAACACATCTACAATCTTTCGCCAAAGTAGACATAAACGGGCATATGCAGACCCACGCACTTCGCATAGCCGCACCTGCAACAAGAACAGCAACAACAATGTTTGTAACTAACTGCAGCGGAGGCAACGAGATGCCGGTCACCGGCGCCACCATGCACTGGTTTGCACAGGTGGGCGTCGGCGAAGATGACTCGAACCTTCAAGGTAGTTCACATTCCGTCCGTTGCGGCACTCCCTCCTGCTACCTATGCTTGTTCCTCCCATGCATGATCACGATGCTTTCGCGTTGGTGCCATTATTACTAAAGCTAAAACTGATATGACACCCAAACCAAACCAGCAGCCCCCTTATCTAGAACAAACGCACACGCATTTGTACATATGTGCGGGTCTATAAATATTCATGATTGCGACCTTCACCGCCAACACCAATATTTCTTTTATCAAAGTAATACGCATCTTTTTTTAGGCCAATCAAAAATTTCCAGCACCTGCAAAATCCCTGGAATTAATTTTAATTTATGTGAGGCATTGTTTTTGTGATACTAATTTGTTTGATTCCCGCTGTACGAACTAAAAATTAAGATATAATCAAATTACCACAAGAATGTGGTAATACTTGCAATTAAACAAGTCTTTCCAAAATTTCTATCCAAACCTTATGAAAATCACATTTGATCAATTTTAATTATGTGCATGTTTGTAAAATAATACAAGTTAGGAAATAGTCATTTTTAAATCCTTAAAAGTGCTGAAATGTATGCACCAAACCATAAAAGACTGTTAAAACATATTCCTAATATTTAATTAAATCGCCAAAGCTTGGTCTAATTAGAAAAGGAGTTATCCTATTCGAATTATACGAAACGTGTCTGCTAGATTAAAAAAGATTTTAAAAAGTACCAGCAGTTTTGCTATACCAAGCTATATATATATATATATATCTATTTGTGTGTATATACTTTATATGAAAAGGTGCAATCGAAGTACTATTGGAAGCATATTTGAAACAGGACCAAAACTTTTAGCTATTTCCCAACATATGTATGTTTATATATCCATCGAAACAGGGCTCGTTTTATTCTGACTTATAACTTTGCATCCTATTGCTCGTTGCACACATTTTGAGGTGCCGTAGTTTTTGTAAATAAGATCTTTTGTGAATTCTAATTAGCACGATCGACAATTCGTACATTTTACTTCGTGCGCAATGCCATTTTTGTTAATTACCCGAATGCGAACTAAATACACACATACATATGTATGTTTAAGATTACGTCATAAAATTCCAAAAACAATCAGAATATTTTCCTCGATTATGGACTTTGAAGTCACCATCAAACCGCCACCATCGCCCATTTAGTTTGCGATTACAATAATTTTGGCGTGTAATTATTTATGTTTTTAGGCATAGTCGCTTGAAGTATAGCAATCTTTACGTTGGCAATTCTTGCTCCGGGGCCCAATGTCATATTAATAAATTGTTTGCTCGCATTTTCTTTTGCTGATTTGCAAATGTGAAAACGGTTATGTAGTGGGTCATATGCGGGTGTATGCGCGTGTGTGTGTGTACTTCTATGTACGAGCTATTGTTGTCAATTGACCCACATAGCCGGCGTATATACATAGCTGCGACGTCACCGGTGACGTCAGCGCTCAACGTTTGTAAAAGTTTAAAGAGACCGGCAAACGTTTATTGATTTTTTGCTACAGGTAGATGGATAAAAGCTGGAGGAGGGCAGGCACAACAACGATTAAGTGCAAACAAATTCGTTGTTATTTAATTGCTAATTTCTTGTAAGAAAAGAATACGAAACGCTTTTAGGTGTGACCGACCGTTTCCCTTCCATTAGTGGCTTGCCAAGGTCATGCGTATCTTGGATGGTAGCAATTAGAGAAGGGCACAAATGGCTCGAGCATTCCAATTGGAATTGTACTTGGTATTTGGAGCCACCCTCAATGTTGAGGCTCGCTTTCACATATATATTTACGCTCGTTTTAACAACTTTCTTTTGCCATTTGCAGCGTCTAAAGACCGAGAAGAGAAACTTAAATATGCGCGCGACCGACAGAATGAGGAGAGACAAAGAAAAATCGAGGAGCTGAGAGCTCAGGCCGAAGCAGCGCAAAGGTATCGCGAACAAAAGGAAGAGGAGCGCCGTCGACGTATTGAGGAAATACGCGTACGCGACACAGAGAAACGTCATCAGGTAGAGGAGCGCAAGAAGGCCATCATCGAGGCCGAGAAGGAGCGACGAGAATACATACTGAAAAAGAATCAGGTATGGATTTTTCTCTCCGATTAGATCTCAGATATTTTTCTTACTTCTCGCCTATTTTGCCTAGGAACGTGAATCGCGAATAGAGGTAAAAAAACGAGATAGAAACTCAATCGGTTTTGCTTTCGGCTCATCGACCCCCCGTTTATTGGATGTACCAGCGGACTATGGCTTGGTATCGCCTAGCACTTTTTGGGGTCAACGACGGTGAATAAAAATAACATACACACATACAAATATCCAAATGCAGTGCTTATCTAAGACTATCTACCATTCTTACAGATCAACATCGATATCGAATGTGGCAGGCGCCTCACTCTCACGTCGAAGTTCTGAGCGGGAACTTGCCGACAGTGGTGTTAAGAAGCGTGCATCGTCATCCACCGACAGAAACGATGGTAAGCGCCCCCCTCACTGTTTAGTCAATCAATACAAATCACAAGCATACACGCATTACTCACTTGCCACAAGATCCACCCAAATACACAGAATCCTAATGTTTTATTTTGCAGTTATTGTTATATTGAAAATATATATATAATTTAAGAACGTCTGGTTTTAGTTCTTTTTTACTCGCTAGTTATGATTAAAATGTGCTGTACCTCTGTACCTTTTCAATTGCATAGTAGTAAATGTTTCTCTGCCTCCCATATAAAACCCAATTAGTGCCTAAAAATCAATACGTTCTGAGAAGTTTCATATATATATATAAAAAAGATAAATATTTGTTTTAAATATGCAGAGAGTACAATCGTGTATTTTTATATGTCAAAAATGCAATAGATCCTGAAACATAAAACCACAAAATCACAACATAATTGGTACAGCCCAATTATTTTATCTTAAATTGAAACAGAGCTTTATTCAATTTGAATTTTTCTTTTAAACTTTTACAAATTCCAACATATTTATATTATTTTTACAATTCACATACACAGTAGTAAATACAATTATACAGATTTCAATCTCAAATACACACTCAGTCACTTTTCCCAGCAAGTTCTCCTTTTTTCTTCATCTCTCTCTCTCTCTCTCTCGCTGTATATGTACAATAGAATACACTCGTAAATATTTGCATGCTAACCACAAGAAACAACACAAGAAACAATTCAGCAAGAGTTAGTCTGCCAATGCGTTAATACTATTCAAAATTCACTCTGTACAAAATGCCCACAACACAGATCACCGCCGTAAGTCTTCGTCCATGTATGAGGTATTCAATTGGGGCTACTCGAACGATGAGCCGCCCAAGCGTTTCTCGCTCTCCATAGCTGGAAGTGAGATAAACATTGACGGGCCGCCAATGGCGTCACATGTGCCGAGTATGAACACCCAAGCGATTACCACAAGTGCGCACAGACAATATACAACAACTACCACAACAACTACTGCAATCCACAACAATAATAACTCAAGTCGTAAGGGTGAGGGTTCTCTTCTGTCTATCTCTCTAATTCTGTATACTTTGCCTAGACAACAATTTTTAAAGGCTGCGCTCGTTTTTTGTTAACCCTAATACCAACTATCTTTGCTAACCCCGTCGCCCCGGCATGCCCGCTCGTTTGTAAAAGCATGATGTACCATATTCGTATATGTTTATTTATCCAAAATATTCCGCCCTAACACCCTACTTGTAATTTATAACCCCTTTAATCTGCGCAGTATGCCAATAAATCGGAGCCCTCGTTTTATTCCCTACTGGGCCATTCGGTACCTTAGATTTCCCCGCATTGCGCAGATGCAATGGCAAATCCTTAGCATGGTTGTTGCTTTTGTTTTAGCCATTGGTTTCATTTTATTCTTTTTCGATCTTAAGCTTAAGATTTTTGAGTTACGAGCGTGAGGCACGCGCGCGCTCTCTCCAAAAGCAAAAATTACACTTCTCTCAAAGATGAATTATTGAACGAAAACCAAAACCAAAAAAAAACCATTACAGAAGATTTCGTTGACACACCAAACATCATGTTCCGAAGCGTTTACCGCAGGAAAACGGACCTCATGCCGACAATACCCAGCCCCCGAGACGGGCACTATGGTTCTCGCAGCTCACTGAGCACAACGCCCAGAACCCCAGGTAAGCGTTCCACAGCTGAAGCGATTTACCTAACTGCCGAACTGTCGAATTCATCTTGCTTTCAATTTGCGCTACACGGAAATAATCATGTTCATCTAGCCGACGATTTTGTCATCATTATTACACACCATCATCATCATAATCATCAGTAGGTGTCGAACCCGTAAGGCATCGTGAGGACGGCAATTATTTCCCATATGACTCTTGATTTACCGTCTACTTTCTCAAAAATCTTCTTGTTCACAAAGTTGCTTATGCAATTCCAAGCCTATTTAATTAAATTTTTCGCATTATAGGAAAGTTCTGATACAATAAGTGGGACAGTTAATGGGGGCATTTGGGGGACTAATTGGACAGGGCAGGCCAAAATAGATCGATGAATATCAAAACACAAACACACACTATTGAGCACATCTAAGACTGGGTTGTCCGATCCCTGGCTTAGATTAAGAACAAGCACGCCCACCTACACTTATTACACCCTATAACCGACTACTTTTGTCGGCTGCACTTTCTCTGCACACATTCATTTTGCAGCGACCTTTGTGTCCCATTTTGTGCCGTCTTTTGTAAGTGTTTAAAGCCTCCAAAGGAACTAAACGATCACTTCTACCTACCTACCTATCTACCACCTTTAAAAAAACTCCAAATACAAACTCCAATACAACAAGAACTTGCCAAATTGATTTTGATTCATGCCTGAACCACTACTTTCAACTTTTCATATATGTAACACCAACACCAACAAAATCAACTAACGGCGAACACAGGACGCGCCTATTCGATGAATCGTCTGGATCAGCTGGCTCAGCCAATACGTCGGAATGGTGAGCACGTGCGCGCTATTATGGAGCGGGAGCGTCGCGAACGCGAACTGGAAATGCTTGACGAGACCGCCTCTTTAGGTGGTGGGCGACGTAGCGCAAATCGGGGCAAGCGTGCGGGCAGTGCCGGCGGTATCAGCAGCGATGGCAGCGCCAGTGCCACTGGCATTATGTCGCGCAGCATGACTCACTTGGCCGGCGGCGGCGCTGGACAAAGGGATCGCGGAAAGTACTCGCTGGGCGGTGGAATTTCGAGCAGCTTCCGTCCGCTGGGCAACGGGCAACGTGACTCGAGTAAGAGCATGACACAGATAAGCAGCCATTCGTGCCATTCATGGTCGAGCACGCCCAACAACAATTACAACACGCCACCCAATCCACAACGCCACTCCAATCTTGGCTTGCAAACTGCCGCAACTAAAAAATATCTTCAATCATCATTTGCTTCATCCGCATCCTCCAAAGCGATTAGGCGAGGCCAGCAGCATTATGCAACTTCTACTAACCCCTACTGTTATTTCGATCCAAACTCATTGTTGCTCATGAACTCTTCTAGTTTGTTAGTCAACGCAGGTGTGTGAGAACAATATAAACAACAACAACAACAACAATCACTACTCACAACAAACACACAAAATTAATACACAATACACACATATACACACGCATTTGTAATACTTGCATATTCGCTCCTTTATTGGCCTTTGCTGTAATCGGTCCACCTAAGCCTAACCTCAGCACCTCATTAGTGAAAAAAGGTTCCACTCATTGGTGTAGACGAAAAATAGCGACATATGCACACTTTTATTGGCTAATCAGAACACAGAACACACTCGTACACACCCAAAAAACACACACACCTAATTATTTTAATCGGGAAGGCATACTATATGATAATTGTAATAATAAAGTATATATCTGGCCTAAAGGGACCCACACACGTAAATAGTACCGTAAGATCTTCCAGTAGTGGTGAGGATCACACAAACTCGAGATCTAATTGTACAGCCATGTATATTTAAAAGTACCTAGATAAATGTTGCATCTCATCATTCATCTTGGATGTAGGACTGACTATCATCAATTTTATAGTTTGGAATTGGCTCATTTTTTCTTTCTTGATTCTTATTTAATTATACGTTTTTGAATACATTGACACACTTTAATTGGTTATGGGCTTGTAGGTCCCCTCAGATCACTCACACCCGCACACAAAGAATAACGCACTGCTCTTGGTTAAGAGCAAACACATATGTTTATTTGGTTTCCTATCATTTTAGCGTTGGTTGGATGTTTTTCATTTTGCTAACTGATTGAGTTTTATGTTGGTATCTTTATGTTTTTTCTTTATGTCCAATTGTCTTTAACTGAAATTTCTGGTGACGGTGTCATACATATATCTTGCCTTATCACTATTTCCCCAAAGACAACACCGTATTGAAATCCGTATTTAGAATGGTACTCACATGCCCATCTCGACATAATACACCACATGTATTTAGCCTTGTGTCTAATATTCTACTCTATTCCATCGCCTAGGCTCCAGATCTGGCAACGTCACACCTGGCGGCCACCTGAATAACTCAAGGCCCGGGAGCGCTATGTCTAACTCCACAACGATGTCGTCGTCGGGCTATGTAAACAGGCGGCCAACGACAGCGCCTCGGAAACCGCGGCCAGCTAGTATTGCTGGCACTGGAATGTCCTTAGAAGGTAAAGAAAGACTAATCATCGAAAATTATGACTTAATTAGCACTTACCTCCCTCATTTCTGCGCAGAAATAAATAAACTTAAGAAGGAACAGAGGCCTCCAATGAAAACGACAGCGGCTTCTCCAACTTCGTCCACAGCACAAACGACTCCGAAACGAACAGCGAACCCAATGTCGACATCGCTGATCGTTACCTCAAGTTCTTCGAGGCTAAGCAGTGCTGAGAAAAAGACCCCGTCTAAGCGAGTTAGTATACTAAGTGAGTTTTATGTTCCTCAACACTACAATCGTCTTCTTGTTACTTGCAGGAACCTGTGGCGCCCAAGCCCGCATCTGCCCCCAAGGCTTTGCCGAGTCGAACCACAAGCTCGGAGCGCATAAGTAGACCTGGCAGGGAAACTAGAACCAAGGATACCTCTGCGGCAATGACTAAATCGATGATTGTGACTAACACAGTAACGGCTGCCGCTGAACAAAACGATACTGCCGTAGCAAAGGAACCCAATGTGAAGGAAGAAGAAAAGACAAACGCCCCGGCAGCAGCAACTCCAGCTGCGGCAGCTGTGGAACCAGCGCAAAGCAAGGCAGAAAAAGAGGCGCTCAACTCTGTTAAGACAGAGGAGGTGGCAGCTCCACAAGAGATCGTAGCAACGCAGCCGCAGACCGTGTCCGCTGAGGCAGCTCAAGCTCAAGCAGTTGACCCACACACTATGGAGGAAAAAGTAGATGTGGGCAATGAGAAGGAGGCCTTCCAGCAACCGCAACAAAAGCTACCAGAGCAGCAGGCTAGTGCTAACTCTGAAAAGAAATCGTCCCGCAATGGAAGCAAGGAAAATTCTGAGGTCCGCGAGCTAACGCCTCCCGCAGCAAATGCCGAAGGTAACGATCTAATGACTGCATCGATGATCGCCAAAAAGATTACGACTGAGGAGGAGGCGAAAGCCGCACTTGCCGAACGACGACGTTTGGCCCGAGAGGAAGCCGAACGTCAAGCTGAACTCGAGCGCCAACGCATCGAAGCCGAGCGTCTGGCTGAGATTAAACGACAGGAAGAAGAAGCCGAACGTCAACGCCAATTTGAGGAAGAAGCCACCCGCTTAGCTGAGGAACAGCGACGTGGGGAAGAAGAACGATTGCGTAAGGCAATCGAGGTAAGGCTCGCACTGTTTCCACTGCTGTAAGCAATCAAATAATCACTTGTTCGGCCCTCTAGGAAGCGAAAGCGCGTGAGGAAGAAGAGCAGCGTAAACGCGCAGATGAAGAACGCCAGCGCATAGAGCGCGAGGAGGCTGAGAAAAAGGCTAAAGAGGATGCCGAAAAACAGCGCGTCGAAGTTGCCGAGCGTCTCAAGCGCGAAGAGAAAGAGCGCGAGGAACGACGCAAGCGCGTCGAGGCTATCATGTCACGCACACGCAAAGGTGGAGCTGCTGCTGGCGCAAACACCGGCAACACACCAAGCTCTACGCCTGCTAAGGTATGTGGAAAAATATAAACATTTATTCTTGGATCTATTCGAGAGTTGGTATTGTTATCATCTTCCACATTTTTCCTATAACCTTATTTTCTGGAATTAATGTCCATTGTTGATCTCTTTTGATGAATTTCAAGAATTAACAATTTTAAGAGCCAATTTTAAATATCAACATATAATAAATCGCAAAATACAGGTTCTCAACAAGGATTACAACCGTTTTAATAAAGTATTATAAGAAAAAGCCTAAACAGTCAAATCTAATCAAATTACATTAATATCTAATAACGCTTGAATGGATGAGAAATAGAAAAAAATAATATTCATTTTCGCTTTTTCCTTTCTATAAAATTTCAAAATTGTCAGAAAAGACGAGATAGTCTCATAGTTTTAAGCCAATTGTGTTCAAATTTGGCACAAAGGTTTCTGAAGAAAGATCTATACCGGCCGGATCAGACTACTATTATCCTATATAGGACGATCGGCTTGTTAAGGAATAAGTTTCTTATTTAAATTTATCTGAACAAAATCTAACACTATATATGTGGTGGTGTAATAAAATATTACAACGTACTATAATCGTGCTTGGACTACCTCAAACATTTTTATCACACGGATGTAATAAAAACAATCGGAATTTAAAAACACACAAAAAGTTTCTTATTTTTAAATTAATTAATTGTTTAAATTAAAATTAAAACCGGAGTAGTTTAGGCCTTCTACTATGTACCGCTCCTTCGAGTGTAACGGAAAATAATAAAATATTATTTGCACTTTGTTACGTTTTTGCAGTCTTCTTCAATTTCTTGTACTTTGGTTGGAAGACAACTGACTATTTTTTTAGATTTCATAACTTATCCTTACTCTCTAAAACATTCATTACAGGAATCCAACGCCACGGCTCAGGCATCACCTCCTGCTCCTAAAGATAATGAAGCCAGCAGTGAAAGTGTCAGCAACAGTAGCAGCAGCAGCAACTCAACCGGCTCGCCTGGCAGCAATCCACCACCCACAGAACAAACTCCAGTCATGCCTGGGGAAGTCACTTTATCTAACGAGTCCCAGAACACACAGGCAACATATGAACAGTCGGTGCTGGACAAAGAGAACTCGCTGATAAATAGTTTTTCTAGCATGATCATTGATCAGAATGCAAAAAACTTACAGCAGTTTGAGGTGACTAACGGAAAGCTGCTTGTTGACTTCAATACCAGCTCGAACACAACAACAGCAGCGGTGGCCAATGGTAATGGCCATATCGAGAATGTGAACAATAAAAAGTAAGTAAGTCATTAAATGTGAGTGTTTATCTGACTGATTGTCTTCTGACTTCTCTATTTTTAAAATCAGTGACATCAACATACTGCAAGACGTTGTGACTCCGGCCGCCACTCAGCTGATTGATCTGAGTATTGAATCACAAGATCTGCACAACAATCCACTAAACATAAACAATAATAACAGCTTGCTGACGAACACAACGGCAACTACCACGCTAGTCACTGCTGATAGTCACGAGAATAAAGGTACGTAACGTCACATTCACATCAATCCATCATTGACAATTTATTCAACTACTGATAATACTTTTTTCTTCAGATATATCGTTGCTGTGAATTTAGAGCTGAAAGCTAAAACTGAAGCTAAAGCTGATGTGCAGGAACTTTGATTGTTTTTTAAACTGATATAGCTAAATGTGTGGAGTATTTATTATTAGGCTGAAAGTGTGCGCGAAAAATTATGGTTACTATATACTAAAAGAAAACACAGGAAAACGAAAAGCTTATACATATACTAAACTATATATAAACGCATCTATTCGTATATAATGTGAGAAATGGCTGGCGAGTAATGCAAAGGGCAAGTTCCGGGAAGAAAATTAAACAAACCTGCATGTAATTAGTTAAAAACTAAGGCGAAACTTTTTTGAACTGTTCCTTCTGCAGCCGTAAAGTGAAAAAGAAAAACCAAGAAAGAGCCTAAGCTAAGATCTAAGGAAAAAAAAAAAACGATGAGCGCGGAAGCTAGTTATAGATAGGAAGACGGGGAGATGAATGCAAAGCAATTCGATATCAAAGAACGTTTCAAATGCTTAAAGTTGTGAAGCAAATATAAACAATTCAATTCGATTTGACTCGATTAAAATTAATTATGCTATAATTGCTTAAAACTATTATAAAGTGCATGTTTACATTGAGTATAACTTGAGCAGACGCGATCTGTATCTAACATATATAATTGAAAATTATATAGAGTAGTTAAAAAAGAATATGAAAAAAGAAACCCTAGAACATACATACGAACATAATTAAGCTTCAGCGGATTTCTAATGAGCTGTTGAGCTGTGCCAGACGACATGGAACATTGCATATGCACAAAACTGCGCTGAGTTGCAAACATATTTAAATATATAGATATAGTATGTATAAATGTGCAGTTTTAAGGTACGATTGTCCGCGTCTTCAGTACCGCCAACCATTTCAATAAATTTCACCACTCCACAGCCTCACTGCTAGAGGGGCGCGAAAAGTCAAGCCAGTCAGTCAGCCAGCCAACCAGCCAAGGCATATAAAAGAATATAATTTCGGCTGCAAGTAGCCTGCCACGCCTTTTTTGCTATAATCTTTAGTTCTGCCCACATACATACATATATGCACTGTTGTTTAGTAAGTTAAGTTTACGATGAGCAAACCATCGTACGGTATTATTTATTTTAAAAAAAAATCAACAAAAAATCAATTGAAATTATTTGCTAATACTGTTGTATGTCCAATTGACGGTAGTAGTCGTAGTCTAAATGTAATCATGTAATTTGTCGAGAAAGTCCCTCGATATGCACATTCATAGTGTTTATTGCTGTGCGTGAGAAGTGGTTTATATATCTCCATAAAGGATACATACCTGCACATACCTACACACACACATATATATACTTGCATACATAGGTGTAATGGGGAGACGAAAATCTGATTATGTCATTTTTATTATAGTAGTTCTTTCTGTATATTCATTATTTTGCGTCAATATTTTGGTATCAGAATTTTTATATACATTTATATTTGTAATTTATATACATACATATTTATCCATGTGCAAAATAAATTATGATTATTTTTTTAAATTTTTTAGCAAATTATTTAGCATGCACTGCAGCAAAATTGTAAAATATATTACAAAGACATAAAAAAGACAGCAACAACAAACCATGCAATACATACATATTTACACATCCACTTGTACTTGAGCGCCAGGGCCTTAACGTGCATGATTTGTTCGCAAAAAAGCATGAAACCCGTTAATAGAATAATACAAGATCGCAATATGTGCAACATATAAGCTAGTTAAATAATATTCTAAACGCTATCCTATGTTAAACTTAACGGCGGTATAATCAAAATCTAAATAATTAAAAGAGAGCCACACACAAATAAGTGAAATGTTTAATAACCACAATGTAACTGGAATGTCTGAGATCCGTACTAATGATAAACAATTCGAGAACAATTAAGAAATTTGTGCAGTATGTACTATGTATATTAATATAATTATATATAACACACACGCGTAACACACCACAAAGTAAAACAAAGCAATTCCCTTTTACACACACAGGCATACAACAAAAATATATTTATTAAAAAATAATAAACACAACAGTGGATTACTAATAAAATTCTTTACTTATCTTTAAACAAAATTACATACACAACATACATACTTATGTGAATAATAAAATGTAACTAATTCTCAAGGCAGATTTGAAAAACATTGTTTCATTGTCACTCATCCAGCTACTGCATAAGGAGAATTTTAAATGAACCACTCATTTAGCTTATGCGAGCATTTCAAAAGAATTTATTTCTTAACCACAATGAACTCAATTTTTTTTATGCTAATGCTATTGGTGTATCTATGTATTCCTGTTTATTTCCAAACCCTTTTATAAATTAAACAAGCAATTCGTCTTAATTCATCTTTTCTAAATTTTGAGTGTCTTCATAATATAATATTTTAATGATTTCGTTGGCTTCTATATACATATGATATTCAGTACATTATTTTTTTCAATTCAAAAGCGTAAAAAAACCAGACGCTGATAAACCCTGCAATTCTTTAGATATGTTTCTATCTTATCTCTCACACTGATGTTTATTTATCGATCCCATGTACGAGTATAATTAATTTGTTTTCTAATCGTCAGTTATCCCACACATACACGCGCTATTGACCTATTTTAGATATCGGCATGCACATACGGAAAATTTCTTATCAAAGTGTGTTGCTTGAACTTGGAACTTTTGAAATACTTAACCGCCAATGCAAACTTCAGCATACTTACTAAACAGCAATGACACGCACAGACACACACACGTACACACACATAGTAACCACGCGCAGCTGACGCTGATAAGGAACTCACCACGGTAATAAGCTTTTCACCACAACAAGCGCGAGCACAAAAGTTTCGAGTGCAGCATGTTTTCTTTAAGTTTTCTTTGGCATCTCGTGGCGAGCGGACGTATACGTTTCTCGTGCTGTGATAAATATTTTCATTTAGCATTGTGGCCAGTGCATCAATACATTCCAAAACCACCATAACAGCAGCAGCAACGCGACCACCGAGCTTAATCCATTAACTAGAGGAACAAGCGAAGCAAACCCACTCTTGACCAAGTTCCCTGCAAACTCGTTTCAAGCCAAAAGCAACAAAAACTACAAAAGAGTTCAAATAAAGCCAAAACATGTCATCGAATCGTGCACCCAAATCTGGTTTCGCCGCTGAGGCTCAGCGTAAAGTGAGTACCCAACAACAATATCAGCAAACAAATATTGCCAAAAAATATGCTGAATTATGTATTATGTACAAATATGTTAAGAGCCGCCCCAAATTCGCGAAAACTTTATCTCGCGCCAAAAACAACATAATGTATTACTCATAAATAATGACCTCACCTCATTTAACGCTAGAGCGATTTGTGTACTCAGCTTTATATCTATGTATGTACATATACTTGTACATATGTATGTATGTACGTCCAAATACACTCTTACTTATGCCACGACATACGAGTACATTCATAGTTACATATTTTCACCCTCTGCTGCGTAATGCTGATTCCGTCAGCTAGTTGTCTGACATTGAAAAAGAGCCGGCGCATATGTCATAGGATTAGCTACAAGTATTACAATTTCTAGATAGTTTCATGATGAAGACTCATCATAAGCGTTTTTTAAAAACATTTCAAGATAGATACAACATGATATGTTATGATGAAACGGAGAATAAAAACTGCTTGCTTTACAATGTTGTCAGCAGTTTTTCTTTTCCTCCTATATGAATCAATAGTTAATTTCCTTTTTTCGTGCTGATCATTCTATATAATGCAATCAAAATATTTAGAAATGTGTTTTACATTGAATTTCTCTACCCGCAGACCTCATTTTAGCCACCATTCGTATATGTGTATGAATGTATTTACATCAGCATATGTATGTGTGCATATACATAGTGTTCTTAAGTACGTCCATTAAAATGTTGACCCGTGCCTCGCGCCTCTTGAACAACATTAGTGCCGCCTATTTACTGCACTTAACAAATACATACACACATGAATGTATAGTACATGGGCAACTAATTTATTTAGACATTGGTGCCTACATATCTATGTATTTACATACATTCATCTCTACGTACTACGGGAGTGTAAATGTAAACCTCTGCATGCATTTCAAATCTAACGCATTGCCAGTGTGTTAACCCCAGACCCCCTTCTCACTTCACACTCCACGTCCCTGAGGCCCGACCCAAGTCGTGTTTAGCCTTAAGCGTGCTTGCCTTGCAAACAAACGCAGCGTATTACGCAATGAGAAGCTTCGCTCCTCACACCTCCTCCACCATTCGGGCAATGAGAGTGAAATTGAATATGTCACTGGCGAGGGGATTAAGTGCAGTCCACAATAACAACAACAACAACAGATACTACAGTTACAACATCGCCATCATCAAGCAAAATAAAAAGCCATGTGAGGCGCATGTTAAATGACCCATTCCCCACTGCCCCCTGCCCCACCACCAACACGGGACAAACCCCTTTACAAACCAACAGTGTGAGTCTGTTTAGAGTGTTTGTGCATTGGTATGTGTGCGTCTGTGTGCAGAGTGGCTTTTTGCAGCTGCTGCTTTTGTCAGAGCGTGGCAAAGCCAGTCTGTTGATCAGTCCACGACCACCAAAAAGGAACCGCCGCTCATATCGAACTTGATGGTTCGTCGTTGCACATGGTCCGATGATGTCATCGTTAAGCCATGCCAGGCCAATCCGCCTCCTGTTTCTCTTCAAATCCGTCTTCCACTCTGTTTTATTTTGTTTATGCTCCTCTGAGACACTCTCTCCGTCTTCCTCTGTTGTATACAAGTATACATACATACATACAAGTATTTATACCCATTATCGTCAACTTCAAAATTTAGAAATAATGCTACGACTGTCGCTTGCTTGAAGCTCATTTCGCAGCGATAGCACCCTTTCCATACACAAACATATACACACACACACACGAATGAACAACACCTATGTATGTATGTATGGGTATGTGTTGTGTGTGGCATAAGCAAACAAAAACAACATACCGCTAAATAAACTTAAAAACCATTATATCTTTGCTTGTCAGAATATTGTTTTGTAGCTCGCATTTATTGTATACCTGAATACATACATAGATATCTCATAGTTGTGTGTGTGTGTATTCTGCTGGCTGGCAGTTATTTTGTGTACTTTTATGGAGGTAGACTCTATACGAGCTTGTGTGTCTAAATTGGTGGCTATAACCGTTTTTAGACTTAGTCAATCGCATGCAAAGTTTCAGAATTTAAGCAAGTGGCTGCTGCACTCTGCACGTGCTCTGGTAGGCCTTCTCCAACACTGGCAATGAGCTGCCCACCCCCAGACACCAGGCCAGCAGACACGCTAATTAGTATCTCTCCCACTATTTGTATTCCTACCTGCGTCGTTGTTAGCTTGCTTAGGTTCGCTTTCAAAGGCAGCCAAGACGAAACACACACTGCCTAGGAAATGAAAATGACTCTTCTTCTTCGCCCGGTGTATGCGCTAATGTAGTCGTCTATTTGATATGAGTTTGTCGGCGTGTGGGTGCCCATAGAAACATTAACACGTACGTAGACATCCGCAGCACATATAGCATTTAGTGTTTAGATACTTACTTGTATGTACAAGCACATGTATTTACGACTATGTCGGTATGTACCTACATATCTATGTATGTAGATGTCAGCTATCAGTTGTTGTTCTCTCCACACGTAAATGAAACTTGCCGGGCTCCGCTACTTACAACGTACGTATTCGTATTTGTATTCGTAGGTAGGCCGTCTGACTGTTTTTAGATAAACAATAAAAATGGAAAAATTTTATCACAAATCAAATGTTTTTCTGCTCAGAAGTGCGCTTGTGTTGGGATTTCCGGTGAAACTTAAACTCGAATGACAAATACTTTCTTTACTGTTTCAAAGAATAGATTTCACTTTAAATGTGAAAAATTAATCTTAAACCCAACTAAAAATACAAATATTGCACTTAAATTAAGCATTTTTAAAGCAAACCCTCCAAATAAAACTTTACCTTGTTGCTTGACGTTGAAGTCTAAATTGGAAATCAATAATAAATCAATAATGGATGTAATCATTTGTGAAATCACCGATTCCAAAAACGATAGTGACAGACTTACTATAAGTTTTAAACAATTGATGCACAACGTTAAAAAGTACACATTTTGTAGCTCGAATGCTAGATGCGATTTAATTCCTATGTAATAATAAATTACACATTTCTATATAAATGTGATCGATTTAGTTAAACAATATGTGCGTTTAATGATCAAAATTTAATCATTGGTGAACCGCCAATAACATGTTTTTTGTAAAAACACCAGCCTGTATTGGGAATTGAGGCCAGACTAACTAAAACGGTGTTAGTTTTCAGACCATCTTTTCTAATCATCTATCTTTTATACACTATCAAACTTCCTGAACAGTTCAATTGTTTAATTTTGTATGTGCTGGGCAAATATTGTCTCAAGCTACTAATGCTCGAGCTCATTATAAAGTCTTCTTTATTATTCTTTTTGTGCTCATATGAACTTAGAAAGTTCTAATACTTCTATAGTTTAAAAAAAGCTGTTTAAGTATTTCACATGATGTACGTTATTATTTGTAGAGTATACCGTACATGTGTTTATTTATTTATTTAGAAGAAGTAAAGCTGAATTTATTTAACCTATGAAAAACTATAGTCGAATTTGGTTTATTTCCATGTTTTGTGATTACAAGGCAAAAAAGAACAAGGCAATGGCAATTCAAAAATAAAAACAGATAATTGACATAGTTTTGGCATCCGTTTCATTTGTTTCTCCTTTCGACGTCTTTCGAATATAGTTGTAGAGTACTTTTTCGATGTTTGTTGTTGCTCTACGAATATCGGTCAGCAATGAACTGTGAAATTGTCATGAGCCATGACACATCAAAAAGAAAGCGAAAATTAATGCAAAAGATGAAAAAAGTGAAAAAATCCAATATGAAAAATGAATAATCGTGCGCAGAATGCTGCCTGCTGACCATTTAAGGCCGTTGTTGGCTCTTGCGCAATCCCTGAAGAGTTTGACGCTGACTTTGTATGTACACATACATATGTATATGTATGTATATTGTATATGTACATACAGATACATTATGTATCACGGACGTGTGTTAGTGATTGACGCGATTTTCGTTGGTTGCTGTGTAATGCCTCTTTTCACATAGCATTTGAAAAAGGCAAACATTTAACAAATCATCTTCGCTAAAATATCGCTGAACTTCAGATTCATGGCTCAGCGACTCCGCAAGCCGGCAAATGACATCATGGCTTGAAAAGACTTGACTCAGTGTTACGTGCCACGCATCCTACAGCGCAGCCGTTGGGGCTATTGCGTAATAACTATCTTCGATTACTCATACATACATACATATGTACATATATATGTATATGAGTTTTGGTGCCACATGTACTCAATAGTTAGTCAATTTTAAAAACAAACAAAAAAAACATCTGGCAAAACTGATTGACTTTTGTCTCTCAATACTGAAAACCCTCAACAACAAAACTGCAAAAACATAGTCGTCTCATGCACAACTAACTTGATATTACCGTTTTCTTTTTGATTATTAATTTTAATTATTCGAGCACTTATCTGCACGACATATAGAGCTTGTGTGGGTGAACTGAAGTTAGGGCTTGAGTCATATACATATATGTATAGCTAGCGATGTGGTTGTGCCTTGAAAGTTTGGTTGGTCTTGTCAACCAGCATTTTACATTTAGTTGACCGCCAGATCATTCCGTAACGAGGCCGGAGAAACCTTGTCACAATGTCTCGGTGAAAATAGTAATTAACAATCTTACGATTGCTCTTACATGCACTTGCACAATAAACAATAATAATGTAATGTAATAATGTATCTATCAGCTGCAAATATCTGCATTTACACCCACAAAATGGATGTACATAATAGTATTATATCTTCGCAATCTGAAATACAAATGTCTATATTTCAGTCTAACAGGTTATAAGTAACCTTTAAATAATTATAAATTTTACGACAGAAGGCAGTTGGGGTGATTTTATTTCATTTCATTTATATATACAGGGTGCGCCATCTTTTATGTCGGTATGATTGACTTGAGTAGACCAGTGTTAAAAACCTCAGTTCAAGAAATTGTACAGAACCAAATTAATTGAAAATCGGTTGCTTATTTTCAAAGATATTCAATGTTTTCATACCGACATAAAAGATAGCGCACCCTGTATGTATGTGTGTATTTTTTGAAAAACACAAACCGCTATAAATTACTATAAATTGTGTATAAACAATAACTGAGTGCATTGAAACCGGGGAACAAATTCTGTAAACATTAAAATGTTATTAATTAATTTAATTAGTCTTTGACAACAAATTCATCATATCACTTTAGTATAAATAAGGGATATGTGAAATATTGATACCAATGATGATTCTTAAGAGGGAGGTTGTGGACCCTTTTCTTTAAACAAACCAAGTTTGCCTCTTCTGAGGCTTGGAAAATTTATATCATAATGAAATGTGAGTTCATTAATAATGAGGAATTTACTTGCAACGTCCAACACGTCAAAATCATGACCTTCCTACACGACATTTCGTGGTAATTGTAATTCATCTAAAAGCCTTACAAACAGAGAACTATGATCTAGGTCGCTTCTAGCTGGTCTCTAATGGTCTTCATCGCGTGTACTTCGCATTACATCGAGTTGCCAGGCACGGACAACACCCAAAATTTTGCGTAGACAACGCCGGCACTACGAAACTTCAAAATTAATTATTGTCTCCAACTCGCATGTCATTTCCCTGTCACGCTTATCTGAACACCCCCCTCGTCCAGTACTAGCTCATAATCGAGGCTAATTTGTCAAATGACCCACAGACCTACAGACCCATAAACCAGTGTCAGCTGCACCCAGACGGCGTATACGCAGAATTGGAGGTTTCCTCATTAACATTCAAGGGTCCCGCATGCGCTGACAACATTTTCCGGCAGTTTGTTGCTAATTTTGGCCACAGTTTACAGCTCTAACGGATCGCCACCGGAGTGGCCATTTGGAGTGGCCTAGTTGGTTTGGTAGTCGCGACTAAATGGAAGTGTGTGCCGTTTTGCAAATGCTCGCCATGATAAGCAACTTCCACCCCATATAGCGACACAATTTGTTTTTACTTGCGTATCGTTGAAGCGAGGCCAATACTAAGTACGAGTATATGGAATTTTATATAATGTATATACTACATAGTATATTCTGTGTACTTTCATAAGCACAATATGTTCACAAGCTCTGAGCACAACTGCTTCCAAAATTCGAATTTCGAGGCAACGATAGCGACTATAACAACGACCTTATAGCGAGCGAAGTAAAAAAAGCTACTAAGCTTGGCTGCTGCTGACTCATTAAATTGAAAAAAAAAAAAAAACAAAACGTTAAAAATATTTGTGTAAAAAATTGCTTGTTGCTTACTTACTTATTTTTCATTTTAGGCATTGTTGTACATTTTGCTCGCGCATTTCATTTCGCTTACACACACACTCTCATTCCGAGACCCCCCAGCCATTCATTTATACTAACTACATGTACACTCACACATACATGTGCATAGCTAAATGTAGAAATGTGTGCGCAAGAAAGCGCTAGAATCTATTAGTATTTTAACGGCTTTTTATTTATGACTATGAATATATAACGAGTCGGTCTGTCGGCTGTTCACAGATACAATGAATGCGAGTTTCATTCTCATGGTATGGCGTGAGTGTGTGTATAGCGCAAAATATTTATTCGGATTCTTTATCAAAATTAATTCAGTTGCCCGAGGGTGTCAATTTATCTGCCATCATCATCTTCATCATCATTATAACTTTAACCATCGGCCAGCGAGTTTCGAAAAGTGTCAATCAAAATCATTTATTATGGCTTTGCTCACACTTGTTGCTTTAAGCTCTTTTGTTTTCATTCAGGGAGCCAAGAATTTTGCCTCTGCGCATGATAAATTGATCCACTGAACATATTTTTTTATTTTTTTTGGGGGGTATTGGAAACAATTTCGCGCTAATCCATGGCTAGCTGGAGGTCGCTCTTCAATGACCCGCCGGCCCAGCTAGCTGTTAAATGTTTCACCGTTGTGCCAATTTTTCCATTTTGCAGTTACTTTCAATTTGTTAAATAATTGCCGGCACCAAAACAATAAAAAGAACAACAGAAAATTAAACTGTGAGAAGAGAAATTTTCTTTTGTAGAGAAATTTTTTCAAGAAGTGTCTTGAGAAAAAAATATAACACACGTTACTACTTGATGATGAGATCTTATGTGGAAGAATTCCAAGCATTTTTCAAAAACAATTAAGTTACGCTTGGAACAACACTAAGCCAAGCATAGTAAATGAACAATATATGCATGTATATACATACATACTTGTATATACTCGTAAATGTATAGATTGATTTTAAATACCTTAAATCTCTTTTAAATATAGAGTTCGATTTAGTTAATGTGTCCTTAAAGGTTATTTACGTCTTCAAAATGTAAGCATCAATGGATCTTTTTCTGAAATAGTGTGAAGCAGGGTATTGTTCAGGGATTAGATACTTTATCTTAATCTCATCCGATAGGACTATCATCGCTGAGTCTGCCAATCTTTGCTGACCTAAGTTCTTTCTTTTAAGATTTGACAAAATAGAGCTATAACACCTCTTTTTAGGGTATTTCAATATTTCGTTGTTGGCAGATGGACTTCTGAGATTACTCATAACTCCATTCAAGTTTACGCTTCTGTCCATGTTTGCACATCAATAAAACCCGTTTATATTGACACTTAAGTCTATTCAACAATTCCATTTGCATGTGTATTTGTATCTTGATAGTCTTTGTTTTGTTAGCTAAGAATCAGGTAATAAATCGGTTTGTTAAACCCATTTTGCACAGCATTCGGACTACCGTTGGCTGCTTCAAGCACAATTTATTGCCTGTGCCTCTATTGAACTTTTTTCTCTGGCCGTACATTCACCTTCACTGAACACACAGATCCCATACCTATTCATATATACATGCATAATATTTGCGACATGTTATTCTTTGTACATACATATATGTATGTATGTATGAATGAATTTATTATAGTCCCCTTCCCTACAATCAGAAACCGCGAACTGATAAGACGAACTCACTCAAGTGGTCGACCCGCTCTAGAACAACTCAATTGGAAGCAATCGTTTCACTTGTTTCTGAGATCATTTATTATAATAGACTTGTCGTCAGTCCCACATACTGGGTACATACATACGTATGTATATATGTACATACACACATACAAGAATCACGTACTCGCTCGCACATTTGATAAAGGGGAGGGCGCTAATCTGAAATTTGTTAGCGACAACTGTTCAATTTAATAAAACAAATAACTTCGTGCTAAACGAAGCAAAACGCTTTCGCAAATAACTATGCAGTTAAAGGCATAACCAAAGAGGCAACGCCCAATCTGTTGCCGGATTGTTAAACACTTAACATTTGTGATTTCATATGCCACCCAGAATTGAATTGAAATGCGACACGCAACGACCTCTGCCCCTACTTGTGGTTGACCATCATGTTCGAACATTTTTTATATCCACACTACTCGTATCTGGCTGTTGTTTGGACTTGGTTTTGTGGTTTTGTAGTTGCCACTAATGTTGGCAAATTTTCACATGGCGCCAAATCGAATGGCAAGTTCGAAGCTAGTCGTCAACAAGTGGGCCTCGCTTTTAGCCAAATCGGTGCGAAGGACGGACACACAAACTGCTGCCAATTTTTAGGCCTTATATGGATAAGACGCTCAGACCGGCGCTCGCCATTAGCAAATATGGATATTTTTAAAAACGAAACGTGACTGACTTCCACAATTTGTTATACATATGCATGCCATATACAAAACTTTGGCGCAATGTCGCTAAATACATATAAACATACTATAAATACGAATACAGTATGTGCATGTGTACGAGTATATGCATGTCTGGGAGTGTCGCCTGTCATCGAGTTAGAACAATAAGAATTGCAATCTTATCGTTTTTGTTTGGAAAATATTCTGGGAGAGGGAAAGGAATGCTTTCATACACTTACATTTGTACGTAGTATATGTGAGAATGTATCTGGGTGTGGGTCTAGACTCTTGGGATTTTTATGACCAATTACCGATAAGTGGGTTATATGTGATATTTCCTGAAATAAAGCGATAATATGAGGTACGACATGATTGCAACTAATTTGCAGATTCAGTTTAGAATAGAGCATTTGTGAAGGCGATTGACATTATTCAGCATGGCCCAAGCGAAGGTCTACAGGAAGTTTCATTTTAAATAATAGATTTTAAATGGAACTTTCCTTAATTTTCCAGATCAACTCCAAATATAGCGAGGAACTCGCTCAGGAATCGCTCGAATGGATTAAGGCTGTAACTAGCGAGCCCATCAACACGTCCGGTGACACGGACAATTTCTTTGAAGTACTCAAGGATGGCGTAATTCTATGCAAATTGGCCAATGCCCTGCAACCCGGTTCCATCAAGAAGATTAACGAAAGCAAAATGGCATTCAAGTGCATGGAGAATATTTCGGGTTGGTAGTAGAGAAATACAAATAAAATCCTTTTCTATTAACATTGTCGGGTTTTGCAGCATTTTTGGAGTGCGCTAAGAACTTTGGAGTGCCCACACAAGAAACATTCCAGAGCGTTGATCTGTGGGAACGTCAAAATTTGAACTCAGTCGTCATCTGTCTGCAGTCGCTGGGCCGAAAGGTAAGTGGTCGAAACTTTGAAAAATTTCCCTCTAATTCAATATCTGTCTGCCTTTGATAGGCCGCCAACTTCAATAAGCCGTCGATCGGACCTAAGGAGGCGGATAAGAACGTGCGCAACTTCAGCGATGAGCAGCTGCGTGCCGGCCAGAATGTCATCTCCCTGCAGTATGGCTCTAATAAGGGCGCCACCCAGTCGGGCATCAACTTTGGTAACACCAGACACATGTAGACAACATATTCCAACACTTCAGGACATTCCGCAAAAACGCCAAAACTCAATCTTTTTCCGCTTGTAAACATTCGCAAATAATGGCATTCCACAAAAGTCAAGAAGTTAATTAGATTATGTATTTATGATATGGTACCATCATGTATTTCAATTTGAGACAATTGCACCAGGCTTTTGCTGTATGTAATACCATAAACTATTTTTAATTTAATACGATTAAGTACATATGGATGAATTTTTAAAGAATTAACTATTGCTATTTTCAACAACGATATCCCACTGCATTTTGGCACGATCATTACTTTTACAAATTTACACGTATAGGACTACATACGTTTATGACCAACTGCACTCAAATCTCGTGCCATGACGGAGCAGAGGGGCCAATTGGGAGGTGGGAAGTGTCTCCTTGAAATTGATTGTGAGATATGATGTATAACGAACATTTTGCCTTTCACAAAGTACCGCAAAACTTAATTGAAATGTTAACAATGGTGTCTTCTATCTCGTAGAGTATGGTTACAACCACCTGATGTTTTTATCATTAACTAAGCATTTAAAAGAAAACATATAAAAACAGTTTAAAAGTACCTATAATTATTACTTAGAATGAACAATTATACCCGTTTCCCATGTTGAAAATAAATAATTATTCTTTTAAAAAATTAATTACATTTTGTTTCTTTTACTTTCGACAGATAAATAAATGTGTTTTGATATTGACTTTACAAACATTTTGCATTCAACAAAAAAGTTCTGAATGTTTCAAAAAGCAGACTCAAAAACTAATAGTAACATATACATATATGTATGTATGTACATAACAGACAAAAATAGATGTTACCAAGCACACCTTCATTCGTCTGCAGGAAGAACTGAACAATACTGTGGATGTATTGGAATTTATAAGATGTTGGTCGAAAGAATATTTTTGATTCTTGCACAACTAAAGTTCTTTACACTTCTTCAGTGCGTCTCTGCTGGAATACTGTTCATGCATTTTTTATCTGGTTGAGATGTACAGCTACGCTTTGCACAATCGTTTTGGGGTATTTGTGCTCTATCTTTCATAGCTTTCTCAAAAGTTCAAAAATATATTTCTTTAAGAATCATCACCTATAAAAATACATAAAACATAAAAATAAAAAAGTCCGAGCTACATTAAATTATTCTTTTTCATTTTTAAAATACTAGCGTTTCTGCGCTACAGAATGGTAGTCTTGGTATATTTCCTAACTCCTCCTTCGCTTTTTATAGCTTCGAGTAGGTTCTTTGCATGACATGTGCGAAAGTGCACTTTAAATTTAATTTAACCGAAATATAAGTGAACATAAATATTAAATATGGTTTTTGTGCTTTGTTTAAGAAGCGCAGAGAAAAGACTATTTATAAATGTTTCTATGGCTATAGATGTGGATGCCCTTTAGCGCACTTTGCCTAAGCCGCTACTCCCGATCTTGTTCCGTTTCTATGGCTCTATATGTACATACATGCTCTTTCACTTGATTTTGTGGTTTTTTTACATACTAAGTACATAAGTAATGTATATACATATATAGAATATGTTTTGAAGTCTTGCGAGAGTTGGTTTGCCAATTTATATATATTAAGTTGTAAGAATGACACCGGATTTATATTTATTTGGAGTTAACAGGGAAATGCAATTTTATAATAATGTGAAAAACATTACGGCTTTTAGAAATTTTGTTTTGGTATTTTTCCGTTGCGTATAAAAATACTGAGCTTAGGTATTTACGAAAACGGTCGCACTTCACAACTGTCATCACTATTGCAGCATGTGCATTGGCTAAAATCATCGCAATTTGCTTGCTATTTATTATTTTGATCCTATATATCCAATTGTATCCAATTTAAGTGCTTCACCTGCTTTAAACCGAAGTACTTACTTTTTAAACCGAAGTATGCCTTCATATGAATTGGCGTTAGTGCTGCGGCAAATGCCACGGGTATGTAAATGTAAAATGTTAAAGTTATATAAACAAAAATAAACATGTCATTGTTATTGCAGCCAGAACTTATTTCCGCTATTAGACGCACTGCTGAATGCATATTAGATAGTGGCGGCATTATTCGTAAGTTGGAGAACCTGGGTACGAGAGCATTGCCCCATAAAGTGAGCGAACACGGCGTGGTTCATCGCGAAGGCACACATTTTAACATTGCCTTCGACACATCGCCCACGAAGATAGCCGATCTCAAAGAGGAGTTTGGGCGTGATATTGACATTATACGCAGACATGTGTTTAAAATTGAAGAACCAGAAAAGTTCAAGTGCACACTACACCAGGAAATGCTTCCGCCGGCATACCGAAAGGATGTACAGGAGATGATTGAAATTGCAAAGAGGAAGCAAAAGCCAAAGTACAACTACAATTCCGGACTGGATTATTATCCATTCCAGAAATAGAGCATTATCGAATAAACGCAGAAATTTATTAACTTCTTACGTTATGTAAATTGTTCACAATTCATTCTTTTTTCTGCATAGCCGGTAATCGATTCGAAGGCATTTTCAAAGCCCCTACTGTTTGTAACTATTTAATAAGAATTCGTCTTTATCAGCTAGCTGAATTGTTATCAATTGTCTTATTAAGTTTACGACCTACAATCAATACTTATCAGAATTTTGATAAACTCCCATAATCAAATGGGCAAAAATATACGAAACAAGAGAAACTTATATTAGTCTACAAGCGTTGTATAAGGAACGTGCTTCCAAAATGTCGTTGAAAATTCGTCCGCTCTCTCCGGAACTACAACAGGCGGCAAAGGAGCAATTAAATGAGGTCCCAGAACGCATTGAAGCCGACTTGGAGGCATTTAAGACGTGGATTAAACAGCAACCCCATCTAAACCCACGTACAGATGATCAATTTCTTATCGCCTTCTTACGCGGCTGTAAGTTCAGTTTAGAACGCGCAAAGTCCAAATTGGACAAGTACTATACACTGAGAACGAAATATCCCGAATATTTCAACATCACTGATGTTGACGACCCCAAGTTCCGTGAAATTCATCGATTGGGGTAAGATTTGATGCACGATTTGAAGGTCGGTGATAAAGTGAATTGTACTTATAATTGTATTAATAGAGCGATAGTCTACCTACCCAAGCCTCTTAATGATAATGGCCCCCGCCTAGCCATCATGAGAAGCGGACTCTACTCTGTTGATAAGTATCATATCATGGACGTTATGCGTGTGGCTCAGGCAATGCAAGAGATTGCCATGATGGAGGATGATTATGCCATTATTAAGGGAGTCATCTTTATAATGGATATGAAGGGGGCAACTCCGGGTCATTTGTTTCAAATGACTCCTGGTATGGCGAAAAAGATGACAGTGTTTTCGGAGGAAGCCGTGCCTCTTAGACCCAAGGCTCAGCATTTTATTCACACTATTCCTGGTTTCGAGCAGATTTTCAACATGTTTAAGCCGATGTTATCAAAAAAACTTCAGGGCCGACTTTATGTGCACGGCAATAAAATGGAGCTGCTAACAGAACAAATACCCTTAAAGTATCTACCCAAAGAGTATGGTGGAGAGAATGGGTCCGTGGAGGAAATAGTTGCAGAATGGGAGAAGAAGTTTGACCAATACAGTGATTTCTTTAAGGAAAATGCTAATTATGGCACGGACGAGAGACTTCGTCCTGGAAATCCAATCGATTTCGATGGTCTATTCGGGACTGAAGGCTCATTTAGGAAACTTGATGTGGACTAATATTAATACACATATATTTATATATGCATATACTATATATACGTAGATATACAAACTAATAGAGAATTTAAATAAAATGTGCTTTCTATTATTTGAAACAATTTCTATAGTATATTTAATTTTTTGAATATCGGCTGCGTAGTTTAATAGTTCCACCACTAAAGTCCTCACGAAAGAACAGTAGTTTTGTTTTATTTATGAAAAATTTGGTATTTTTCGGTCCGCTTAAGTCTGGTCACACTTGAAGCCCCTTGTGACTTTATACGTAAAACAGTGTACATAGCAGGCAGAGGCAGGCGTAGGAACATATAACAACCGAATTAAATTGGAACGTAATTTTCCTAGACACAATTTTTGGCTTTTAGTTGAGAAAATTTGTTTTGCTAGTGCGAACACGAAGAAGTACACTCTAATTTCGCGAGTACACTTAACGAGTTACATAAAATCGATATATGAATAACGAGAATACGAAAGATTTTCACGAAGCACGCGTTTGTCTTTTCGATTAGAATATGCATTCGCTTAATTGGACCTCGCGTTTAATATCGCGAGCGTTACGTAGCAGCCTGTCGACCCTGATCGACACTGCCACTGGTGCCACCCCAAAGAACGGACAAGTGAGAGCACCCCGACCCCACTTCGTTTCCGTCGTTTGTGGATTTGCAAAGGACAATTTACGTCACAAATACAAGCCTGGCAAGTACGGGGAGGACTCGTGGTTTAAGGCTTCCACAGATCAGGCAGATGTGGTGGGCGTAGCAGACGGTGTCGGTGGCTGGCGCAGCTATGGTATTGACCCAGGAGAGTTTTCATCCTTTCTAATGCGGACATGTGAGCGGCTGGTGCACTGTACACACTTCAACCCGCAGCGGCCCGTCAACCTGCTTGCCTACAGCTATTGCGAACTTATGGAACAGAAAAAACCCATATTGGGCAGTAGCACAGCCTGCGTGCTGATCCTGAATCGTGACACCAGCACTGTTCACACGGCCAATATCGGGGACAGCGGTTTCATTGTAGTACGGCAAGGCGAAATCGTACACAAGTCTGAAGAACAGCAACACTACTTTAACACACCTTTTCAACTATCCCTGCCTCCGCCTGGACATGGCCCCAACGTACTCAGTGACAGTCCCGAATCGGCTGACACCATGAGTTTTCCCGTGAAAGACGGTGACGTCATTTTAATCGCCACTGACGGTGTGTTCGACAACGTACCCGAGGCGCTGCTGTTACAGGTGCTACGTGAAGTAGAGGGGGAACGCGATCCCGTCAAGCTACAAATGACAGCCAACACCTTGGCTCTGATGGCGCGTACGCTTTCTCTCAACAGTGAATTTCTGTCGCCATTTGCCATCAGCGCTCGTCGGAACAATATTCAAGCCCGGGGTGGAAAACCCGACGACATCACTGTGGTACTTGCGACCGTAGCAATTTGAAGATAGCTTAGTATTTAATGTAATTGTAGTCCGTATATATTTAGTTAGCCGTTAGGAGTTTGTTTCGTAGTTCTGTCTAATTGTAAGCTGCATGTTGAGATTGAAAACGAGAACACACTTTCAATTGTTAGTTACATATATACATAGCCACTCATGCATACACTATACCCCTATTACATACTAATCGGCGGATAATCATCCTGGTCAACGCAAATAATCTATTATGTCAAAGCGAAACGACCCGATTGGGAGTGAAGTGCGACTGCAAAGTCTTGATCTACAATATACGATGTATGTATAAATTTTAGATGCGATTTGAGAAACGACGAGTCTTAATCAACAAATTACAAAATACCCTTGAACCCTATGAAAAAACACACAATTATTGAACTGACAATTTATGTATCTAGGCGACTGTCTTAAAATTCTTTGTCGAATGTATTCACTGATATTGCGATCCAATAAATAATCATTAACAAATTATTTGTTCGTTTACATTCATAATTGCAGAAAAGGAAAACATGGTTGGGGTACTCAGTGTTAATAATAACATTCAGTAATGCAATTCTTTTGGCAGGTGGTCTAATATCGTAGCAAGATTGAAGATTATGAGGATAGCTTCGAGTTTACATAATGCTTAATTATACAGTGGTCAATATTAATTTGATTTGAATTTTTATATATAAATTGGGCGTGCAGCAAAGTTACTGCAGTGAAAGCGTTACGCAAACGAAATTATTCGTTTCTCAACACTACGCCAAAAACTAGAAGAGCGTATCACAACAAAATGGAAAAGTGCAATTGTGATTTTGTATTGTGTGTTGTATGATTAAAAATATACATATAAATGGGCTTGTAATTTGTAAGAATAACTCCAATATATAGAGAAAATGAAACTCTACAAATTAAACACGCACACGAGAAGTTGCAACAAATCATATGGTGAGACTGAGCAATCATATCCTTTTGCATTGCCCTTTGTACTTACATACATACATACATATGTATATATTATATCAAATTTAATAATATATCGTGTAGATGCGGATCTTGTATTGAATTTGAAAGACCATCCAACGGCGAAAGTTAACGATGTGGTCGAGATTTACGATCCGGCTCATGAGGATGCCACACATCTGCTCTTGCAGATAACAGAGTTTAACGACCAAAGTAAAACTGGTCGCGATGCAATCAGCATAGAGTCGGGAATAGCAGCGCAGTTCAAAATGCGACCATTTTCCACTGTTGTAATGCGAATCGTAAATCCTGCTGATGTAGCTCTTGACTCCATTGAGATTACTTTCAAGGACCAATACATGGGACGCTCGGAAATGTGGCGTCTGAAGACGTATCTGGTGAGTGATGAAGGGAAGTGAATTGACTATAAGTGACATCATTCATCTCTTTAACAGACCAATACTTGTGTATATGTCAATAAAAAGATCGACTATAATGATATGCAGATACGTTGTCAAGTGTACGAGATGTGGTCGCAGGGTGAGCGCGTGGCCAGCGGCGTCATAAATGAGGACACTAAAATTGTGTTTCGGAGCAGCACATCTATGGTTTACTTGTTTCTGCAAATGTCCTCGGAAATGTGGGATTTTGATATACATGGAGATCTTTACTTTGAAAAGGCCGTGAATGGTTTCTTGACGGAACTTTTTCAAAAGTGGAAAAAACTGGGCTGCAACCACGAGGTAACAATCGTTCTCTTCTCGCGCACTTTCTACGCGGCCAAGAGCCTTGATGAGTTCCCGGAGCACATGCGTGACTGTCTCCAGCTCGATTACAAGGGTCGCTACTATGAAGACTTCTATCGCGTTGCCATACAAAATGAGCGCAATGATGATTGGTGCACGGTGCTGGCGCAGTTGCGCAAGCTTTTCACATCATACCAGGAAACTGTGCTCCGTTATCATCAACGTGAGAATATGAATATACCACCGGCAATGAATTCCACAGCAGCGCAGGGGAATTTCCTTGAGGTGCTCAACATATCGTTGAATACCTTCGAAAAGCATTATCTAGATCGTACCTTTGACCGCACCGGACAGTTGTCTGTCGTGATTACGCCTGGCGTAGGCGTCTTTGAGGTCGACAGGGAGTTGACAAACATAACCAAGCAGCGGGTATGTTTGTAAAGCCACACAGCACATCTTCATTTTGATTCCCTATTTTCCATTTTCTTAAGATTATCGACAACGGTGTGGGCAGCGATCTGGTCTGTGTCGGCGAGCAGCCTTTGCACGCAGTGCCACTACTTAAATTTCACAACAAAGACACCACATTAACATCAGCAGACGACTACTCGCTGCCGCATTGGATCAACCTGAGCTTCTACTCGACAAATAAGAAAATTGCCTATTCCAGTTTCATACCGCGTATCAAACTGCCTCTATTTATGTCACAGAATGAGCCCATTGATGAGGAAACCAATGTATGTCTAACATCCTGATATCCAGCCTACACTCTTTTAAAATCATTTTACATAGGAAAACGAAAGAAACTTCCTGAGTTGCAATCAGTCAGAGTACATACACAATTCATTATTTGATTACGATGCATACGATGAGCAAATCTTTCAGCCTTTGCCAGCGCAAAGTACTTGGTAAGTTCGAAACTTCTATGTAAATTATGAAAAGCGAATACGCGTCGTTTTACTATGCAGCTCCCTACAACGTGTGGTGCGTGCGAAAAAAACGTCAGTTCCCAGTTTCGAAACGTACGCCACCCGTAACAATGACTGGGAGAACTTAACGCCAACCAAGATACCCAGTCTACGCCGGAAAATGTCTGATCCGGACATACATCATGGTACCTCCGGAATGTTGGCAGCGCTGGTAGTTTAAGCTCATAAGCCCCTGAAGCAGTCTTTTAACTCTCGCTTGCTTCACAGACGGACACTACCAACTTGTCTGAGTCATTAGCCTCAGAGAAGAATTCCCGACGCGCCATCGTCAGCATAGCGCCCATTGTACGACCTGGTCGAGCGCTGATCAATCCATTTGATCCGTCACATGTTACCATAAAGCTTACGTCGAATCGGCGCCGTTGGACGCACATTTTTCCAAAGGTATTTGCATATTGTGGATTGAAAGTGTTTTGAAGATTCTCATCTCTAATTTTTGTCGCTTATCAACTAAAGGGTCCTACGGGCGTGCTGATTCAACAGCATCACTATCAAGCGGTGCCAGCTAAAACACCCCAAGCTGGTACCTACAATAGGCATTTCAACAACAACAACAACATCGACAGTGACAATACTGCAAACGGAGAATCTGATCAAATATCAACGCATTCCCTGCTAAGTAAATCGTCTCAGCAATTAAGCTCGGCTAACAGTGAAGAAAAGTTCGACCGTAAGTTAAACAATGGAATGATTGAAGTGATCGGTTTTTTTTTAGCAGTTTAACTTAATTTGAAGCTTTGATAATCAACAATAACAAGAATGCTGGGAAAGGAAATAACCTTTTTTAGCGCAGCGTAGTTTCTTTAGAAAAATGTATATTTGAGGGAATTTCTTTATGTTTAGTTTAGCACTAAATCACTTTAATCATTCGAATGCAAAACGTCCATGACCAAAAACTGAAAACTGCATTATTTCTACCTACATACACGATTTATCAAGACATGTTGACGTTATCAACATTCGTTTAATTTTTCTGATTTCTCCCACAGTTTTAAAAAAACGCAACAATTCACTTTTGAATGCCACGCCCGCAAACGTGCCTAACCTAACGGCGACTCAGGCCAAATCGTATCTCTGGGGAGCTACCGGTGAGCAGGAATGGACGCCAGCGATTACGACAGGTAAGCACGCATAAGCCATGACCCTTATGCCTATCAATGACAGTTGTTTGTTATGATATTATGATGATAATACCCGTATGTGATCTGGTGCGAGGCTTAAAGCGCCGATGGATTGTTAAGTGAGGTGGCGCTGATTGTATTTGTGTTTACCAGCGTCCGCCTCCATATACCATAATTAGTTTTTCCCCCAAGGAACCTAAATTAAACTGTGTATTAAAGAGTAGGACGCCAGACAATAGTGGGTCAGTTGCAAGCGATGGCTTTGAAGGAAATAAACCTCAAGTTGTGGACCGCATCGGTTGTATTTATTTTGACGATAGTTCAGGTATCGCTCCAACTCAATCTGGCACAGCCTGTTGAATTTGCTCACTTTCTAAGTCGCATTGGTCGCGTACATAAGCTGCAGTCCATTAACATCGTGTACGGGAGGGGAGCCATTTCAAACTTTTATTTGGACGCACTCTTCGATGACCTGGTCCGCAATGCGAGCAACAGTTTTTATTCGCGACCAATTGTGACGGGAACAGAACAGCTACAAACGTGCTTCCGGGAGATAACTCACGAACATACCTTATTTGTGATCTTCGCCACCGACCCTCGAGATCCTGTGCTGAACGTAATGGCTCATAGGGCGCGAGGACGACGCTATTGCAAGACCATATTCCTGTTGAATAGTGTAAGAAATAAAACCGAACTTAAGCAATTCTTTAATTATCTGTGGCTTGAGCAATTTCGTACAGCTCTGGTTGTGGTGGCATTCAAAAGACTCTATCATATGGATCCCTATCCAGTGGTGCAGATAATGAAGCTAAGTGATTCACACAGTCTTCGCGGCTTATTCCCAGTGACCAGTCGCTCTGACTTTAGAGGCTACCAGCTGCAGGTGCCTGTGCAGGTAGATGTGCCGTCCACGTTTTGGTCTCAGGATCCACGCAGTGGTGCTTGGCTCTTGGACGGCTGTGGTGGCATGCTTTTTCGGGAACTAATGCGCCATCTGAATGTATCCTTGCACTTGTATCCTTTTATTGTGAACGGTTCAAACAATTTGAACATGCATGCTTTGGTGAATCTGATCGTTGAACAAGGAGCTGAGATTAGTCCACACCTCTTCACGACACTGGAAGTCTGCCCACTGATCGAGTACTCTTATCCGTACAAGGCAGTGCCTCGTTGTTTTATGCTCCCACTGCACAACGAAGTGCCACGTTCGCTCTACGTGTTCCTGCCCTTCAAACCCGTTGTGTGGGCGTGCATACTTCTCATCATACTCTGCGTTCATTGTGCGGCTCGATGCTTTTGGAGGTCCGGCAAGGAGAAGAGGCAATTTTGGGCACTACTCGGTTTATCCGGAAGCCAGAAGCTGGTATCAAAATCCCCGAACTTCTTGGCGTTTCTGAGTAGGTATTTAGCCTGTGCAACACTTGTGTTTGGGGCCTTTGTAACTGCACAGCTGTATATTACCAAGTTGACCTCTTTTCTGGCCGTAACGCTGACACACAACCCTATTGGAACGTTAGAGGAGCTCTTCAGTATGCCATATCCCATACTGACTGTCCGCAGTGAAGTTAACGCCATAATTGACTCGTTGGGCCACGCCCAGCTCTTTAATCGGCAATTTGAATATGTCGATCATGATCAGTTTTATGAGAGGCGTGTGGAAATGATCACGAACTACATTTACCCCATTAGCACGCCCCGATGGAGCTTCGTGGCCCAGCAACAACGATATCTCACGCATAAGCGCTTCTGGCTATCGAATCTGTGCTACGGAACTTTCCCGCAACAATATCAATTACGCTACGACTCGCACTTCAAGGAGCCCCTCCATCGATTCGTACTGCACATACACGAGGCGGGCATTTACGATTACTGGACTACCAGCCTCTATCTAAGGGCCAAACAGATGGGCTATGTGCATGATTTTGCCAACGTTGAACAGTTTGAGCAACAGAATGGCGTTCGACCCCTATCTCTGAATCTTTTCGGGCCCGCTCTATATTTTTATCTATTCGGTATGGCGGCCAGCCTGTGTTCTTTTCTTGTTGAACACGGACTAGTTTGCCGACTGCGAATAAGCCCGTGCGCCCCGTAGGCCGATTTGTGTGCACTTGTAATGTCTACTAACAGCACCCGTAGGATCTATCTCTTCGCGTGGCTTGCGATTACATTCGATCTATAACTGAAAACTAATGCATTTGTAGAATCTCATTCGTAACACTAAATATCGATGATATTGAAATGAATATTAATATTTATACATACATAAGTACCTATATATATATTTATTGGTCATTTCACAAATCCTGATATTTCTCCACAACCACCACCACCACCAACTACCATATCTTCAACAACAACAAACCCGAATTGGACGTTCAAAAAACCTAAAAATTCAATATAACCAACCGACCACCTCCAACTGAAACTATCGAACTACTCTTATAATCGTATGATTAGTTAATGTGAATGCAACGGCGAATGCGGGAAAACATTTAAAACCGATTGTCGAAAGTGAACTTAGCTTTGGAACTGCACCGCTTGAAGCTCCAACAGAGGCGGGCGGCAAAGGAAAGATCATTATAGGTTTGGAAACTTATCGCAATTTTGTAAAAACAAAACACCATGCATACACATACACCTACGCACACACACAAACACACATCTAATTACATGTATACTAGTCAAAGCACCTAGTTTTTGTAGCACTTACAATTAGATATTGAACACCAATACGCACACGCACATCTGTTAAATAAATCTGTAGCTGAATTCTTATTATTTTCCTTGAACTTTCCCTTAAAACAACCCGCATGTACTCGTACACCTACAATTCTGAGCCATGTAGACAAAAACCATACGAACACGAGTGAACCCGAAGCCCTTTGCTAAATCCTAAGTTTCACTATCCAATTAAAATCGGCAATTTAAGATGTAGAACATGCCAGGATTTATATCTTTTTAAAGTTACTTTTGATTTTTTGCCTGTGTTGTAATTGAAATGTTGTTTTCTTTCTAGTAAGCAATATATAGATATCATTTAAATAAATGTCTTCGTATTGGGCTTTTTTGAAGGAGCCTCCTCATAGAAGCGAAACTTCATATGTCCCATATTTGTGCCGTAGGTGTCATAGCTTTTCATAGGCACGCATCACACAATCCACTACACAATCCTGCCCACCTGCCTACCACCTTCACCTTAGATAGTTATACATATTAACAGCATCCCCGTAGAACACCAGTAGTAGTCTTCACCCACACGCGAACACATCGAAGTTGGTATTTGAAGTGCATGTCGACGTTACCATTCCTGCCCATGTTGCTTCAATACCCGCCTGCCGCTAAATTCGCATGCTTTTAGACCCGCCACTGCATTGCACGCACACACCTGCTAATTTTTGTTTGGCGCAATCCCTTACAGCTTTACATAATCCAATGTTTTCAATAATTTTCGTAGACTTCCAGTACTTGTTAGTCTTATTAGCTTTAGCAATTGTATTACTGTATATCGGCGTTGGCTTTTCTCTTTTTGCGTACTTCCTTGACCAAAAGCCCACTGCACGCAGCGGCGTCTACCGTCTACCCCTCTCATTGTTATCGCTGCACCTGTTTACAGGCGTCGACTGGAAGTCGTTGACCATACCCGCCTGCCTGCCAATAACCACGGACTATTTTCCGGACAAACGATCTCTGCACAACGACTACGTCATCTCGGATTACACATTGCTGCCGGATGATGTGAATCAGGACTATGCCAAGGACCGTGCCGTCTATCGCAAACCATTGTCGACGGAGGAGGTGTGCAAAGAAATTGTTTCACAGCGCCTGGCGCAGGGTTTTCAACTGATTGTTGTTGAAGAGAAGGTACCTGGTGTCAACACCAGTATTGCTAGCTCAGTCCCAGGCGCATCTACAGTGCAGGCTACATCGGCAGTACTGCCCGTGAAGCCGCCAACCGAGACAAAGAAGGAATATCTGCTTTCAATAGGTCGGATTTTTCACAAGATTTCATTGAGTGGTTCCGTCATCACAGTTACGGGCTATAGGCCCAGGTAAGTTTTGATACTTATGCTTACAGTTCATCTAACACACACCTTTTTAAATAGGCATCCCTACCCGCCCATCAATGTGGACTACCGATATCGCTTCCATGCGCCTCAGCACGAAACGTACGAAATCTCTGGAGTGAACTTTACCACTGAAAAGCTGGAGAATTTCAACTGGAATCACATGGATCTTTACATTTGCACGCGTGGTGACACCGACTACCCCTTAATGGAGGTAAAGTGCTCCCTTTTGTTTTTATTTCGCCATATCTTATTCATATTGTTCCCTTGTATTTCCGCAGAGCCTCAAGTACTGGCGATTTCGCATGTATCTTCTCCCTCGCGAGAATATTCTCAACAAGATTAGCTTCAATCATCAGCACTGTGATGTATTCGCCGACCAGACCGTCGACCGTTCAACCCGGGATCAAATCGAGGACTTTCTTCGTCTAATGGAGACCCATGTCAGCAAGCTGAAGCTACAGATCGGCCGCAAAGCGCGCGTAAGAACGTTTCCTTTTGGGCACTGCGCCTTGTGATGCTCGCCTTGTTTTTTGCTTTATCTAGTTATGCCGATTTAAAGTAAATAATACCTAATCGATGGCTTTTGATTGTGTATATACAATCGAGCGATCGATCAATGCCGTACGTTTAATTATTGTTGTTCCTGTACTTGTACTTAGCTCTACTCAAAACTTACTACTGCTTACCGCCTTTATGTATTCGAGTCTCGCATCACTTTTACAGGAAAGTCCTACAGCCCAAAGCCATCTAACCAAGCGACGCTACAGTACGAGTATGATATCCAAGCAGTCTAATCAGGTTATCTATCCATCTTTCTATCTATTGTAATGTTTAAATTTAACGCACCTTTTGTTTGATCTCCTCATTATTTATTTTTCTTAATGAATTATCCACCCACAGTCGAGTGTGGCTCTTTTTTATTTTTATTTTATCAATTTTAGTTGATCTTAACGCACGTTATGTTGCTTTCTAAGCAGAAACATACATATAATATGATTTTACTATCAAAGCTTTACTAAATGTTTCTCTCTTAATGTCTTTGTTGTTCTTATTTTTTGTTTTGTTTGTTTCCCGCCGCCGTGTGTACTGCAGGGACCCACGAACTCGTTTCGCGAGCGCGTTGGCAGCAACCAGCTGCCAGAGAAGAGACCCAGGTTTTTATATCGTATCCATAACTAAATAGTCGTAGTATAGCACACTGCCTCACGCCCCCACGACCCCACCGCCCATGCCCATGCCCATGTCCATGCCTGCACTACTGCATCTGTAAATGCATCAGTACTGTAATCGCCTGTAAAAGCGTAACATGCTAGTGGTAGACGGTACGGTTAACCGGCTTTAGTATTTCATAGCTCTAATTTGTGTCTCGCTTATTGTTAAATTTGTTTGGCTTGGTCGCCCGCTTTCCCGCTGCCCCCCTTATATGATGTAAATACTTATGTATGTATATTTTTGGTTTGGTCCCCGATTTTTGTTTTGTACTCTTATGTTCATGATTGTTGGTTTTGCGTTCATATCAAGGCGTACGTTTAAGTTTATTTTTGCCCTTATTTTTATTTTTACATAATTTAATTTGGTATTTGGCTTTCAGCAGCATGACACACCTAGAACTAGAATCACTGAAAAGCATCATAATCTTATAAACTCACTGCAGCAAAGGTTTGTGCCACACCCTCCAAAAACGGTTGCAAGCAGAGCAGAAACAAATTGAACACTTGCCTAATAATCAATTTATTTCTTACTCTGGATGTAACGGTTTCGGTTATCATAATAAATGCTAATCTGCAATTCACCAACACACTGCCCAATACATAATAAAAACCACACATCAAAAAATCAAAAACACACAATTGGCTTGCGAAATAAAATTTTAAGTCTGTATAAAATTCCTCGCATTGCGTCACATGTATAGCCTTCAAGCCCTTAATCCCGTATCCACCAGTAATCCACCCACTCACACACAACTGACTGTTAAAGCTACACATTCGTTTTCTGTTTAAAGCGTATTACTAACATCAACCTTTTTATAAATTCCAAACAAATACCAACAAATTAAGCTTCACGGGACGCCAGAAGAATGGTCGCAATTTGCCGATTGCAGATGCCACAGTCATCCCAATGCATGTTCAGGACGATCATGATGATGGGTACGAGCCATATAAGAGTACTATAGTGGTCAAAATAAAGCTCATTAAAGTTGCCTTTTCAGCTTTCCGGTAGATGTTAAATTCAGTGCAAATGCAACGCTCGCCGACATCTTTGAAGCCATGAAGCATCCAGAGAGTGGCGTGGGTTACTTTACCAAAACACAGTCGCTGCCTTCCTGTACTTTTATCTCCTACGATGCGCTGATGTGGCTGAAGACGCGCCTTGACAGCAGTCGTCATCCGTTGGAGCTGCTCGAGGCCATGCGCAAGTAAGTGAAGCTTTCATATTCGTAATTATAATTTTCATTGATATGCAATGATAATGGTATTTAGGGAGCGAATGATCTGTCATGCGTCCGGAGACTGGAATCAGCCTATTGTGCCTGGCTTCGTGTTCTACTACGTCGTTCAGCAGGATGAGACTGCCAAAGGTACGCAATTAATACTATTATCTCCGCTCTGACCTTTTATTCCAAATTTTCTTCACAGATTACGCCCCACCGCTCAACGATTACAGTGCATTTGCCAATGAATGGCTGGAAATTGAATTCCAAGGCTGTAGCTTTTTGTGGTATGGCGAGCCCGTGCCCACAAATGTGCCCAACTTTTTGAGAGAAACACCAGCTCCGCAGTCCTGGACTGATTATTGTATAAACAGTGAGTTTTTCAATTATTTTTCAATTCATTTATCATATATTTGCATTTCTTTATAGAACGCATATATAGAGAATCGCATTTGGAGATAGACGTGAATCAAAAGAGCGATCGCATGGAGTGGGGCCATGTGAAGCACCACACCGTTATGCAGCCGGGATTCGCCTTCGAACTAGTTGTAGAGTGGGTCACCTCTTCGGGTCCGATTGTATCTGACTTGGTATATAGCTTGACTTTCTATTAAGTTCCTTGATTCCACAACTCTATTATTGCTTGCAGATTGCTGGATGGATGCGTAAAGCCAATCAATGTGGGTATCAATTGGTTTCCGTTCCAGCCGATCCTATGGCCGAACCTTTCACAGAGAAATCTGACCCCCTACGTGGCCCCATTTTCATTCCATTGTGCGTCACATTTTTGCCGGATGGCGCATCGCTTTTTAGCGGTTTGTACAGCAAAAAAAAAACCAAGGGAACATTTTCATTAACACAAGTTCGTCCTACAGAGTTTGCAGAGGAAAGTAAAGCCGACCGCATGTTATTTCTACAGGAAGCTATATTGACTAAATTCGGGTTCTTGCCCTGTGTGCTCGACAAAAAGTTCTCCTTCAACAAAGACGTAAGTGCGAGCAATTTTTAGTTATTTAGCAACAACTAATCATTAATTGATTTTTGGCTTTTCGCAGCTGCCCAAGGAATATCAATATGTGCACTGCACTGGCAATATGTTCGCACTAATACGGTAAAAATGAATAACTTTATTTGATTAAAAATACCTTGCTGAGCCATTTCATTGCAGCTGTGCTACAAATAACTACCAAGTCGAATCGCCCAGCCGACAGGAAGCAAATGTTACCCGATGTGTGTATGGACACACCAACAACACAAATGTGCCGAAGAAAGTTGGTTTTCTATGGGCCTGGAACCATATGATCCCCAACAAGAAGTGGAAGGCGCAGACTATTAACAACTCAGCCGATGGCGAACTCTTCCAACTAAAAATGCTAAAAGATTTTCGAGATTTTTGCTCTAATAGCGATCAGCGATTGCAGAAGTTTTGGGATCATTGTCAAGATCTCAAAAAGAAGTCTCTCATGTTGGAAAACAACAACAACAATAATAGTAGCAACCTAATATAATCTTAAATGATCTGTGTGATGTAAACATTTCTAATGACTATTAAAGATTGAAAGGGAACGAAAATCAAATGTTAGTTTAAGGTCAAATTAAAAAAGCATTCTATTAAAAAAATAAAAGGATTAATGCGGAATAATTTGTTTTTTAAATGTATTTTTTTACCGTCATAAATTTAACATTATTTTAAGATACATTTTTAATTGGGATAAACTGTTCTTCAATGGCCCACGGCTCTATACAATTTTACCTTAATGGATTCGATTGTATATCTCGTTTTTTTTTACACATTTTCTTAACAGCTTTAACGTATTTGGCTCGCTTATGGGGTTATTGTGACAGCTTTGGTCGTGTGTTATAGTTGTTGTTAAATGCTTTGGAATTGGTAACGCCTACTGGCTTTTCAGGTAGGCCGCCAACTTTTCTCTATCCCGCTCCAGCCAAGCTGCATTGAGACGTATTGTCTCGACGGCCTGCGAGACGGTGCGCTCAGTGCCAGGGAATTGATTTACCTTAAAGAATTCCTCAACTTCACGGGCTTTCTCTTCCGAGGCAAAGTTCTCAATCAGATATTTGATGAGGCGTGCCAGCAAAAAGCCACCCTAAGACAAGTTCAACATTAGCTCAATATTATTAATATGTTACACGCTCTACCTGATATTGTTCCAAGAGCCGTTTGTTATTCTCTTTAAAGAACTCCCATGCCATATCACGACCCTTTGGATTGATAGCCACAGCCACTATAACAAAAACAGAATCCTGTGCACGCACCTCACCCTGTGAAACAAGAGCGCATCTGATTAAGTTAGGGGAATAATGATTTCATTAGTAATTGATCGTACTGACCGACATGGCGAAGTCGATGACACGACGCAACAGTTTCGTGTCGCCAATGCAGCCCAGAGCTCGTGAAATGCGATCCTGTTCTTCATGTAGATCGGTTGACCTATAAAGCTGTAGCATCTCCTCAAAAATCTTCTCATTGCCTTCCTGTAGCACTGCCTTGTAGCAAGTGGTACGCAGGTCAGCAGGCAGCGGATTAGTGCCATTAACATGGCTACGGAAGCTATTGAAGCATAAATAAATTGTTTAGGTAATGAGTCCGTCGACGATTAAAAAAATAAATAAGTGCATATACGTACCGTTTGCGTCCCTCCTCAATAATTTCGTCGCTGCGGAAAGACACCAGGCGTGTTAAAACCAGGCTGCGCAGCAATGTATCCAAATGGTTTTCATCCTCACGAGGCTCCCAACCCAAGCGTTCAGCAACTGGCTCATAAAGCTTGCGACCAAAGCTTTGGAAGGCGTCCATCATATCGGTATGCGAAATCAAAATGTGCAGATTTGTGAGCGAATTCGTAATGGCTGTCCACACAGTGTAATTCGTTTCATTGCGATACGAGTCGACCAACTTAAGCACCTCAGCTGTGCTAGCCTGGCCTGCCTGTACCATAGCAAACATATCGTCGATCAGACCCAGTCTGTCCAATGGAGGTAGCTCCATTTTATACACGGCAGGCAGCAACTTTTCAAGCATCTCCTTAGAGTAACGCGTGCGATAGTAGCCTACCGTGCCCGGATTGATTTTGATCCAATCGTTAGGTTGCACATCATCAAGCACCACCTCCATAGATGGTTGGTCGAGCAAGAAGGTTTTTGCAATTTCATTAGGATTGCGTGACGTGGATACCGTGATCGGAATGACCCACAGATAGTCCCCATCGGGCTTTGAGCCGTCGGCGGTGAATTTTCGTTGTGTGAGGCGCAAAATGCGCTTAGAACTGCCACTCTGTTCCGACTCTACACTTACAACTGGAAATCCTTTTAATTTTATCCATGTCGACATCACTTCTGCAACCGGTTTGGAGCTAGCCTCTTGCAACGCTGTCCACAAATCCTCGGTGCAGGTATTTTTATACTGATGACGCGTCAAGTAAATGTTCATCCCTTTTCTAAAATCATCCTCACCGATATAATCGTGTAACATTCGAATGACAGAAGCGCCCTTGTTGTAGCTAATCTCGTCAAATATTTCATCGATTTCCGACGGATGTCCAACGGGCACTTCGATGGGATGCGAATTCTTTAGAGAATCAAGCTCCAAAGCACGTGTGTACATGTCCGTTACGAACTGTGTCCATATGTCATAGTCCGGAAACAAATGATGCACACACAAAAACTCGACAAACGAGGCGTATCCTTCGTTTAGCCAAAGGTGAGTCCACCATTCCATTGTCACTAAGTTACCTAAAAGAGGTAGGCGCGGGCTATAATTAAATGTGTCTATGGGGGCAATGTTTCTTCTTACCGAACCACTGATGAGCTATCTCGTGTCCAACAGTCAGCGCTATTGACTGCTTGCGCATTAACGATGTGTTCTTTGGGTCGACCAGCACAAATGTTTCACGATACGTAACGAGACCCCAGTTCTCCATAGCGCCAGCCGAAAAGTCGGAAATGGCAATAAGATCCATCTTTGGCAGTGGATATGCAATATTGAAGTAGCTCTTATAATATGGTAGGACTTTTGTTGCGACTTCCAGAGCAAAAAGTCCTTGCTCCTTCTTGCCCACTGGTGTGAATACACGAACTACGACGCCGTCTTCAGACTTGCCCTCAACGAAATCGTATTCTCCCACGACCACAGCCACCAGATAAGTGGACATAATGGGTGTACGATCGAACCGCACTCGACGTAATTCTCCTGGCAATGAATCTTCTTTTAGCACTGGCATGTTTGACAGAGCAACACGGTCCTTGGGCACAACAAGTGTGATATCGAAGGTGGCCTTAATGGCAGGCTCATCCCAGCAGGGAAAACAACGGCGCGCGTCGGTCGCTTCAAATTGGGTGACCCCAGCATAACGCTCCTCGCCAGATGCAGTAAAGTATTTGCTGCGGTAGAAACCTTTCATTTTGTCGTTAAGTTCGCCGGTAAAGGACATATATAGAACAGCCTCTGTATCAGTTGGTATATCCTGGGCGAATTCCAGTGTAGCTGTCTCATTGTCCGCCGAATAGGTAATGCGGTCCGGCTTGAGCTTCTCACAGTCATACTGCAGCTCAGCACTATTGATTTTGATATCTAGAGCATTCAATGTGATTTGTTTTGTTTTATCCTTCACCTGTATTTGAAAGAAACAAATATGCAGTGATGAAGAGAAGACTTAACAAGAATTGTATTTCAAAATATTTGTATACAAATGAGTAGCAACAGCGGCTGAAGGAATCATGCTTAGTATTAATACTTATTTTGCCGCACCCTTAAATTGTAGGTACATTTAAACTACGATTATTGAATAATGAACGCAGCATAATAAAAAGTATGTCTTTTCTGTTTGATCGTATAATGAATTTCAAAAATAGCACTGCTATAAACTTTAACGATAGGAAACTAGTTCGAAGAGAAGTCTTCTTTTTAGGAGTCATGCACATTCAAAAATAGTGTCACACAAAGATAAAGATGATACTGAAAACAGTTATTCCAAGGTCGTCAAAATTTCACTCGCTTTTTTGTTGTTGTACTACTTGTTTGGGCGCTTAAGTCGTGAATTTCCGGCTTTGTATTAAAGCCAGCTTAAACCCGTTTTGGCCAACTTTGTACCCTGCAACGTGAGCATGCGACCTTTCGTTTTAGATAAAATTTCCTATTAAAATGTGTTCAAATATTTACATATCAAGTAGGGATTAACGGCAACAGAGCATTAAATGCTTAAACGAACACGCGTTAAACACCTTAACGACATCTGTTGATCTACCACCTTAGACTCTATAATGTTTTCATTGGGAGGGTATTCAACTGAAGTTCTAGTTGCTATCATAGCGGTCCAAACAGGGTATACCGTTATGAGCGCATTGTGACGCGCGTCAATTTCTTGTGGGTAATGGCGAATTTTTAAATAAATTCATATTAAGTGCCAGTCATGCGGGTGCGCAACAAAGGAGACAGATGTACTAATACATACAAACATATATACATATGTATGTATATACATATACGCGGACGTCGTTTGCATACAAATTGCATCATAAAGTTGAATTTATTTATTTATATACATACATATGTATGTATGTTTTTGATCTACTCTTTGTGTGACAAAACCAAAACTTTTGTGATTTGCCGATCAACGTGAATGCATAAATATGTAAATGTATGTGCATAGATATGTTTGTATGTAGCTCTGTCTGCGGGTGTACATGGCCCCCCAAAATTTTAGCACACGTAGGAAAGAAAGGCGAGCATGCAAACAATCCAAATACAATCCCACACAATGATACGTCCATATGCACATATACGTATGTATGTATATATGTACCTACATATGTAGATGTAAAGAGAAAGCGAAAGTAAGGGAGCGATACTTACGGTGACTTGCACAATCGTTTTCCCAGTAAAGGTAAATGCAGAGAGATCAGGCTTCAACTCCAGTTCGTAGTGCTTTGGGACCACGTTGGTGGGCAAGCGTTGGAATTCTCGTTCTCGAGACATTTTTTTAGTGCACTCCTGTTGCTGCGGCTTCTGTTGCTGACACTGTGCACAACTGCTGTGAATACGCGCTGTTGATTGGCCTGGTGCTCCGTCCGCCGATGTGTGAGCTAGAATAGTGCTGTACTGGCCACAAAGATTGCCCAGCAGAGCTGCGTCAGTGCTCTTCAGGGGTGCTCCGAGTGAAATAGAGGAGTAGTCACGATAAAACTGCTTCTGCACTTTCACAAACTGCTTCGACGATAGTAGCGTGTTCAAATGACACGTCTCTGTACGTACGATTATACGCTTATCAGCAGGAATCGTATAACATAAATGGGGGGAGATCAGCGTACAGTACCGATAGCGAGTTAATTGGCAGTGGGGCCGAGTGGCGACAGCAATAGCGGCTGCGTTGGGACTGAGGCTATTGTTATTTTTACGGCGGCAACAGGGTTTGTTTTTTAGTAACTGTAGCTTGGTTGCAGAACAACTTTTTAGTTGGCTGTGGTTTTGAGTGGCAACAACTGGAAGTGGAAAAATAGCGCACCGAAAGGATTACACATGTGTATTAAAAAATGAAAACAGCGCGAAATTCAATTAGAATGGATAAAGCTGCATAACAAGCGTGTTACTTTGGATTTTAAGGTTTATTTTTTATTTGTTATTTATGTGTGCACGAGAGAAGCGTTAATGGGAGAGCGGTTGGTGATAGTACGGTTGCACTCGTCTCACCTTCGCATAGATGTTGCTCAAACTCGGTATTTGCCTTAGCTAAATCCAACTGTAGTTTGCCTAGCTCTGCAATTTAAACCGACAATTAAGTTAAATCAACCTTTAAGGAATGAAAAATCTGCGGCAGCTGCTGCACTTTCGTCCGATAATTTGTAGTGAGCAAACTGGTTTAACAGCTGATTTTAACGCTACAACAACATGTGTGTGTTGTTACGCACACAAATTGTCGGCTCGGCAGTGTTTATTTAATGTGGCAAATGGCAGTGTTTCTGTATGAATGCGAGGCTAATCACCATTTCTAAGTTTCCAAGCTTGCTTTGCAGTGCGAATGCCACCCTTTAATGCATTTTTATACATTACGTTTAATTTGTTCTCTAACGAATGTAGTGCACCAGCAACAACAGCTCTCAACGAACCTATAGAACCACGTTGGTCTCCAACACTGGCGGCCTAAAGATACAGGCACTGCCAGACTATGGAAAACAGTGTTAGTATATACATGAGGAACCGTTTAAGCAAAATATGTAATTTTTAAATTGTTAAGACACAGCAAAAGATGTTGGGATATGTATCCCCAGATGCTACTTACGGTCAATTTTTTTCCGCAGTTATAAGTAATTTTGTATTACCTGTTTTCAAAAAACAAAACATCGACCTTAAATTTTGTTGCTTGAATTTTATTCAAAAAATACTCTCTTTAAATTCGATTAGATTATTCATGCTAACTGAGGTTAATACCAATTTCATTATTAATTTGGGCATCCTTGTATCCTTACCGTTTACTACACCATGTTTGGCAATTGGGTCATTTGATACTTTTGAAATAATTTTGCTCTCACGAGCAATTTTCGACATTAGGTTCCTTTGCCATTATGGATAAAGACTCTAAGGACTCGTAGTTTATTGGTGTTTTAACGCCAAGGAGCCATAAACTTTCTTTGCACAACATATCTATCTTAAAGATAAAAGATAAACAGGTGTCCATTAAGTGTTTACTGTATATGAGGCGTAATGGCGCCGTAAAATGAAAAAGGCTGATTGCGTGCACATAAATATGTGTATTAGCATATAATTGCAATTTATTTCTTTTTCTCTTTTTCATTCTCCTGACGCATTGGCTTGATTTCTCTCATGGCTTCGAAATGTCTTCCGAACACAAATCCATGGTAGCGCTTGGCCAAGCCGGCACACTGTAGTGGTTCACTTCCGTACTCCTTGTAGCAAGCTATTAGCTCATTCTCAAGATTTTCTATATCTCCCGAGCACTCCTTAGCCCATTTCACTGGATTACCAAACAACTTGTTAACACGATCCAGAGTCTTGCTGAACTGGGTTTCCTCGATCTCGCTGGATCGTCGTTGGAATGGAATCTCAGTGGTTGCCTGATTATGCTGATGCTGGAGTAGAGAAGGTTTGCCGACTGCAACATCAGCAGAATTGGCATCTGGGGACACCGTGGAGCAACTGCTGCTGGGAGTGGAAGTGATTGACGAGCTTTGTCCTTGGGTGTGCATCACAGCTTGACGTTTGCAATTCTCACAATATGGTGTATCCCCAACTTTTGTGGCTCTTTCAATACGTTGCACCACGTCCGCTGTTACCTGAAATGGAGCAGGATTTACCATTTGCACGGTTTGTGGCTTGCTGTTTGTGGCGCCCATTGTTTTATTTTCGATGTTGTTTGCTATTTTTTATTTTTATCTTTACGGTCCCGATTTCGATGACGACTTTACGTCTGACAGAAGTGACATGACATGAAATTTAATATACGATGTGACAGTTACAGATTTAATTTTTATATGTAACTAGCAAATACCCTATTTGCATTATTAAACTTTACATCTTATCAAAACCATGTAACACTCAAAAGAAATAATCATTAGTATTATAAGAATACTTGTATACTGTAACTTACAGTTTGCCAGTCTTTGCTGGGCTAAGTACATATTTTTGCAAAGCAAGTAAATTCGCAAATGAAAATCTGTACACAAAAAACTGCAAAAAATTTAAATAAATAAATATATATATTATATATTATGTACATTCGTATTGCATTGGTTGAAAAATGCGGATTTTTCAAACAAACTTTAGAGCCTGTTTTCCCACCTTTTGGAGCTCGAACAAAACCGCTTCTTATCGCTCACCTTCGCTGTGAAAGGACACTTGAGCCAAAATTTCATATGAAATGTACAGGAGTATATTAGGTTTGCGGGAGTTGAAGAATGTAACAGGCAGAAGGAGGCGTGGCAGACCCCATAAAGTATATATATTCTTTATCAGCATGACGAGTCGATCTAAGTTTGCCTGTCCGTCCGTATGAACACCTAGATCTCAGAGACTATAAGAGATAGAGACACCAAATTTTGCACAAACATGGCTTATGTGTGTACGCTATATGAGTTTGTTTTATTTTTTTGATTTCCACCCGATTTTACTTATGGCTATAACTTTCTTCAGAATGGACCTATCATGCTAGCATGATGAGAAATTTGGCATACGGACACATTAGTACTAACTGGATGTACCTACCAAAATTGATTTCAAAATTCCGAGAATTACGGAAGTTATAAGAAAAAACACGAATTGCGGGGAAGTGGTGGGGTGCATCGAAAAAAACTCAAACTCGTACTTTCTCGGTCTTAGGAGAATATGGAAACCAAGTTTGGTTATTCTAGCTCTTATACTTTTTGAGATCCTTGCGTTCATACGGACAGACAGACAGACGGACGGACGGACAAGGCTATATCCACTCGGCTTCTCATCCTGATCAAGAATATATATACTTTGTGGGGTCTGCCACGCCTCCTTCTGTGTGTTACATACATGCGCACAAAACTAGTATAGCCTTTCACCCTTTGGGTACAGGCTATAATTAGCAAAATTGTTAGACCTAGGGATATCAAATTTAAAGTCCAAGATGCCTCATGTGAATACGCAGAAAATGTGTATTTTGGATTTTCCCCCCTACAACCCTCTCCCATGCAAATCGCGCTTTTCTATAACTCCAGTAATTCTTGGAATTTCGAACTAAAATTTTGCAAATACCCCCAGTTAGTTAATATGTGTCCGTATGCCAAGTTTCACTATGATAGACCGATTTAACAAGAAGTTATAGCCATAAATATATTTGCTGCTGCAGCGCTGCCCAAGCTGTTTGGTTGACTGCTAACATTGCTAACACGAATTGATGCGCATAGGCATTCATACACTCACACAGACGCAATTGCTATGTAAATGTGCGTGAGTTCGAATACCGAAAGAGGTAAAATCGATCCAAATTTTTGTTTAATTTTCTTAATTTTTTTAATTTCTATAATTATTTTAAACATATGTACAGAGTATTTCAAATTCGGGACACCCGACTTTAGCTTTTTTACTTGTTTTTTTGAAGGAAAGTACCTTATTTTTAATTTAAATTTTAAATTGGTGCTAATATTTGATTTATTAGCAATAAATAAAAAATAATTTCAGTAATGAGTACTGCCTCTTTTGTCTATACTAATATTATACAGAGGAATGATTTGATTGTTTGTTTGTTTGAATTGAAAAGGCTCCGAATCTACTGGACCGATTTAATGGATGCTTTCACTGTTGGGAAGCTACACTATCAACGGTTAACATGGGATATATTATATTTGCAAAAAAGAATGGAATCCTTACTAAAACGCCAATAATGTAACCAAAGGTGTACAAAAATTTCATTAGTTCATAATCATCCTCGAAACATTGTCAATTTAAATATTAAGGCAATATTATTCAAAACACCCCAGCCAAATAAAAAATTCAAATCCATAGACACCGTGATTAATATTGAAGACATTTAAATTCACTAAACCCTTCTGGACTGCCGCCACATGAATTGACGGTAAAATTCGGAATTGCAATCATGCTTTTGAGAAATTAAAGCCTTCCAAGCATGTGCAATGGGACGAGGCTGCTTATTAAGGAACTGCAGGACAATTGACATGTAGCAACTATTATCAACGGCCCAGCAACTGGTAAACTAACTTATATAATGAGGATACCGATGATCCCATTTGATCATTTATATGGCTTTAATTTCCGGTAGTCCAAAGGCCAAGCCTCCGAATTTCGACATACGAAAGCAATGTTTCACGAAATAAAACATCAAATATCTTTTACAGAGAACATCTGACCTAATAAAGAATAACAAAAAAAATCTAAAAACGAACAAAAAATCATTAAAATAATAATATCCTAAATAAATTTCACTCCTTCTTTGTAACTCATAGCAAAAAGAAGGGTGTGTATTAAATGTGTGTGTTATAAAAGGTATAATTTTTAAAAATTATTGTGAAAATACCCGTGCGAAGTAGGGGCAGGACGCTAGTTAGTAATAATTGCATATATCCGGTCCTTCATAGAATGATACAGGGAATTTATGTAGGGCAGGGAAATCTCGCTCCAAGCACGTTAATAGCTTCAGTTAATGTTTCCTTATCTTCGTATTGTTTTCCCCATTCCTATACCTTCCATGTAAGCCAGCCCCAAACATTTTCAATTACGTTAAGATGTGGAGAATATAGTGGCTAGGTCATGATTTTAACGTTTCGACTCCAAATAAACGACTTTACTACTCGAGTGGTATGAATAGAAGCATTATCTCGTTGGAAAATGCATGGAATTGGTCCGAAGATATCATTACATTTTTTAAATACGGATTCCAACAATTCTTTGAGGCCCTCGCCGTTCATTTTCTGATCGATAAAAATTAAATCAATTAAGTCACCCCATGACTCCACCTTCTCGGCTGTAATGGCGGTTTAAATATAGCTCATCTTTTCGCAAATCGCGATAATAGTATTGAAATCCGTCAGGGCCATCTAAATTAAAACGTTTTTCATCAGTAAAGACAACCGAACGTTAATCATTAAGCCGAAAGATTGATCAGATTGATCAGTCCACGACATGATTTCCTTCGCAAATTGAAACCGTACTTCTTTGCGTATAGGATTCAGAGGGGGTTTTTGGTTGATTTTTAGATGCTTCAGGTGTTCTGCATTTCTGATTGTACGTTGAACAGTTGAAAGGCTTTATTTAACTTCTGCTAATTCCTTAATCTTAACTGCTGACTTATTCGAATTGGAAGCACTTCTAACAATTTTGAATTCTGCTCGATCAGTTGGTGCTTTTTTTCGTTTGCAGTGTTTTCCATATCCCTCTGGATATTTTAAATATCTGTCAACAGTTTTGGAGCTGCGCTTTATCTCTTTGCCAATGTTTCGATTGGATAGTCCATGAGAGGTAAAGCTCATAATAGTGGCTTTTCACATTTTTGCTTTAAATATAGTTCGAAAACAATTGATTTGTTTATTTTCAGTATTTTTTCAATCAAAATAACTGCACTTGTTCACGCAAGACTGAAAAAGGTAAAGTGCGTCTATTTCAATGACGAATTGAAATCCCACGTGATTGCATAATAAAGTATTCGAATACAGATTATATCTTTCGCAAATTAAACAACAATGAGTACACATTTTTCGAAAAAGACTTGAATTTAGATAAGAAAAAAAGAACAAGCGTAATTTTAAATAGAACAGTTTATTTAAAAAAAACAAGATAGAACGCTACAGTCGAGCAAGCCCGACAGTAAAATAGCCTGTACTCTCCACAAAAAAGAAAAATTTAAAAAAAAAAATTTTTTAAAAAAAAATTAAATTATTAAAAAAAATTAATGAATTAATTAATTAAATTAAATTAGAATATATGTTTATGTTTAGTTTTAACAGCATACATTTACATCACGTACCTATGCGTGTTTATATGCGTGTATGTATGCAGCACAAAGTTGAACCAAAGCAGCAACAACAACAACAGCTGCGGGCAGCGCTGCCGACAGAGGCAGCGCATGAGCAGCGATTTTACTTATGGCTATAACTTTCTTCAGAATTGACCTATCATGATGAAATTTGTCACACGGACACATTAGTACTAACTGGATGTACCTACCAAAATTGATTTCAAAATTCCGAGAATTACGGAAGTTATAAGAAAAAACACGAATTGCGGGGGAGTGGGGGGGTGCATCGAAAAAAAACTCAAACTCGTACTTTCTCGGTCTTAGGAGAATATGGAAACCAAGTTTGGTTATTCTAGCTCTTATACTTTCTGAGATCCTTGCGTTCATACGGACAGACGGACAGACGGACAGACAGACGGACAGACGGACAGACGGACGGACGGACAAGGCTATATCGACTCGGCTTCTCATCCTGATCAAGAATATATATACTTTGTGGGGTCTGCCACGCCTCCTTCTGTGTGTTACATACATGCGCACAAAACTAGTATAGCCTTTCACCCTTTGGGTACAGGCTATAAAAAGTTGGTGCGTCTGACCTAAGACCAGCAGTGTATGTAAATAATTACTTATGATTCTTGTGTTTTTACCTTCCTATGTACTACATAATTTTATATGCGGTTTCTTGCATGATCGTGAATGAAATATACTAAGTATGTATACGGTGTACTTATTGTTGCGGTGCACCGTCCACATATGGACGTAGACCCAGTACGTTTAAAATCTAAACGATGAATCATGTAGGACTGCCAACTCAATCCAAAACCATACAACGGCTCATTGCGACGCCACAATCCAACGAACGGCTTCGATGTCTTTCCCAGGTTAACATTAACCAATATGGTGCTGATGGTGGCAATTGACGGCGTTCAGTATAATATTGGTGGTCCGGGCGTTCGTGTATGTGGTCTATTGGCTCGGTCGTGCTATAAGAGCCTTAGCACGCATTCACGTAATAACATTTGCTCAAGTTCAACTCAATACTTCAATATATTGCAAATCAAATCGTTAAGCCCGCCACAGTTAGCGATACTCGTATAAGCGTTGATAATCCAACAAAGGTCGGTGCTTGTGCAACATAGGCGCGCGAGTAACGGGATTGCTTTAAATCAATCCGCTTATGATAATAAATTGACAGGTTATTGCTATAAAATGACATTGTGTTCATTAAAGCTGCTTCCAATAACATACCTGCTGCTCGTGATAGCTGCCACATGCCTTATCCAGGTAGCCGGTGCATCTTCATGGGGTAAGTTGTAACATTTAGCTGGAAATGTGCTTCAGACCTTTTTGCGCTGTTACACAATTCAGTAGACACCAAAAGAGAGAGTTTAGACTTATAGCTCCAGTTTCCATATTACACCTGCACCCGTGAGCACCTGCAAACTTTAGTCATGACATTCAGGTATAAATCATGTCCACATGCATTAAATATGTACTTGGCTGTCGCTTATGTAATCCGATAGAAGAGTTGACACTTGACAAATAGAAAAGACAAAACATCCATACATTCCTATATATGCAAAAGTGTGTGTGTGAGTTTTCATGGTAGGTGGCGGCATCCACTGTGAGGGGAGGTACTATCAGCTGACTACTTGCCAACGCGCGGAAACGAGTTGCCAAAATAAAAGTATTAGTTTTCGTTTAAATTTTGTTCCCTTATCATTTCGCATTTTTATCAATGCACGTAAAGATAAAGCATGAACCGTGAATCAATTCGTAACAAACTACAAACTACGTTAATTGGTATGTGGGCGACAGTTGGCTCGCCGGGCATGTGTGCTGTGTTATCACAACCTTTCCCCCCACTAGTGCGAAATTTTAACCTCTGTGCCTCTATTTCTGCACTGTTTTCAAAGTCGAATCGATATCGACGTGGCCGGCTCGACATCTCCGGTATTGTCGCTGCCACCAGCGGCTGCGTCGTCAGCCATTAGCGCTCGTTAGTTTGTCACGTATGCCACAAAATGCCGGCGTTGCTTACTTGATTGCTTTTCCACACTTCGCGATGGTTGCGCGTTTCGTCTTACTCCCAAAAATGCTTACAAATCGAAACGCAAAGTGTTTACATACTATTCTTGCTCTTTCCTAAGCAGCGAATTTGAAACCACGCGCATAAGCTGCAGACATTCTCGCATGGCGTCAAGTTTGCTCTCAACAATTTATTTGTTGGTTCTTTTAAAATGTAATCTTTTTTCGTTGCTTAACAATGTAGACACTATATATTTATTCGCTTCTATACTCAAATATTCACGTTTATTTATTTATTATTATTCACATTTATTATTTTAGTAAGATAGATTTCTGAACCGATCGTTTCTTTGCCATCGAAAAGAACTTGTTCTGCTTGGGGAAATGTTCGGCTAATCCTTCTGAGGTCCTTGTGTTTATACAGATGAACAAAGTTTAATAAAAAACGGATTTGTTATTTTTTGGGGAGCTTGCCACATATTCCCAAAAATTTGGTTTACCATTTTACCTTTTGGGTATTGGGACATATTCTTATCTTGTATTAATTAAAGAGCTCTACTAAAAGTAGAGATGAGCACGAGCCGGCTTTTTTCGGTCCGACAAGCAATCAGCTTCGCCCATCACGAAGTATAAGGATATCAGTAATCAGTACTTTTAATTACATATAGTTTTTAAAGATACATATAACTCATCAAAATATGAATTTATTTTCTGCCCTTACAGCTTACATTAACTTATTTTGTTATTTTATAGGATAATAATAATGATAGACACCCGCATGTCGTTTTCTAACGAAATACAATTTTTTTTCAATTCATATACACATATACATACATATGTACATACATAATGTGCAGAAAATTCGAGTAGTGCTTAATTTCAGTTTTTGTTTTGTCTTGATATTTTTGTGTTTAACCGGGTATGGTTCACTGCCTATGCGCATCTTTATTTTCGCGCACTTGTGGATAAAAGGATGTTCATAATAAATCGGTCTTTTAGCAGTATGATACTAGACTACAAGTAAACTTATATACAAAATCGAAGCTTTAGGACAGTCAATACACGCCCTATTGAACAATACCATAACTCGATGCATGCGTCATCACATTTAAGTTAAACGCGGTCCAAAACTAAACCAAATAATTTTTTGAGTAGAAATGTAGGGCGGGATGCAATTCTCCTAAAATATACATATATGTATGTAAATACATGGAATATAAAGTAATTAAAATTAAATAAAATGTAAACAAATGATTTCATCGAGCTGTGTTATATTTTGGGCTCATTATATAAACCAAATCTGCACTAATAATATAATAATAATAACGAAAGCATTTAAAGTTGGCGCGTGTCAGAAACAAGCAGAAAACGGGTGGGAATAAAAACAGGCTCGAAATTAAAACAAGCACGAATTCTATTTATCTAGCACAGCTGATATAACAACATCAAGATCACTTTTGCACACATTCTGCTATATTCCTCCGTACCCCTTTGCTTGCCTAGAATCGAGTGACTGTACTATACTGCAGGTCGGCTTGAAATTCACCTCAACTGATTGTGGTCCTAAAAATTAAAACTAAAAACTCTTTTATGCGTTTTTTCTGCATCAATAAACCGTTGACCTCAAGCCAGAAGCGTGGAGGTCAAATGCTCGCCGGCGGCAAAACTAGAGACTGAGCAGTGAGCGGGTTGAATGAAGTGGAAAGGTTCGCTACTGCGTTTTACATTAATCAATTAATGAATGCCGTGCGCACGAATACCAAAACATTCAAACATATACGTACATACATACATAACGTGTACATACATATACATATAAACTGAATTAATTTTTTGCGGTTTGTTTTGGTCTGACACGAATTTGTGAAAACGCACGCAGCTCTTGCAGACCTGCCAGGTAAGTTGTTTTGGTCAACGGAGATCGCTCGGCAGTGACCGACATAATAGTTTTGCGAAGGGGCCAACGAACCAACAGAACAAACGACCACAGATCGAGGGCCTGCCACGTCGAATTTTGGCTTTGGATATTACACGTGGGGAGTGAAAGTAAATCGGACGGTACAGCCTTGGGGGCTTTTGCGGAACTGTTTTCCGCCAGCTGCAACAGTTTTCATTTCCGTTCAGCGAGAATGCTGTTTGCTTTATTTTGTTAACTGTTTACTCTGTGTAGTCGCGCGAGCTTAATCATCCGCATTAAGTGCTAAATTAACAGCCGCCTGATCGGCAGAGCTTTCAATATTAGCCTCACGCACAGCTAACTGGTTCTGTTCCCACAAGTGGGCAGCGGTGTGTGTATTCGGGCGCACCGACAGCTTCGTCCGGTTTTTGGAAAGGAGGTATAGCCTCCAATTAAGCACACACGGCAACAACAAATCCATCAGTAATCGTTAATTTTCGTCAGATTGGTAAAGTTTTGTCATCAATTGTCATTTTAAAGTGCCAAGGTTAAGGCTTTGCAGAGAACTTTATACATCATGAAGTTTTTAGGTGAAACATAAGAGTGTTTCTGAATTTTTCGCAAATTCCTTAAGCTCTTAAATGTGATCAGAATTGTACATAGCCTGGGAATTTCATTTCATATACCAATATGTCTTTTGGCAGCTGCTTAATGTTACGGTGACGTTTTAAATCTGATAAGAAATTTCGACAACGGGTTCAATTATGCCTTTAGGTGCCATTCGTATTTTTAGAATGGTTTCAGGATGCAAGCTTCGGGAGCAGATGTTGAAAAGAAAAACACATTACTCATTGTTCTGAGGTAGTACGGCGGGGAAATCTAATTCTTCTTTTATGATATGCATGTTGAATTTCCCTCCAATAGTAGTCGTTCAAGAACCAATCTGCTGCAGTTATCTATTCATAGGTACAGACTTGACGTGTAAAACCCATATTCTTATATTATTTATGAGCCTTTGGAATAGTCATATCGATATCAGATATCAATTGTCGATACTAATTCTATTCAACATAAAGGCTTTGCTGTGAAAATCACCTGAAGCCTTTGACTTAAGCATATTCCGTTGCGCAGTTTGACCTCGAGACTCGCTGCTATCAATACCAAAGAGTTCCCCGGATTTTCCCCATCATTACGTGGACGTAAAAACAGATTTTCTGTAATTTTTTGCAAGCGTCTTAATACAAACAACAACATTTAAATATACTGCACTCTTATCAGTCTACTTATTAATTACGTAGTCCAATCGTTGTGAAAACGTACTGACGGGAGCCACTGACAATTGCTCTATGGGCGCCAGCCGTTTTTATTTAGGTATTGGGCTATTAACTAATAATAAACAAGCTGCGTTCTAAATGAATTTAAGCAAACACACTCTCAACAATATTTATATACTAAGTGCTGATTTTCAGGGTCACTTGCGTCGTTAATGGCAAAGTTGATTGAATTGAACAAGTTTTGGGCATTGAGAGTTATTGGCAACGATATATGTCTGCCGATATTAATTGGGTTTAATTTTTGTTTCTTTGTTCGTATTATTGTGTCCTTTATGGTTCTTATTGACTGTATACTTTGTAACAAGTGCTACTGATTCCAATAGAAAATCTTATATCTTATCAAATTCTGAACTGATTGTAATATATTGCTTATTGCAGCTTTTGCCGTTACACTAAAGTCTAAGATCGTATTCTTCGATGAGCACTGGAATGAGTTAACATCAGCGGCACATAAGTTTACAACGATGTCGGCCTTAGCCTTCGATGAATCGCAAGAGTTTCTCTACTTTAGTGATCAGCTACACCAGAATGAAAGCATTTTCTCACTGAAGGTACCCACAAACAAGGATCCTGACTTGATCGAGAGTGTAGTCCAACGCTCTAAGAACGAAACAGTGCGAGGCATTGCCTACGATCCGCTCAATCGAAACCTGTACTGGACAGATTCACAGCGTCGCAAGATATTCTTTTTGACAATTGAAGATACGACAGCGGGCACGAAAGGTCAGATGTCTCAGGAACCCCAAGTCCTTATCGATTTTGCAAACGAGAATAGCACATTAGACGGTTTGGCTGTGGACTTCTGTGGAAGAAAACTGTACTGGACCAATTCGAACCACAAGAATGCAACGGTGGAACGAATTGGCTTGGACGGCACGTCACGCGAGGTAATTGTTGGCTCTAATCTCTTTATGCCACATGGCATCTTTGTGGACCAATTGTCGAATCGTATATACTGGGTTGATGATCTCGATGGACACTTCTTTGCCATTGAAAGTGCTCAGTTGGACGGTAGCGACCGCAGGCTACTGTACAAGGGCATAAATAACATGCCTTGGAACTTAGTTGTCACCAAGGATGCGATCTACTGGACAGACCTGCAACACAATGCCGTTTGGACTTATGATCTTCATGAAAGTGACGCAAACACCACTTTAAATAAGCCCAGAAAGGTGCTAAGTTTCCCGGAGCAGGCGCAAGGTATTGTTGCACGCCTTGGCTTCTATCAGAACATGCGAAATGATCCGGATTGTGCCGGCGTGGTGCGTAAGGTAGAAGCACGACTGAAACAGCCAATGGCAACACGCAGTCCCGTGGACAGGCAGGTGCTGCAACTACAGCAAGAACATTGCCTTAACGGCGGCAGCTATGTGGTGGACAAGGACATCTGCATCTGCGACATAGGCTACAAAGGCGTACGCTGCGAGAGCAGTGAGTGCCACAATTTCTGCGTTCACGGCACTTGTGAAATTTCCGCAGCAGGCTTCGCTAAGTGCTATTGCCAGAAGGGTTTCTACGGCGAGCGGTGTCAGTTGGATAAATGTTCAAGCTACTGCTTGAACGAAGGGGTCTGCATAGTGGACAGCACCGGTGATCCTAACTGCGAATGTCGCGATAACTTTGGGGGTCAACGTTGCGAGCATAATTCAACGGAGATTTGTGCTCTATTTTGCCGGATACTCAAGTACGAACCGGAGACAAATGTGCCCTTTGGCTGCCATGATATGTAAGTAAAGGATTTTTTTATGTCATTTAAATTGTCAAGAAGGGGGAGGCATACAATTGGCGCATAATATTTTTTTGCACCGATTTATCTTTACCTAAGGGGACATTACCTAAATTATATGAATTATTTCCACGTATAACTGTCACAAATCTATTTTTTAGCTGTGAGGAGTTGACGCTGCGAACTGAAAATGGAATCGACACTTATGCCATACCACGCTTCCAGCAATTGGAACTTTGTCGGAGCCCCGACACTTGGAGAAGCTCTTTAATATTGTTGTTCGGGGGAGGTGTGGTAGCCTGTTTGGCCCTTATTGCACTTATTGTGCACGGCCTGCGCCGCATTTACAAGCCAGCGCGACCCAGGATTAAGAAGACCTTTGTGGTGCGAAAACAGGCACGCACAAATTCCTCCAGCGACACGCCACTTACTAACCGTCCTCTAGCCACTGAGCAGTGCGAGATCACGATAGAGAACTGCTGTAACATGAACATATGCGAAACGGTAGGTTACAATTCTTTTATAAAGCTAGGTATTGGTTGTAATTATGTTTTCTTATTGCAGCCCTGCTTCGACCCAAAACTGGTTGAGCAAACCCTATCCTCGCGGGATAATAAAGTGCGAGTAAAGGAGGATAAAAAGATACTGATACACAACATGGAGGATGATTTGTACTGAACGGTGCGGCGCCAGCGCCCCCAATACTTGTGATAGTCGAGGTGGTTGGCATTCGAACTTTGAAAGTTGGTGCTTCTCCCTTTTGTATCTGTTGCGGTGACGCGTGGTGCCACCCACGTTCAACATCAAGCCACACGTTATTATAAGCACATTTGCTACCTTTTCACCAAGGATTTATTGAAATTTCACACATGCATAGACAAACATAAACGCATAGCTCGTCATATGCAGGTCAGAATGATAAGATCGATTGGAGCCCTTTCGTCTACAGCCGTACTTAATTGAAGCAACCGTGTACTTATGCAATCCACGTACTCTTCAACTTGCTGTGGTCTCATTATTAACTTATTACAACAATGCGGTTCACCTTTGTCCCAACCACCTAGGGCGACATTTTTAATAGATTTTAGTTAGATTTTATTGTTTACTCTAAAATACGTACAGCTTAAAGCTGTGAGTAATCGGTTGATGGAAAATCGTAGTTACAACAAAATCGCAAATTCAATGAACTAACTGAATTGTTCAAAACAGAAACAAGCCTAATGACTGACATTAGCTTTAATATAAATACAAATTTTAACTGTTAGGCACTCAAAAGCTGAAAAACAATGGATCACGAGGTGCACAAACGAAACTACATGGGATTCCCAGTCCATGTACCATATATATACCTGTTGTAAATAAATTAGCAACAAGCCTTAATGTAAATCTATTCGGTTATAGTATGCCACTCCAATTGTATTGTACATGAAATGATAAGAGTTCCTTTTTAATTTTAAACTGTGTTCTGCGCATTAGATCATGACACTTGCAACTGCCACACCTGCAACATTGCAACACGATCGAAAGGCTTTGATACCAATTGCTTATGCAATTGTACATAGTATGTATGTAAATACATACAATGTATGTACATATGTACGTAAATACAACACTATATGTATATAAAAACACAATGTATGTATGTATGCACATGTATGTATGTAAATACGTACATACTTGTATGTATATTGAAATAAAAAAAATGCCGGCAGTGATCGAGTTGTACATAAATATGCGTAAGTTAGTACGTACTAGTAATATTACAGATGATTGAATAAAGCATAAATACAGAATTAGAAAATTGAAAGACACAACTTACCTTGCGTAGAACTTTTAGCAGAGCTCCGAAAAAAACCGTCAAAATGGTCACGGAATTAGTCAGGTTTAAAATGCTTCGTCAGTTCACGAAAGGCCAACATGCCAACTTATGCATACATAATTAATCGATCATACAGCCATGTAATGAGTGTGGCCATTTCAGCCATTTTCCGGATAGATCTGGCGTTTTAAAAATTGCTTCAACGTGAAAAATTTCAAACATCCCCCCTTCCGGAATTTTTTTTTTTTATTTTGGGATGACTGTATTTTTTCTTATACTCTGGATGAGCATACATTCACGAAATTATTTAGACTCTCCTAGTCGCTAGACAACTATAGTTTACTTTTAATTTAGTGATTTTTCGCTCTTCTTTCTTCTCACTGCTGGAAGTGTGCTTGGGTTAAGGGTCTTCACTGTGGGGCTTGATCGAACTTAACGTTCTGCCTTGCTTATTATTTGAGCATTATTACCTATGAGCATTGAATACGTTATATCAAGAATGCCTGACTTTTTAAAACAACGATAAATTCAGGCGATTGGTCTTCGCCTTTCCCTACACTGCTTACTGCTATCGATATACAGTGTATTATCGTCCTATGCAGTCGGAATGGCAATCGTAAAGAAGAAGAGCACGCTCTGACGTCGATTTTTTCGCAAACGTTGTATATAAACATACGATTTTCGTTTTAAAAAAATACAAGTACCATTTTTAAACGTTAACCAGCTGGAAGAAAAAATGGTACGTCTTTCCGACTATTTAGAGAGAAAATAACATTCGTGGAAATAGTGAAATTTGAGTACTTTTCGCAGCTGTACAGTTAAGCGCTTCGCAACTTGCGTGACTACCGCGTGCCTTCTTTTTCAGTACCTCTATAAAATTGAATTTTTGTTTAGAATTTGTCGAATTGAAGTGATAATTGCAAGTTGGTGAAAGAATAATTAATAAAAGTATAGCTATAATTTGTGAATTGGAACACTTTTATTCCGCGTTGGTTTTCTGCTTCTATACGACCTTGCGCACGGCTGTGTGTATCTATACGGTGTCGTGTACACGACCCCTTCATGCCGCGTGCCTTTCGCTAACCTGATGACCTTTGTTTTGCATTTGCAGGGCAGCAACGATAGAGCATCAAAATCCCCACGTTCGGATGATCAGCGCGACATAAACGATATGCCAGTGAAGAGGTCACGCTCAGACTCGGGTAAGTGTTTTTTCCGAAAGGGTGTTGTACCTTTTACCTTTACGTACCGCTTTTGGAACCCCTGAAAATGTATACCTTCTGTGTGCATTCAGTTACATGTTCACCTGAATAAGTATTGAACAGTTAGGAACATATGTATTTGAATTATCGTATTTAAGTTAATTTGGTACTAGGTTAAACAAATTCGCCAGGAAATAAAACCAAAAATGTACTGTATTTACTCTCTCTCTCTCTCTGTCTTTACATTGTAAACACATCTTTCTATTTCTACTACATCTACTACGTTGCATTTTAAGGGCAGCACAGACGCTATTAAATAATCGGTTTTTTCTTTTTGTTCTGCTTAAGTAATTGCAGACTTCATAATCGCACGATGATCTCAAGTGAGGTGAGGTGAGAGTCGAAACTATAACTATCGAACAAGTCAGTCAATCTAAGCAATTGAAATGCGCGAGGGGAAAACGCGATCCGCGACCTAAACTCAAGTATCGAAACATATCTATCTATGAAAAGTGTGCGATCAAGCGATACATATATACTAAAACAATAGAATAAAACGGTATGGTACCACTGTCACACAATATAAAGAGCTGAAAACTCGAAACATTGGCAATGACCACAAGCCATTCTATACCATGAAATATAACGCGGAAATTCTCACTAGGAAGTGGGCGCTGGCGCTGGCGCATCCTGTATGTACATATTTATATATATATCAGTATTGTGCGCCAAGTGAGTCCTCGCTATCTGTCAACTGAACCGCAACGAAAACTAATCCAAAAGCATATAACTTTCTCTCTCTCTTCTATATCTCTTTTTGATTTTTTTGTAAGCGTTTTCTTTTTAAGTTTGTTCCGCCTAAACTAAGTCGTTCACTCGATCGAGAGATGCCAAATTAGTGTTTGCCCATACTACCAACCAAAAATCAGCCACAAACAGCCAACCAACAAACATCAACACGCGAACCACCGCATTATCCGCTTCTAACAACAATCTAGCCGAGGCCCACGTCGACGCTGGCCAGCGGGTTTCTATCATGGGCTGTCACGGCCAGCCAGCCGGCACTGACTCGACAACAACTACCTATACAAAATTACTTCATTCGAAACGTAATTAAAATTTTTTGTCTTTTCTTCTCATTGTCTCCATAGGGGAATTATAAATTAAGCACCTTGTCCGTTACTGTAATTTCCGATTCGTGCCGAACAAAATCTCGAAAAAGTTCGGTGTCCATGAAATTCTCCGGGACTGTGAATCTACATATGTATATCTTTAAAAGTTCAACCGGCTTAGCTTTATAGGTCCGTTAAAAATTCAATTAACATTAAACTTGACAGCTTTTAATCCTCTCATACGTATACATACATATATATGTAATGCATTCGAATGGATATTTTGGCTGGGCCATCAGCCACGTATTGCTCCCTGTTTAGTCCCATCCAACAACTACAACAACAACAGCAAACACCACATGAATAACGTACGGCGGAAAAACCTAACCAACTTAAAAATATTGTTGCTCTTATTATCGTTTCAGCGTCTTGTTTTCTTTTTATTTTCTCTTTTTTATCACTGAGCAATGTAATGTGTGACCCTTCAAGTCAAAAACCACGCCCCAACTCATGGAAACCGTATCGAAACGCACATAAGGTCGTTTATAATTTCTATTTTATAATATTTGCGAGAGCTGAGCACACGGCACCCTCTTGACTATCCCAAGTTGCGAAAGAAAGTGGAGAAGAAATAATAATATGAATGAATGAATTTTGAATTTACCGGCCGGGTGGTCTTGCACTTTAGAGAGGGTTCAGTGTGCCCAGGTCTGGGAGTAATTTGTTCTTTGATTTCGATGTGCCGCAAGAAGATTATCCATCTTGATGGTATCCGTTGGATGAGCTTTATGATTTCAATTTTGATTTGGCATAAGTTAAACGGCATTATCTTTAACACGCTCACATATAAACACAACACACATACTAGCACATACATTTACCTATTTACATAAATACATACACAACCAGTAAGCGTACATACATATCAACAACATACTGTGTATATGTTTATTTATTTTACGGGTGCTTCTCTTTTTATTCTTGCATCTTCCAGCTTATAAACAAAATGATAAAATGCTCTTTCTAATTGAGAAAGAAACCAACCAATCAGTCACTACTACTACTATCATTCAGGCAATTAAGCGTATCGATATCCAATCCAAATCTAATCAGTCGTTACAATGCAAAGACTCTCATCCAAAGTGAAATAAAACGAAATTTACGCATATGTACATATCTCTATGTATCCTATGATGTACAAACGAATGTCATTAGATAATTAAGCAAGCAAGCAAGCACAAAAACAACCAAAATTACGATTATGCATCGATAGCTAATCCTCTATAGCTCTGTGATCGAATCGACCAATCGTCTGTCAGCTGTCCAGAGCCGTGCGCCCCACTGGCCCGCGCAAGCAGATCCACGAATGAAACGCAAAAAGCCGGCCAGCGAAATTATTATTAATGTTTTTTTTTTCTATTTTTTTCTTTTTGTCTTTATCTTTCTTGCAGGCAACCGTTTTTGTTGTTTCAAATGCATGCTCCATACTCTGGGTATCGTCGTCATTGCAGACCCGATATCAACTGCCTGACGGTTCTGCAAGTTTGCGAGCCACAATGACAGACGCATGCCCGAGAGTTGCCTTCGAAACAGAAAAACGCATGAATCAGAAATCTCAAATAATTGAAAACCAAATTGCATTATCGATTGCATAGCTGATGATCATGATGAAAATGAACACCTCTGCCTCTGTCGTATGAGATGGACTAATCTGTCTTCCTAATTCTAGGCAAGTCTACGGATACCAAAATTCCGTACCTTTCGCAGCCTCTGTACGATCTGAAGCAGACGGGCGACGTTAAGTTCGGTCCAGGCACTCGTTCAGCGCTGTTGGGACTCCTGGGTGGGGCTTTGCCCAAACTGACATCAGAGCAGCATGATCTCGTAAGCAAGGCGAAGAAGTATGCCATGGAACAAAGCATTAAGATGGTCCTAATGAAGCAGACGCTAGCACACCAACAGCAACAGTTGGCCACGCAACGTACCCAAGTGCAGCGACAACAGGCATTGGCTCTAATGTGCAGGTCAGTAATATAGTGCGAGGAAATGGTCGTTAGGGAAGGGTTCGAAAACGGTTACAGAAATTAGAATTCTTTATTTTTTTCAATGTCTTACTCGTTTCTCGGCTTTTAACGAAACTTTTAATCAAATTTGTTTTTCGAACCATTTTTGTTGTGATGGATAATTCAAATATTTTGGTGAACAATTACGCATCCTCTCAGCCTCTTGTGTCCGCGTTATTGGACGTGCTTGAGTGGATGCCATTGAATGTGCCTCTTAGCTGATAAGATCTGAACAAATATTAACAGTAATAAATATATATGCTATATAAAACTGAAACTTAAGTTTTGCCTCGTTTTATTGCAGAGTGTATGTTGGCAGCATTTCATTTGAGCTTAAAGAAGACACCATTCGCGCCGCTTTCATGCCCTTTGGGCCGATCAAATCAATCAACATGTCCTGGGATCCTATTACACAGAAACATAAGGGTTTTGCCTTTGTTGAATACGAGATACCAGAGGGCGCGCAGCTGGCATTAGAACAAATGAATGGTGCTTTGATGGGTGGACGCAACATAAAAGTCGGTCGTCCGAGCAATATGCCGCAGGCCCAACAAGTTATAGATGAGGTCCAGGAGGAAGCAAAGAGTTTCAATCGCATTTATGTAGCCTCCATACATCCAGATCTCTCGGAAGAGGACATTAAGAGTGTATTTGAAGCGTTCGGACCTATTCTATACTGTAAATTGGCGCAGGGAACTTCGCTACACACGCACAAGGGCTATGGATTCATCGAGTATGCCAACAAGCAGGCCATGGATGAGGCCATTGCCAGCATGAATCTCTTCGATTTAGGCGGTCAACTTTTACGGTAAATGCTAAATATAAACTATGTTCACCTTTTAAAACTATGAAAATTGTCTTTATGAATCACACATATATTCTAACCGATAATTGGGTGATATATATGGTAAATTTTATGTTGTATTTCTATATGATACATTAATTTGTAAATATCTCTTTATTTTTTTTTTTTTATTGTAGGCTTAAACTAAAGTGTAATCCATTTATTTATTTTCCCCATTACAGTGTGGGACGATCCATTACGCCACCAAATGCGTTAGCATGTCCCCCAACGAATTCAACAATGCCAACGGCGGCTGCTGTGGCGGCTGCCGCTGCAACAGCAAAGATTCAGGCTTTGGATGCAGTTGCCAGTAACGCCGTACTGGGCTTATCAGCTACACCGGCTCTCGGCATTGCTAATGCCGTTGCTGCTAAAGTGGGCGGTCTGCCGGTGATAAATCCTGTCAACCCGGCAGCCACTGTATTGCATCCGGCTTTGGCAGTAACCCAAGCACCAGCCACAGCACTGTTGGCGCCGGGAATATTCCAAACGCCAACCATTGGGGCGCCCAGTCTGCTAGGTGTACCAGCCGGTTTGCCTGCTCTGACAACTGTGGCACAGCCTACACTTCCACCACCAGCTCTGCTAGCAACGCCAACCGTCCCTCTGCCCGGCACAGTAGTTCCGCAGGTGACGGTCGGTATAGAGACTAGCAATGGAGCAGCGGCTACGCTATCGGTGGCTGCCAATAATGCTGCAGTAACTGCCGCCAATTTGTCGGAGAACATCAAGAAGGCGCATGAGAAGCAGCAGGAGGAATTGCAAAAGAAACTAATGGACGAGGGTGATGTGCAAACCTTGCAACAGCAGGAGAATATGTCTATCAAAGGGCTTAGCGCTCGACAATTGGTTATGCAGCGGCTAATGAGGCCGCTCGAGTCTCGTGTCATCATATTACGGAACATGGTGGGTCCCGAGGACGTGGACGAGACCCTGCAGGAGGAGATACAAGAGGAATGTAGTAAATTTGGCACAGTCAGTCGAGTTATCATATTTAATGAGAAGCAAACCGAAAATGAAGATGATGATGAGGCCGAAATAATTGTAAAGATCTTTGTAGAGTTCTCTGCCTGCAATGAAGCAGTACGGGGCAAGGATGCGTTGCATGGACGATTTTTTGGCGGACGTCGTGTTGTGGCTGAACTATACGATCAGGCCCTTTTTGATCAGGGCGACCTGTCTGGTTGAACGTTTTGTCTTGCGATTTTAGTATTAAGCTCACTAGCTCGGACCTTTTCTTCTGGCTAATGTTAACAGCCGACTTTTTTATATACACCTTAAACTTAACATTTTATTTATTACGACGAATGCGCCTATTTATGTATGTATTCTCCACCCGCGACAAATCTAAAAAAGGTTCAAACTGCGATGTAGAAGAAAGTGATTTAGTTGTAACGACCCAAAAGCAATTGCCGCAGAGTAGTTGTGTAAAATAATAATGGTATAAGTTTTCAGACCCTTTTTTAATGAGAGAGATATCTAAAAAGAGATTTGCCTACAAAGCAAAACGTATGATGTGTTTATCTTAATTAACTATTTGTACATTTTATTTGTCTCAGCGCTTAAATACAAATAAAAATCTAATTTTCAAAAAAAAATGCGGGGTTTTTTAAGTTCTTTAAAATTGGGGGATAGAAATGTAAGCAAGGCTCATTGCAAAACCTTTGAAGTTATCCTTTGGCGCCAAGCCACTATGCTCTAGAACTTTCCAATACTATGACAAATTTCGGGCTGCTAACTTAGTCCATCTGCTTATGGTGAATAACTCGAACATCAATAAGTTGGCAAGGCTGGGTCTATTGAAGAAAAGAAAATAGAAAATATGATGCTAACGCAATGAAGTTGATAAAATAATATTGGACAAAAGGAAGTAAAACGCAACAAATTGTGTTTGTGTGCGGGAGTTTGGAGTGTTCTCGATTGCAACGCCATTTACCATTTAATCCAGTGTGACACAATCAGGCCGCAGGAGCAGCAATAAACGTGCGACTCGACAGTCGGTCGGTCGCTGAAAAAAGGTACACATACAGTTTTTAATTCAGTGCAGAGCTTTTGTTTACAACAAAGTTGGCATACGATTTTCCTGGCCAAAATCATCTGCCCCTGCCACGTTTCTACTACCCACACAGCTGATGCGACTCGTTCGCTGGCCTTCCCTTGAGAAGCGGACTGACTATCAAGCGCACCAAATTACTACGCACATACACAAACAGGCAAAGCAGTAAATGCTCAGTAATATGGACAGTTGCCCATGGTAATAAGTATTTGCCATACACACAATATGCAGATTCGTCAATAATAACAATTATCAATGGTGCCCAGTGAGTGTGTTTATTTCGAGTTGATATCATTTGCATAGTTTTGTTTTGTTTGCTGAATACTTTGTTCAGCACCCCGCCCTACTTTGGTAGTTGTTGACATTCAAGAAACCGAGTGGGCTACAGCTTTGTCCTTTGTCGTTGCCCGTCTCATTCAATCTCTCCATCGCATGCGAGTGACTCGCACACAAATACATATAGTATGTTTATGTACATATGTATGTGATTGTTTCAATATTACGTAATATCTACTAATACCCCTTGAAACTATACGAAACTATTATCAGGTGTGAAGAATGACTTTGAAAATTAAGCAGCAGCACTTAAACTTCACCATTGTTATAACATATAGATTGCCTATCGATAAGCGAAAGGAGCTGCACCCTAGAGGAGGGAGGGATAGGCGGTATCTGCGATTCATGATCAAATCTTGTCAATCTTATTGTCATAAAATTGCAGAAAATCCAAAAGCTCAATAATCACAACAACAAAATAATAGAAAATATAGTTCATGAATCGGTAGTTATTAAATACGAAAATAAAAAGAATGATTCATATCAAAAGATTTCACAGCCAAACAAACTAAATGTATAGATTTCCTTAAATAATACTCTACTGATGCTAATAATACCAATAAAGATTAGTTTTTCTATTTATTCGTTAAAGTCCTGTTTTGTGAATTTTTAAGAGTTCTTATTTATAAAAAATTTCAGTCGCATCACAACATGTTTTTCGTTTCATGAATAGAATTTTGGCTACAAAATAAAAAGGGACGTCAAACCGTTCCACGCCTATGCAAGAATGAATATTTAATTTTTGTTTTGCTTCTTTTCTAGACACACTTTCAAAACGCGAAAAGGTACCTACTATTGAATCTCTCGCAAAGCAAATATGAGCTGCAAAGTGCGGTTAATGGAGGACGGATCGCTCGATGAGGAGCCGTTAACCTTAAAGGAGATTGCCTATCAGACACTTTGCAATGATTTGAACATTATAAGCGATCTTACGGAGAGCGGACATAGGCTAAGTCCGGGTATTGTGCTGCCAAATGAGATTTGCGATGGTTTCCTAGAAAACTATCAGCGCTTTAAAAGACCACTGGACGATCGTGTTATAAATCTGTTCACCGACACTCAGCGCACATCCTTAAAAATTGTAAATCTGCGTAATAGCACATTGACTAGTTCTGGTAAGCAAGTACGAGAATTATAATGGATGACCATTTTTGCAAATCCTCCAACTCTCTATGTAGGTCTGGAGACATTAATGCGGCACAAGCTGTTTGCTCTTTCAATGTGGTACTGCGACCGCATCACAGTAAACTCACATCACCTGCTTGCCCGATATGGTGACAGTTTGCGATCACTAGAGCTGGGCATTAGCTCGCATCTGCTGCAGAACGCCGAGCCAAATGAGAAGGAGCCCGTCGATTTTCAGCTGACTTGCCCGCACTTGCGACGTCTCGTGCTCAATGGCGTCGTTATGCATCCTCGTCTGCAATTTGCGCATCTTCATGACCTGGGCCATCTGGACTTGACCTCCTGCGTATTGGCCAATTTTAGCTTAGAAGCGTTAAGCAAACTGCCCAACCTACACACTCTTATATTGTTTAACGTTTGGCCTATCGCAAATCAGTTGCACGCCATTTGCTGTTTGCGCAACTTGCGCACACTTGATATTTCAATCTCGAGCTCTGCCAACGGGCACGGCACCTATGATCTGCCCGATCAGACCTTGGAAATGCTAATGGATAATCTACGACATCTCACACACTTGGATATTTCAGGAACGAATTTAGCAGGCAATGGTGTGGCAACTAAGGAGTCGACAAGTATGAGTACAAAACTGAACCCAGAGCCACAGTTTGCGCTTACAGACATACCCGGACTGGCATCGCGAACACAGCGTCCTCTGCAGTTTCTAGGGCTCTATCACACCGCTCACTGGGCGTGCAAACGTCACGACATACCCGCGATTGAGGTGGCCGGCGATGCCAATGAACAGCAGATACTAATGGCAGCCCGTTACTACCACGATCGACCTGTTCTGCTTACAAGAGTGCGTATAGTTATTTCGAATGTTGTGCGTCTTATAATTGCTATCTTGTTTAAGGTCCTTAACGATTTGTATCACCTGTTCCGTTTCGAAAACTGCAAGGACATACACACAGCGCTGGATGTTGTGCTCTCCGCAATGGACAGACATTTAAAGTTCCAGCACATGCAAATATCGGGCAGGTAAATAGAACCAAACAAATTAAAGCAAATGTGTTCAAGATGGGGTTTTTATTAAATGCATAACTTACGTGTATTCCCATTTTATAAAAATAATACTTTTTGACTGGATAAACTCTGAAAATGTATCATATTTATGGACCTTTAAATTAAGCTAAATCTTGTATATTCCTTTTACATTCGACAGTGCCACCTTGTTTTATATAGTCAAAGGCCGTGATCGCTCCAAGTTTGGAACTATGCTACGCAATCATATCATACGCACTCTGCTCAATGGCATGGAAATGCATCTATTGGACGATACGATGCTGCGAAATGGTTACCTAACGCTTACGCAGTTCCATATGCCCGTCGATGTAGTAAGTCAAGACAATTATTCAAACTAGTTATTATGTTTTCTAATGGTATTGCATTGCTCCCTTAGCTCTTTGAATACGAGAGACTTATTAAAATATTGCTACATGGTGTTTCGAAAACCGAACAGGAGGGATTCGTGCAGCGTATTGCCATATATTTGCTTAACACAATGGCTTGTCAGGTAGACGGACGGCAGAAACTCTTCCTGGGCGAGTACGGCGTTGTTAGCGTAAGTACAGATGCCTTTTTCATCGAAAACATCAACAAATGTTTCTTATTTTTTAGACCATGCTAAGCTTGATCAAGGATCGGCTGACGCGTTCAGTTTTTGACGATGTCATGGAGGTGGCGTGGTCAACAATGTGGAATGTAACCGATGAGACTGCTATTAATTGTAAGAGATTCCTGGATGGCCGTGGCATGGAATATTTCCTCAAGTGTTTAAATGTAAGACTGAGAGGTCAAGTTAATTATAGTCTATTAATTCTGCTAAATACATAGACGTTTCCCGACCGCGACGAACTGCTGCGAAATATGATGGGCTTGCTGGGAAACGTTGCCGAAGTTAAATGGCTGCGTCCTAAACTAATGACGCAAGAATTTATTGAAGTCTTTGCCCGTCTCCTTGACTCCCTAAGCGATGGCATTGAGGTAGGAGGGCGGAAAACCTGTTTGCACAGGCCAAAAAATTATTGTGTTTTTATATGTAGGTGAGCTATAATGCAGCCGGCGTACTGGCCCACATTGCTTCCGATGGCCCCGAGGCCTGGACCATTAAGACGCCAACGCGGGATCATGTACTGCAGCGCATGGTGTTCGCTATCCAGAGGTGGAACATTAAGAGTGAGCGCAACATTAATTACCGCAGCTTTGAACCCATACTCAGTCTGGTGCGATGCTACGAGACGCCACAGTGTCAACATTGGGCCGTTTGGGCACTAGCGAATCTCACACAGGTGCGTTCTATTAATTACAGTTTCCTGTTCTTAGTATGTCTGAATGTATCATGTTCGATTTCTAGGTTTATCCCGACAAATATTGCCAGCTTGTGGAGCAGGAAAATGGTATACAGGTATTGAAGGAACTCATCGAACATAATAGACCCTACGATGAAATTAAGCGCATTGCGATGATGGTTATAGTCCAGTGCCATTCTGGAACACAGCATATGGTGGAGGACTAAGTGGTTGGTTTAGAATTTTTCAATTAATTATCTAAAAATTGTTTGGTTTTAAGACCCAACACGAGTGTTATTGTTCAAATTCTTCCTACATTTTTTTAATTTGTTTACTTAAAGATAAACAAAACAAAAATTGGAAAAAAAAAATGCAAAAAGTAATGTGCGCCTTAGGGTATAAGGCAGTTGGTATAAATTAAGCATAATTCGCACGCAAAATATCTAATACTTAGCCTAAACAATATATGCATATAAATGTATACACATACGCAGATATTAGACTATAAAATACATATGTAATATCATGTTATAAGCAAGAAGCAATTTTTTTTAAATATTTCTTGTCTCTTGTTTTAGCCGAATCTAAGATGTTTCACATTTTAAAAGCAAACGGCAGAATTATAGTTGTAAATACGTGTATTGTTAAATAAAATCAAGCGGAGAAGATTCAAGAAATTGTAAAATAAATATATAAATTCCTGTTCGTTGCTTTCTACTTGCGCGATATTTCGACTGCAAACCTAAAATTTTCACCAGCATAACCTATTTAATTTTAGCTTAAGCCTTGTATTGCCTTTTACTAAAACAAAAACACTGTGTTCTTCGCTTAAGTCATTTGAATTTATGTTTATATTCAAGCCAATGAATTGGATTTAGTTGGTGTTATATTGGTTTTATACTGGACGAAGTTGATCAAGTGTGTAGTATATTAAAATATGTAATGCCCGAAACTAGATTTTTTTTTCTAATTATGTAACATGACATTCGTTTCCAATTTGTTATTTATAATTTATTATAATGACGAACTCTAGCAGAAGTTTCTGAGCGCGTTGCATGTCTTCTTTGCTTGGGCTTGATTTGCATTAATATAAAAGCCCGAATGCATGTGTATTTATATTATTTGAAATATATTATATGTCCTATGTAAATCTAAATCATAATTCGAATGTATGTATAAATAAGATAAGTAAGACGACCAACACAACATCGACATTGTAAATATGTATGTAATTTACAGCTAATTTTGACCGTCTATGTGCGCATTTGTTCACACACATACACATTATGAATGTAATTATAGGTAATTATTTTTTGGTTCAAATCTGCGTGTATTACTTTGTAGATAGCTCACACACATCGCCGATCGATAATGACCGTGTATCTCACGTTTTGTCATGTAAAACAGCACTTAGTTGTTAGTTTCCGGCACCTGCTTCAAGCCGTTTATTCATGCTACGGGGAAGGCCTTTAAATCAAAGTTCATCAAGTAAATTGCGCCAGCTGGAAAATAGGGTGGGCGGTGAGGGTGTGGGAATGACGCTCTTGCCACATGGAATGCCAACAAGCTGAAAAATGTAAAGCTGCGAAACAGTCGGCGCATGTGCAATGACCCCCACACTCCTGGCTAGAATACGACCCTTATAATATGCCGTTTCATCCCCAGCACCGCTACCAACCCCTTCGTTCACATCTCCAGTCCACCCACTCACATGCCCTCATCCGACAATTTGTTACTGTCAGTCAGTTGCGATTTTGCCGCGTTCTGGTGCGTTTGTGTGCGTGGGCGTTTGTTTGGATCGTCGTGAAGCGAGTACAAATATTTACATACATATTTGGGAAACAAGTTTACTTATTTTCAAATCGATATTTTATTGATGTCTTATAAAAACTAGTGCATGTTTGGATGTACATTTATTCATAAAAAGAGCTTAGTAGTTTGGTTCTCAGTTGCCGGTAACAACAATACGTAGCCACCAACCACAACAACCCACCCCACAACTGTGGGCCCATGTTTTCATTCTGTTGCGTGATTTGGACTTGAAATTAATTCCTTTAGTGAATGGCCAAAAGTTCATCTTAAAAATGTTTGAATTGTTTTAAACAAATAAAGCACTCTAGTTGTGAATTCATTCAGTTATTGCTTGTCAGCCCGCATTGGTGCCATCAAGTTTACGTCCATGTGAAAACAAATCGAAAACAAAAGCATATGCGGATTCTGCGCAATACACGCGTCCAGTTCGCATTAAAATTGCATCAAAGTCTGGCCTGGAAATAACGTCAACAAGAAAATGCAATGCCGTCCTTAGCACAAAGGAAGCGTCGAGTTCAAGTTTCGTGTAAGTTCCTTTCCTCGCACCGTTTCCGCTCTATATTTGAACCGGATCAATAACCTTTTCCTTTCACACACTGTCTTGGAAAGTTAAGCGGGCAAAATATTTGAAATGGTGTTTACAATTCTAAACAAGGGGGAACGCTTATGTTTCTTCAGTTTTTGTTAGACTATTTTTCTTTAAAAATATAAATGCTGATATTATCTTGTTTTTACTTTTTTTAAACTTGAAACTACCTTTTTCTGTGACAAAATCCAACTTTGTTTAATTAATGAACTAATAAAGATAGATAATATACTTAAAATAATAGTAGCTAATTTTTTATTTTTGTTCTCTGAGCATGAAATAGACTAAGGTATAGGTTAACAGCATTTAGTCTATGATTAAACAGAGGTCGTTTCTTTTACCCCCTAAACGTAAAGTGCTGCAATTCAGGAAGAATAAGAATTACAACAACGATAATTCGTTTAAGGGTCACAGTACATTTCAAAAATTCACGAGGAGCGGGGGGGCTCGAAACTGGGTTTCCGAGAATATTTATAGCCGCTTTTATAATTAAAACTCGCATGGCAACTCAACGAGTTCGACCAAACAGATTGCCTCTGCTCCATGCCTATACGGTTGCCTAAATTATGAACTTTTAGCTGTATTGGTGTGTGCTGAGGCGAAAGCATGGCGAGAGAAGCTTTTACAGTGTGACAATGTCGTTCGAAATGGGGATGAAATCTTGCTTAATTTTTAGACACTTGTAAACACTCAGAGGCATGGGCGTAGCCAGGGGGCAAGATTTTTTTGGCCAATTTTTTACTACCAAATTATTTGCACTATACATATAAACACATGAAAAATATGGAAAAATAAGGATAAATTCAAAATAATGAAAATTTGAATGCAATAAAATGTAAAAAACTTTCTAAAAAATAAGAAGATTTGTGATCGTGGAACTAATATAAAGTTGGTCCCGTGCGACACCGAGAGTGTAAAATCTAACAATTTGAAATTATATTTTCTTGCATAAATGACAAATTTTTATATACTCGTATATACATACGTGTACATACTTTAAAATTATTGAAATCTAAATGAATAATACCAGCTGCGAAAAAAATAAAGAGGCGTGCCAACTGAGAGAAAAATATGTAATTTTTTTAATGTGTGCTGCTCTCAATTTCAAAATCAATTTATAGTAATTTTCTAGTTAATTTTCTAAAAAGAATTCGTATGCTTCTCAGTTGAATAGAATATTTTAACAAGCTAAAATGGAATGGTAGCCGTATCTGGGGTCAGGGCAGTTATCAAAAGAAAGTTATGGTAGATAAAGAAATCGAAAATAATTTTGTTTCGACAGTTCAGAACTGAAACTGCATTTTCTGAACTGTTAAACTATAACTATTTTTAAGAGACAATAATGCACGACGTCTTAAAATTAGTCGCATTAATATATATTGCCTCAGGTTTCGATAAAATCAGCGAACTGGTGGCCGCAAAAACAACTTATTTGCCCCGTTTGTCCCGTTGCCCAAAATCAACCTTAGCACCAAATATAGGGCTAGTTAAGAGTTATAAGTGGAGCATATTAACACAATATTTTCATGCCCATATATATATAGGTATATATTCTCAACACTATATCTTCACAGCAATCAAGCTCATAAATTAACCGTAGCCATAAATTGGATGTCATTTTTTCATGATTTTTGTACAATGCGGCACAAATTCAAATTTGTCTGCAAAATTTTTGTTCCGTTCAGAATCTAGGGGGGGGGGGGGGGGGGGCAGCTGCCCGCTTTGCACCCCCCTCGCTACGGCCATGCTCAGAGGATTTATATAGTCAAAGAATATAATATAAGGAAGGAAAGCACGTATAAGGAGTGCTAAACTTGAGCAAGTGGTGTACTTGTATTCAAAAAAGAACGCAAAATTGTTCTCTTTCATATACTTCCTGTTATCCTCAATTCATATTGATCAAGAATATATATACTTTGGAATCATTCGCTAATGAACGCTGTTATAGTTTTGGGGGTCAACAGCCATTTCTCCTTTGAGTAATTTTCGATTCATTATAATTGACATATTTGCTTCCAAATTAAATTTGTTACGCAAATTTGTCCATTTTTATACCCTGTATATTAGGTTTGTGCAAAGTGTGTAACATGCAGAAGGAAGCATCTCCGACCCCATAAAGTATATATATTCTGAATCAGCATGACGAGAGAAATCGATCTAGACATGTCCGTCCGTCCGTCCGTCTGGATGAACGCAAGGATCTCAGAAGCTATAAAAGGTAGAATAACTAAAGTTGGCATCCAGATTCTCCTAGGTTCGAGAACGAGTTTATTTTATTTTTTGGAATTTTCCCCCCTTCCCCCGCTACAGAATTTCGTCAATAGCGTCCACATTTCAAATGCTACCTAAACCAAACTGCACACATCATATATATATATATATATAATTATCTACTGTTGTTTAAAATTTTATTTAATTCGGTCAATTCTAAGAAAAGTTATTAACGAAACAAATTCTCTCCAGTACAACCCCCACAAACTGCAGCAACAAGTTCGCTCTCCTTCTTCCTCTTTTTGCTGCTGCTTTGGGCGCATATAACCAGTGACGGAAGTTTACCTGGGTGCAGGGTATTACACTGTCGGGCTTGCTCGACTGTAGCGTTCTTTCTTGTTTTTTTTTTAACTTTACATTAACCTTGTTTTCATGTTGGGAAGCTGACAAAAGTTGCTGGGTCCCGGGTCGGACGCGTAAGGTGGGCTGCAACAATTAAACTTCCGGTATTCCGATGAAAGTTCCTACAAGCACAAATTATGTGTCCTGCTAAGGAAACGGGATTGTATTGACTACAACCACTTTTCTATTTTTAAAGCTCCTTTGCCAAAATGCATGTGGTGGTTAAAATATTCAAAGTACCGAATCAGGTGATCTGACTATTGTTCACATACCTGCCATAGAAACAATTTGTCTGCAAGTCATATTGAGAAGCTATTATTTTTAAACTTTCCAACCCAAGACAGAAGATCAAATTCTTAAAAAAATTAAATAAATCTGATCTTAACTTATACGTGATGGCTTTAATTTCAGAGGTCGGTAAACTGTAATTTTAAGCCCACGCCACTTGATCCGACTGAAGAATACATAGCTCGACATGCCGCCAATTATTGGACTTCTAGACAATCAGTGTTGCATCTTAATGGCATGTTTTTCGTTACCAATGAAGAATAGCCAGAAAATTTGATTATTAAGTGCAGTATCCAGACTGCGATTAAGTATCATTAAGTACCAGGAGTGCTACGATAAGAGATAATATGTGGCCAAGCTCTGATCGTGGCAGCTCTCGCGCTCTGGAAATGCCGACTAGTCAGCACAATGCTGGAGGTAGCAGTCAACAGGAAACACTGGCTGACATCGAACACATATCTACTATTGCTGGATCCTTGGCATCCATTGGATCCTTATCGCACACGCAAATGCGCTACGTAAGTGTTCATTAACTTATTAAGCTGTCCCCTTAACCACTTTTCAGATTCTCTAAAAATAAAACAAAACCATTCGTTTTTTGCGAGAATTCGTTTTTACGATGCACTCGTAACTTAAAGGTGGAATATAACGATTTTAGTACAGAATATATATAAGAATATATTTATATATACTTGTATATATCTCTTATTTTTTATTGCTATTTTTTCATCTCCATTTGTTTTTTTTAAAACGTATCTGACTACTCTTTCCCACCGTGTCGGATTTGTTATTAGATATTTTTGTCATTTTTATACGCATTTTTATTTCTTTAGTTTTATTTAGTTTAAGTTCTCTATTTTATTGATTTTTTCTCTTACATCTGCATTGTTTGTCGAAATAAAAAAAATTTTAAAATTATCATTAGGGATAGAAAGCAAACAACGTAAACAAACCTATCGCCAAAGTTCCTGTATTAGTCTTATCAAAGCTATGCCTAATCTAAACCAACTCAAATAGATTAATTTAATAAATTGCAGTCTTATTAAAATACTTTTCTAAATTTATTGATCTTAATCTGACTAATAACAGGTCAATAAAAATTATGTTTGAATAAAAGTATAATTTTGAAAAATCTTAAATATTTCACACATTAATTAGTATGTATGTACAATTATATTAAATCTAATCCATGACACTTTCAGGGCACAAATGACGCCGGCTACGATACAGAACATACCTCCCTGAACTCAGATTTTGATGAGGCCGAGTTGCGTAGGGAGCTCCTTAGAGATGTAAGCATATAACGTCATACAAAAATGATTAATTACGATTCTGACGTTTAATTTTTCTTCTTTTCTTGTGTGCAGAAATGGAAACTTTTATTTGATATGGTAAGTACATTTATATAGACTCATAAGTACATACGAGTTCCGTTTCATTCGTTTACCTGATTTTTCCCAATCTTCGTTTTTAGTTTGATCCGGAGGGTTTTGGAGAAATATCTACAGATGAATTCCTTGTAGCCTTAAAATCGAAGGAATTCCTTTCACAAGTGCCTATGAACAAGCGGGAACTCCTGCTGGAACGAACCAAGAAAGCACAACTGCCCACAGGTCCGGGATATGTGACATTCCAGGATTTTGTCAACGTGGTAAGTCCATCAAAGCAGCCAAACAACCCCAATTTTAAGAGATTTACAAACTCAAATAGACTTTTGTGAGTTCAGTGAACGCAGACAGTGGTTGGCAATCAAGTAGAAAGGACTTGTTCTGTGCTCCTGGCTATTTACTCTGTGGCCAATGCAAAAAGTCCATTGGGCAAGCAATAGAACATGGTTGTAGCTCTCAGTTTGTTTAAATTGTTTACCTGTGTGCTGCTGGCTTGTGCGCTGGCCAAGCAGATGTACCGCGAAGAGACTCCCAGTAAGGACTCCGAGCAGTAATCAAGTATCCGTTGCAGTAAAATTTTGATTTGCAATTATGATACCTTTGCCTGATTTATTGGAATAGTCGTACAGACCTAATTTGCTGTGTCTGAATAAAGCCCATCCCCTTGCAGTCCTTCACTGATTGCTCCTTCTTGACTGAATGATATTGCATTTTGATTGAATCCTCACTTGATTGCTCAGACACAAACAAACTTGCATATTCAATTCTAGGTGCAATTCGGACATGTCTGTCTGTGTGTCGATTGTTTGTCAAAGTGTCTCTCAAAATCGTGAATTAGCCATTCCCATTGTCAATGAATGTGTCTATTTGCGTTTTATGTACCTAACGGTAATTGTCAATGGTTCGTTCCTCTGTCTGTCCCTCCGACTTGCCACTCTCTGCCTCTCAATTCGTCACACACACACACACACACGCACACTCACACCCGCACTCCGGCTTCCTGACATTTGCGATGGCTGAGGACCTCATTATACCGGCTATGACGGGTGTTCGGGTTTGTAATGCGTTTGTTATTTTAGTTGCTTTGATGTCCTTTATTGTTTGCAGTAAATCGGTTGGGTTACTCAGCTGTCCTTGTTTAACATTAAATTAATATTTTTATATACCTTGGGATACGTAGTAAGAAGAGGTGGGTATCCAGAAGGGCCCAGCCCCAACGGGTTCTGTCAATTCTGCCCTTTGAAATGGGATATGATTTAATAATTAATTAATGTATTTGAGTAAACAGGACTAATCGAAAATATAATATTTTTTGTTTGATTTTATTGATTGAAAAGTGTGTTGAGAGATTTTAAGAATGAAATAGATCAATTTCTCTTGAAACCGGGGAGACACCTCACTGTAGCAGAACTGTTCGGTTTAAAATGAGCTAATGATTTGGAAATTATCAATTACAATTATATGCTTTTATTTGAAGCAAAATTATAAGTATATTTATATCTGTTTTTATACCGATAGTAGAAAAATAATGTCACTTTCAACACAATACCTCCGCTAAAAGTGGATGAATCTTATAAAATGGGCAGAATGTTAGAGTCGAGAGTACCCTTTGTCTCCTCTCCAACATACTAACGACTTAAAAAACTGTAATTCATTAATTGTTCCTTCGAAGCTATACATATATAATATAGTGTGCCGATTTGGATGCAACTTCAGAATATAGTCAGAGACTATTCACAACTCATACATAAAAGTATTTGATCGATTTCTAGTAAGCACCAATAGTGATTTTTTTCCAATCCATAAGGTTAGGTGGCGTGGAGTGTTCTACTTCACGTCCGTTCATGTCTGCGCATATCTTATATCCATCCCGAAGTTTGGATGAATTTGGAAATATCCCTTGGCTTTTTATTGGTTTAGGAGGGAAGTAGCTCATTTTTTTAGTCGCAGCTTTTTTTTTTGCTCAATTTTTGAGCCGAGTCTGCTTTATACCGGCCACCTTATAAAAGGGTCAGGTGACAAACTATCAGTATAATACTTTTTTCATTAATAACCATTTAATGAATCATATGCCATACATACATATGTATGTAAGCCCTCTAGTTAATGTAAGTGTAATAATTAATTTATTTCTTGTTAAGGGAGGAGTGCAAGATAAGTGATCGACAGTACTTAACTCTTCGGCACTTTTAAATACCAATTAGCTAGTCCAACATTTTAATAGAATGTCTTCAACCAATCATTACAACTATTTCGACTAAATACAGTGACTTACGGAGTTTGTAGTCTTTCCCTATTACTGAAGAGCTTTACTGATGCGCCAAACTTGTTTCTTCCGTATACTTAAATCAATGGCATCAAAAATTATCTCGATGCCTTTTTGTTATCAGGCTAAACTATGGTATAGACAACGTACGACATTTTTCCACTTAATTATAAATTGCAATGATCTTGTTCAGAAACGGCCATATGGTAGGCAGGTAAGCGAGGAGGCGCGACCGGCGATTGTCGTACCTGAGCGGGTACTTGACCAAGGGCTGGCCAAATAGGTCCTTATTCGGATGGATGAATTAAAGCAAGAATGCCGCAACGACGACCAGCATGTGGCATGCATAATGCAAAATGTGAGGTGATTCTGATTGCGATTGCCCCATGATTGCTGAATTTTTAACAAAAGCTCGCACGTGACAAATCCTTTTATGGCAGCACACACGTTCGGCGAAGGCCAACCGCTGGACGACTGGAGATGCGGCGCCGATGCCGCCGTCGAGGGGCAAATGTGTTGAGCGTTATGACAACTGGAGGCTCGATGCTGTCGCTGTTTGTGATCGAGGAGGCATCAGCAGAAGATCTGCGCATCTGTTGCCCAGCAGGAGACAGCAGCTGAGGCAAGAATCAATGTCGCCAGACAGTCCAAGACCGAATTTTATATGCCCTGCACATTATACGAGATCATGACTCCTTCCACAACGACAACTCGGAAGAGCTGTGCAGGACTGTGTTTTAGAGAGCACCTTGCCCTAAATTAGCCGAAGCTACTGAAAGGCCATAAATCCGTAAGACCGTAAATCCTAGTCTTCATTAGTTGCAGAGAAATATTTTCGATAGATAAATAGATCTTATGATTTGGTAAATAATTAATAACAGTTTCTAAAGATTTTTTTTCTTCGTATTAGAGCGATCGTTCGGAAAATGTTACGAATAATCAATTCTAGTTGTATTGACCGTAAATCCGTGTCTTCATTAGTTGTATTGAAATACTTTCGATAGACAAATAGATCTTATGATTTTGTAATTAGTTAATAACAATTTTTTAAGATTTTATTTCTACATATTAGAGCGATCTTTCGGAAAATATTACGAATAAATAAATCCTTCACTTCATTAGTTGTATTGAAATACTTTCGATAGACAAATAGATCTTATGATTTGGTAATTAGTTATTAACAATTTTTGAAGATTTTATTTCTACATATTAGAGCGATCTTTCGGAAAATGTTACGAATAATCAATTCTATTGACCGTAAATCTTTCACTTCATTAGTTGTATTGAAATACTTTCGATAGACAAATAGATCTTATGATTTGGTAATTAGTTATTAACAATTTTTGAAGATTTTATTTCTACATACTAGAGCGATCTTTCGGAAAATGTTACGAATAATCAATTCTATTGACCGTAAATCTTTCACTTCATTAGTTGTATTGAAATACTTTCGATAGACAAATAGATCTTATGATTTGGTAATTAGTTTTTAACAATTTTATTTCTACATATTAGAGCAATCTTTCGGAAAATGTTATGAATAATCCATTCTATTAACCGTAAATCCTTCACTTCATTAGTTGTATTGAAATACTTTCGATAGATAAATAGATCATATGATTTGGTAATCAGTTAATAACAATTTTAAAAGATTTTATGTCTACATATTAGAGCGATCTTTCGGAAAATGTTATGAAAAACCAATTTTATTGACAATCTTCAATTATTGATGTGATAATCATAGTTCACATCCCTAGGCAGAGAGTTTACCGAATTGCTTTCTGAGAGGTCCTGTTTCTAAAGCCTTGGAACTTAAATTGTAGGAAACTAGAGTAGAGTTTATATCAATGGAAATAGCCCCAAATATCGTGTTTCGTGTATCAGCCAACATGGGTGTCCGTTCGGTTAGAACGACCCGTGGAGCAGGGAGAACTTTTAATTGCGCTTCGAGTGCGTAAAAAGCAGGAACGCTGAAGAAGAAAATTCTTGCATTAATCAGAAAGTCAACGGAGCTGCCAGGCATTCGATCATAAGCGAAAGCAATGCCTTGGCCAGCAACGTCATGAACCCAACACCGCTCGCCACTCGCGTCCATTATCATAATCAGTGGACGGGACGCTGGTGCGCAGAAGCCATCTGGCAGACGCCGAACCAGCTGAACCTGTGCCGAGCACGCACCAAGAAATTCCAGCGGCTTGTTCTGAATGGAAAATGTGTGCAACGGGCAAGAATGCAACACGAACTAGCTGCTGCTTGTTCTTGTGCTTCTTCGCTTCTTCTGCAGCTGGTCAGGTTGTATGTTGCCACATGCAGTCAGGTTTATTGAATAAACATTGCAAAATGTGGCGTCCTCCTCCAGTTGCTGGTCAAGCTGAAGCTGAAGCGGTGGCGTCTCGCGCTGATGCTTGCGTTGATACGCGGCGGAATCAGATCAGTCAACGGGCACGCTCGGCCAGCGTAGCTGGACTTGTCCCTAACGCTGCGCCTGCGAAGGTGCAAAATGCCTTGCGCCTCGGACTCTGGGGACGCGAGTCATCCGCACGCAGCAGCGACCGTTGGAGCATCGCTGCAAACCTTACCGTCGCCGGTATTAAATCAATGCCAATCCATAAATGGACTACGCATTGCGTAGATTGCATTGGAATCTCGGAGCGGCTTCCATTATTTTGCAATAATATCACAAAAACAAATAGAATGAAATTAGCCGTTGACTGAGTCTGGCAAGCGAATCGAGATTCTGGTTCTCCTCTCTTAAAAGAAGTGTTAAAAACAACCTTCCATGGTCATGAACACTCTAATAAGCATAGCCTTACATAGATGTTCAGTCATGTAAAATATACATAGGTTTTGTTGAATGTTTGCTGATTAAACACAATATTTTAATATGTACGGGTATATCAAATTTGGTAATTTTGAGCAACTAAGAATATACTTATAGCCGTGAGTATCAATGTACTGGGTCTGCCTGCTTCCTTCTGGGTTAAACATACGAGTAAATTCGCACTGTTTTATCATTTGGGTGCAGGATGTTCGAAATATTAGGAATAAAGAATCATTGAACCAATCTGCATACTCCTTTTATGCCAGTCTAATGACGGTGTTTATCTCATTAACTGATTCTTCTGGTTTATAATCAACATTTAAGATTATGTAATTTTCTTTTTCTTCTTGGAATATGATGTGATATTTGAACTGAGGGTATATTAAATTTGGTCATTTTGAGCAAATAAATATATACTTATAACCTTAAGTCTCAATGTACTGGGTCTGCCATGCCTCCTTCTGGGTGAAACATACGAATAAATTCGCACTGTTTTATCATTGTATAAATTTGAGGAATAACAGAATAATTGAACTGATGATGGTGTGTTATCTCGTTAGCTGATTTTTCTGATTTATAATCGTTTAAGGAAATATAAAATTTTCTTTTTCCTTTTGGAATATTAACAATGGTGTGATATTTGAACTGAGCCGAAATAATCATGCATGTCTGTATTTTGCAGACTTGTCTCCCGATTTTATAGTTTATGCAAATCTGTAGATCTTATATATATCATATAGGTTGGCAATATGGACGATACATGGATTTGTTATTTTAAGGTACATTTTGCAAGAGTACATAACGTCATACGTATTTGCTTTATTTACAAATTCAAGAAATAAATAACCAAGAAATAATGACCAACTAATCTGAGTTACGAGCTTAACACATACTATTTATTATGCTTTTTGCTAGGGAAAAAGACAGAGTGTCGTCAAAAATATCCCACTACATTGCCTTAAATATGTGAATTCTTTTAACCGCTGTTATGGATTCGGCTTGAAGTTTCTACAAAGAAATTGGAAGCAGTTCCCACAACAATTTTTAGCAATATTCTAATTGGGTTTTGCATCCACACAATTGTGATCAACTTCAATAACCTGCGGCTTATAATAGAATGTATTCACTATTTAAGTTGTACGACGATTTCTGCAGGCATATAACATAGTAGTGGTTTGCGTTAATCCTTTGAGGCTTTCCAAATTTTGTCACATTGTTATTGCAGTCAAGTTTTGAAATGCAAGACATTGTAGCCCCCAAATGCACATGTGGTTCGGTTCGGGGGCACTCCGATGTCGCTGCTTCAGTTTCCAGCATTTGCTTTGACTTGTGGCACATGGAGTACGTGACTGTGGCGAAGACAGGGTCCTGTGAAGTGTGCGGGGACAAACATTGCAGCAAATGTTTGGTCAATGGTCAATTTGGTAGCCGTTTATTTTGATTGTTGTGCACGCGGCAAGGATAACGACGTGCAGAGTAAATGGCCAGCACGAAATGCGACCAAATGCGTCCTTACGCCAAAAGCATCCACAAACATTCACGTACAATTACATACAAACTGATGTGAATCGATATGGCGCTTGCATATTTTTGCCATCGTTACGAAATTTGCTGATAACGGGCTGGCTGGATGGCTGGCTGGTTGGCTGGCCACAGTGCCCATTGGACCGACAGCATGCTCATGTTGCAATCCGCGACTGCCGGACCAATTGCAGCTCTAGAATTCCGGATGCGCCGCTGTTCGTTGAACAGACGTTGAATGTCCTGCGGCGCCAACGTAACACTCCTGTCACACACTCAGATAGCTACAAATGCACATGCACATGCACATACATATTTATGTGCTTCGTAATAATCATCTTTGCAATTTAATTCCTTGCTTTTTGTTGCAACCCGAATATGCATTGCGTCAGCAAAGGTGCAGCCTCAGGCCCCTCATGATATTTATTCGTCGTCATGCCAGTAAATCCAGTAAAGTGAAAGCTGCCAAATACTGATTTTCCATTATTTTGCAACAGTCGATATTCATTTACGTATACATATTTAAATATGTTTGTTTCTCATTGGAATATTTTGAATCGAAATGACTCACAATTGCATTGGAAAATTGGATTTTTGACAGAGTTTCCATAAAAGAACACATATTTGGATATCAATAGTTTTGCGGTTTAATAGATATATATATATATATAAATGTAAAAAAAATAAAAAAGGGGATTTTGATTTTTCATTTCGTTGTTTCAATAAATTAAAGATGATTTTGGGTTTAATAATATTAAAATCTTATACACCAAAATAATTTCAAATCAGTGATAGAAGTCCATTGTAGAGAGATCACTTAAATATCCCTGGTGAATATTTTTCAATGCGGGAATTTTTAATTGGAATAGTTGTTGACGGAAATTTCATTTACTCATTGTTTTTTATATTTTTAACAATTATTTTTTCATCTTTTTTTATGCCAATAATATAATCAATCTTTAAAATTAATCAATAACATCAGCGGGTTTTGTTTATTTCTCTAAGAATTTTTCGTTTCTTGGTGATGGGGAATCACCATAGAAACCAGTCTATAATATGTAGTGGCGAAAGACTTAGACAAATAGGGTTTCAACTTAACTTAAAGTTGTTTATGTCTGTATAAAGTAATTGCAAATTTAGCTTCTGTAAGTTGACTAAAACAAAAGTTCCGATCGTTCAAAAAATTGTGTGGGTATTTAGATTTTTATAGCCTGTACCCAAAGGGTGAAAGGCTATACTAGTTTTGTGCGCATGTATGTAACACACAGAAGGAGGCGTG